CCAACCACTACCACAACACTATCAACCACAATGTTACACCATGTCATGTCCTGGAAGTACATCTTCATATGAAACAAGGGAGGAAATATGAACTCCAAGCTAATACCAGCGATACTTCCCACAAGGGCCAATATATAAGTGTAAGAAGGGAAAGCAGCAGCAAAAATTACACTGATAGATACCATTAACAAACGAAATGTAATTACAGACGGAGTGAAGATTGATTTATCATAACTTCCTGGAAAGAAAAACAGAGAGGAGTTCTCAATGATCTCAAATATGGTGAACATTGGCAGTGTGTAGGACGTGAAGGACAGTACTGCTGCCATCACATTCACTGCTGCTCGGAATGAACCCTCTGGCAAGCTATTTGTTATAACTTCAGCCGTATCGACTTCAAATGAAATGTAAGCGACTACTCCAATGGTGACATTAAGTAATGTCATCGCTACATAGGACAAATTAATCACTGAGTTAAACTTTTCCTTGTGGCGCATGCTACCTTCGATTAGTGATACAAATGGCTGCGACAGATAACTTGCTACAAGGACTCCTAAAGCTGATGGATATGTACTGGCGTCGAAATTTTCCAAGGAGCTTATTTCCCATTTTTGTACATGCAATAAGCTGTACGTAACAACGGTGACAAAAATAACTTTAGCGGAAAGTACCGTTAAGATGCTTGTCCATGCCACCTGAGAAAGGTTTTTAAGAAAAACATTTGGAACAAAAAGTATACCGCCAATGAGTACGCAGAGCCAGCAAGGAAAAGCAACATGGGGAAACGATCTTGCAATTAATTTACCGACCAAAAGAGGATAAACTGCTGTAACAAAAAGCAACTCTATAAACTGAGTAGCAAGGACGAGATGACCTCCTATGTTTGGCAGGAAAGCATTGCCGACATCTGCATAGGAACTGCGGACCCTTTTTCGTTTACCGCTCTTTGGATCGGTTTCATAGAGGCACCGAACAATGATTTTCCCAGTATAATTAGAGGCAGCAGCGACTAGCAAAAGAGTAAGTATGGCTAAGTAGCCACCATTTTTCACGGCGTAAGGTATGACCAAGATTGGTAAACCTTGAATTGTGTTGCAGATGTTCCAAAATGTCTCAAATGTCGAGGCAAAAGTACCTTCATCACATGAAGTGTTCTCCTCATGTTGATCTCTGATATCATACTGTTCACATTCGTCCAAAAGATTTACTTTATCTTCTTCCTTCTCTTGATAACCTTCTCTGCTCATTACACCCGTACCTTTTATAAGAATTCTAAATATAGACTGCATACTCCTTCACAACAAGCTCTGGTTTACTAGAATGCCTTCCTTATTTATGTCCCTGAGGCTCAAGGGGTAAATAATGAGTTCTGATTAATATTTCCACCATGATCTGTCGACTGTGTAGCGGGGTCTGAAGTCCACCGAGTGCCACATGTGAAGATTTATGTTCATCGAAGGACAATCTCAGAACCTTTTTACTACAGTGGACAAGGACTTATTTCATTTGGAGTTTTCAATGTCCTGGGAGTAGTCGTAAGGCTGATTGTATGTCGATAGACACCTGTGTCTTGCTCATAAGCCGCAATAAGCTGTTAAAATGGGGACTTCTTCGAGGTTTTGTCATCAGTTTAAATTTCTCTGGCTAATTTTTAAGGGAACCATAGTGATCTGTTTTTAAAAAAACATTGAGCTAGGTATTCTTGGCACCGGCTAGTATCATATGATGCTGTGCTAATTGTTTCAAATTTAACATGATTTTGTCTCACCCTGCAAGCTAAACATAGCCTTTAGGATTGACAGCTTTATTCTTTCCTGACACAAAAATGAAATACCTTGTAACGGTAAAAAAGTTTGGTACATTTTGTTGTTGACCATATTCATGGTTTTCATAATCACAATTGACATTATCATCTTTATTTCATCTTATTGTCCTTTTGCGTGTTACTGTAGAAACTGTTCGCTCTCTCAAGAATGAATTTCTCCAAAAGAGGCCGGTCCGGCCGGCGCCTTTCAGTAAATCAGTTAAAACTTTGTACCAAAATCAACTGCATGTTACTCATTAAATGATCACGGAAGGAGACCACAGATAACTTTTAGTCTGAATAATCCCACCCATAAAGAAGTTTAACAATAAACGTCTTTTCATTCAAACTTTGCATACTCAATCAACTATTCATCAAAAGATCACCACGACTTCTTTTCTACAGTGAAGCTGTATTATAAAAAGCTTCTGAACCAGCTTGGCATCGGAATTAATGAACGTATATTAGCAGATCAGCTGAGTGTTGATATTGTTTTTTAAAATTCTGAACCTAACAAAACTGTTTTGGGCAATTTGATTTTGGCATCCAGCTGTACTTTCCGGTGAAGTGAAAACCACCTCATTCTTCGTTACAATGATTCCGCCAGAGCATATATAACCAGTAAATTCGATTTGGCGCTAAGCAAAGCGTGAGATGGATGTCCGAGCTCATTACAGATTTCTGTTTCAAGAAATTAATGGTTTTGAGCGGAGACACTCAAGGTCCCTGCTAAGGCCCGTTTTCTTCGTCTAGCTAGTAAGCGATACCAATAGCCGTCTTTTCGTTGTCCATGTTTACATTTAAGAGCGAGGTATCAAAAGTTTTGAAATTAAAATAAAAAAAATTGGAAACTGTCCCTTAGATGTAGATCTTAAAATATGGCTTCGCGCCCATAAAGCCCCCGAGAATTTCGAGAGATGGGCCAAATGACTCATTTTAAAGCCCACTGATCACGACAAAGTGTTGTGTTTGAATGACAGATACTAAAACATAAGTCAATTTTCCTAACTGAAGTAGAATCCAGTCGGCCAGTCAGGCAGTCGTCAGCTAATAATTAAGCCATGAACTCGTGCACGAAATACACAATAGTCAGTATTGAAGCCAGGTGTAATAGTCAGTAATGAAGCCAAGCGCATTCTCGCGTGCATCTGCCGAAATTTTCTGGCATATATTAACGTTTGCACTGCGCAAATATTCGCTTCATTTTTTGCTGATCGTTCACAGAACAGCACGTTTTTTTCACGCCAAATTTAAACATTCGTTGAATTCAGTTGTGAAAAATGCCGTCAAAAGAAGGATACCACATCCTTGACGAGAGTCTAGATGAGGAAAGCTACCCCCACGAAAAAACCCTGGACGAGACGTTTGAGGAGATGAAGAAAATATCAACCATGGATACATTTTGGAACGCGTGTAACTCCGTTCAACGGCTTACCATCTTGGCGATGCCTATTGTGACGTCGTTTGGTGGGTACTGGTTTCTTTTTGGCATTACAGCCATTGCAGTGCTCTCTAACTATACCTCAAAAATCCTCATTCAGTGCCTCTATGAGCAATTTCCTGGTAAAGGTCGAACACGTGTACGTAATACATTCGCTGACATCGGAGATGCTTTCTGGCCAAAGTACGGAAGACTCATGGTCGATGCGACAAAATTTCTGGAATTAATTTTTGTTGCAACTGTGAATCCAATAGCTTGTGGGGAGGCCATTTATTACACCGTTCCTTACCTTCCCGTTGGAAAGCAGCTTTGGATCCTCATTTTCGGCCTGGCTATGATTCCCAACGTTTTCCTGAGCTCTGTGAAATTACTTTCCAAGATCAGCATGCTTACCATATTTTTTGCCCTGACAAACTTCTCCATCATAGTTGCTTATTGCTTGGGTCATAGCGCTTCCTGGAAAGCGGAGGATTTGCAAGTTTTCGACCCTGTCCGGTTTCCACTGGCACTCGGAGTAGTTTTGGCCAGCTTCTCGTCTCAAATTTACCTGACCGTGCTGGAGGGAAACATGCGATGTCCTGAAAAGTTCAACGCCGTCATCAACTACGCTTATATCGCTATGACTGCGCTAAAGATCGGCGTTGGAGCATTTGGTTATTTGACCTTCTCAGGCAGTGTCAGTGACATGGTGTCCAACAACCTTCCACTTGGACTCTATCGCATCACTGTGAACATTGTGATAACCGTCCTGTCCTTTTCAGGTTATTCCCTCCCTATGTTTGCGGTGTTCGACATGGTGGAGAAGTCAGCCCCCCGGTATTTGACCGCCAGATTTCTAAACCAGGATGGACACCGACCTAATCGTCCGTGTGTGGTGTTGTTGCGTTTCGTGCTGACATCAATCACCATCCTGATGGCAGTTATTATTCCGCACTTCACTCTTTTTGCTGCATTTATTGGAAGTGGTACAGGTACTGCGATAGCGCTGGTTTTTCCTTCCGTTTTCTACATAAAAATTTTTTACTGGGAGTTAAGGTGGTACGAGATTGTTCTGAACGTTTTCATCGTATGTTTTGGGCTGCTCATGGCAGCTTGTGGAATGGTTTCTACAGGACAACAGCTGTACCTAACCTTCTCCACAAAAGAGGTGGATTTCTAAAGCTTAATTAATGCGAACTCTGTCAAGTCCAGTTGATTGAGTGAAACGAGAATCAAATGTGATTTTATGTGTGGACCTTTTAGAGAACGGCAAATGGTCCTGGAACTGAAACTTAAAAATAAGCATGTTTTGTTACCGTCTTGGAATAGGAGTACGCTTGGAGCTAGCTGGCTCTGTTTAATGCTTAGGTATCGGCAGGCTACGAAGCCGAAAATATTTTTCTGTTGGGCCCCTCAGCAGCTTATTTATTGCTGCTTGGCCGTTTGCAGTGCGGCACCCCATTGAGAGCCTAATTGTATATTATTTTAAGAGACAAAGTTTTGTTTAACAAGCGGTAGATAAGAGTCGCTCAAATAGCCTGTGATAAGTGTTGTTCTGTCAAACGACGAAGAAAACATTTAAGTTTAAACCGACAATTCGCTCTTGCGCTCGAGGCTTCTTTGGCCTCTCGAACGAATAATTTGTCAAGTTCAAGACAATTTAGTACGAACAGTGCCCCTTTACAAGCGGCACAAAGCGGAAGTCAACAAACATTTGCGCGTCATGATACCTGGGTCCACATGATAACAACGAAGGAGTACACTACTCATTTATTACAGATTCTCTTTATTTATTATTCAGGGCTATGAAATACTTCTTTCCCGGTTGGATAACAGCGATTTCGCTGAGAAATCATCAGGAAAGATTTCAGTTTAAATCCGTAATTATTGGCGCAAAGTTGTTCCCCCAATAAAGAGGGTGAAGGAAAGATTATCCTCTAACTAAAAAGTACCTTGACCTTTAAACCACAGGCTTATCAAATCAGTTTCTCTGCTGTCAAGAAGTTTCAACAAAGAAAAATAAAGTAATCTGAAAATACAGAGTAAGTTGACCTTGTCAGTGAGAACTAATTGCAATACGAGGTCACTACGTATTTCAAACAAGGGCGTTGTAAAATCAAATCTGATTATAAAATTAAGATTTTTTTCCAATCCAATTGAATATCGCAATATCACATCATCTCTTTTTCTTAACGAAAATCGGCGAGTTTCACATGTTTAAGTTTATTTCTTTTAAAGCTATGTATTTGACTTTTGCGTGCACATCAAAATAGTTTCGGTTTCCTTGCAATTGCAACAATATTGACGCTAAAGCTATCTACTTCACGCCGCAGGTCTCATTAATGTTACAGTTCAGCTCAACTGGAATCATTATAAAACGAATTTTCAAAGATCTATTGTGCTCTTTCAATTGAGCATAATTTCAGGGATTTTTCGTTAATTTCCTAATAAATTTTTAGTTATAAAGGTTATAATTTGGCATATTTGCTTCATTTTCAAAAGTCCTCACCGCTCCATTTAGATGCAAATGGGGCTTAATGATATTGTTTGCTTGTTTTTTTTTTACAATTTACTTCGGTTGATATTAAATAGAAAGCAAAAGAGAGGAATCATAAAATGACTCTCAACTAAACAATAGTCACTTACAACTAAGGTCTTTCTGCTAATGAAGAAATTAAGGAGACAACAAACCACTGAACGCAAACACCCATCCGTTTCAAAAACTTTCAAGGAAGGAAGGAGGCCCCAATTTCCATACCTCTTTCTGAGTGGAAAAAAGCTCAGGGGAATTTAAATTTCATAGTGACCACTGAAACACAATTAGTGCATGGCTAAGGAAGGTAAGCTAAGCAAGGAAAATAAATTTTGAACCACCCCGTGAAAATTTATCGTGATTTGATGCAAATAACTAACAATAGCTAAATGTAGGGAGAAGTGTAAGGTGTTCACCGCTGACACACTGTCGGCAACATAACCATGTTTGGTTGGCTTTTAAACAACCTGTTGTCCCTTCTACATGCACCATGGATGCTCTCCCCATACATCTCTTGATTGGTTGACTATTAAAATTTTGTGGAGAAAGAATCAGACTTCTGTGTAGGAGGAAGAAGCTCTTGATAATCTGGGGGATTGCAGTCCTGACCACAAGGGATTTTCAAAAGTTCTTGTCCCACTCCAGTGATTGGTCTCTGTTTATGAAATTCCACTAAATCTTTTAGAGTCTCATGAGCGATCTGATTGTGGCCAAAAAACTGGTAAGTGTTTTCACTGGTGTCGACCAGATAATGCTTGCAGCGCTCCGGTGCACGGTAAGTTATAGTATAACCCCAAACTCTCTCGCTCACGCGAACCAAAAACGACCCCGGTGGTTTATTGACGAGCAAATTTTCAGCATCCTGTCGGGAGATTATTCCTGAAAAAGAAAAAAAAAAGAAGATACATCACAGGTTGGTCTACTTTGCGACTGGCAAATAACTTTTCCTTCACACACTAGTAGTCGACAACATCTCAGCTTATGTAAACTGACTGTTTGATGTCTTATTATTATTCCCGAAGATAGTAACTGAAATCCCACAAACAAATAGTGAAAAAAGTAAAATATGAAGTAGTTCTAAAGTGCTCTGCCCAGCGAGAATAGTTAGACTCCCACACAGTCTATGTGCAGACAGTAACTGAAGTCACACAAACAAAATATTGAAAAAAAGTAAAGTATAAAATAGTTGTAATTGTTCTGCCCAGCGATAATAGTTACAGACTCCCACACAGTCTATGTACACCTGCTTTAAGTATTTACACATCCCAAAGCTCCGATTCTCACCGTGAAAATAAGGTAGTATCTGATCGCCGTCGTAACAAATTCTCTTAGCTAGCTCTTCTTGCCGAAACCACTCGATAACGTTCTTTTTACTTTTTGGTTTGACGCTCCTTCTTGGCCTGAGAGGAGTAGTATTGCTTGGCAGAGGAGGTCTGGGGGGAGCCGCAGGTTTGACATCACTGGGTCTGTGGATTTAAACAACAATATTTAACACATAACAACAACAGCAATTCAGTCATAACGAGTCATTCCTTTCAACATTTTTGGCTTTGGTCATCCTTTACACAAGGTATTCTCTTGAGAATTCTCTTCGCTTTGTAATTATCCGGAAATGAGCACTTAGGCTACTTCTAAATCCAAGGAAATCTAATGTGTAAGAGGCGCGTGAAATAGAGGAACAGTCTCCCATAATGATATGTACGGAGATCTGACTAACACAGCCACAGTATATACTGAAGGACACTTACAACCTGGAGACACCATACGCATACCTTGAAGGTACGGGTGGCGGTGGTCTCTGTGGTTTTGCACTAACTGATTTCCTTCGTGTCGGCTCAATCATGCTTCTCCTCTTCGCCTCCTCTCGCTCTCTTAAGACTTCCCTCCGCGCTACACTAACAGAGCTTCTCCTTCGGTTTTCTTCATCGTCAGCTTTCTTTTGTTGTTCCTTCCATGCTGCCTCCTCTTTTTGCATTTGATCGTCCTCTTTCTTTTTTAGCGCCTCTCGTGCCTTTCTCAAGCTCGCATATATCTCTTGTGCTCGTTTAGATTCATTTTCCAACAGTTCCTTATCTCGGCGTTCTTTCTCTGCCTTTCTTTGTTGTAAGCGCTCTATCACCTCTCTTTGTTTTTTCTCTGCTTCCTTTTGTTGTTCTTCTACCCTTCGTTTCTCTTCTACCAGTTTTCGAGCTTTTTCAAGCGCTTCCTACAACACGATAAAACAAAAGTTCAAATTCCATCGAGCACTTAGCTTTGATTCAGCAAAGACTACACAGATTCCCCCATAACTCAAGATCAAAGTAAACAGCTTGCGTCAAAGAATCAAAGCTGAAACGATTGTCACGCAAAACTGTGCTGCTACATAATAAGGGTTTTGGTTTTCTTTAAGGCACGTTAAATACACAACTCAAAAATGCTCGGTGCGCTCATCAAATCGCACCTTTGGGGGAGGGGGGGGTTTGGAGAGAATTTGACCTTGTCGTTTCAAGACGAAGGGCTTTTGAGTCGGATTGTCTGGTGAAGTTGATGCGTAGGTAATCACTTGTGGCTTGAAAATGCGTAACGACTTTCATAAAAAAAAAATGGGAAATGAATGGAAGGAGTTCCAAAAAGTAATACTATACGTTTCTTCCCTAGGGAAAGGTATTTGACTGTGAATTCAAATATCAAACATAGTAACAATTTAAAACCAAAAGAAATCTTGTCACCTGCTCTTGCTTCTTTCTTCTTGCCTCCTCCAAAGCTCTTTCCCTTGCTTTTCTCTCTTCTTCAGCTCTTCTTTCAGCCTCTTCTGCTTTCTTTCGAGCGAGTTCTTCCTCTTGCTTTCTTTTCTCCAATTCAATTCTTCTCTTCTCTTCTTCGGCTTTTCGTTTTTCTTCAACTGCCTTCCATTTCTCTCTTGCCTCAGCTTGTCTCTTTTCCTCCTCCTCCTTTTTCCTTCTTTCCTCTGCTCTCCTGCGTTCTTCCTCTTCTCTTTTCTTTCTCTCCTCTTCTTGACGTTTCCTTTCCTCCTCCTTCCTCAGTTCTTCCGCTTTTTTAGCAGCTAGTCTTGCTTCCTGTGGCATCAACATGAAATAAATCACTTCGTTTGGTCTAAAACAGGCAAATGCTGAGAGCGATGCTTCTTATTTCCCTCAAAAAAAAAAAAAAAACTTATTGACGACAAATAAAATTGCATCCAAAAAAACCCCCTTTCCTAAACAACGTAAAATGCGACTGTAATTTAAAAGTGGTGGTTCTTCAAGGAAAAGAGTTCTTAAAGAAGCTTAAACATACAGTAATCAACGAATATGGAAGCGATCCGCGCAGTTATGAACATACTGAAGTGGTAGAGAAAATACGGCCTGAAAAAATTCAGGCCCGTACGGGATTTGAACCTATGACCTCGGTGAAACCGGTTTTGCAGAGGTCATGGGTCATGGGCAGAGGCCATGGGTTCAAATCCCGCACGGGCCTTAAATTTTTTTTTGGCCCTATTTTCACTACTACTTCAGTAGTGTTCAGAACTGCGAGGATCACTTCCATATTCGTTTCTTCAACCGCAGTTCACATATATGATTTTCATGTATGTACAGTCATTTATACAGTAACCAATTGTGCATATAAATAAGCATCAGCCTTAATATTCTCCCAAAGCCAACCCAAGATTATGAATTACCAAAAAGATCCTGCAACTCATTTGATAAAAAGGGACTGCAAAGTACGAAAAAAGAAGATGATAGCCAAGAACAAGTGAGCTGACGAAACATAACTACATGTTATGAAAACATACTATAAGTAGACTTCGCAAAGTTATTAAACCCTGAGTTTGCATCTTTCCTGACCTCTTCAAGTCTTTTCTTTTCAGCTTCTCTTGCAGCCGCTTCCCTGGCCAACCTCGCCTCTTCTTCCTTCAGTTTCCTTTCTTCCTCCTGCCTCTCAAGTTCCTTTCTTTTTATCTCTTCCATTTCTTTATGTGCAAGTTCTTTTGCCTTCTTTTCATCTTCAGCCAGAGCTTCTAATTCCTTCTCTAAAAAATTGTTGATAGTGACATTATTATAGCTGAAAGTACAGAGCAGTTTGAAATAAAATAATCCTTGCTTTTTATCACTTCCCAATAGCCTGCGCAAGTAGCATGAGTTAAGAGTGCTTTTCACTGAAGGAGATGAGAATGAATTAAGAAGTTTTTATTACTCATGAGAAATCTGCTATTGTCACCAAAGACAATTTTCAGGGAATCCGGTCATTTCGATACAAAGTCGCTTCGATATAAATCAAAGTCGATTCGTTACTCATGTAAAGTCGATTCGATACAAACTCACGTTACTTCAAGTCGTTTCGATACAGAATACTACACAATACATAAATGACCAAACGAACCAAACGAACCTTTAAAGACATACTCACTAGAGCAAATATAAACCTCCGTTGTAAATAAAACAAACCTTTACCTCCATACCTCTGGAAAGTCCCAGCTTCCTCCTAATCTGCCTTCCTCACTGCCCATCGGACATAGAGTTTTTTCTTTTTGGGCGAGGGGAAACCGAGTAATACAACTCGGTCGATTGGGTCGTGGGGAAACTGGAAATTACAACAACGTCGATCGATCGAATTGGGTCGATTCGAATTTGAATTTGAGCTAATTTGTTGAATAGAAAATAACAAATTACCATACATATAAAAGACAAAAACTAACATTAATACTGAACTTTTCTCGAGCTTACTTCTGTATCGAAACAACTTCAGTTTGTATCAAATCAACTTTACATGTGTAACGATCGACTTTGACTTGTATCGAAACGACTTGAATTGAAACGACTTTGTATCGAAATGACCTTGAACCATTTTTAGGCTAAGCATTCCAGCCAACAATGTATAAACCTTCCAAAAATCTCTTACCTGTTCACAACTTCTTCAGGTTCAAAAATTTCAGTTTACACAAATAGTAAAAACTCTACTCCTCAAGGCAACCTCTACAGTCAGCAATGGTTCTATTTCTTTTAAAAACAAGCTGTTGTTCCAAACAAGCCAAGTTTTGTATATATTAAGCAGGGAAGCATATTAATTCACTTACTCTTCAAAACTGCCTCAAAATCTTGTTTGTCATCATCATCTTCTCCTAGTACCCAAACCCATGGATTTCCATCAACAGCAATCAAAAATTCTACACATTTTGCATTTGCTGGGGGAGGGAAATCAAATTAATCAATTATGATAACAAATTATTACTTTATAGTGACTTGTAGGAAGCAGTATTGAGATTATGTTATTTTATTACTTTTCTCCAAAGCTGCACATCAAAATGCTTGCTTTAAAGCTTTACTCTGTCTCCTGAGAAAAGACACTTCTTATAAAAATTCTCTGTTGCATTTGCTATGACTTTTTTATGCATTGTAACAATGGTGTGTTTAGTTTGTTTGACAGGATGAGTGAACTTCATGTTCAAGTCAAGCACAACATAACCCTGCCATACTTCCACTGCACTCATTTGACTGCAATGTACAAATACACACATGGGGACACCCATATTTCCTCCCACCCCCCCACCCCCCTTCTCAGGAAAAACCACTGCAAGTCCAAGTAGAAACTTACCTTTCTGTGGACGTGGTTTTGGTGGATTCATTGCTTCTTTCTTTTCCAGTTCATCTTCTCGTAAACGCCATCGTCGCACTTGCTCCTCTCGCATTTTTACAAAAAGAATTTGCTTCTGTTCTTCTGGAAGCTCAGCCAGCAGCTCAGGATCTACGTACATATCACGCAGAATTTGGGCCAACATGGTGATCAATAGTGTCACTGATGAAAGAAGAGATTGAAATTTTAAAAGAGGCATTAACTAAAGGAAAATATTCCAACAATAATAGCACATTCTAGCATATAAAACTTAGTTCCCTTCAACTTGTAACTTTTAAAACTTAAACAGTGAAAAAGAAAAAAAGAAAAAAAGCTTTAAGCAAGTGTAGTTCTGGGAGTCTTAAGGGGGGTAAAGAAGGAAAAGGGAAGGATTCATTAAAAAAAAAAAGCAAGGCATGTAAGCCTTATGACTCTGCTTGGTTATCTGAATGAACTGCAATTGAAGTTATAAATAGATATGCATTTGCAAAAATTCCAGCTATAAAAATCAACCATCAGTAAATGAGCATAAAAGGATTTGAAAAGACAAATGACTTTACATAGTTATCGTACTAATGCTTAAAGAACAATTATTCTAAAAATTATGCTCAAATTTCTTCCTATAAATAAAATTCCTGAAGGAAAACAAAAGCCTTGCAATGCTGGCAAATGATGTAAAATGGAACTTCAAGAAAAAATTCTTCATATCACCTGATGATAAATATAGCTTTCCATCAGTCATCTGACAGTCTCTCAAGTATTTTTTCATTAATTATCCCATCAAAGCAACAGATGTAGCAGTCTGTTGACAAACCCTCCATCCAATCCCCAGGATCAAAGAAATAATTAATCAACCATCTTTGGAGCTCTTTGAAGAAAATTTATTCTTTGTTTCTCACAAAGCTACAACTTGCTATTAGATAAGAATCAAATAAAATATTGTTGCCATGCCAATTAACAGCCCATCATTGGAACTCACCATGTGTTAAAGTGGTTAAAATCGCCATGTGATTGTCACACTTTGTCTGGCAATGTTAAACTCTTAAACACCCGCAAACCAAATTCATTGACAGGAAGCCTTGACTAAGCTCCAAAACATTTTTCTCTGGATTAATTGGAATGTTTTTCTTTTAACAAGTTCAGCTTTTCAATATACAATTACGCAATGTGGATTAAGGCTCACACAGATTACAGATGAGTTTAAAGTCTCAAAAGTTTTCTTGTATAATTCCTTGATTTTAATTAAGTGCCCATCCTTAAATTATGCCAGATGGTTCATTTCAATTCCTTGCACTTTGGAAAACTGATAATAAGTATATGATTTTGTTTTTTGTTTTTTTCTCCCGACTGCAGTTGCTCAAGTTGTACTTACATGTACACCTTTTTTAGCATGAGACAGTTATGAAGTCACATGTAAACCCTTACTTTTTTAAATACATTTATTTATGTAAAAAACTTCTCACTTCTGAAATAAATCATAAAAATAAAAGATAAAAATTGTAGTCACACCATCAGTTGTTTTACCAACATGAGAGTAAATGAGACAAAAGAGGGAAGAAAAGATGTTTGCTGCTACATCCATTTCCCAAAATTATAACTATTGTGAGATAACTAAAACTGAATAGAAAGTAAGAACATAGACATTACTCACAATTCAATCAATTGTTTGTTCTTTAAGGAGCATTCCAATATACAGGAAGATGATCGAGATAAAACTCAGCACAAAGGAAAGAACAGCGAAGACAATGATGCAACAGATCACATTATTATGCATTCCTGGTCTCCATTACAACTTGACTATATCCAAATTTCTGGAAGAAAACAACAAAAAAAAGGGTTAAACATTCAATCACTTCCATCAATACATTTCACATTTATTTAAATTGATGCCAAGAGTTCTGTGACCTTCTAACTAAATCAATTTAAATTTTGAAAATAAATTATGCCATCAGCTTTAAAGAATTACTGTGCTCAAGGCAGGTGAAATAGCTTTTGTTATTCAGTTTATACTTGTGCATGCTGCAGTTCAAATTTCAACACTTGTTTAACATTCTTCTCCTTTTCTTTCTTTATGTGATGATGTATCAATGAAATACCGGAAATACAAATTTAACCAAAGGGTAGTTGCCATGAAGCAAAAGAAGGAAAATCTTAACAATATGAGAAACTTACCTGGCCAACATAGATGGAAATTCACTCAACATAAAAAATTTTAATGACAAATGTACATAACTGATTGAATTAATTAAAACATTACAAAAGGAACAATCAATCCAGTTATTTCTTACAAGAATAGATAACAGAAAAAGTCAGCAAAATATGTCACTTTCAGCTTCAAATTACACAGAGCACATCTGCAGATTACGGAGACAGAAGATTTGAGTGACTGTTATGTTAATGAGCAATTAAGCCTCACATATTTAAAATAAACTTCTATAATTATCATTATGTGATTAATTCCTTATGGGACATTTTGTTTTCACTAAAATTGTTTTCTCTCCCAAAAATTAAAAAAAGGTCTTATCCATTATTATGAACATAAATGATATGATGCAGATTCCCTCCTAAAACTACAGTTAAATGTATCTATAGACAAAACAAGTCCTGCTCCCAGTGACTTTCCCCTGTTACAGAATTGCAGACACTTCATGCAGTCCCAAAAATTTTTTTTAATAGTTTTCCCCTCATTATTTGGGTCATTTGGACATACTCAAAGAAAAATGTAATTAGGACATTCAAGAAGTTTAAAATTTGTACTGGACAGTATTTTTACCTTTATGTTGTCATTACATGACCAACTATCACAGTAAATGTTAACCAATGATTAAAGGAAAGAGGTTATCTTAAAATACATTTTATAGCAGAAAAAATTGTGAACTGCATTTTTAAACCAAAAACAACATCATTTTAACTGACTTGTACTAATTAGGGCTATACCAACTAAGGACACCAAATGGCAATCCTAAAGGTGTTCCCCAGACTCCTTCCAATGACGGGTTTCACTGTGTTAAACCCTACCCTTAGGGAAATTCTGGTTTTGACTTGTAACCTGCTGATTTTGGTTTTGGTTTTGACTTGAGCCCATTAGTAACCATTAACATGGTCACCATTTTAACAGGGTGGCCATATTACCAGGGCAGGATCAAATTTCTTGATCACTTTACAAGTTGCCTAGGCAGATGTGTTAATATCTATTTCCTTTATTATGTTTGCAATAAAAACAGGGAGGGGTGTAGCTTACTTGTAAACAAATCAGCTCTTTGGTTAGTAAAGGGCAGAGATCAATCACATCAACATGTAACAGGCATTTTGGTTTTCTAAATTAAGTGCTAGAGGCTGCATTAATGGGGTGAAATTAAAAAGGATTCTCCTGTTTGGGATTTTAAAATGTGGCTGTTGGCTGTATTAACATGTGACCATATCAACAGGGGATTTTTAAAAGAAAATGTATGGAAATTTTTCCAGACCATAAAAAGGTGGCCGTAATAATAATAATTACAGTTCTATAGTGTAGACCTCTTTATGGATATATTCAGTTGTGCTTTGCAATATTGTTGAAGTAAAATTATGTTAAAAGCAACAAAAAACAAACCATTTGAAGGCTAAATTAAAAAAATGAGTTTTAACAGCAGTCTTGAAAGTGTCCAATGTCTTTATGTTGCAAATTGTCAAAGGTAACGCATTCCAAAGATATAGTGTGCTGACTGGAATGCACGATCGTCAAGGGTTGGATGGGTCTTAGTACTGGGTAACTTGCAAAACAATTAAATAATTAGGAGCTAGACCACATAAACACTTAAATGTCAAAAGTAGAATCTTAAACTTTATACAGTAACTAATTGAGAACCAATGAAGTTGAAAAAGCAATGGTCTAACATGACAGAATCTTGGTGTTCCTGTGACAATGACAACCTTCGTAATAATGAAGGTGACCATATTATCAAGGTGGCTATAAGGGAGGGTTGCACTGTAATTATAAATATAAACCTCCTTTGGGTGAATAGGGATGCAATTGATTCTCACAACATGATTATGCTTTCACAATATTCATTTGCATTTGAATTGCATGCTGGAAAAACTGTTACATGAAAGTAAAAAACAATTGAAGTTAACTCAAAAGATTTCGCAGTACACTCTTCATTATCTAGTGCTCTTTTCACAAATGTTTTTCCTACAACCAAGTTTCTGCTTATTCAGTTAGGGAATTTGTTTTTGATACTTGTAATATAGCTTCTTCCAGTTTTCTGTAAACCTTTTTGGGAAGACTTGTCTACCTCTAGGTTTCTTTGATATCGAAAAACACTATGAACACTATTGGCCAACACATTAGTCTGCATGCCCTTCACAAAACATCCTAAAGTCCAAAGATATAATCTGTCAATCTCCACAAGGTTTTGATTGTTTAAAGGAATAGTGTAACTTGACTCTGTGGAAACCTGAGATGTAACAACTGTCAATCTCCACAATGTTTCGATTGGTTAAAGGAACAGTGTAACTTGACTCTGTGGAAACCTGAAATGTATCAACTGAAAACACTTGTTTCACTTTTTATGATTGGAGTTAAAACTCTAACTGTCCAATTCAAGGCTGAAATACAGTCAATTCTCTGCTAGTACACAACACTGGAAGAGGACACCCAGGGATTTCAAAACAAACTGGTGACTGCTGGAGTTCTGCTGGCTTCTTGATAACAAGTTGCTGGTTACTTTAGACAAAATAATTACAATACAATACAATACAAACTTTATTGACACTCCCTAAGAGGGCTTTTCAGTGACAATTAATAATTACAATAATAAAAATGTTTAATCTATAAAGCTAAAAATAATTACGAAAATTACAACTAAGAAACTTTAAGAAGGTACGATAAAATGGGTAAGATAAAAACTAAGAAACTTTAAAAAAGGACAATAAAAAATATATGATATGATTAAAAACTAGGACCGAGGAGAAAGAAAAGCAGCAAATAATTTGGCCCTAAGTTTACGCTTAAAATTAGAAGAAGAATTACAAAGTTTAAGATCATTATCTAAACTGTTCCACAGGCTGACAGTGCGATAATAAAAAGTTCTTTGTCCAGATTTAGTTTTGTATAATGGTATGTGCAACAGTTGGGAGCTTCTGGTCGTACAACCGCTAACATTACCGCGCATTAGAAACTTCAAAGAGAGGTAAGTAGGAGCTGATCCAGTCATACATTTAAAAGCAAGCACGGCGTCACGGAAGTATAGCTGAGATTTAATAGGTAGCCAATGCAGTTCTTTCAAAAGCGGAGTAACATGGTCAAATTTTCTGGATCCACAAATAATCCGGGCTGCAAAGTTCTGGATCGCTTGGAGCTTGAGGAAGTTAGTGTCAGCAGCATTGGACCAGACGGAGGAACAATAAAACAACTTGCTAAATACTAAAGTGTTAATTATAGTAATTAAAGTCGATCTGTCAAATACATGCTTAACACGATTAATCTGGGCCAAACTTGAGAAACAGGTGGAAACAGTTTTAATAATGTGCTCGTGGAAAGTTAGGTTCGAATCAAAAATCACACCTAGGTCTTTAACGACGTGCTCTGGTGTCAGCTCTTTTCCTAAGAGGGAGAGACAGATATTGGGGAGGTTTAGTAGCCTTTGTCGGCTTCCGTAAACAATGAGTTTGGTTTTATCAGGATTCAAAAGAAGACGATTATTGAAGCACCAGTTTTGAATATTGTTATTTTTCAAGTTTCATTTTCTATTAACTTTTTCTCTGTAGTACTTTCTTTAAGTTTTTCACATTATCATTTAACACAGGCCCTCTTTGGCACTCATTAATTCTAGTGGAAATTGCAAATCATAATCACTGGTTTATAGGCTGGATATTATTTCTAAGCTTATCTTGTAGATTTCATGAAGATGTACATTTGGTTTGGTCTCTAAAAATAAGTAACTGGTGATTTATCATATTGTAAAAACAAACAAATCAAACCACTGTCCCTCCCTCTTGCCACCAGAGCAACAACAAAACATCAAACTGATCCATTGCAACAAAAGATATTGTTGATCAGACAATTTAATAAACATTGATCTGGGGCATTCATTTTTTTTTTATCTTGGGTTGAACAAAATAATTTAAAAAGCCATCTATCGCATAGACTGAAATAAACATTTGCAACTTCCCTCAACAAGAAGATTTTTTTCCTTCATTTATCCAATGTGTAGGCTAAAATGTCATGAAATTAATTTGTTTACTCCAAAGTGCACCCAATCAGAAAACCCATGTTGAGGATATTTAAAACCCAATAAAGCTATAACTCAATTTTGAAGCTTTAAATGTCTATAAATTATTTACAGGTTGTAGAGACTGGTTCAATGCAAAACCGCTAATAATCAAATTTCGTGATGTCAATTCAACTTTACAAAACCCTATCGGGCAGAATAATCAAACATGATTTTCAATTTGTAGTATATTTCGAAAGTTTTTTAATGATTAAGTTGAAGAGTGTACTTGCTAGATACAGTACATATTCCACAACGACAAAATACATTGATGATAGGTCAACATATTTGCTTATTTGTACCTTGTAGCAATGCACTTTGAATAATAGCTGACACAGGCGTGACTCGATAAAAAGAAGCTGTTCACATATTCTTACACGAAAAGAAACTTTTATTGGTATTAAAGCTACAGTAAAACCCTTGCTAACGATTCGAAGTTGAACTCGTGAGGTGTATCAAATCTAAACAAGCCGAACGCCGTAAGATCATAACGATCATATCACATCCCTACAGAAAGTGGCACAAAAGTCATTTGTCAACAACCAACAATTTACTTGATAGAAAAGAAATGAACGCAGCAAAGCTTCTTATACTATCAGAAGCACTAGATTGATTTGGAAACATGAGCCAAAATTAGCAAGATTTCAACAAAGCTAGATACTCAACCAGGTAAGGAATTTTGAAGAAACTGAAATGTAACCGAGCTGGAATTGACCGCTAGTGGAATACAAAAGAATTGCCAGCGGTACAATAACATACTGAAGAAGTCAAAGAAGAAGAGTAAGTGCTAACATGTGTTACTATAATTATCTCCAAAAACGATCAATCGCTCGTCGTAATTGGAGCATATATCGTAATAGGAGCACGAAGGCGAACTAAAATGCTCGAAAGCAGCCATTTCCTTCCGAAGTTAACGGCATTTTCTACTTGTAAAGGCATGCACATGATCAAAACTCCTACCTGTGAAGTTTGGAAACCCAGCCAGATAAAATAACATGGAATTAATACGGCTAATTTCCCTTTACATCTATGATCTTAGCTCACAGACCTTTAAATTTGACTTCCTTGGACAAGAATCAGCCACCATCCCCCGGGGCACTCCAATAATCAGATCTCACAACAATACCTTACTAATTGTGTTCTCTACCAATCATAGCTCGGCTTTTCTCATTTGCGAAAGGAAGCAAAATAAGAGAAATCTGGGAAGAAATGTGCATCATAAGTTTCAAACCCCTAAAAGATGATATTCTCGTCTGAAGACTCATTGAGAGGCAGAAAAAAAAGATATTTACTTCTGCTCTCCATAGTGAGTACTCCGTATAGCAATCAAATGACTATATATAAATATGAAATAGGTTGAAAGCATGAAGCAGGGGCAAACGTAATGGGTTGAAACATGAAAGTGGGTATGCTGCAGACACACAGCAACGGACATAGGTTTCTACCGATAAAAAGAAACCTTATAGAAGGAAAAATTAAACTGACTAACATCAAGACAACATGAACGCAACTTTTAAGACCTATTTGGGCTTCATCCTATCTTGACTTTGTAAGCATCGAACATGATGGCTTTGGGTTCTCAAATGATAATACGTGGATACATATGAAGGATACGGATACTGCCTTTTGATGTAGTACATCCTTTTTCTCATTTTATTTATGAATTAAGTTGACTATGTATTTTTTGTTATCAAGGACCTAATGTTGCTATAATTATTGCCTTGTTATGCATGCACATTCTGTGGCTGAAACACTACTTTAAAATTTAAAACCTTTTTCTCTGTAAACGATTAACATGTTAAGAAAAAACTAAACCTTCGTGAGCCTCCTTTATAGCGTGAGATGGAAAATGATTCATCCTTTCATCAGCGAATGAAAAGTTGGAGCCTTAAAATTTTATCTGAGATCACGGAGGATCGAAGGCCTTTTTCTTCTATTATATTCTTTTCTTTTTCAGCATAAACCGATAGAAGGCGATTCTTGCGAAGATCTTAACTGTTATCTTCCTTTTTGTAATTGAACAGCTAAAATAAGAGAATTTAGCGATTAACTTTTGAATTAAATGTTCGCCGGGAAACCAAATATTTTTCCGCCATTTTCTAGTTACTCGTGCGACGGATTATCCCAGGAAAGTTGAATAAAACAGTGTTCTTGGGAAGGGACATCAAATATTATGGATCGTTATTCAATACAAATTAACTTCGAGCATTGGGAACCATCCATAAAAACTCTTACATAATTATTTCATTTTCGCCGGAGCCTAAAGAAAGGAGTCTGGCAACGAGTAGGTGATAAACAATGTTGTTACTATGGCTACACTGTAAAAAGAGCCATTTTAAGGGGTCATGTCGAGAAAACTTGTTATACTTCGTAATGGCGGAAAGGTTCTGATCTGCATAGAACACTGCTCATATTCTTCACTGTTTTGATATTGCTCATAACTTTTGCTCAAGCTTGGTAGTGCCTCAGAGTGGATAAGGAATTTACTAATAAGTGATCACTAGAAAGGTTGTTCAGAGAGTGGATCAGCCCAGAACTACTTCGATTAAGTATTTTTTTGGTACATGTGTAAACCTTCGCTTTGATTTGGAGTATAATAAGTTCCAAAGAAAGTAGCTTCTGTGGAAAGAAAACTTTGGTATTGCCAGTTGGATGTGGATTGTCTTAGAAAGAGAGTATTACTGAGCTGGCGTTGAAGTGATACTGCCAAAGGAGGTCTTAGTAGGAGAAATCGATTGCACATCCCTCGCATTGTTTTGCATTGTTTGATGCTTCACTGCAGCTGTAAGGCTACGTTATAGTTTTAACTTTCAAGTGGAACATGGATCAGTTTGAGAGAGGAACACTAAGCGCTTAAAGTACCAAGGATTAAATGTCGGCCTGTAAAAGCGTGATATAGACAAGTTGACCAGAGAAGGCTTCTTTCGATTTTGTTTAATTTATCGAACTCTGGGCGCCCAGCGGTAGTAAGCTTGTTTCAATTTTATTCGCATTGTCCTCCTAAGACAAGTTTAGAATGCTCATTTTCTTCTCTACCTTCGCCAAATTTTGCTAAAATATATAACTGAACATCCAGTCGATCGTGCATGGCAATAACTTGATTTTACTCGATGGAAAAGTACGAGAATCTTGGCTTGGTTGGGGAAGGATCGTACGGCATGGTGATGAAATGCAAACACAAAGAATCTAACCAACTTGTGGCTATCAAGAAATTTATCGAGTCTGAAGATGATAAAATGGTGAAGAAAATAGCATTGAGAGAAGTTAGAATGCTGAAGGTAAGTTGTGGCCATTTGTTTGAGGTGCTTTATCTGTTTGCATGTTTACAGTATATTGACACACTGTGTGACATCTGTTTGAATAGAACGTGTACATGTATATTTAGGGTTATAATTTTCGGTAAGATGTAATGATTCCTACAGTCAACTGTTCGCCGTATTCAGCGCCAAAAGTTTTTTTAATCACTTTTATTTCAAACTGTGATGCGGCTGAAACTTTGTGAAAAAGACCGTCTTTATTTTCGCTAACTAACAATTTAATTTGGTTGCAAATTTCGGAAATTCAGTTATGATGCAAGACAACCGTTGGTAAAATTTCCTCACAGCCCCGTACTGTTGTAAAACAAATCTATTTTCCCAATGGCAGTGTATTGTTTTTGTCATTGTTTTCTCTATCCAAGAACTGAATGCATAGTGTCGTCTGGAGCTGTGCGGAAATTTTACCCAATTGTTTAGTTTTTACCTAACTTGAATATTTGTAAATAAACTTCAAGCCAAAATTCCGGGGATAATGTTGGAAAAATAGTGGTGTTGTCGCTATCGTGATCCATTTAATAGGTTCTTGGCGTCTTCAACTAATTTTGTAAATTTGTAAATGATCACATTTCTTCTGTGGCTGTTAAAGTGGAATAATAAATAGTGCAACATCTCAACTAAAAACTTCCGATGAATTTCCGTTTCCTCTCTTCTTATTGAGAATGTGGCTAATTTAAGATATCAGATATCGCTCTCTTCAATCTTTATACTTGTAAATCCTTGCTTAGTTTTCTGTTCTTATAAACTAAATACACAGTACTTGATCTGTGTAGGGACAGTTTAATTTGTTGTGCATTACAAACACCTTAAAATATATTAATGGCAAGTTGTAAGAGAAGAAGGTGGTAATTTTATCTACTGGCTCTATCTAGTAATCAATGTGCACTCTGTAATTTGTCAGTTGATTTGATTTTCCCTTTTTCTTCAGTATTTGCAATAACATGTGAAATAACTTATCTTATTAAATATTATATAATGTACTCAACAAATTATCTCATTCCTGATTGGTCAGTGACAATTGTCTCTGCTTGGTTTACCTGCTGGTAAATAATGGTTAGTGGTAAATAATTTATTCAAAGGAACATGCACATATTTCTTGAATCTTAAAAAGGTTATTGAGAAATGTAGGCATTGAACATTCAAGGTAGCTGCAGAAAGTGGTTTTTGAAAATAGTCCAATAAACTAAAAATTACTTGAATAATTCTTGTGCATTTTGCTTTTTGTGGTTTTTCTTGCTGTTTTGAAAAATTTCCAAATTGCACTATTAAGGGGGATAGTAATATGATAACATTCTCAAGATGGCTAGTGTTGTAGCTGAACCAGGACAAGTCACAAGAGATGTTACTTTTACGAGTGTCTCACACTTGTCCATCAGTTTGAAAACAGTGAGGGTTTTGGGGGAAGGTTTAAGGACCTACACAATACTATAACATAGTGCTTATGGCCTTTCTAGAAAGAAGGTACAGCAGGCACATAACAAGTGCCTATATCTACCAATCTGCAATTGTTGATAATCCATCTTTTCCCCTCAAAATGTAATTTTATTAGGTGTTTGTTGTCACTAATTGTAAATAGAACTTTTAGAGCCATTTTATTAAACAATTTTTATTGAACAGAATTATCAGGTGAACAAAACAGCTGAACAATTTATGTACTGCTGTAGTGCCATGAACTGTTTGATATCATTCTTGCCAAGTCTAACCCTTTATATGCCAGTTTTCAAACTCAAAAGAAAATTTTAAACCACAGTAGGTACAGACCATTAGTGAGTTTTTGATCAATGTAAATAATGGTGAAAGGGCCTGTTAGCTCAACTCAAAGTGTAATTTTTAAGGTTTAAGTACATGTATATTTACCATAGTTATATTTTCCTATTTTTAGCCTTGAAATAAGGATCCTCCTTCTCCCTTATGCACCTTTAAAGCATGCATTATGTGTTTTGATTGTAAATTGAGCTTGTTAGGGATGTTGAAGAATTTCTGTCAAAGTTATGTACTTTTTAAATGTTGAAATTTCTTGTTTTTCCTTTTCAGCAATTACGACATGACAACCTTGTTAATTTGCTGGAAGTTTTTCGTCGCAAGAAGCGACTCTTCCTTGTGTTCGAGTTTGTGGATCATACAGTTCTAGATGAACTAGAAAGATATCCTAATGGCTTAGAAGAGAATAATGTGAGGAAAGTGTTATGGCAAGTTTTGAGGGCCATTGAGTTCTGCCACCTTCATAATGTAAGTTGGCATAGTAGAACAAAAATACATTAATGATAATGAGTATAAGGTCACACCTTGTAATCAAACTTCATATTTTCATTACAGCATCATGACCTACATGTTTTATACCGATTGAATTTTCCATGGGACATGCTCCTCAAATGTCAGTAGGGGCCCATTGATCACTAATTATGTCCCCTTTTCACACTTTGACTCCAAAAATGATGACAGAGACAGGATAATCTGGGATTTAGATATTTTGTATCAGGATATAACAATGAGACAAAGTGTTTCTTGTTAAATGATGCCAGATTCAAAATTGGCAAGAATAAGCTTGCCAATCTTTTTATCAAATAAACTGAAGTTAGGCTTTGGAACCAGGTACAATTTTGGCCCAGATTGTTGCCCAATAGTGAAACACATATAACTAATTCTAAATAAACTAATTACTAAGTTGAATATGATTATGATTTGCTATATTTGTAGTTCACTTCTGTAATCACCCTTAACTTGATTAATGTTAATAATTCCATCACAATTTTCATAGGTCACCTGTCCTGTCATTTAACATGGTTATAAATAAGTACATTGTAATGGCATCTTTGGTATGCACATTTACTTACAATGGTGGTATATTTGCTACTTTCTGCCTATAACTTAGTGGACATATTGCATAATGTCATTTTGTTAAGAGGAAATTTGTGGTTTCTTTTTTTAGATCATCCATAGGGATGTAAAACCAGAGAATATTTTGGTGTCCAAGTCTGGTGTTGTGAAGCTGTGTGATTTTGGGTTTGCTAGAACTTTAGGTTTGTATAGCTAATGTTATTAATATATCTCAACTGATTAGAAATATTTTTGATTGTTCCTTTAAAATATTTTCAATCTATTGAAAATCGAATGCATTGTGTAGGATAAATGTCATATGTGTATGTACATTGCTTTACCATAAATGGAGGTAGAAAACTGTTTTCCAGTTAAAAGGGGGTCTTTCATAACTACAATCTCTGGCAAACTAGACACTAGTATCTAAGATGATCAGACCACAAGAAATATAGAAAATAAGTGTCATGATGTGCATAAAACATCTGTATGTTGTTTGTTACAGCTACTGGTCCTGGTGAAGCTTATACAGATTATGTTGCCACCAGATGGTACAGAGCTCCAGAGTTACTTGTTGGAGATACAAAATATGGCAGGTAACAAGTAGAAATTTATGCTTCAGTAAGCTCCACTTCTTCCTGCACCCCCCCCCCCCCAAAAAAAAAAAAAAAAAATTAAAAAACACACTGCAGAAAAATAACAACAAATGGTTGAATGCCATAATGTTGCTATTCATGTGGGATTTAGGTTGTTATAAGTAGTTTTGGTAGGTTTGAGAACAAAATGGTTTTTTCAGTTTCATATATGAACCCAACAAAATAAACCCATACTGAATATGAGTGGTGTTTTGGAGAGTCTGCAATGTATTTGGTGCCCAAGAAGTGATCCATTTGTGTCATTACAGCTCCTTTAATGTTCTTAGTTTTAGTCAATACAATTTACAATTTGATAATCATTATCAGGGCCACTAAGTGGGTAAACAAATTTATTTACCAAAAGCATTCTTTCCACCCAACAATCTGAGGTCTCAACACTCTTGTTAAAACTTAGTTTGCTAGAAATAGTGACCTGTCATTTTTGCACTAAATGTGCTTAAACATGGAAAAATTTGTTTTTTTCTCTCCCGAAAATAACACCAATGTGAACCAAACACATCCCCCCTTAAAAAAAAAAAATTGAATAAATCTGTTTCTTCATAGGACTCTAATAAATATGTTTTCTTATACAGAGCTGTAGATGTGTGGGCAGTGGGATGCCTATTGGCAGAGATGTTAACAGGAGAACCTCTGTTTCCTGGGGACTCAGATATTGACCAACTATATCTTATCATTACAAAGATTGGTGAGTTGAGTTTGTCACTAAACACATGCTTACTCATGTTGGGTCTGATAACAATTAGTTTGAAGTATTCAATGTGTATTTCCACAGTTAAGTTGGATGCAACTGGTAGTGTAGACCTTCAGGGGTGGGTTACTCTTAAAAACGTAAGATTTCTTGTATGAGACAAATTAGCTTGACAGCACGCTACTGTTGGCTTCACTTTTAGTCAACAAATAAAGGAGGCACTTTGCTGGATTTGCCACTGTGATTTCCTGAAATCCTTTTTGGTGCCCCTCTGCCAATCCAGCAATTACAACTTTCTTTATGCTCCCGTATGGAGAGAGAAAGGAGCTGCATGTCATTGTATGTCATGTGTCATACACTGACACTTCACCATGTAGAGCTCCCTAATGTACTTTTCTTTTGAGGACACTGGTCAAATAAGTACCGCTATGTTAATTTCATAAAAATACACTATAGCCAATATGAACCTTGAGAGTTTGTTGAGACCTTGGTGGTTATTTTAAATTACTAACCATTTATATAATGCATTCATATATTTCTACAGTGTATCAGAAGGTAAATTAATGTATTGTTCAAGCCAGGTTTGCTAATAATGCATGAGGCAAGCCCGTTTACCTTCTTCATTTGGAGTGTCCCAGATAAAAGTTAGAATTTTGTTAAGCAAGGTCAAATGTATTTTTACAGGTAATCTGACAAACAGACATCGAGAAATTTTTCACAGAAATCCCTTATTTGTTGGCATGAAGTTGCCAGAAGTAAAGGAGGTGGAGCCAATCGAGAAACGATTTCATCGAGTGTCATCTGCTGCAATGGACATTCTTAAGGTGAGTTACGTTGGCATAAAGTTTTAAACACTTCAGGTCATCATGATCGTGAAAATCGTGTTCCGTTAAACTTGTCAATGTATGAACACTGGGGTAGCTTAAGCAGATATATTTTTGTGATGTTGACGGCGGCCAGAAGTTGAAAGTTCTTTACCTTGGCACTTACTACGTATCTTGTGTCTGTTACATTAAGAGTAAGAAGTAAAAACCAGGGCTTTTAAATTGAAGGTTTATCTCAAAGCGCGCCGGGCGGGTGTGAAAAAACTTTTTCGCTGAAATTCCCTTCTACTTCAATATTTGCTAACGTACAGTCGTACCTCTATCGAAGGGTACCTCTCTGCATACAATACATACAACGGCAAACAACAAGCAAAAGAGCAGGCACGTGAAAGAAGATGGGGTCAGGGAAAGTAAAACCGTTTCCCTTGTTACCATAACCACCGTTTGTCACTCACCTGCTCTTTTGCTTGGTTTCTCCGACTGAGAGCCTTGACGTGTTAGCCCTAGCAGTAGAATTTAAAATGGTAGGAATGTAATTTGAACTGACAGACTCAATGTACCTTACTTGTTTTGTTTCGTTAAGTTTTTTTGGTTTCCTATTGACGTATGTTGATTGGTTTACTTACTGTTCACTAACCATTTTCATGGTCTTCCTCTTTCCCCCCCCCCCCCTTCCTCCTTCCCCTTATGTGGCCACTGCAGAGTAGTTGTCCCGTATTCCCTAATGTTTAAAGGGCCTTTTAATTACTGGAAATATAATGGAAACTCTGGCTGTTACTGACGAATGTCAATTTCGTTTTTGTTCCAGCTGTGTCTCAAAATGGACCCAGCAGATAGACCAGACTGTTCAAAGCTTCTAAAACATGATCTTTTCAAGAAAGATAATTTTGGCGAGAAGTTTGCTCAGGAACTTAAAGTAAAAATAACTAAAGAAACTGCAGAAAATCCCCTACTGAGATCGCTGAATGGAAGGCATGATTCTAGAGATGAATCTGCGGAGGAAAAGGCAAAGAGGAAAAGGAGAAAGGAAAAGGTGATTGTATATCATTCTCATTAAATTGATTTTTAGTTGAAACGACCGTCATTAACCTTCCGTGTTTTAGGTGTTAGTCAGGTCTTGAGTAGTTTTTCCAAGCCATTTACTGTAGCGACTATGTTTCAAGTTATGGTGGCGCGTTGTTAGTCGAGTATTCCACAAAGGGTAAGGCTTGGTTATCGACATCGGTAAAATTACTTGAAATACGGAGGTTAGCCATAGGTAAAAATTATCAGTTCGAGTTATTGGGATTCGCTTATGAACAATTAAAGTCAAAGGTAGATGTATGACCTTTTCAATATAATATCATAAGTGTGTAACGTGAATGGATCTCATAATACGGACTCAAGTTTATATGCTAGTGACTGTTGAATCAATAATGCAATGTTATTTTCCCAATCTTTGTGGCAAGTAGAAAAATTAAGCGTCGAAAATTGAGTTCGAATGGTAAATTTAAGGTTCATATAAACTAAGGGAGCCTAACTTTGCTTTTACTGCCCAGGAACGTGAAGCAAAAGATCAACGGGACAAAGAAGCGAGAGAATCCAGGGAGGCAAAGAGATTAGAAACGAGAGAAGTTCTTAAAGAACCTAAGAAACATAAGGAGTCTAAGGATCACAAGGAAACAACAGGCCTGGAGAAACAGAGCAAGAAGACTTTATTACTTCCATCGACATCACAAAGTTCTTCTGTGTTACAGCAAGAGGTAGCAGCATTACCGGTGACAAACCATCAGGTAAATTCACCGCCGCACACTCTGCATGTTACCACGGGAGCCTCCACATCAAATGTACCGACATCTTATAGTGGGACAGCAGGAGTTGCGGCTCCACCTACACCACTCGACACTTTTGTTACCGGTCTTCCTCACGGTAAACAATTGTCTCCTATACAAAGTGCTAGTACACTTAGAAATTCACCGCCCTTTCAACAGGAATCGCCCGTGACAACATTATTAAAAGGCTCGATTGGATCAGTCACGTCTTCGCAGGGAACATCGACGAAAGGTGGAAGTTCACATACAATAAGTTTATCGAAGACAAATATTGGATTGGGTGTGGTTGGACCTCGGCATGAGTCCCCACCTGGGCCGCCTCCCTTCAGGTAAATTATTTTTCTGTTTTTGCTCATCATTTCTTATTTGATCTCATGTTTGCAAAAATTGTTTTAGTCGTTACTCACCAGGTGACAAGTTGCAGCGACTGGTCTCTGCGATAAGCCGCTTAGTGTGCTTCCAAATAAGTCGCAGTAACAACTCTCTTCAAAAAGTCAGTAAGTCGCACAAATTCAAACCTACGTAAATTCCTGCATCTGGTCGCAACGAAAAGATTCAGCAAATGAACCGCTCAACCAAATTATCCAGATCATTTATACGATTTTCTTCTGCGCAAACAGAGGAGTAATAACGGACTTACCGGTAGCTATAACTTGCATCATTATCATGGTTTGAGTCATCTACTGTTTATTTTTTCAGGGTTGCTAACGACAGCAAAGTGAAGAAGACTCCCCCGTCATACTCCAAAAAGAGCACAGGTCCCCCTCCAAACCACCACAGCACCACGTTATATCCCTCACCTGACTCTTATTATGAGCAAAAAACTTCAAGTAACTTCGATCTCGGCAGCCGACATGGTGAGAGGTCATCAATAGAGTCGAACTATAAAAAGAAACGTGATAAAGACAAGGAAAAAGAAAGGGAGCGGCCAAGAGGAGAGAATGAATTTCCACATCTACCTGATGTGCCAGGAGCAGAAGGTATGGAGCATAAGAACTAAGAAATATCCGTAAATAGTCTAGTCGACCTCAAGATCCTACGGATGATGCATTCGTTTCTCAGGGCTTAGTGATGTGCTGTCAGTGGGGTTTAGTTTCTCGATGTTGGAACTTGTGCGACAACTTGATCGCAAATGGTGTTCTTTAAGCAGATATTGACTGCATTCTTGTTTCTTAACTTCGATTCCTCTTCTGGTAGCATAGTGTTTTCCGATGCTCACATAACAAAACCTCGATTGAACTGAAATATCACACGAAAAAAACTTAAATTTAACTTTACATTTCATGGATGAATGCAAATAACAGCGCGCTACTTTAAGAGGTAGTAAAACATTTTTTACTGCTTTGTCGGTTTTCTTCTTCTAGCTGCTGTTTTATGTTCTTTAGTATTTGTTAAGAGTTGCCTGTTGAAGGTTTATTTTTCTCTTACACGGAGGTTTTCATTCCAATCAATTAGCTAAGAACAGCTATAAGACTGGGAAGAGCTCGAAGAATGCGAAAACTTCAATATCGATGATGCCACACATTACAAACCTGACTCCATTCCAAAACGGCACATCACAAAGACAGGTAAGATTTAATCACATTACCAAATACAGGCTTAGGACATGGGCATCAAAAAATGTTTATTAGCGAAACACTTGTCTTTTTGTTTGTTTGTTTTTTGTTGTTGATGTTTTTTCTTTTCATGTTTTGATGTAATAACTGTGCTCAGGAAAACTCGGATGCGTTGTGTTTTCTGACCGTCTTATTTGCAAAACTCGTGTTAGGCGGCATACCATCTTACTGCTGACTACGCGCTCCTAGACAACCAAGATCAAGTGATCATACTCTTTTCAGAACACATTTTCTGTCTCTGCTAATCAGATGACTCTTAATGACTAATACCGTATCCCAATAAACTGTTGTTTGCTGTGGACCAAACTAACAGTGATATAATTCATTCGGTGGGATTTATTCATGGCCCGCCGAGTAAGCTATGCTACATCTGCTACATTCAAAATCTTCATCACTCGTATCTAAACAACAACAGTGGACACACCGACTCATTTTGTACCTATTTTGTATTCATTTCGGCAGGGTACACCACCCGGATATCACCAGGGGAACAGTCATGACTCCAATCTTCCGTCCGTATGATACATGGGAATACCCCCTTTGGTGTTCTCATACGAATTGTTATGTAGGCGATGTTATGCCGCGTTAGTTTAAATGTAAGTTAAGTTTTATTTAATCGTTATTATAGTTTTATTGTTAGAAAATAATAGCGTCTTTCAAGTAATGAAAGTCGAGTTAGATTGTTAGGAAACTTGTAAGGAAAACCAAGCATGTTTTATATATCGTTCAAAGTATTCGTCTGACATTTATCAACGCATATTTTTATTCATACACGGAAAAGAACTTAAATAACTATAAATTAATTGAACAACGTTCATTGTTAGTGTATCATTTCCTCACAGTACTCACCATACGTAACTTATTCAGAGGAATAGTACGCGCTTGTACCGTCTCGCATGTACAAGAAACGGTTACAAACCAACAATGAAATAAAATATCGAAAAACATTGTGCAAAGGTCTCTGCTCCTTCTTGAATCCTCTAAGCTTACGACATGAACAACAAAGGTCGTCTTCTTATGAGCGATCAATACATTTATACTAAAGGAAACTTGCTCATTCAAGGGTAAGACCACAATTTACGAATACGTTTTTGAGTTATTTTTGTTCTGTTAAAAAAAAAAAAAAAAGAAAAAACTCTATGTTAGACTATAGAGTGACATGTTGCTCGCACTAATCAGATCGCCGCATTAGGGTATCCATCTCATACCAATCATATCACAGAATTTGGATATCTTGCACCATTCTCAGCGAGTGGGTATTTCTTGTAAATGATGTCATGGAATCAGGGGCTGTGCACAAAGAATGACATAAACCAGAAATTTTGGGCTCATTTGATAAGTGTAATGGTTTGTGGCCTTCGTGAGAGCCACGTCGATTAAGGTCAAGATTTATCGGTATATTAAAGGTTCGCAACTTTCTGTATACTTTTTAAGTAAAAACGTGTTTTTTCAGCACCTTTTCTCGAAACGCACACGCCAAATAACTTAAATTTAATCACGTACCGTGAAAACTACGTCCAAAGTCCAATAAGAACATACCCAATCATTGCACTATACGAACACTAGGTAATTTTACACGTTCTTGAATTGTATTTCACCAATCAACTTCCATTACCACGTATTCTAACCGCATTGTCCAACCCCACTGCAAAAAATTCACTTGGAACTAAATGTCACTGATGGTGAATTTTCCACGCAATTCTCCCTCGATTTGACTTTTTCAACGGATGAATTCGCATTTAGCTACCTTGGGCTGGACCCAATCGCGTGTTCATTCCTTTTGAACAGCCTAAATTTTATCACGTAGATAGGTAACAACCAATTAAGGAGCCCTCTTTGAAATAATATCCTTTTTTCTTGTTCAATATACCTTCACCTATTCGAGATTACCGTATATCTTAAGTTAGGGTCTATCAAAGATAGAGCAGAGTTTCTGTTTGCTTTTCTGAGTAAAATTACGTGTAGTTACATTTTCGAGGCAACTTACTGATGACGAATAATTTTGATTTTCTCTCTGTTAGAGGAACGGCAGCAAGCGTAGTCCCTTTTGCAACCGTTCTTTGGTCTCGTCACGCATCGCGCTCTCTCTCCAATGGGGAGTAGACGGCGTTGTGTGACGAGACCAAACAACTGCTGCAAAGGAGAATGAGCGTAACACCGATGCATTTTATTTTTACTTAGAAGTCTTCAGACAATAGAGACAATAGACCACAAAATACCCGTGTGAGTTCAGATAAATTAGGTTTTTTTCCCCTTTCTCTTAAGTTGAAATGATGCGATATTTTTGTTCTTTTGAAAGTTATGTTCTTTTTCTGTTACAAAAATGAAAACATTAGGTACACAGTGTCCCATCTCAACCCCTGCCAAAAAATAACTCTTGCATGCTACGCGTGCCCACGTTCTTGACTGGATAACTGGCTGTACACCAGAGGGTAAGAGAGAAAAAAAAAACCTTCCCTCAGTAAGAACTAGGTCAAAAAATTCCGAAATTCCATCACCGTCATCACTTGTTTTAAACATTTGCTCGTGCCTATCTGAGCGATTTGGTGCGCTTTTCAGGGCCCTAATTTAATTTGGGCACACAAGTTAAAACCTTTATTACACTTATTTTGAAATCACTGGTGGTTCCTGTAATCTGATTGGCTCTAATTGATGCGATTTATTCACAAATCGCACCATTTTTTGCTTTAAATCGTATCTTTTTCCCAGCCATCGAGGAGGCTACACTAAAAACAAAACAACCAATCAGATTTCAAGGCTTATTTAAAGTAACCGATCAAATTGCAGGAAAATGTAAGACAAGGAGTATCATGTGACAAATTTGGCCACTTTTGTTTCTTAACTCTTAACTCCCCCCCCCAAAATGGACATGAATTTAATTTCAGACCGGCTCAGTACTGCATCAATAAAATATTTGAACTGACCAAGTCCTACATTTGGGCGATTTCAAAATGGATGTAATAAAGTGGTAATTGAACCTAGTGTCGTGCAATTTTGGTCTGAAATCACACGTATGATTTCAGCCTAAATTGCACTCCACTCAGTGCAATTACCATTATAAATCAAGACTTCCACACTTTCCAGTACATGGACGCTCTTTTAATTCCAAGGGTTACGAACGACTAAATTTCCAGCAAGGGTTTAGGGCCATAATCATCATGTAAGTTGAACTAATATTGCTATGATTACCTGTGGAGATTTAACTGTGTAAGATTGAGGCGCGTGTAACAAACAAGTGTTCGTTAATAGAAGCAATTACAAATTGAGAATTCCGGAGTATGCTGAAGATTGCAAATAAACTTCCCTAAAAGTCTTAACCATTTCTATATGACCCCATTTAGGAATTAACCCTATCGATGGTTAACCTTTCGTATAAAATAAGCTTGAGAATTTTTGTACAAAAATAGATATACACAGTGATTAAAGGCTGCATTTCTTTTTCAAAAACGAAAAGGCAGAGGAAAAGTAAATTTAAAACCGTCTCAAAATACATTTTTCCCGCGTATCCTTTCCTTATTTCATTTTTCCCATCACATTTTTAAACCACGGCGATCAATAGGAGTTTCTTCCCCAAAAAGATATCCTTCTATCTTTCTATTTAGCTAGCACAATGAGATTCTGAGCGATTTTGATAATCGATGCATTTATCGAATTCGGTCTAGTTTCTCGAAATTTTCGGGATTGATCAGCTGAATTAAATCAGGCAATATGATGATTTTCAGATCAATATCTCTTTGTCATTAAAATGAAATATTTCTAACTAATCTAACTTCACTCAGGACTTAAATTAAGTTCTACGAAGCATTCACGCTAAACATCAATGCAGTTCCTTAATCGCGCAACACCCTCGGGGGGGGGGGCACGGAGAGTGCTGAGTGAGAGTACACTACGACTGCGAAGGAGACAACCATCTAAACTTCACGCGACTTCATCTTGGGTTTTGTATGTGGCTTTCCCGTTTGCTACACCGTCCATTGCGTACGGCAAGCCATGGCCTGAGTGATAAAACTTTTTGAAACAACAGATATTTCAGAGACATACATTGACTAATGTCAACACAATGAAGTCTAACTATTAGTTGGCTCCCAACTGCCATATTTGGCACAAAATTCCTCCATAGCGGCTTGCAGTTTTTCCAGACGGTCCTCAGCAGACTCTCTGTTGAACAAGGGAAACAAATCATTAAGATTTTCGGGAGCAATTAAAATCCACCATGAAAATTGAACATGAATTTGATGCTGCAAAACACAAGCACCTTCAAAACATGATTAAATTTCGAGAAACCCTTAAAGCAACAGTATGTCGTCCCGTGGACGTGTATCAGATTTAGTTTCAGTTTCTATAGACGTATATGTATGTCCCTAAACAACGAGCAATTTCAATGGTACATTTTTTCTGGCTGAAGGAACTAGCAGGAGAGCTTAAAAGTCACTAATTTTGGAAATTTCTTTCTTTATAGCCCTAAAAAGTACAATGACTATCTGGTTTACCATGTCTGTTTTCCCTGTCCTCCCCCCTTAAAAAAGTCAGCTTAAACTTGGTAATCAACTGCTTTGTCTAAAAGGGTAACATTTGTTAGAAGATTAAAGAAAGGACACGAACTTATTCAGGGAGGGGGGGAGGAGGGGGTTATCGTGTTCACGATTCCTCTACTAATGATGGAAGATATTCAGCAGTACAAAGTACCAAGCCAACAACTTACCGCGCTCTTTGTTCGTCTGCTAACCGCAACACCAGCATTTCGCGAACTTTCCTTTCTTGTTCAAGTCTTGATTGAAGATCCTTAATCTGCTGCTGCTGAAGTTCTAGTTCATTTTCCAATTCAAGCACCTGGCTTCGAGGATCTTCAGCTAAAACAGATTCAATGCTCTATTAGTCTTTTTAGAGGTATCATTTCCGCTGTTAGGAATACACCTTAGTTAATAATTGTATTTATCTTACACTGAGGTTTTCATTCTAATCAACAGCTGAGAATAGCTTAAAACTGGTTAGAGCTCGAAGAATGCGAAGAACTTCAATATCATCGATGCTACACATTACGAACCTGTGCCAACCTGGTATCTTAACAACCTCCACACAAAACGACTACGGTGTCTGGCGGTCAATAAGTTTAGAATCACTGACTTAACATCCCTCCATGTCCCACCCCTGTCCTCCCTTTCCCCTACTCCTTCATTACTCCTCCCTTACCCCTCCCCTCCTTACTAGGTACATACGTGTATCGTCTTCATTATCAGGATAGCTGATGTCTACGCTTTTCTGAGTCCGGAGGGAGTCAGGATTAAAATCAATCAAATCGCCGCTGCGAATGAAAACAAACCATTTCACTATTTTACAGCTGGTGTTGATCCTTGTGATTTTCCACGTAACTTGTAAATTGCGAGTAAACATAACTTTTATTAACATTTTGCATTCTGATTATCGGCCATTGGCTGTTAGAGTTCTTGTCATGAACAGTGTCATGGCATAGCTGATAGATCAACGATAAACTTTGCATTATCATCATTCTGCACCACTCAGGAGCTTTGAGACCTTTCTCAAAAACTATTTAATGGAATTTCCCCATAACATGAGCATAAGAACAGCGATTGTCATATCACGCCCACTAATTCAAACTTGAATACTCTGGTCAACAACTGTGAGAAATGTTCGACTACAAAGAGGCAAAGCTGGTTTTTAGGCTCCCTGAATACAGCTGATCAGAGTCTTATAAAACTGTTTCTAGCCACCTGGAGTCAGCCGCATAAACGTCCACTAAAGTTAAGTTTACAGAAAGGACTGCTGGCTTTTCGAAAGTTCCACACAGTGTGGGTGATACCGGTGGATCTCCGCCCTTCTAAATCGATGCTTTTCCTCTGACTTCCAAAATCGCTTCTCATTTATAATGTAGTAATGCCCAATGATAAGGTAGTTTACGTTACCTTGTGGTAGGCTGTCGAGGGGGTTGTACATCTTCAGTTTCGGGGAAAAACAACTGATGTTTTCTGATCAAGATACTGATCAGATCTGTTACTAAGTTTGTACTCTCCATCATAACCCGAGGATCCTCTGACTGATAGAAAAACAAGACTTGTGATCAAATAGTTCACACCTCAAATGCCTATTTTCGCAAAAATAACGTTTACTTTTTGAACCAACAACAGAATTCACATTCTCTTCATTTCCCATGGTACTGATAGAGAGAATTTGTTTAGCAATCAGGAGCTTCTTAAATTGGTGATTATTTAATTTTCCCTAATAACTTTTACATACGATTCAAGGGTTACCTCAACTGCTGAGGACAGGGAATGCATGGCATAGTTGGCTGGATTTAAATGTCATGAGAGACTAGTCTAGATGTCTCTACCTGAGAACTGTCTTCACACAGTGGATGGTGAGCACTGTAAGTCTAAGCCATTCAATCATTTTGCTAAAGTTACCTCAAGGGTCTGGTTGTTAATAATGAGTGGTACTTGAGTTATCTTGGATTGGTGCATGAACTGGAACTTTTTTCATGCCATTTTAGTCAAGTTTTAAAAAGCTTACATGCATAATTTATATAGATTTTTTGCTTTCAAACATGGTGTACATTCAGACTATAAAGTGAGTGCTTCTTTGAATCTTCCGGAAGATTATGTAACCTACCCCTGACCGCAGAATATTTGGTCCAAAAACCATTGCAAGGTTCCTCGGACCCATTTTGTTTTGTTCAGAGTGTTCTTGAACTTCAAATAAAAAGCGACTGAAAAAATAGAAAAGTAATGACTCAATGAATACTCATCTAACTTGCTAGCTGACAGAGAATCAAGCATAAAGCAGCATAAAAAGCTATGGTATATAAAGATCATTGTTTAAGTTTGCTGTCACAGCCTAAAAAAGGCAAAAAATGTGTTGTTGTTTCCAACAAATACAAAACATTTAATTACAACATGGACCTGCTCACTGAAAGTGTAGAAATATGATATTTGAAGAAAACATTACCATCCCAATTTCATCATCTGCCTAAACTTATATTTATGATCATACATGTAGTATGCAATCCTCTCCGAGGTAATGCATTGCTTGTTTTTTATTATAAAATCATGAAAAAAAGTCATAAATATACATGATCTTTTTTAATCCAAGATTTATAACTCCTTGGTCTATGAAAGGTCTCTTCTTCCAAGAATGTTTTCAGGAAGCAGGTCAGCCCCGCTATAAAGAAATTTCCTCTGTTTTGTTTCAATTTGATTACACTTGTAAAATCTTGGTGGGGAGGTTTGGAATATTTTTAAGTTCAATTAATCTATTTGGGTGAGAAAACGTTGAATTTTAAAAAAAATAGTTCAAAATGACTCCTTCCACATGAAGCAAGATACCCACTATGCACCCAATCCTTACAGCCTGTACATTAGGCTGGGCAAAAGATTGTTGGACTTGCTAATTGACAAAAGCTTAAGTGGAAAAATCTCTGCTCCACCGACACAACTCCACCAAACCTACCACAAATAGGCTAAAAGATGATAGTTTGGAAGTGGAAGAGTTTGTAGTTGTTTCTTTATTGCAGTGATCCCATCATCAACGTACATTTCATGGCCTGGTTGAAACAACAAGTCAGAGCATGAGAAAAATTGTTATGTATTGTATCAAATACAGCATTACCCAATGTAAGATATTTTAATTGTTTCTTAGTGGATTCTTCACATGTAGCTTTTGATTAATAAAATTCTATTGGACCTGTCTAGTAAACAAAATGCCAGCAAAGTTAGCTTTTAATGATCACAATTAACATTGACTCAGTCTACAAAATAGTATTCAGAAGTTAATATTGGAATTCTCTTCATACTGCAATTGATGCTTATAGCAATAATTGTTTTACTGTGATGTTTCTGTTAAATTTGTTTTCTCACAATCTAAATCTAATGCAGGCCATAGGGAGCACTGATAACCTAGAAATAAGTTTCAAATTATTGGAGTAATGAACCAAAATAAATGAAGTTAAAAATTTGAAGTGATGAATTTTAATAGAGACAAATAATGTTATGGAACAATGGGAAGAACCTTGCTTGAGACAAGGCTGAGCACCAAACACATTATATGTCATAAACAAACTTGTATGTAATAATTGCTTAACTCACATCTTGCAGCAGTTAAAAACACCTCAAAGTAATCATAAGGTATGAGTGGTTCAGGGAGTTCTCTGAAGTATGCCTTGAGCACTGATGCCACAGAATGAACTTCAGCTTTGTTGCTCATCAGCTCTGGAATCTCTCCTGTTCACAGGACAATTGTGCTTTCAAACAATGAAAAATAATTGTACACAAGGATATGTGTGTACACACACATACACACACACACACACACACACAATATTAAGGGTCAATGTACATACTAATGGGGGAACTTAACCTGCATATTTAAAATATAGATGCAGATTTTTATTTTTGGTGTAAATTTTGAAAATTTACATTAAATTTATATTATATGGTCTATACACAGGTTTCCATCATATCATGTACCTCTATTAAAGGCATCCTTCAGTTCTGCTACATTTTTTGCCTGGCCTGGCAATCTAAATAAACCCTCCTCAAACAAACCTTTGAAAATCAAAAGAAAAATTTGGTATGTTACATTTCACATAATATTTTATATTTACAAGTTCATGTAACCAATTGTCAGTGGTGAACACAAACAATAAATTTCAAGTAACTAGGGGCTGGGGCAACTTCAAAGAAACATTTTTTTCTATTCTCTACTTTTAATTACCTCCCCTCCATTTCTGTCAGATTTTATCACTCTTTTCTTTCAAAATTTCAATTTTGTTATATATCATGTCACTAGAAATTATCCCAGGGCATTCAGCTTCTGAAGCTTTAAACAAATGATAATGGCAATGAAATTTTCCATCATAAATGAGTGATAGACAAAACAAACATACTGATGATTAGAGGCCAAGAGCCTCAAATAAAATGGTCACTATTTTGCGAAACACTTTGTGCATATGAAGTTTAACTCAGTCAACCTCATCACCTGAAGACGACTAGCAGTATGCAGTTGAAAAATTATGGTCCACATCCAATGTAGCCAATTCTTAAGACAAACAATTGTACTTCTCTTTTGATAAGGAATTTTAATATTTTGAAGGAGAAAGGCTGAAGCATTAAAAAAGGTCAATTTTGATAGTAAATCCCTCTGATTATAACAACCTTTACAAACACTCGCCTTTGAAAACTCCCATTTAAACTTGATGCGACTCGTCAACACTATGTCTGATAAAGTTATTTTATTCTTTCCAAACCAGAACTAGACCTGTATTTCCTCTTCTTCTGTCAACAAAAGACATCAGCACCTTTTGAAGCTTCAACTTTTCAACTCTACTACCTACTTTTTTCTTACCATTTGTCTTGATAAAGTTTACACATTTGGAAACTATGAGAGGGACATATCCTCCTCCACGCCTGGCTTCAAACTTGACAGTTTCAGCCAAACTACGACCAAACATTCCACCTCCTACAGGCTGAAGGGGAGCATATAATTATGTCATTAAGACCTAATGTAAAGTTGTTTATAGCACAGTAACTGAGTTCTACTAGTTCATACCATCTGTTTTAAACCTTTAAACCTCAAAATGGTTGAACATATAAATTAACAACAGACAGTAACTTTGGAATCATAAGAATTAATCTAACTATTATCTCATGTGACATAATATCAGCCAAACAAGCACAAAAAATGCTGCAGTGAGGAGAGTGAAGGGGTAAAAAGTTGTGAAAATTGGACACCACCCAACTATTAACATTGATGTAGATAACTAATTCAACACATTTGTCAGTGAAGTGTAATATTTTCAAGACAATTTAAGAGTTTTGTATTCAAATGTAATGCTAAGTAATACCAGAGTTTTACAAAATTGTTTTAACATTTGTGAGATTTTGGGGCCAAACTCCAAGTATACTCTCTCTGTGAGCAACATTTCCAAGGTGAAATTTATTAAAATTTTCATCTTAGATGAAACAGTATTTCTTTCATCAAAAGTCACTCAGTGTTTCATTTTAAGCTTTAAAAAACAAAGCAAAGTAAACAAAACAGGAAGTAATCAAGCAACAAAATTCCTACATGACACTACTGCACTAGCAGTTAAAACAGAAATGACAGGCAGCAAAACCATCCAAATGATACAAAAATACTTTGGCAAATGTAATAGGAGATAAGTTACTCTTTGAAGCAATGGAATGAAGTGAAAAGGGGACTTGACAATCAGATTAAATAACCTGATCATAAGATAACTATTGATGCTGAATTACTGTCATTAACTTAAAGTAATTTTACACAACTCACAGCATAAATTATTCTATTTATGGCTTGAATCCATTCATCCATTTCCTGCTGTGAAGATGCAATCAAGAGAAACGTATCATGGTTACTTGACACTGGTCGCCCTTCTCTGTTCTTCCCAGCTGAAATATAAATAATCACAATAGAAAGCATACATGCACAGCAATGACACAATGAATTTCCAAGAAAATGATTACTGGTTCACAGAGATATCTTTATCTTTGCTTTTGGATTATGTGAACTGGAAACAATATTCTAGTCAAAGAAGAGTGACCAAAATACCAGATCATAAATTAAAAGGAAGAAGGAAGTGAATGAAGAAGGAAAGCAAGGAGATGACAAGGGAAGAAATGAATGGACTGATTTTTAACTTGTCTACTTCTCCAATACATGTAGGAAGTCATTTTTTCACTACCATTAAAAAGAACTAATAAACTTACCAACAATTTCAAATTTAAATTTTCCAGGCTCTCCAGGATCGGGTGGGTGTCTAACAACCTCATTTCCTGGTAAAGGGATGGAAGCAATGGGTGTCTTTGGTTCCTAAGAGTAAAAAAGAAACATACACCTAAGTTATACAGATATCTTAACACTGACAAAAAAAGTTTGACAAAGCAATCATAATATTTCTGAGTACTTGTATGATTGTAAATTGTCCAATCCTGGTGGAGCAAGCATCACATTTTTATATCAAACTATAAATTAACAGTAAGCACTTAATTGATCAAAAGACACATGCTTTATCACCAAGTCTGGATGACTCTCTCTAAATAGGTACTATTTCACACATGTAACCCCTTAACTTCCACAAGTCATTACCATACAGCCTCTCCTTACAATTCCAATATGCTATTTTTCCATCAGGTTATGAGAACACACAATACTATCAGCTTTAAACAAAGAATATTCCTGTCTAATGTACAATGAAATTTATAGTAGTCAGTTAGGAAAAAAAATCCTTGATAAGTATTTGTAATCAACAAACCCTTTAACTCCTTAGAATGATAAGCATCTAATTTACCCCAGAGGTAATACATCTGAATCAAACATTTGAGTCAAGAGAATAAAGGAAATGACTCCAACTTCAAGAAGCTCTTGATTACTAAACAAATTCTCCATAAGAAATGCACAGAGAAAAGTGTAAAGAACTTGCATGTTGATGTTACAGTGTAAAGGGTCAAGCCTTTCTTCCTTTAATCATTGTGTGCTATATGTATGACTGTACAAAGATTTAAGGATAAAAGTTTAAAAGGATAGCTTTGGGAAAAGTACATGGTTCACCATATACTCACATTATTGTCTCTGAAATAATACAGCTGATCTCCTTTCAGTTCAAACCATCTTGATCTGAAGTTTCTGTATCTGCCACCTTGCTTACGCAGCCAGCCACAGTGTTCCTACCAACAACATATCAAAAATTTTCAGCAATTCCTCCAAGAACTGCATAATATAAGCCCTGTGATGAGTTGTTACCTTAAATGATCAATCAGAAAACAGACACACAGTTCATCTTATAGATCAGTTGTTTTCTTTGTTTTGCCAAACATTGCACATGGTTTTGAAAATGCAGATGATGCCTACATGCCTCCCTTCCAATTTTCCTTTTCCAGACCCCCAACAGTTTTGCCATTCTGATCTTTCTTTGACCTTCACTACTGACTGATTGCTGGCCACAGGCTCATACATTAAGAACAATTCACCTTACTTTGTTTATCACACCAAGACAAAACTTCTATCTGTTCAGTACCATTGTCTCCTCTTTGAGATGGATAGGAGGTGCTGCATAAATTTTTTTCACTAAAGAGTATCAGGAGGAAGTAGCTTACAACGATTCAAATTTCAGTCCATTTATCAACTACCAATTGATCATCCCAACACTAATGGACAAAGTACAACCATTAAGAGCAGGGGTTTTAATGAAAGCTGGTTACTGGCAGTCTGCCCCTGCCTGTAAGACTTCTAACCACTGTCTGTTTAGCATGCCTCTAAAACCTCCCAAGGGAAAAGAGGCCTCAAAGCCAATGTACCAGGCAAAGACACCTAACACACCATCAAAAGCCACATAGAAAAAGTTATTGAAACCCCTGATAAAGATTTAATGCGCATTTCATCAATCTTTCGTTCAAAACAGTGAGTAAGGGATGTGAACAGTTGACCCTGCAGCTGAAAGTTATTCTGTTTTGATAATAACACGATGAAATGAAGTTAACTTTGGAGTTGGTTCACTTTTCTGAATGCGCCTACACTGTTTTCCAGGAGCACACATATTTCATATAGATTACTCCAAATGTTTTCTGACATTAATAAATTAAAGCTTAGGCTTCAAATGCAACGGAGCATTCGACACATTTCTCGAACAACGTCCTCGGTTTGATGCTCGACAAACGTCCCCTTTCAGGGTCAAACGACGACTTCTACAGAACCAAAGCAAGAATCGAAGAAAACATTGTACAGAATGATATAAACGAATAAATGAATAGACACAAGAGCTATGAGGAATGTATGATATCCTTACATCGGCTAGGACTTCTCAATTTCTGTCTAGATCTTTCCACGATCAATTTCATTTTAAAAGTTTAAAACAGTAAGTTGGTAGAACTTACTATCCTTTGCTTATGACCTCTAGCGGGTGGTATGGGCTGCCTCTGCATACCGGCACCAAAACCTATGAACCAATACTTCAAACTACATATACAAGGCAATTGTAAAACCAAAGTGGAGCAGCCATGTTGAAAACGCCTCTATTCCTTATACTGAAGGCCTGGAAACTAACTATCAACAGACCAATCAAAACAGAGCTCCATATAGTGCGATAAGAGAAAATCAAGAAATTCTTTGAAATCGTTTGAAGACGGAATCGTCGGGATAACTGCAGAGTGACCTGGGCAATAACTTTCGAGGATCGACTTCCTTGTTAGCTTAGGAGAAGGAGGTTGCTTAGTTGCGAGGTACTCTGCAGTTGGTCATAGTAAATCTAAAAATCGAGAGATGAATAAAGGGGTAAGTTTCTAAAGAAACTACAGTGCTGTGTCAGTTGCTGTATATCAAGATAATTTGGTTTTATCAACTGAGTTAATAATGTAAGTTGACGTTTCCACCGTAAACCCTTCGTCTGAGAAAATGATATATACAAACCGATAGTTAATTTTCATGCCTAAACTTAAACAATTCGTCGACTGTAAGAGGAAAATAATGTTGGACATCTCTTGGTTATTTCCCCTTAAGTTTTGACTTGTATTGATATAATATCTCTTGTAATAATGATTAAACGTTTGCAATTAATTCTGTAGGAAGGCTGCGAATGCAGCTATGAAAACTCATCTTTGTTAAGTCTTTTCAGTCGCCCGATGAAAAAGTTTGTTGCTGTGATTTTCTTTGTCTGTCCTTGTGTTATTCAATGTTACTGTATTTCACTTTCATTGGTTGAAAACTCATCTGTTAGTCAAGCAATGGACGGTACTCTCTACCAGTTTACTGGCGTAATGACCCACACAGGATGTTGGCAGAACACGAAAAAAATTTGTAAATCACGAACCAGCGACGAGTGGTTTATAAACTTGGCTTGTGTTCTCTCGACTCTGTGTGTTATCACTCTGGTAAACTGATAGAAACTGCGGTTTACTGCTTTTACAAAATAAACTTAAATGTTTATGTTTTCTATAGGTGCAATAAACGATAGGTTTTTGATCTACCAGGGTGCTCGTATTATCTCAGCTTTTTTTTTTCAATAAACACAGCTGTCTGTTTATCTGGCAAGTAAGCATGAATTTCTCTATGTACAATGAAAAGAAAATTTCGTTTACACTAAAACCTGGTGAAGTTCCCCTGTAGCTTTTTTCAATGTAAGGTCGTCTGCGTCCACAGAATCAGAGCAGTCTAAAATATAAGCTTAGTTCTTCTGACTCTGACGTTGCATTTTAAATTCCGATACAAAGAAGCAAAAAAAAAAAGAGAGACAATCTTTTACCTTTTGATGCGTATTTTCAACAATGTGAGTGATTTCATTGAGAATGTGAAACATCAGAAGTCCCTGGGCTCCTGGAAACATAACTTATGACCTATCAGGAACCCGAGAGCAAAGAGGAATAACGAAATTTTGTCGGTTGTACTACATCGAGTGTAAGTTAAATCGATTAGAAGACATGTGCTTCCTTCATAATTCGCCTTAGTTCTTCTGTTACAAGTTATCTTTGTGGGGAAATAAACACCGCCGGAAGAAAATCAATGTCAAACCAAGATAGCTGGCTGTGAACGTCTAAAGTCAAATTTTTTCCGAAGTTAATCTATCAAAATTTGTCTCCCCATTGCATTGAAAATCTAAAAGAAAAAGATCGACTTCAAATGGAGCAAACTCTTGGCACTGAAGTGTCGCATGGTGAGAGCCTGTAGCAAATGATAATCTGACTAACTTCGCTACTTACCGAATTTTGGATAACATTGAACCAACCGACCCCCATTCGTTCCAGTTCTGCGACAGTTTGCGTGTAACCTAAACTATCAAAAAGCAATGGAAAAATAAATGGGTGAAAGTAAAACGAGGGAGTCATTGTTGTATATATAGATTCGAAACAAAAAAAATACAATATGATAATTGAATTCCTTTTCGTGAGCATAGGACAACAAGAGAAAAAATGATTGGTCTAGCTCCAAAACAAATGATGGTATGGTTTAGGGAGACTGCAGATACCTATATCTCGGTTTCCAGGTTTTTGTGTCAGTACCAGAGATGGAATCATTCATGAGACGAAACAACCTGGGCAAAACTATCGATGGAAATCGATGCCATGTAATTAAATGACACAGAAAGATAGAAAAAAAAGTCGTTTTCATGTCATCTTGAAAATGACCGATTTCTTCAGGTTGTTCTTCAGCAATTCATTTGTTACTGCATATTTGATAATCTGTATCCTCAAACTTTAAAGCCCACAAAATAAAATTATATCAAAATTTTCTTACTGCAAGGTGATTCAAAGTAATTTCCAAAATCAATCTTTGATATTGTATTAAGTTACTTACGGCTTTTGTTCCCCGTCCGGAGAATAGATTTGTGGTCTACTGTTTGTTTTTTTGTTCTTAAACTCATCGTTAGAATACTGGCGGTAAGTAAGACGTGGTGGGGAAACACAGAACAAACCAAATTGTCAAATTCTCGGCGATGATTTGTGAAAATGGTCGCAGTCACTACAGAAAATTTGAAAAAATGAGAGTAAAGGTCGCTTTGAAGGGACTTTTCAATGGAATTAGAGGCAAATTATTCACAACTGAGTTAATCATTCTTGACAGAAGGAGTGGAGGCCTTTTAACGAAAAATCGAACACTAGTTTAAAACCCTGAGCAAATGTTCCACTCATGTTATATTTTTTTCTTCTTCTCGTTTACTTCAGCCTTGAAATAATGAGGAGGAAATTGCTCATGACAACCTTATTACGTATCAAGTGTTCCCTGTTCCCCGTAGTCCGATCTCAGTTCTTACAGTAAGCCTTTGCGTGACACCTACTCGGCTGGGGCACTGGAAAGCATACTTCCCAGACCTGAGTAATGGCGGACTGACCACCATGTCTCAGGTGCCTTCGAAGTCACGGAGTGACGGAAGCGAATTAGAAAACCAGGTTATTTTACGTGTTCCTCAGGTAAAATTAGTCGGTGAATATAGTTTAACCTCATAGCCATGATAAAGACACGTTAAATCTTACCTTGTCAAAAATTGGGCAGGCCACCACGAAATTAATTTACTGAGCTTCCAATATGGACCTAAGTGGGGTCAACTAGATGTATAGGGAGGGTCCTCCAGAAAGGTGTTTGCACAGGGAAAAAGCATCTTTATTACTCGTATTTACCATTAATCCTAACGAATAAGTAACCAGAATTTGTAGTTATTGAATTATTTGTGGAGTTTGCCTTTCTTTTGTCAAATTTTAATGGACTCCTTGATTAGCCTTAGGTTGAACCCTAGACTTCACTATGCATGCAGTTCTTTGCTAGAGAAAACAACGACTCATCTTGGGACCAAGGCTTTGTTTTTAAAGGGTTTGGGATTATACAAAATTCTTTCCAGCTCCTCTCTCTAATTAGAAACTTTAACCATGTAATGAGATAGGCCAAACATTTTTTGTTTAATCACTAGGCATATGCCTCTCCTCTGCGTCTTGCAATCCAAAACGGTACACTGAAGGATAGACTTTCAATTGAACTTCAAGGTCAGTTTACAGTAAATTATGTGACTGTTGTTGTAAGTTGTATTTACAAGTGACTGTTAGTTGCTTAGGATATTACTTAATAAAATTGAAGCAATTAACACAATTTACTGCTACTCAGTAAATCACAGTATTAAGACTTCTTTTACATATTTGAAAATTGATCTTTTTTTAACCCTTTAGCTCCTAAGATCTGATTTGTTAATCCTCTCCTTTAGTCGCTACATATTTCCTTGTAAATAAGTGACAAAAATTTGGTGTCAGATCAAAATAACAACTTCCACCTGATAGGTTTGATTATTCTCATTACCTGTTTGCTGAATGATGTATGGATATAGTAGGGAGAAGTTACACATCAATCACTTCTTGGAGTTGAAGGGTTGTGATGATTTATTGATTGATGAATTGAAAACACAAAAATGATACTCCTTGATTTTGATTGACAAGTTAAAATTTTATCAATTTATGTTCTATTTATTCTTGTTATTTATCAATTCACTGTCCTTAACTAGTGCTGGAATATCAATAGAAATCAATGTAATATACAGTTTGTTTTCATTTAAATATATTCAAAGCATTTATGATTTCCTAGATGAATTATATGGATAGAGACGGCTCTGTCCAGTGTTTTTAATAACTAACTATATTTGAGAGAGCCATGTTTGTTATGTTTCAAGTCAGTGAATGTCATAAGTTCAGTCTAATGAGGCATTGCTTATTTTTGATATTTCTACAGCTGACTTCAGGCATGCAACAGTGAGATTTGATGGGGCAGCCCTATCAGCTAAAGTAAGATTATACCTTCTAATTTTATCTGATTATTGCTTAAGTTTTTATCTATTTTTGTTTTGTTTGTTGAAGATGCTGCAAAAATGAGTAAATGTCCAGATGTATATACCAAAGCTTTCAGAAATCCCCAAACTTTCCAAATCTGATATGTTTTGGGACAAAAATTTCATTTTACTGGTAATGATATGGCAGTAAGTTGGGGTCTGATTAGTCTCTAGAAGAGTGTTTTATAAAAAAAAAACATGACTTTGACTTTTTGTATGATCAAAACTTGGAGAATAACTTTGTATTGCCCTGATAGTAGTAGCCTTTTACTGCATCTGAAAATTGTTAATGTTCTCACATGCCTCTTTTGTTTGATAGTTAGTAGATCTGCCATGTGTGATAGAATCCCACAAGACAGTGGACAATAGGAGCTTTTACAAGACAGCAGATATCTGTCAGGTACTAAGGTTGCAATTTATAAAAATCTCTGTTGTTCATCAAGATAGTGAAAAAGAAAAGATGGTCACTTGACCTAAACTGTGTGGGTATGTCTGGATATAGTCAGGTTTCAACTACTCTGAATTTCACCAACCTGGAGTTTGTAAGCTCTGACCACCTCCTGTTAAGATCTTGTGTCAGATGTGTGGAAACCTGATGCTTTTACATACGTGCTACCCTTTTTTAAAATGATTGTGAGATGAATTTTAAAATGCTGACGTCTCAAAATAGGGCCATCTGCCATTCAGAATTATCACTTCCCAGTTGATAACTGATCAGCCAAGTTATATTTCATTTGTGTGTAGAACTGTAAGTGGTAACTTTTGGTTATATGAATTTTAATCTCTGAATACTTTTTGAGTGTTACAGAGTACATAAGTTCTCTAGATACCTGTAATTACATATGCACTAATATACATCCATTATATAAGGCACTTTTCTTGTTATTTGCTTTTTAGATGTTAGTTTGCTGTGAGGATGATAACCAAACAGATGATGAAGATATTTCTCCTAAGAAGGAGTCCAAGAGATTTATTTGGAATCATGGAAGTATGTTCATTTATGATTATTTATTGATGAGTGAGTTGCCTGAGCTTTCATGTGGAAGGACTCATAAAAGAACTGTTGTGGTAGATTGAATGACTGATGTTTGAATAACTTGAGTAACTTCAGTAATATCTCTGATGCTTTGCTGAAATTTATAAACGCACTAACTTTGGTGAATCTTTTAATCCTTCAAGTTACTGGTCCACTGAAGAATGTACGCAAACGACGATTTCGAAAAACTGCTAAGAAAAAGGTCTGTCCTTGTGGTAGTAAGACACATTAAAATTGATAATGGACTAGTAAATAATTAATATAGTATGAACTACCCATTTCAATAATCTCAGCTTATTGTTTTGTCGAGTGCAATAAAGCATGCATCACCATATCATGCAAACATGGGTATGAAGGGGCTGATGGGAGGCTGATGAGAGGTAAAAGGTGTGGAATAGTTTTTTAACAGTTTTTAGCATGCTCATTGCTGTGTTTCCTACTGCTTGGTTTCACAGAAAATATCAGCGTATGACGATATGTGATACTCAGTAATACTAGATTCTGTGTACAACATATGAGCTTAAGGCCTCTATAAAATAATTATTTTGAAAACTGCCTAGCACTTTAAATTTGTGACTCTTTCCCTGCAATGTTAAATTAATTATTTTTTTGTAACATGTAGGGGTTATACATTAAGCTTTAAACCAATGAATTTTGTTTTCAATAGATTGTGGAGTCACCAGAAGTTGAAAAGGAGGTCAAGCGTTTGTTGAGGACTGATTTGAGTGCCTCTCATGTGAATATCCTTTCCATCAAATTAACTTATCCTGTGGATTTACTTTAAATTACCAAGCAGATTTAAGACTATGATATTCATGAACAGTCTCCAAGAGGAAAAGAAGATCAAATTTTATGTCTGCCAGAGATTTATCCACCCAGTAGTTTCCCAATATGTGAATCCCTAGGCATGGGTGTTTCAAGGACTCTGTAGCTACTTTGTTAGCCAACACAGTTCCCCATGTCTTGTGCCTTATGATTTTTGTGGGGGGCTTGGAAAAGTTTCTCACAAGTATTCAAGGTTATCTAATGCGGTCATCTATAAATACAACAGTTACTGGTGGTATGGTAACAAAGAAGGCTTTTCTCTATTTTCTTTGCACTTGTAGAATATTGTTTCTTGACTTTCTGTATGTTTTGAGGTCTTACAAGATGAAGAGAAACAAGATGAAAGGTAAGTGCTACATTATCACATGCATGAACACATGTTTTGCATAAATATAATTGTTAAATTATGAAATATTTCAGATGTTGTAACCCCTCCACTCCATGGAGTGAGCAGAAGGAAACTGCTTTCTTAAGTGTGTGATATAACAGAGCAATTTAGCCATAATCAAATTTGTTAGTTTAGTGTGCTGTAAGTACCATATCTTTTTCAGGGAGGTATTTTTCTTGCTGGTACTAAAGTTTAATGTTGATTGAATTGTATTGGTGTAGTCTTGTATCAGATGCTGAATTACTGAACACCTCAATGCCTTCACCTCTATCTTTAACACAAACTGAGGAGCAAGATGGAGGTAGTGAAGATGAGGACAGGAATGAACTGTTTGCCATTCTCCAAGAAGCAAGTAGTGATGAAGAGCCAGAAGGTGATGAGGATGCTGCTGATACACAGGAAGATGATGCAGATGATTTAAATGTTAATGTAGACATTGAAGATGATACAAATGAATTAAATGGTAAGTCTACTTTTGCCAAACAGCAAAATCAAATCAATCAACAAAATGGAAACTATGTCGTGGTTTCCTTGTGAGGCTGTTCATTTGAGAAACAAGTAGTTAATTTACATATTAACTATATATCTATAGTTAATTTTAAGTGGATTTCTATGGCCACTTTGTGGAAGGATCTTTAATTTGTAACTTCCTGGTTATATTTGTCTCTCTGATATACCAGTATTCCCAGTTTTAATGTTATACTTGGCCCACTTCCTTGTTTTTACTCTTTGGTTGCAACATTAGACATCACTGTTGTTCAGATGGTAAATCCCAGTGATAACTGTTAAAAACTTGTTTATAAAGCAGGAAGGTGGTTTGAAAGTTGCCCTTGAACCATGTACTTTGAAGCTTGTTTTTTCTTTTTATCTAATTTGCAGTAGGTAAAGACAATTCTAAGTCTGAGATACATTCTGCAAGAGAGAAGCTTAATGAGATCAGGGCAACTATAACAGAGCAGGAAACCAGGGTGAAAGAAGCCTCTAACTTATTTCTCAAGGTACCATGTCAGGACTCTGTTCTTGGCAGTCTTTGTCATATAATGTCATATAATTAGGAACCTTGTAGTGAAGATTTAATTTTTCATTTAGTTTCCTGTATCTCAGTGTAATGGGTAAACCCTTCATTTATGAAAAAAAGGCTTTTTTTCGGACCCGAAACTCATTGACCAGTATCTTGATGAGCTCAAATAGGCTTAATTTGGCTGGCCCAGCTAACTAGGGTTGAGATGGAATGAACCAGAATGAAGAATGCAAAGAAATGTAATTGTAAAATGGGTAGATCCTTCCACTTCATTGTGTGGATTTTCCATTCTCATTTATATTTGCTTGTGAACTTTTGCAACAGTAACTGGCCAATTGGATGGATAATCACAGCCAAAAAAAGATGTAGAAAGAGGAATAAAGGTTAAAAACACAGAGAAGTCAAAAGAGGGATGAGAAAAACATCAAAGAGGGGATGGGTGTAGTAAATGGATCGAATTAGTTTGTTCATTCCATGAAGGTTCATATGATCTTAATTTTTTCTTTGTATAGCTACGATTTGAGAAAGTTCTTGAAGAACTTAAGTCAAAGGAAAAGGATCAAGAGCAGGAGGTAATGACTACTCTCTTTTTTCATTGTTGTTAGCTATTTGAACTTTTTTTTGCCAATATATTTTGATTTTTCTTTATTGTTTCTTCCTGGGCAGCTTCTTAGATTGGAGAGCCAAGTTTAGGATTTTGGTCAATGTCAGGCTGTAAAGGAGTTAGATTTTCATGTCATCTTTGTAAAGTCTTCAGTATACAGTCCATAACAACCTTGTCAACTAGACTTTATGAATCCAAAGGACCCCTCACTGGTGGGGATTTATTATGGAAAATGACTGAATGATGTATAGTAACTTGGAAAAGGATACAGGAGCAGTTCAAGTAGACAATCTAAGCCAAAACATCCTCTCTGATAATGGTGGCCCATCAGCTTCATTTGCATGACACTCACTTATCATTAGATTTCTTACTATTTATTCAATGTGGATTAAGCCTTCCAGTTCCCAGCTCCCCAAGTAAGCAATGGTTTTGTCCTGAAAGTCTTCGGTGACTGTTTGGTAGGTTTTCTGCGAGATGTACTGTCCAGAAAAACAGCATTTCCATTACCATCAGGTGTGATTAATAGAATAGATGGATGTGTTGCCTGCTTTCAGAGACTCTTTTCCTTCTTGATCAAAAATTATCTTGTTTGAGCTCAAACTGAAAAGGGAATATGCTAATGAATACCAGGCTCTAAATTAAAGGCTATCAAATCAATAAAAGCAACGATACATCCTTTAAAGAGTATCTCTGTGTTCCTTAGACAAAAACTTTATACTTAAAATTAAAAACTGAATTACGTGACTTCGGAAAGGTTCTTGCATTTTAGGAGTTGCTTGTTGAATATTGTGTTAACCCTTTAACTCCCAGAAGTGATTCACATGTAACTTCTCCTGACAATATCCACCCACTATCAAGCAAACAGGTCATGAGAGTTCTCACATATATCAGGTAAAAGTTATCTTGATCTAACACAAAATTCTTTAAACCAATTTACAAGGAAATATGTAGCAGCTAGAGGTGAGAATTGACAATCAGATCCTGGGAGTTAAAGGGTTAATGCCAATACGTGTTGTTTTCCAAAGATTTCATGTTTATTCACACTAAAGTTTTTTAAGGATGTGAAATACATCTTGACCTGTTTTGTCCACTACATTGCCAACTGGTCCAATCTAGTCTATTTTTTGAAATGAACTTTCACATATACTGGTATCCACCACTCATCTACAACTAGTATTTCTCTTTTCCTTCTTTTTCAACTAACTTGTCACTATTCCAATTAATCCATGTACTGTTTCACAAGAGCTTACGAATTTAATTACTAAGAATGACACTTTTTTTGAACACACTCATTAATTGTGGTTTTAATAAGAATAACAAAAAGATGACTATGTTAAAAGCTTCATCTATGGAAGTAGCTCTTCCAAATTGGGCTAAAATACACATTTCTTCTGAAATACCCTCAAATATATATTATGCCAATCATTTTAATAGCAGACCCTCTTTTATAAACATAAATTCTCACACTCTTATAAAAATTAAATACAAGGTCAAAATACTTTTTAAGGGTAACTGTTACAAAAATAGAGCCCAAGAATTCACACTGGCCCATCAAAATGAAGGGAAACACCAACAGAAAGGCCTGTGAGAACTTAAAGTAAATGATGGCTCTAAGAAGAGAGTAACCAAGTTGTTATTAGTCTTAGTTGTAAGTCTGGATAGCTTAGAAAGTGATGCAAGTCTTTAAACCATTCACAGGGCATAGTAAAGCAAAGAAATGCAATTCTGGATCTCTGGCAACAGATTAGGTTCAGTGATTTTATCTTAGCAAAGTCAAGATTACTCTCAACCACCCAGTGGTTATTTTGTAACCACTGGTTGGTTACTTAGTTATTCCTTTCAATTCAGTCATAGATAAGGTATAAACCATTACTATAATAACTGGAAACTAATCAATATTGAGTATATACATACATACATACATATATATATATATATATATATATATCTCTCTTATTAGTTGTTTTGGTGCAACACTGTTTGTATTTTGACTCGCAACAACGAGTAGAAATACTCAGCGATGCAACACACCAAAACGTCTAATAAGTTGTTTATTAACTTCTTTATATTATTTTTATGGATTTCTTATCAAACAAGTCTTTTTGCAGTGCTAAATAACCAAATGCAAAAATAACCGAACAATATCCATTGGCGTGTTATTCGTACTGTACTCAATTCAATTGGATAACAAGAGTAAGGGCTCGTGTAATTATATCGATCCTGTACATTGATTTCCCAAAACAGCGTGTAAAGGTGGCATTCGTTTAAAAGACAAGCCCTTCGCTTTGTTGAAGAAGTACTTAGTGTAATAAAAATGCAAGCAATACTGCTGTAATTTGTTTTAATCTGCCTCATAAACCCGCTTCTCTTTGGAAACAATACTTAGTGAAACCCACGTGAGAATATCCAGGTAGACCAAACTCGTGCACGCCGGGGATCATGTTGCGCAATTGTCCGTTCCCGCTGTCTTTGTCCAAGAAATTGTGGTAAATCAATGTTATTTTGTTATGCTTGCCCTCTCTAACTCTGCAGATGTGAATGCTAATGGTAACAGCTCTGAAATATTGATTTTCTTGTAAGATAAATCCGACTTCACAAGATACACGTCACAACTTGATCCGAACTCAGAAATAAATTGTCTGCACGCTCCACAAGGAGCGATAAACTCTTCCATATCAGTACTTACGGCAACCGCTGGGAATTTTTTAAACCCCATACTAACAGCTTTGACCAGAGCAGTTCTCTCTGCACAGATCGACAAACCATAACTTGCATTTTCCACATTACAGCCATCAATGATTTCTCCTGTGTCGGTCAACAAGGCTGCACCAACACGAAACTTACTATACGGCGAATGAGAATATTCCTTTGCTTTTATGCTACGTTGTAGCAAAGACAACAGTATGGAGTCCTGATGGGTATTTGAGGAATCTTGACCGTTTTCTGACATGCCTCTTAAATCCCCCTACTAGTTTGTCATTAACAATCGTTCAGCACCTGATTCTTGTGTGTGTTAATGGAAAGACCATTTAAGTCTGTTTACTTCCACTCTGACACGTGGGATGCGGTTGACTGACCACTTAGAATACTGTGGTTACCAATCCTTCGCAAACAATTGCAAAATGGCCTTTTGGTCTGAAGCTATTCTAAGCCTTGTTCATAAACTGAATAACTTCTCTCGCCCAGGTAGGTCGTTATACAACCGCAAGTTCCATATTTATAGTGCTACACGGGAAGTGAATTTATTCGTGCCTTTCTTTTTGAGATTAATCTGTGAAAATCAATTATCAATAAATTTAATTAGGTTTGAACTAAACAGCAAATGCAATTAATTTGGACCACTTGCGTCAACCTTCTCTGTTTCCCATCAGAGGGCAAATCAAAAATAACATGAAGATATGTCACTTTTTGTGGTGCAACAAAAGTGTTAGAAAACTGTGTGGTAAAAAATTGTTCTTTCATTACTTTACTCACAAGTCCAGAGATGAATTAGATCTCTAGAATGGGATAGGTCAATTTTTCAGGAAAGGGTTGAAAACTTGAAATTCAGTTTCATGCACTAGAAGAAAAGTGACAACAATATTTTTTAATTGTGGTTGCTGTTTTTCCTGCTGCATTAGTGAATTTATTGTTTGCAACATGCATCTGAGCATGTTTTTAACTACTGACCCCATGCGTCTCTCGGCATGAAAGTTTTCCCTGCTGCTCACATGTGGCTTCATGGCTCAGTTGGTAGTAGCACCCATGTATTGTCTGAGAGACACAGGCTCAAATATGGCATCATGGCTCCGTTGTAGGTAGCTCAGTTGTAGTAGTAGCACCCTACTGCTGCAAGGCATAGGCTCAAATCCTGTGAAAGCCAGGTGTCTTTTAACCCTTTAACCCCCAAGAGTGACCAGCATCCTGTTTCTCCACACAATATCATCCCTACATCAAACAGTAAGGTCATGCAAATAAAGGAAGTGATTACCAACTAAGGAAAGCTTTTGATTGTTCAGTAAATTCTTCTGTCAGCACCCTAGGAACTGTATCAAGAACAATATGGAGAATATGCATATTGCTGCTAGGGTTTGAAGGGTTAAGAGTAACTTTAGGCACCATTTGGTCCTTAACATTACTTTAAAACACAATTTTAGGTACGATACATTTTGATATATTTTAACACAAAAATGCCCTGAATATTCATCATTGATATCTCACTTGTATGTTTTTCATAGGTTCCTGTAAGTCACTTTGCAAACCATTCCTTGTTGACGATGTCCAAGTGGGTTATATTTCACCAAAAGTTGCCAGTTATTTGAAGTCTTATAGTGACATATTTGTGATGGTTCCAGGAACCAGTGGTGAAATTAGTCATGTTACTTTGGCTCCAGAACTTAAGACTTTTACAGAACGAAGTCAAAAGGTTGCTGAGGTTATGAACAGTCTGAGATTAAAAGATGTGTTCAGCACTTTGAGAGGGTGGAGAAATGAGGCAAGTGCAATTTGTTTTAAGCTTTATTTTAGATTCATAGATAGTTAATTTAAGAACACAATGGAGCTTGATAGTGAGTACCATCAAGGTTAAGGTTTTTTTTTTTCCTGTCAGTTGAAGCCAAGGACTGAGAAAGAGTCACAAACCAGATAGTTATTACCATCATGTGGTCATTGGTTCTGATAGGTTTTTTTTTTTTAAGAATAACTGAGACACTACACATACTCTTATATTGTTGGTGTGTTGAGATGAGAGTATATGAACAAAGCCATATTTTAGATTTAGGCATGTTTCGTGGAAATATTTGACAAAAGCAACAACCATCTAAACACTCCAGGGGCTAGGCAAAGTATTGACAGCTATGCAAATCTTCAACAGCATCTCAGGTTTGCATAACTGTTTTACATTCTTGTAATCACCTTGTGTATGGATGAGGTTTAATATTTAGAAAAAACAAATTAAAGTTCCTTTTTTGTAAATTATGTGTGCTTGAAAACTATGTTTGTAGGTGTTTGTCTCTTAGTAAATCAAAATTACATACAGTAAATATTATTATCAATATTATTTGATATAAAGATGTACCCTGTAATGGCTTCCTTTGATACCAAACCAAGCTTTATGATGGAGAGGTCAGCAACTTGTAAGTATTGAGTCCTGTCTCACATACAAGTTGACTGTTGATAATTCTATAACGTGTATTTGTTGTAATTTTTTTATGAACTGTAATTACTGTTAATATTTTTGTGGTTGGATGTGCATTGTTTAGAAATATTCTTTGGTTCTTTGGAAATTTCCTAGGCAGGAATGTCATAGGGAGTGGAGTCCGTGTTTATTGGTATGGGTGTTTCCAGTGCAGTGAAACCTGTATGGAACAAACCCTATATCATAGCAGACACCCTGTATAAGAGAGACAGTTGCCCAAGTTCCAATGAGAGTTTTCATCCACCTTAAATTAATCAGTAATCAGAAGACACTTCTATCAATAAGACCAGTATTAAGCAGACCAGTATTAAGCGGTTAGTTGTTCAAGTCCTGAAATTTTTTCCCTTTAATGAATTGCTGTGAGATTTGCTTTTATTGAGAGGTTGTGGTCATGACACTTCAAGGACATAAATACTGCCTCAGTTTACATGCTTCCCTTTCATGAATTCAATGGTTGCTTTAAAAAACTTACTCAACTACATTTCCATTAGCTTAGGAACATGCCCAATTACATAAAATTTGTCACTCAAGTTGTTCAGGTGAGATGTTAATCTTGCAACTGTTGTTACCATTCATCATTAGATAAGAGTACAAAATAATTTTGTTTACATGTGAAATTTTGAATCTCACAAAAGCCTGGATATATTATGTCAAATAAACTTGAGAGGACTCGAGGCTACTTTCTAGACAATTAGAATGGGTGATGGTGGCAGCAAATGTTGATTTTTTTTTATACTCTTTGAACAAATCTGACATTGATTTCTCTGGGGGAAAAACCTTGATGACTATACTCAGTAAAACCAGTACTACTTAGGGTATTTTAACAAGTTCAAAGGTATGCTTGAAAGATTTCCTCTCACAACTTCCACATGTTTAAGGAGTTACCTCACTTGAAATTTTCAAAAAAAGTGGTCAGTAATCTTAATTTTTGATTTATGTTTTGCCTTTATCTTGGGAATGGACCTTATTAGGCCTCAACCCTTTAACATTTTGACAAAGCTTGAGAGCAGTGCATTGAACTGAAATGTGTTGATTGATAGGTGTGTTTCTATGAGGATATTAAGCGTTTGGGAAGATTACATCTTCTCCTGATATCTAATACTGAAAAAAAAAAGTAAAAAAGACAGCCTACTTTTAAAAAAGGCCAGTATTTATCCTTAATTTTCATTTTTTGCCATTATGCCAAACATTTTTAAGAAAAAATGTTCAAGTGCTTTTTGATGGCACCCTCTAAATACGTAAATAAAATTTGGAAACTACCGTAGTACATCAAGGCTCCTATAATTTTTATCATTTGATCATTGCGGTCCTAGAGTCAGTATATTATGATGTGAGACAAGTCATGCAGCTTACACGACATATATTATGATTTGACCGCTGTTTTGTAACCCTGTGTGTTCGTACAGCGGATCGTCCGTCGAGGAATGCTTTTGTCCTTTGATGAAGGTCGCTGATGTGCTCGCCTTGTCGACCTTGTCTTTTGCCGCTTGAACTACTACATCAATTGAATCCTTCACATTGTCTATTTCTCGCTTGAGCGAAAAGTCATCTTCCGTGACTCCCATTGATATCCTCTGATGAAAGAATTCACTGTAACCAACATTTTGACCTCAGCTGCTCTATCTTACTCGTTCCTGGTTTTCGTACAAGATAGCTACACAAGGGAAACGGAAGCGTTAACTTCATACTGCACCAATTAAATTAAACAATGAAGTTTATGGTTGACCTAATTTAGCCGACGTTTTAGCGTCTCTCAGTTAGAAATTAAAATCGCGATCGATCATAAGGAACGTCTAATTCAGTTTTTTTTTCTTTGCACATCAATACGATCATGCCGCTTTGCTGGATTTGTAAAGCAGAGACAAATTATCACTGTTTAAGCTGCCAAGCGTATGTCTGTCACAGGGCAGAATGCTCTGTTTTGGCGCCTGAAGAAACGCTGAACTGGAAGGCTGGCTTTAGTGTAGCCTTTTGTTTGACATGTTCACATAACACCGCCGACGAAAGTGTTGAGGAAGAAATCAACCAAACAGAAGTCTCACTCACAAGAAAAGAAGAAGAAGTAGACGCTAAGTCAAGTACATCTCAAATGAAAAGTCAAGGTGGCACCAAAGAAAAAGTCCAGGAGAAGCGGAAATGCTTGAACTTACAGCAGAGAGTTGAGATGATAGTGTATGCGAAAGATCATCCAAAAGAGGGATACCGTAAAATTGCTGAAAAATTTGGCATTGGGAGAACACAAGCACATAAAATCTTAAAACAAAGAAATGAAATACTAGCATTATATGAAAGAAATTCTCGGCCAAATCAGCAAAAGAGGGTCCGTTCTGCGAGGTATTCAAAAGTCAATGAAGTACTACTGCAATGGTATGTCATCTGCAGAAACTTAAATATTGCTGTTTCAGGAACAATGCTTCAAGAGGAAGCTTTGTTGATTGCAGAAAAATTGGGCATTAGTGGCTTTGCTGCATCTAATGGGTGGCTAGAGTCATTCAAGAAACAGCACAATATTCACAATATGATCAAAGCAGGCGAGAATGGAGACCTTTGTGAGGCGACTATTGAAAGCTGGAATGAACAGGTCAGACAGTTCATCAGAGGATGGAAGCCAGAGGATGTGTGGAATATGGATGAGACAGGGAGCTTTTGGAGAGGATTACCTGAACCCAGCCTAACTGAAAGGGGGAAACGATGTAGTGGTGGAAAGCAAGCCAATGAGAGAACTACATGGGCATTTTTTGTTAATGCTGCTGGAGGAAAGGAAGACCCAATTGTGATTGGTAGATATTTGAAGCCACATTGTTTTAAGAATGTAAATGATTCTAAAAGACCTTATCAATGCTGCTATTTTGCAAACTCAAAAGCATGGATGACAAAAGAAATAATGGCTGATGTCTTGTCCCAACTTAATGAAACCTTGATTCGAAAGAAGAGAACTATCTTACTGTTCTTGGACAGTGCTCCATGCCACTCTCCTATCTTGGCTGAGAAGTTTTCAAACATTGGCATTAATTTCCTGCCTAGTAACACAACATCAAAGACTCAGCCCCTTGAGGCGGGTATAATTGCAAACTGGAAAGTGAAGTACAAAAAGCGGTTGCTTCGCTATGTGTGCTCCAAGGTGAGTCAAGGCGAAAGCACCAGCGAGATCGTCAAGTCCATAGATATCTCTATGGCCATCCAGTGGGGACGACAAGCTTGGGATGAGGTGTCTCCTGAAACAATCCAAAGATGTTTCAAGAAGACATTGCTCTACCCAGAAGAACTCATGGAGGAAGATGATCCTTTTGAAGGAGAAGATGAGCTGCAGCAGCTTCAAGAACTAATCAACAGGATCAGCTCTTGTGATGCTGGAGCATTTATCTCGGCAGAGGATCAACTTGAAGTATGCCTTGGTATCATTGAAAGCTCTGATCCAAACTGGAGGAAGTCATTACGTGATCAGCTGCTTAATCAGAAGAAGGAAGAAAGTAGGGAGGTTGCAAATAGCTTAGCAGATGAGAGAGCCCCTAAAATTGATGAAAGGTCTTCTGGGGGGAACGAAGAATGTGACCCTGAGTTGAAACAACCAGCTATTAGGACAATATCAGAGGCAGAGAAAGTGGCAGAGCAACTGACAGACTTTGCCCATTTTAATGGCCACCGGGAACTTTCTTTGGCATTAAGCCAAGTAAACCATTTGATCCATGAAATCAAACTGCAGAAACCAAAAAGCTAACCACTGATTTCAAATTACCTTTCTTGTTAGATAATAGCAAACTTAAACAGAGGTGTTTTTGAGATGTGAATGGCAACTTGCAAAATAATAAGACTACTTCATATACACTTTGATGCCATGGTATCAACCACAGGGTCATCATCCTTTTTTTTTTTCAAAGTTATTGTACTTTGGCAGGAAAATCTGTAATTTATCAGAGCTGGAGAAACCATACAAAACCTACTTTTAATCTACTGTACTTAAGTTTATCTTTCACAAAAAGTATGCAATTGAGTTGTTTATTGCTTGTGAGACTAAGAGTTAAAACAAGTTTCCTAAGAAGAAAACCATTTAGCTTTAAGTTAGTAACAAATTTTGTTTTGTAGTGCTGGATGTAAGATCTAGCTATGAGAAAACAAAAGGCAAGTTGACATGTACATTTGGATGGATTTGATCTTAGTCCTTCTGCCACAGTCTATTTTAAAACAGTGTTATGAGGTACAATTTGATGGTGTTTTAGTAGAAGTAATAGTCTTTCCCAAAAACATCTAGTCAAGAGCAGTACCAAAAGAAGTGGAAGAAGCTCTCAAGATCCTCATTATAGAAAGGGCATTAATTGATAGCTCTCCTTTACTATTTTTCTAGTTTGGAAGTCATTTGTTGGGATGTGTCGATGCAAAAATTTAAAGTGGAATTCTCAAAGTTTTGTGTTCTATGTACAATTATTGTTAATTGTTAAGGCTTACTGATAGACCGTACTCCAATTTACACAGTTTGGTCTGATTCTACAGTCATTGTACATCTATCCTTTTCAGACTTCATTAATATTGTTGCTTACATAATTGTTGTTGATGTTTGTGTTAAAATTTTTGCCACATGAAATTCCATAAATTTTGTGTGAAAGGCATAATGTCTTGTAGAGCAAGAAAGTTTTTATCACCATCATTGAGGTGTTGTACTTTACTAATACTATAGTTGTACTGTACTTTGAATAAAATAGTTGATTGTCGATTTTTCCTTGTGAGTTGTGCTGAATACTTTGCTCCAGAAATTGGCTTTTGGAGGTTATGTGTCCATAAAATTAGTTTCTGACCTAAAAGGAGAATTTCTTTATTAAAATTTTCAGGGTTGCCAAAGATTTTTTCACTGTTTTTGATGTAAAGATTACATCAGATCTTGGCTTTTAAGGCTTTGATAAAAGATTAAATGTATATAATTTTTAAACCACCTTCTGCATAGTCATTCATCATTGCACTTTGTTTGTTGTTGTTGTCTTTTCTATTCCACTCAAAAATTATAGAATAACGTCAGTGGTTCCTTCATGAATTATTTCCTTAATTGATTGTAGGGGGTTAAAATGTAAGCAGGTTGGGAGGCAAAAGGCATTTTAGAGCCATGATTTTACCCAAGAGAATTATTCTGCAATATTTCCTTTTGTTTTGGAAATTTTGGACTTTTTCTATTTTTTCTTTAGCGTAGATTAACAGAATGGTTACCAATTAGCTTTGTGATCTGTTGATAGCCAAATGCCTAAGGTTCCAATGTTGCATTTTTTTGCCATCTCCATCTCTTTCTGGAAGGATGTTTCTGTCCTTCCCACTGTAGATACCTTTCCAAAGAGTTTCTGTTTTCTTGCTGTTTGAGTTCAGAAGCTTTGCCAAAGTTGTCAATTAAATTGAGAGCAGCTGTTAGGGAATTCTCTGATCAGTCTGATATTAAAGTCATATCCTATGACAAAGATGCCTTTAATATTCTCATTGTCTCTATTTTTTCTCTTATTTTTTGCAAGAACTTTGATCGCCATAAAGAAAAGATAAGGAGATAGTGGCAGCCTTGTTTTACCCCTCTTTTGATTCTGTATAAGTTGCTTGCTCAACTGTTGTTCATGATACAGCTTTCTATATTATTATCTGTAGAAACATTTTATCCAATTCACTACTGACTGGAAAGAGTCCCACAAGTCTCTCCCTAATACAAGCGTCATTGCATCTTTTTTTTCGGTATCTTTGGTGGTATTGTATTTCAGGTTTACTTGGAACTGTGCAGTATGGTGTTCATGTAAATGGATATTTCGTTGATGAAAATGGGAAAATGTTTATGTGGATAGCAAGAAGAAGTTCTACAAAACAAACCTGGCCTGGAAAACTTGATCAGATTGTAAGTGTCTCTAACCAGGGAAAAAAGTACTACTCACAGGATATTTAGTTCTGAGCTATTTCCTATTAGGATAAGTTGAAGTAGTTCAAGCCAAGTCAGCTTAATAATGACAGACCATCAGCAGTTGACTTAACATGCTGGCTTACTCATTATTACATTCTAGATTTATGACATCTAATCGTTTTTTTTTTTTTAAGTGAATCAATGGAGACATGTGAGGTGTGATAAAGCTGTTTGCTCTTTCAGCAAATAACTCATAATAAACCAGCAGTACGCTGTAGCTTATTATTTTCTAGTGATCATGAGTATTGCCTTTTTTGTCAGCAGAGTTATTGTAACTAGCAGTAATTGTGAAGAAGAGCTCCCCAAAAAATCTGTCGGCCGACTGTCGGCCAACAGTCGGTCGTCTGTCGGCTGACAGTTGGCCGACAGACAGCCGACAGGTTTTGCCCGAAATATAAGCTACCTGTCGGCCGACAGTGGGCCGACAGTTGGCCGACAGTGGGCCGACTATTGGTAATGTGTCGGTAACCTGTCGGTAGCTTGTTGGTAAAACGTTAACACAAACCTTAATGTTTTCTCTTGGTTTTCGCTTGATACAACATCCAACATGTGTAATACATTGGTTAGCTGTCAGTAGACTGTCAGTAACCTGTCGGTCAACTGTCGGCCGACAGGTTTTTTGGGGAGCTCTTCTTCACAATTACCGTAACTAGCACTGAATTTTTATCTAAGATTTAATCAGGTCTTGCACTGAAAAATGTTTGTTATAAGAGTGTTAATCACTGAAAGTATAATTTATATAAATTAGCATTTTAGTAATATCTTCTCACCATTATGTAGTGGCCTTGTCTCACTGTACTTGTTTGGTCTTGTCACATTCTTGTCTAAAAGACAATTAATTGACAAATAATCATTGATCATTCATAATGCAATCCACAATCTGGTCTGTTTTTGAAATAAAGCATACAAGGGCATGCTGACAGGACCAAAGAGGTTTAGTGGCAAGCTCCTGGTAAGCTCTCTCACTGATATTTCTTCTCTGTTTTCTTATCACTCTGAAAGATGTTGCTTGATTGCTGATTAATAGTCAAAGTTTTCTCTTAACTGTATGAAAAAACATTGATTTTGTTCTGTATTATGGTTACTTTCTCCTGTGAGAGTTTTTACAACAAACTTTTATTGTTTTCTCTGCCAGGTAATAATGTTGATGCCATATTGATATTTTTTTTGTAGTCATCAGCTCTGTGCTGAGATACCAAGTTGCAAAATTCACACTGGGAAATCTCGGTGTAATAAGCAAATCTTTATTCTCATTTCAGAATTTGTTCAATTGTTTAGTTTATCAATTAGATTTTGAAATGTTCCTTTACCTTTTAATTAATATTTGTAAGCTTACCTGGTCTTTCTGTGTATGGTTAGGTGGCAGGAGGTATAACCTGTGGTGAAGGAATTCAGGAGACACTGATAAGGGAATGTGCTGAAGAAGCATCGATACCAGAAGAACTTTCAAAAGCAGCTTCCTCAGCTGGTTGTGTCAGGTAAATAAAGTTGTTTTAAAATTCCCTTTTTAGTGATGTATACCATCACGTGTTGAGTGTAATTTCCAGTAGAATGAGTAGGGAATGAAAACTTTCCATAATTTGAGTGAATGTCAACAATCATGATGTCACACCATCAAAACACTTCTGAATCAATGTCTTTTTTACTTAAATGTTCTTTCTTAACATTTCTTTATTTTGCCTTTGTTGATCATTTAGACAAAGGAGAAAAGATATTTACTTAGTAACTGAAAGATATTGTCAGTAGGTTGTGATAGTTTAATTTAATTTTTTTTTACCAGCTACTTCTTTGAAGATGAGAGAGGATTGTTTCCTGAAGTCCAGTTCGTTTGTGATTTGAAACTCCCTCGTGACTTTCAACCAATCAACAGTGATGGGGAAGTTAGTGAATTTTATTGCTGGCCTATGGAAAAGGTACCTGCAGCCTGTATTTATTAGTTTAGTTTACTTCTTCCTTAACGTGGTGGGTATTGCATCAGGGAAGTTACTCCTAATGTGTCATAAAGGAAGTTAAGTCAACAAGTGTTAGTTTTAGGTATATTCTGACCAATTTTATTTCTTGCATTCAATTGCAAAGTTCTTTGTTAAACTGCTAAGGAATTTTGTGAATAAATAGAAAAAACTAGAGGCTTCAATGGTATGTTTTCCCTGGAATGTTTAAATAGTCATAGAAGTGTGAAGAGAATTTTGAAAAGAATATTCCTTAAGTTTACATTGTTTTTTTCTTTTGAGTAAAAAGTTTGATTTTTCTTTTACAGGTGAAGGAAAAAATAGCAACAGATGAATTTAAGCCTAACTGCGCTCTTGTAGTTCTTGACTTTATGGTCCGTCACGGCTTTGTTACACCAGACTGTGGTCAGCTTATATTCACAATGATTATTGAATAAATTGTCAGTTTGTGTTTCTTAGTTATTTGATTTTCAAGTGAAAGATTGAGGCTAACCTCAATAAACAGGTCATTTGAATTCATGAAATGTCTACAAAGTTTACAATAAACAGATGTCTAAGGGTTAAAAGGGTTATTGAGTTTCAGTTTGAATATCTCAAAAAGAAAAACAAAAAAAAGAGGAAAGTTTGCAAGTCTTTCATCATCTATTTGAATTTTGTTTCTCTTCTTCAACTCTCTCATTCCTTTTTCGCCCATCCTCATTTCTTTGTCCTCTGTATCCAGACTTTGTTTTCAGCTTCCAGACAAAAAATGACCCATTTTCTGTATCACAACACCTGATCATTTGAGAGTGGCTGTTTTATCTCCTCCTGTCAATACTTTGCTTGGTTTCTTATGTGATTCCATGCACTGTTGCTCTTTTTTTAGCATAATCTTAGACAAGCAGTATGTTTAAAATTATTTGAAGTGAATTTTGTTTGGTTTCAATAAGTTTTAAAATGTTATATCATGGTAAATGATGCACCAAGTCATTATTATCTTGTTTTATTATTGCAGAACCTCATTTTGTTGACTTTGTTGTTGGATCTCACAGCAGTCTTCTCTAACAGGCAAAAAATGAAGGAACATGTAAAAGGGAACCATATTTGTAATGAAGGCACCCCAAGTGTACATACACAAGGAAAATAGGAGAAATGGCAAGGAAAGTAACACTGGAGCCTTTTTCCTAATAATAACAATCCATTGACAATCTCAGTGTATACTTGACTGTATTTATGAAAGAAAGTTGACTTCAGTCCTCACTCTTCAGTACAGTGATTTCAAAAGTGTGCCACAAGAGCTCTTTTGTACTGAGTTTGCAACAAGCAATCACTTTAGCCAGAGGTGATCATGTTTTGGTGTTCAATAAAGGAATTGTAACTCTTAGAACAAATTTCCAGAGTTGCTTTTGTTTCATAACAAAGTTATTAAATATAAGTATATTTTAAATATAAGTACAAGAAGTAGCCACTTCTTGTACAGGACCATGAGGTCCTCAATCCTTCCCAGCCCATAAGGCACCTAGAATGTCTTGGTCAGTGCTATACTCAAAAGCCAGTTACTATTACCCTTAACAATGACTCTTTTAAATGTAACTGGGGTTTACTTGAGGTATTTTATTTAATGGTTTAATTTAATGATAATAGTAACTCAGAATAACCATTAGTTATAATACTTGAGAGTAATTTTAATTTTCTGTAAGGCTCAACCTTCCAAGAAGGTAAAAAAAAAATATTTGAGTAACAATAAATGTACTAATTTGTCTCTACTTCAAGACAATAACCAGGTAACACAAATTCAATGAAATAACTGTATACAAAGAGCCAAAATGTCTCTGTGTAGAAAAATAGTTCACTTTTTCTGTACTTCTATAGTGGTAATGTAAAATAATCAAATTAAGTGATCTGTTCTTCCTTGAGCATGGCACTTATAAAAAACAGTAGCTTTTTGGTACCAATTCGAAGCAGTTGGCGGGCTTGAAGGTGGATGCTTTATTTTACATAGAGCATTTGTTCTTCCTTGCAACCCAACAAATGATCACAGAGTGAAAAGCTAAGCGTGAAAGATGGATGCACTCATTTGTGACACAACACCAAGGCATGCACATTTTCATTTTCTCACAAGTTGGGACGTTTTTGCTTTAATTTGTCCTTGTGGGGTTTATGTCCATCTTTGCTGGATTTTTTCTCATCCTTGCTTGGCCTTTTTTTGTATCTTTCCTTCTGTACTAGCTTCCGACTTTTTTCCTTCTTTTTGGTTTTATAGGTTTCTATTCATAAAAAGAAAATAGAGATGTATATTATTAAAACAGAAACTACACTAAGAATAGCATTTAGCATCTGCTACAACTTTAGACAAGTGCACAGACTTGGTGCTAACAGTTTTGAGGAATGAACTGTTCTCATCAAGGTGTTGCAAAGTTGAAAATTTGTGGCACATTTTTGACAAGCTAACTTTCTAGTGATGTATGTTGTACCACATTTAGGAATTACCAATCTATACCTGTTTTTCTGGATTTCTTTTTCTTTGGTTCCAGTGTACTTGCTAATACATTGTGTAGAAACCTCTTGTTGGTTACTGGAAGAGGGCATCTCTGCCTTACAGACACATGAAAAAAGTAAACTCGATTTATTAAAGCATGATCACTCATTGAAAATGAAGTCAAGAAGGGGTACCAGGAACAATATTTTAACAAAATTCACCTAGTATCTCTGTAGAAGTATTGAATTAACTTAAAATCAATCTTTTTTTTTTGGTTTGTCTCACGGTGTAGTCACTTGGGATGTTTTGACTGCTTACTGCTAGTCTTCATCATTTGTATCATGGTGATCTAATGCCATTGGTGGATTTTGATCCCCATTGTTATGGTTAGTTCTGGTTTTCCAAGAGATCTGACTCCAAGTTGTTTCCTTGGTGGTTTGCTGTTGTACTGGTCTCTCATTGTGTTTCTTGATAGTTGGTATCCACACTTCAGGGATTTCAATTCTGTTATCCCTGTTGATGTTATCAGGGTGAATTCTTATGTGAAGTCTTAGCTTCCTTGACTCTTCTGGTGTACCAGTGTGAGTCCTAATCAATAAAGTGGGTGGTGGCTGGTCTTGTTGGCATGCTTAGAAACAGCAGAGGTCTGGGCATGGGCTAAATGTATATCTCTCTTGTCCTCTCTTGCATAGGTCTTCCTGTTTCACCAATGTAGATTTGCCGCATTCACAGGGAATCCTGTAAACCATGCTGTCCTGTCCAGCTGGATTGACAGTGTCCTTTGGTCATACTAGATGCCTTCTAAGTGTTGTGTTGAACTCGAAGACAGTGTGGATTCGTAATTGTTGTAGGTAACAGCGAAGAGGCTCTGATTTACCTTTTACATAGGGCAAAACTGCTGTGGACTTGGACTGCCTCATAGACTCTCTACTTGGGGAGGAGTTTCTTGTTTTTGTAACCTTCTGTACAAAGGAGGAGGGATAACTGTTTGAAACAAGTACTGATGACAAATGTTTCTTTTCCTCAAAGTTGACTGATGGTTTTGTCACAAGACATTTCACCCAGTCATACAAACACTTAATAATACTGTGCTTTACTGATTGAGGGTACTGATCAGTGTGAGTTGGTTTTCAGTAGACACGAGTGGTCAGGCATCTGTCTGGTTCCCTCATAACTGACATGTCGAGAAAGGTGATCTTGTTGTCTTTCTCAGTTTCCATGGTGAATCAAGTGGTAGGTTACTGACTTCTGAGATGCTGTAAGAAACAGTCAACATAACTGTGATCCAGGATGGTGAAGGTGTCATCAACATAGTGCTTCCAGATCTTGGGTTTCTGTGTTGTGGATTCTACCACTTGTTCTTCAAATACCTCCATGCAGAGGTTTGTAATAGCTGCAGAAACTGGGCTCCCCATGCCTGCACCCTGTAGCTGGTGTTAGATAGAACTGTTACACTGGAAGTATGTCTATCTCATTGCGAAGTCTAAGAGGTCCGCAATCTGAGCAGGTGTTGTGTGGTCTGAGAGGTTTGGATCACTCTCTCACTTTTGTCGTGCGGCTTCTATGGCACCCTTGACTACAGCACCCTTGACCCCATTGCATGATGAAGACTAGTAGTAAACAGTTGAAGTGTCACAATCTATATCCCAGGTGACTACATTGTGAGATAAACGATTAAACAGTTTTTTATTACCTACCACCCCTAACCTCTTTTATTAATTTTTTTTCCTTTCAAACAATCAAAGAGTTTATAATTCTCAATAGATCTAAGAATTTGTATTTCTTTGATCACCCAGGTAAATATTTGTCATTCAGCTTTTAACAGTGTCTGAACAGACTTGAATGACTTTTAATCAAGAGCATTTGTTCAATCTGTGTTCTTTTCATACACATTACTGAGATGAAGTTGATCCAAATGTTCCAATTTGCTGGTGGCCTGAAGATCACTGATTCACTCAATCTTTGGATTCTGCAAATAATTGATCTGCAAGGCTATGACAAGATAACTTGAGATAAAAAAGTGTTTGATGACTAGACAACTTACCATCCCACAGGTCCTACTTCTTCTGCTCTTGATTTGGCTCTTTTTGCTTCCAGCAAAAGTTCTTGTTGGGCAAGCCTATGTACAAAAAATTATTTGATCAACTTAGGTTATAAAAATTAATTAACCCATTTATCATCTTGCCAGCTTTCAGATGTTTTGATATGACCAGTGTGAAGTGAAAACAGGGATATAGAACAGTTTTGTCTCCATGAGTGGTTTTTGGTTTTTCATGCCACCTCTTACATATATTTTTTTTGGATTTATAAACACATCCATGCATTGATTAGGATTGAATTCCCCATCAAGACATGACAACAGTCCTCTAGCTCCCTCCTCCCACCCCCTGCTGAACCCACTTATTGTCTTACATCTCATGAGCACCTGCACACCCAGAAGGAACCCCAGTGCTCACGCACTCACAGTAATGCAGGTATGCTGTGCTAAAAAAAGACCTTCCCAGTTCTTGAGGAATCTTGGTGCAAGCCACGCTAGTAATGTGGTCTAATCAACATGGACTAATCTTTAATGCAAAGATGTACTTCCTCTTATGCTGATAAACTGACGTGTTTGCTTATCAAGCAAGTGACATATTCAATTTTCTCTTGAAAAATGCCAGAATTTAAACGCATGGTGGGTATTTGTTGTCGTAAAAACCTCTTGTTGGTTAGTCGGATCTCCTGTTGACATTGTAAAGCTAGTTTTCTGTTGTGATCTGCCAATCAATGAAGTGGTTCTTTTTATGTGATAAAACCTATATCTTTTTCCTTTCACTACAGACTGAGAACAAGCTAATGTTAAAATTCGATAAAATGTGATTCACAGAGGTAAACGAAACTAGCTACATAAGTGTTAACCTTACCTTTCTAACTCCTCGTTATCCATATAGCTACACTGTATCATCACGGTTATTTATCAGTCAATGTGCATAAGGAGTACACTACATGCTCCATACATACAACATCATCTTTGCTGGTGGGCTCCAGGCTCCTGCCTTCGGAATCTAGTCACTAAGAACGCCTGTCATTTATTGCTATTCGTGTTAGTCGTTTGAAAGCGAAATGTCGTTGTTCGGTGCTGTTAGTCAACCTTCCACAGGTGTGGGGTTTTCTTTTGGAACTCCTTCTAGCACAACTACGGGTTTTAGTGCCTTTGGAGTAAGTCAACAGGGAAATACAGTTAATAAGCCATTGTTTGGCACAACGAACTTTGGTACTAATACTGCTGCCAGCTTTGGTGCAGCAACTACAACGACTGGTTCAGTGTTTAGCTTTGGCGCAAAGACTACTGCCTCTTCTTCTCTAGGTATATTTGAAGATTATTTCTTCTCCCATTATTATTTCTCCATTATTATGCTGGAAAGCGAGCAAGTACAAATGTCACTTTGAACTGTTCTCACATTTTTGCCTTGTCTTCATAATAATAATTTACATGGAAAAATTACTCAGTTCTGATTGGTTATGATAAATGCAGTTTTCAGGTAATTCAGTGCAGAAGAGAGTTAATTCAGTGCAGAAGAGGGTTAATTCAGCGCAAAGAAAGTAACAAATCAGAAATTCTGATTGGTCAATAATCAAAGAAACTCACAGATAGCCAATCAAATGTGAGCCTTGGATGTTGCAACAAAATTTGAAAATTTGCAAGTGAAACAATGGCTGGTGTTTTAAGTAGGTTTTCTTTCGCCACTGCAGCTGAAAAACAGCTCAAACAACGAAAACACTGTAAAAAGCACTGCTTTTTGATTGTCGGTTTGGAAAAAGTGGTGTTTAGAGAGGGGAATTGCCAAGGAAATCGAAAATTACGAGCTGACCCAGCTTAACACTTTGCTCAAGAGATCCAACATGGAAATTAAAAACAAACATGGTTAAACCTCGGAAACAACAATTCCATTTCATCGTAAGTGATTCAGACACAGACTGAACAATTCCTTGAACTGTTTAGCTGGACTTTGAACTTTTTTTGCACCTTAAAGATGTGAAGATATCATTGCATATTGTTGTTTCAATTGTACGTGGTTGGTTTGACTGAATGCACGGTTTGAATAAATTATTTTTGCACTTGATGCGCACGCTTTGCTTATGCTTAATTATGATAAGCATCTCATATTTTTCCATGTATATTATTAACATGTAATCACATGATTTTTCTTGTACAATTTGGAATAAACAAGCACTTGTTAATTTTTTCAAAGACCACAAATTACACTTGCCCTATGTGCTTATGCAATTTTGTTAGTCTTATAAAAAATTTTCTTGTGCTTATTTATTCCAAATTGCACTTGAAATCATGTGATTGCCTATACAAATTGAATAAGAGAATTACTATATGTTTTAAGTGAAATCAAGAGACAATCATCAACTTCTTCTGAGAAACATAAAAAATTTTCCTTTGTGCAAATGATTAATTTTAAAAATCCAGTGGCCTGTGACTCACCCAGCGCACAATGCATTGCACATAAGTAATGTTTTAAGTTGACTTGTTGTGAAACCTATCATAGTGAGAAACAGCATTCAAACCAAACAAGATGACAGATTGTGAAAGCATTTTAAGATTTTCAGTGGCATTAAATCTTTGTCTGTACTGTCCAGTTACAGTTTGGGTTAAGTCCCAAGCTGAAACAGTTCAAGGATTGATGAGAATTATATTTCATTCTTTGTTAGGCAAACAGCTATAGTGTTCCAATAAATCATTAAAGAAACAATTTTGCACGTTGATGCCATATAGTATCAGTTACAGTGATATGAAACTGTTCAGTTGATTAAACTATATTTGCCATCAGGTTTTGGATCAACAGTCACTTCATCTGCTCCTTCTCTAGGAGCGAATCTCACTGGTTTTGGAACAACTCAAGGACTTGGTTCTACAGCTTTTGGTCAGCCTGTAGCAGGTGCTGTTTTAGAAGTTTTCAAAACTATGGAACACTGATACTGTAACTTATGTATGATTCTTTTTGCATTTTACAACCTCAATCTATGGGCTGTGGCAACTGTTATAGGTGCAAGTATAATGTTGCAACTTTTTAAGAATAACAAACATGAACTAGATATCTGGTACTCATCTTCTTGTGTTCTTACGTTGCTTTCAGCTGAGTAAAGGTAATTTTTTTTCTTTTCCTCTCAGGGTTATTTTCACAGCAGAGTAACCAGTCTGTACCCAACCAACAAGTTGCACCCTTAGCCCAGCTGGCTGTTGCTTTATCTCAGCCTCAGATATATGGTGATGAAAGAGATGGAATTATTGCCAAGTTGAACCAGGTGCAAGCTTATTGGGGAACTGGAAAAGGGTTTTATAACCAACAAAGTGCAGTTGACTTTACACCACAAAATCCATTTTGTCGCTTTAAGGTAAGGTGTTTATATCACAGATCCCAACTGCAGGGAGCAGTTTGGGTCTGCTTATCATTCAAAACATTTTTTAATTAATAGAAGAAGAAAGATTTAATAGGTACTCCCCAAGGGGCTTTTCAGCATCTATTTACATAACTTCATCAGATCAATAACATCAAAAACTTATGACTATTTACATTAATATCACTAATTATATCAAAACTAATAACTGTTTGCAAGAATGTGACTCTTAAGTTTCTCCTTAAATGCCTTTAGGGAGGCACACTGTCTTAATTCAGGAGATATATTGTTCCAGAGCCTCACCCCTCTAAAGGCAAAGGACCACTGACCAGACGTTTCATGATTTCATGTCCTATGATTATGAATGTCTGATCTCTTAACAAACTTACTACTCAAGTAACTGGGGGCAAGATGGTTCATGCATTTATAAGTCATGACAGTGGCTCTGAAAAATAAAAGCTGATCTACAGAGAGCCAGTTTAATCAAAACTGTAGCAAAATTTTCAAATGTGATTGATTATTATCAATGTGAATTGAGCACTTATAGGACAGTGAATGCATCATGTTTGTAATTTGACAGTTGACATGTCATGCCTGTGTATGAGAACAGTACACATCAGGTGCATCCATTCTTGTTAAGCATTTTGTTATCTGTTGTTGTTTTTTTATGAAAATGTGTAACCAGTGTATAGACTCCACTCAGTCCTATTACTAGTATGAATTTTATATGTAAACTGAACTAGACAAGTCCACTTTAATCAGGGCTAGAAACAAAGGCTGCTGGTCGGTTAAATTTCAGAGTTTCTTTTCAAGATGTTGTGATACAATACGAGGTGTTAAGGTGGTTCTCTAGCTTTACCTCTTTGTCATCAAAGATGGCTCAAATTCTTGCTGGCTACCTGAAGAAAGGCAGTTAAGGCATTTGTTGGAAGTCATAACTCTTCAAGGTCACTAAAAAGAACTCTTCCCTGTTGAAAAAAAGGACAGTGATTAGTGGCTAACTGTGTTTGCCAAGTTTTATGTTCCAACCCAAAACATGAACCAGTTACCGGTAAGTCCTGACCGGTGATAAGTATTTACTTATCGAGGTTGATCTGGATAGATGATGGCAAATGTGAATGAAAACACAACAGGCTGACTTACTACAAGCTGTAGTGACAACTACCAAATGCATACATATTATGAACCTTTTTTTATGCATTGATTTAATAGGTTGTAAGCTACAGTCGCCTTCCTATGGCCTGTAATGAGGATGGTCATTTATCTCTTGAAATAAAGAAGAAAGAAAGTGATGTTCGTGCTTTACAACAAGGGATTGTAGATGGACTTCATAAGTGTCTAGGAAGCAAACCTACCATTATGGTCTGTATTGATGGAATAAAACCTCTGCCAGATGACAGGTAATCTACATAATTTTTTTGGTTTTACCTTGCATACTGTTCCTACAGACTCAACTTGTGAATAAAAGAAGATGTTCAGTTCCTCTATGTTGGGTTGTGATGTACAGGCAAATCTTGTTCAAAGAAGGGAGTAAATTGGAAGCCTAATATTCAACTATTGGCAAGTTCAGGACACCTGAACTGAGATAGATGCCTTCTATGGCTTCAGATGCAGGTCTGTGATACTGCTTAGAGTAGCAGTCAACATGAAAAGTGTTCGCTGCACAGAACAAGAAAGAATGCTAACCTTGGTTGTTAAAATGATTTCAGTTGTTTTCTGATACAAGGACATACTGCATTATCAACATACATTGTTATTTGTATGGTCATATGCTTCATGTTGGTTCAACTGATATGCCTTTTAAAGACCTGAAGTAGTATTTTAGTTAGGAGTTCTTAACCAGTGCACTGATTGTTATAAGTACATATTTGTTGTGTGCTGCATTTTTCATCAGGTCAGAAGTGGTAATGTATGTTGTTGAGAGACATCCAAATGGTTCCTCAAGAACTATACCAGCCACAGATGTCTTTTCACATCTTAATCAAGCCAGCATCAAGGTAATAAACATAATGTTTTTCTCCTTTGCGGACCAATAAAAGCCATAGTGTTATGAGTATGTGTGTTGTTAAAATTACACAGGGCAAGTCTTTGGCAAAACAATATAGCCTGCATAAAGAGTAGTTGTCAGTAATGTAACAAGGCTACCTGCTTACCTTTTTGGGTTGTCTCTATATTGAGTACTAAGGTTCCAAAAACTACCAACTATACCTAAACCAAAACAACAGTCATTCCTTAGCCATTTTATCATCTAAAACTGGCAGTGCCTACTTTCAATTATAACCTTAACAGTGATTGTGTTGAAGTGTTGCGGAAGGGCTGGTTTGTCTCATATTGTTTAGAGCCTTTGAATATATTATACTTTGTATGATCTGAAATGAATGATTGATCCCTTACACCTTAAACACATTCTCAGCCTCAGCTCAATAGCCTTGGAATTTTAAATGTTTTACTGAAAACAAGCCTGTCCCCATCTCACCTGCAACAATATCTGGACAACCCTCCTGTTGGTATGTAACCAATTATTTTTTATGTTTCTGTAAATACTATTCCTAACCGTTAGCATTTCTGCAACTTACTCAGACAGTGTGAGTTTTACGGTTATCATATTGTGCTCAAAAGAAAAAGAATGAAAGTGACAAATTAACATGAATCTGCATAAAATTTGAAGTGCTAACATACATGTATGGACTTACTTGAAAGGTGACAACAGAAATTGAGTGAACTACAATTACAGTTTATTTTGTTGTAATTTTGAATGATATATTTTTCATTAGCCAAAATGCTGTTGAGATGGATGCTACTGCAATAATTCATTCATACAAACTACTGTAAATTACTCAAAATGTACAAGACAAGGCTGGATGTCAAGGTCTTGTGCACCTATTGGCTGGAGTGTGATGATGATGATGGTGATGATGATGACACGATAGTTATAATACTAGTCATGATTATGTTTTTTGTCGTAAGTCAACAATGAAAAAGAACTGCACTTTTTTTTATTCCCTTGCTCTTTTATTTTCCTTTTGATTTTCCTTTTATTTCAAGGAATAGATTCCTTGCTGTGGGAGCAAGCAAAAAAGGACAATCCAGATACCGAGAGGTACCTATTACATATCTAGCTAGGCAAAGCTAATGTCTGTGGAATATGTACACACACTTACAAAGTTATGGAAGTTATCCATAATACTCCAAGTCTGTTTAGAAGGCACCAAGTGATTGATGGTAGTAGATCAATGAATGATCATTTGCGGAGAAGAAATTATTTAACTTTGGCACAATTGATTTTAATCAGAAACTCCTTAGTTCTGGCTATTGATTGAACAGAAAAAGTGAGTGTTAATATATAATCATCAATTGCTTCACACTGTTATTAAGGAAATATTTTCTGTTCCGTATGATTATTGTATTTGTTATTGGACAATGCCAATCAAAATCAGTCATCCACATATAAAGGGAACAAATTGATTGATTTATTTCAAATCATATGTGTTACCTAATGGAATGCTCCCTTTTCAACTCCTCTGAGATGTCATAATTGAATATTGTCAATTGCTTGAAAGGTTGATTCCGGTGGCAATCACAGGATTTAGTGAACTAAAAAAACGTGAAAAGCTTCAAGAACAGGAAACTTTGCAGCATCAAAAGCGGCTCTCTGTGAGTTAATAAACTTTCTAAGTATATTTAGAGTATAACAAAGGGGAAGAGTTTGCATTCTTTACTAAATAAGTTAAACAGTGAGTTTTGCTTCTGCATTTCCATCAAAAAACTACAATTTCCAGTAGGAGAATGGATGGTTCATGCCATGCACGTTTGGAACATTTTGAGATGACGCAGTCTTCACATTAGTATTATTGTTTTTTTTATTACCATTTTCGATCATAATTGTGAACGTGGGTAAGTTTTGAGCCTTTCTTAGAAAAAAAGCTTCCTTTAGATGCCTTGTGTATTTGATAAGTAATTAGTATGTGTCTGCATATATTTCCACAATAATTGTCAAAATACATGATGTGCTGGCAAGTTTTCTCCTTAAAGATAACTGTTGGAAAAGACTTGGCATAGCTACAGATGAAGCAGCCTTGTATGTCATACTGTTTTGATAAGTTACCTGCCTCATCAATGTCTTGTAACCAGTTCCTGCACTATTTATAGCATCTATTTGTTTTCATTTGATTGGGTTCTGTTTTATTCTCAACTAATAAACTTTTCCCTAAAGGAAGACTCACCAAAACAGAAAAAGTTTCAATTGTTTGTTTCTGGTTAGATGCTTTATCACTTGGTCGGCGAGTGAAGCAGGCTAGCTTTGATTCTTTTTGACCATGTGGACGTTTTTCTCTTTTTTCAATCAGCTTATACGTGAAGAGATTGCAGAGTTACAACATAATCACGGCACAACAATGGCTAAACTGGCACAATTTAAACGAAAACACTTAGAGTTAAGTCATCGCATACTGGAGGTAATATACTATTTGTTCTTACCAGGCTTTTCATACAAGTCACATTTAATTTAAATTTCACAACTCGGGGTTAAAGAAAAGATTACTTTAAGACACTGGTCATTCACAGGTTTTCTGCTTTCGAGTGATTTGTGGTATTTGGTGATCTCTAAGTTTCGTTAAAAATCCTTTTTTGAAGGACAGGAAGGAAATACTCTTCTAGAAATATTTCCGTCACATTAAACAAAGACACGAAGTGCCTGCTTTTTTTGTTGTAAAGTACTGATTGTTGATGTGTAGCGATTTACGTCACGTAGTAGTAATTTTGACTTAAGGAAGTTATAACATGTTAAGGCAGTAGAAAGAAAAGATAAGGGACAAAACACATTATAAATAAATCAAGATAGAACAAGGATTGTTAAAGATGGCAGAATTGAAAGGACGATAATGATCGTGCACCAAAAGTACCTTGACCTTGACGGTTGTTATTAAGGTGATAACAAGATTTTAAGTGGACTCCAAAAAGAGAAACAGATATTGAACTTCAGGAGAAAATGTGACGTAAATCTATCATTGTGGGGAAGTTTTTTTCCCAAAATAAGAAAAAGTGAGAAATGAAAATTGCACCAGTTTATTACCAATTATGTAAAACAACGTCGGCGAAGTGGGTTTTTTTTTAAAAAACTCTTCATTTTACGGAAAATTCGTGAAGAAAATCCAATTATTCGTGAAAAACGTTAACTAATGAAAACAGAAGAATGGTCGAATACTTTGCTGTAAACTGAGTTATATCAGAAGTGCCCACTTGACAAATAGATTGAATGTTGCAATGGGTCTCTTTACAGTAATAGATCACAGATGACGTCAAAATGTGGTGAGAACAAAGAGTGTCACACAAAGCATTGCTGTCCGACTGTAGCACGGGTGTTCTTACCATATTTTGACGTCTGTGATCTTTCCCTGTACAGAGACCCGCGGTAACATGGAATGTGTCAATTTTTACATGATAAAAAGTATCATAAGTTACAACCAATCAAAATGTAAGGGAGATTCAGCTTGTTATATAAATTATTACTGTCTGCGTTTATTGTCGCGATAAGAAAAGTGGTTAATCTTTACAAAACTGAGAGATATTTTTTCAGATGAGGCTAAGAGGATAAAATCGCTGACACTGCTCTTTGTTATGACGTAGTTTTGTGCTTGAAAATGAAGTTGAACGCGGAAAATGTTTCCGGAAATACATTCTATTTTGTCAAAACGTCAAAGGGTGGGGCAAAAGCTAAATATAGAGGAAAGGGTATCACGTACAACGACTTGTTCCACCCAGCTTGCCTAGTCATCTTTTTGCTCACGAAACTTTATATTTACTTATCTGTGCATAACTTGACCTTGGAGTTGAAAACTAAACATTTTCTTTGTTACTTTATTAGGTTATGATAAAACAGGAATGTCTCCGGAAGAGTGGTTACTCAGTACAGGCTGACGAAGAACAGCTCAGGTCAGTTTTGGTGCATAGAGCATTTTGAGGGTAGGGAGTCTATGGTTTTAATGAGTAAGTTACACAGGCACATTAAAAAATGGCACCTTTTATTTAAGAATCGCCCGTGGGAAACATCTTTAATTTCTCTTAAAATAGTACGTTGACACACACCCCCCCCCTCCCTCGCCTCCCCTGACTATTGTGGTACATTGTGAGTCAGGAAGGAGTATGAGATTATGACGTACGAGTCCAATCTTACCTTATTCGGACAAAGTTGGCAATTGGGCGTCACCTGAGTGGAAGACTACTGCCCGGAAAAGTATAGAGGCTCTGGATATTAGTACTATCAAGCATATTTTCATCACATAAGATAATTTTTGCGGCTACAGGTTTGTACATTTTGGCGCATGCGGTGACTCCTTGTTTTTTCCTGTATTTTTCCAATTTCTTGTGAGTGGATATGTATTATGTCAAGTATTTAAAAAATTCTGAATGACAAATTATTTCAAGGGAAACGTCTTAATTACTTTGTGTTTCACTTTCATTCCCTTCAACTTTTTTTCTTTATTTCTTCATGGCAGAGTACAACTTGAATATCTGCATGCGGAGTTGAATGCACCCTCCCAATTCAAGGCAAGTCCTCAATAAATTAGTCCAGAAAGAAAGCATCAAATTCCTACAGGTGTATATGCGGTGTGAGATCATTTGCGCCGAAAATTCCCATGGTTTGTGTTGAAACTCAGTCGTTAGCGCTGACGACAAATCAGCACCGCAAACTTCAGTGCTTAGTGGAAGGATCATCATGAATGGTGAATCCGATAAATGTTGATAAGCTATGGATTGAGGATCATGGAAGGAGCACAACACACGGACTGCATCTTATGAACAGGGTATAAAATATAGGTCGGGGTTCTACCCATGGTCCCTCGCGTTCAGGTTCCTTCGTGAAGAGCTTTAGGTGGAGTTAGGGAACACAAAGCGAGCATAAATCGGCTAGGTTGAAAGGTTCTGTAAAGGGAACGATGACTTATTATAAATAGTTGGTAATTTTGTGCCTATCAGGTGTTGTTGGACTGTCATAAATGGGTTGATTGGGTTAAATTAGCTTCTTTGCTGCAGTTTTTTTCTCTTTTCATCATTAATTCCCTGAGTTTGAAAAATCACATCTTGATGTATTGAGCCGGCTGCAATTTGAATTCCAAACAGTGCGTTGGCAGTTCTGTCTTAAATGCCTGATAAAGTTTTGATTTTGACAATTAGAGGTAATTCTAACCTTTTTTCAACATGGCCTTGCTATCACAGGCTCGTTTAAATGAGATGATGTCGCAGATCCGCTTACGGCAGAGTCAAGTTGGAGAGAGACTGGCGCGAGCGGACGGCAGATATGTAGTGGAAGGCGCTATTCAGGACCAACTTAAACAAGTGAGAGAGATCAACACCAATATTTCCTTAATGTTGAAATAATCAAAATCGCGAACCCGTCAAATAACATATATTTATGTAGGACTTCAAACATAAACAAACTCAAATAAGGCGAATGATTGTCTCTGAGTGCATGATAAAGTAAGGACCCCAAGAGGAAAAAAAATACTGCGCTGCACGCTTTCACCAGCCTGTGCCAGGCGTACGGTTGGTAATCCATATAGCTCTCTCTGCGTCATCCTATATTACACCAGAGAGGGGTAGAAGGGATAATGGTCATTATGGAAAATCATTTTACTCCACTCGACTTGACGATGTCTATATTTTTTCTCTTTCTACTCTCTACTTCGCTGTACGTTGCCTTTTCACTCAACCCTAAACTGTACTTTTTCTACCATATTCTGCTTGACTCTCCCCTTTTGATGCTCCCCTTTCTACTCTGCTCAGTCATTGTATATGCTTTACTGTATTCTGTTTTATTGCTCTCTAATAATAAAATATACTGCATATTTCAGGGATTGTCCAGTTGGCAATCCCATTTGCACACAATATCAATCCTGAGTCTTGCTCTCAAAAATATTAGAGTAAGAAAACATTTCGTGTGAAGCGTAGGTCGCTGCGGTTAATGATGCTGTTAGGTTGAACGCGAAATAGTGACTTAACCAATCTCCTTACCAAAGGCACTTATTGGGTAAGTGTTGCTCAATACCCACCCCGCTACATTAAGTTTGATTTCGTAATGCTAAAAAAAACCTAAAGAATGGATAAAACTCTCAAGGTGATAATTGTGCCTTGCGGGATTTCAAATGTGAGTAGGAAAACAATTATAAAGAGGTCATGAGATTGCTAGCAATAATTTCAGTTTTAATTGTTATTTAACAAGATGATTGCAACTGTTGTGTCATTGATATCACTAAGCTGGAGTTCTATTTAAGAGCTTTGTTTTGTTACCATCTGACTAAAGTTGCTGCTTATTCCTTAGTACAGCAGAAGGTAATGTCGTGTTTGAATTAACCTAAACTTCACATTTTAAAAGTCAAAGTTCTGGGCTAGATGTGCTGGTGTTGTAGTAATTCTGTTAAAAAGTGTTTGTGAACTCGTGTCGTTTATTGCAGCATCTTGAGCGTCAACAGTTAGGCCTGATGCACCTTATAACCATCATAAAAGATGATCTTCAGGAGTTGGCCACCATAGAACGAGGACTCAGTGAGCTTCCTTCAACAAGGACATGAACAACACTGTTCACTTAGTGACCTTCGGGACTCGCTGACGACCTTCCTTCAACAAGCACATAATAGACAGTGTTGACTGCTCTTGTGATAAGAGTACATTATCACAGAGAATTTCACATTCCTATACATGTTTTGTCCTCTTTGACGTAAACTATATGTGCTCCTTAGGCTATACAGCGTCGTTAGGTCAATAGTTTGGGCAAAGGCAATTAGTAGGTATATTGTATTAAGCTGCCAATATCTCTAATTCCTTAGGCTTTACTAATTGTCTGTGAGTTTATACTCGTATTGTGCCATCTTTTGTAGAACAAAAACCTTGCTGCTTAAACTTTAAGATTTGTACTCATATCCTTCAAAACGCTGCCGATACCATTAAGTTTTGCCCTCAGGCTTGAATGCATGTAAATGCTATCGTATCATACAGTAGAGTGTTTAGGAAAGTGCTTCTCTCACAATCACTCTCTTAGTTTCTTCAATTTTCTTGTGACAGCAGCAGCGTAAAGTTGTTGCTGCAGGCGCCTGTCGTCTAGTCTGTTCTTGACCCTTTTGACATCGTACAAATAAAGCGATCAACTGCGTGAATATGTTTATGACCAGGAGTAACTTCAAGGTCTACTGGCACCACAAGGCACTAATCTAAAGTGCTGGCTTTTATTTTCTTTAGTGCTTTTGAGCTAATACAGCGCATATCTTGTTGATAAATACTCATTTCTCTGTCAGCCCAAGGAACATTGGCCAATTGAACATAGTTATTCTCACGTAAATTTCCAAACTGCTTTAGTTCTTTCTTCAATAGTTGAAAGTTTCAAATTCCTCTAATCTGTAGTTTGTATATTCACTACAGATTGGATAAATTACAACTCAAATAGTCGCTGTTTAGCGACTGCAATGGCTAGAGTCCCTTCTTCTTTTGATTCAAATTTTCTTCTTGAGTGAAAGATAATATATATGCCAACTTTATACCAAGTGCCCTTAGTCTACATTTGGCTAGAAGTTGTAGGATATAAAATCAGCACTAATGAGGAGAACACAGCTTTCTTTTCTTTGGAAACAATTGATTCAGCTGGGTTATGCAAGCGGCGATGCATAGTCAGTTCAAGAAGAAAAGGCTATTGTGTGGTCGGTAGACAATGCTCAAGGCAAGGCCATCTATTTTTACTAACACACAACAGCTACTATTTGTTTAATAATTTCTATAGTAAATTGAAGAGAAAATACGATATACTGGAATTATTTCGAGAGTAAAAGTTCAATAAACACAGACAAGTATGTTTATGCAGTTCTGAAGTATTGTTTTGACGTTTGAACCGTCAGTCATTCCATGAACAACTGCCGACTAGTTTTTCTGTTGAGCTGAATTCTTAAAGCAACCCTCGTTGACTTGTTGCGATTTTTCTCAGCTGTAATGAAGGTAACTTGTACGTTTTTGTTAGAGAATGAAAACCTTTTATTCCGTTCCGCAAGGAAAGGAAGGCTCTATTTTTATACCACTTCCCACGCAATTGTTGTAACCGTTTAACTTTTTTTTCATGTTTCAATATTAGTTTAGTCACCAATAAGACGTCAAACGTTAAGCCTCCTAAGTCAACAATTTACTCTTCATTCTCAAGTACAAATATTTTTAACAATGTGGGAACTTAAATTTTTTTTTGGCAAACTGACTTGGACAACATAGTGAAGTGCTTAGTGGAATTATTGGACAATACCAGAAGGAATATGAGCTGTTAGTCGTAGTACGTGATGGCGGAACACTCTTTTTTGCAGGGTTTAAATTTATTGAATTCATGCTTACAGAAGCGTGATATAATAAGTCTGAAATTAATGCAAATTTCTGGAGAAATAGACGTCGGCTCACTGCCTGACCGGAAATAAATAAAATTGTCTTTGAACAGTAGCAGCCGCTCCAGGCTAGTTATCGGTCATACTTTTTATAGGTTACACTGTTCCATTTATAGCTTCTCTTTACTCTTCGTCTACAGATAATTTTCGTACACTGACTGGAGATTTGCGTGGTACAATCGATCTTTAACTAGCGTGTTACACCACCCGAGCAAGACTGACTATTCTGAAAAAATGTCTGACTTTGTCAATCTTTTGATTAACCGCTGCGAATCTGCCTCGGGTCACAATAATACTCTACTTCAATTTATTCACTATATTTCGATATCGTGTTAGGGTGCGAAACACCTTTTATCAATATAAATATGTTCTTTGACACTTAATTTGTTCTCTGTGCTTTCACTTTAAATCGACTGACATTTACAGACGAGGTTTATTGGTAAACTATAACTCTGTTAGCGACAGCCACACGTCGATGCAACCATACCAGGGTATTCCTTTAGCACAATGCTTCCATCCAGCTCAAAATACATCAAACTCATAGAGTTTAAACTTGTGGGTACACAGCATGCTGCAGGAATGTTCTTATTTAATCGATGGTGAAGGAGGTTTTGTATTATGGCGTGGTTTGATGGATCGTAATATTTATCGATGACTTCTGGACATGTACCCATGCAGTAATAAGCGCTGAATCCTCGAGGTGCTATAATCCATTTGTCCCAGTTTAAGTCACGAAATTTCACAAACAGTTTGTGTCTCGCACAGCTAACGTCTCCCACAGATCTGCGTCTTCTGTTCATTATGCCAGAAGTGTCTTGCTTGTTTTTGCCTTTACCTTTGTTGTGTTTATCTTCGCCGTTATGCCTTGTTTCGTTCGGAATCTCACTAAAAGGTCCCAACGATTTGTCTTGCTTTTTGTCCTTATCATCTCCGTAAATGACCAAGATCGGCTCTTTCCTACCACCAGTTGCTATGAAGAAATCCGAAGTTGGAATTCCAATTCCTTTGACTGAGATCCACAAACCGAAATTTCGTGATGGCCAAGAACTCCAAAACGACACAGCTGAGGTAACATTTAACACGACCCAGCCGCCAACTCGACGACATTTAACATGTTTGGTAGCCACTGTAGTCAACTTTTTCTTCCAGCTTGTGTTACCCTCTACAGGTCGGCGATTCAAACGATACACTGTCACTTTAAAATGACCATGAGTGTTCTCCAGCTTAGAACGTCTCTTAAATAATCTCAGCTCTGCTTTCTCTATTTGTTCATTGGGTTTAAGCGACGATAAGTTGAAGTACAAGCGACTCTTGTCCTCGCTGACGCTCGTGTCTGCAGTGATAAATAACGAGGTTAACAACGTTACAAATTACCATATTATATTCATGTAGCTCGATAATCTACTCATGTAGGTTTCTTCAGTGCAAACTGCTTGTATTACCGAGGATAATTACGTACCTCTGAAGAAAGTTCGTATGGTTTTCCCAGGAGCAGATTTGCCAAACTTGGTGAAGCCCGTTGTATGAGCTTGTTCCTTGTACAAGTCCATCACATATTTCGGTACCTGAGACCTACTTCTTGCCACGCTCGGCTTTTCCTTTATCTCTAACAAGTTTAGTAAATCACCTTGGAGGTTTGTAATCTCTGCTCCGTTCTGTAGTGATACTGGCGTGAAGCACACCAAAAGTAAAATAAAGTTGAGCGAATTCATTTGAGCACTCTGCGGGATATCCGTGGTCCTAGCTGGCTGTTGCAGTCATGAGCTAATCATCAGTCCGTTGTGGCTAGAATGAATGTTGCACTGATTACTGAAGTATCCAAGTGGTTCATTTGTGACTATATAGCCGCCCACTATATTGTTCACGTGCACGCCCGACATTAGCCAACAGTGCAACCAGCCACGCCGGAATTATCGTTAACAACCGATTTCAAAATAACACTCTAAAAATATTCAGTAGTGCCCAGGAAACAAACTAATATTTGGTGAGTTTCCAAAAACCGAAAAACCATACATAAAAGGGTTTTTTCCGATTATGGTGTTTGCTAAATTCGTATCGATTACTGTGTGCAATAAACCGATGAAATTGTGGTCACACATCGTTGAGAGTTGTTAAAAAAATTGTGCATGCTGACTTGTGACATTGCGGTCATTTTGCGGCTGATTGGAGAGTAGTTGAACAGAAGCCACTTCACAATGATGACATTCGTTTAGAAGTTCTCTTAATTAAACGGTAACAACTTATAAACTTAACTGAATAAATCACAGATTCGCTAAACCTAAAAGTGTAGAATAAATCTACATTTAGTTCAAAAGCGCAACCAAGTTGTTGGTTAAAGCCTCTTTTGTTAACACATCGAATGTCTGGGGTGACATTATTGTGATAGGGTTCTCAAACAAAATAGGAAGGCGTGATCAAAGGATAACGTTGGCTGGATGTGTGCTTCACTTGGTTTTTTTTAGTTTAACGAGAAATTACTGAAAAGCCTCCACCGAACTGGAGCACAAATTACCATATGGCAGGCGACATGAAGCAGTGATTTCGTATTGTGATTGTGTAGTTTAATTATTTATGCTAGTTTCATAACAGCAACCCCTTGGCGCGGTGTGGCGGTAACTTCATATCAGTCCTGCAGACAGCCAAATAGCCCAGAACGATATGAAACTGCAGTCAGACACAAATGAATTCTCTTGGAGTACCAGTCATTCCACACTTCATCGTTTGCTTTCTCATATATGGAAGCAGAAAACAACAAAAGGAGTATTGAACAAATTTATCCGAGCGTGGCCAATACTTTAGTGATGTCAGATCAGATATATTTTACTCAGTTATGTAAGTGATCCTTGTTGTTACATCCAATCTACAAGATTAAACTTTGTATGATCGCTGCCGTTTATTTTAGATGAATTTTGTTACATATCGACACCCACAGTTCTTCCGAGAAATCATAATTTCTTCTTTGTAACTCTTGTCTAAAGTGTCCAAAGAAAAAAAACCAAAACAGTTGTCTATCTTGTGGCACGGGTGAGAAAGTTTCAAAAGAATAGATTCTGTTATGTCTCCACCATAGTAGGCAGTGTTTTGTAATTTTATTTGTTTATAGGTTGTTTTACGTTTTTCCTTCCGTTAGGATAGGGAGTGAGCCATTTCAACGTAATAACATTTCCCTTCACTGGAGGTGTTCGAGGAAAGCTATTGTTATTCAATAAGACCACACTACGTGAGTGGGTTTGACATTTTTTCATGACTAAAGTCACAAGGTGTGGATATTATTTTTGGAGTACCGATAACCAGATACTAGTGCAGTCTTTGTTTTTCGAAGAAAACAAAATCCAACACCATGGTGCAATATTTCAAATTTTTGTGCAGAGCACTGAGTTTGGTGAATATCGTCGTTGGTTTGTTTTGGCGAGTATTGTCGTAACTAAGTCAATGAATCTTATAGAGATTTGTAGCAGACACCGCGCCTCACCGAGTCAAACGGACGTTTCTAGTATATGGAAAAAAATAAGAAGAAGCTAATATCAAACTAAATTTTCGACATTTTTAAACTAAAAATTTTATCATTTTCAAGCGTTGATGTCTGTTAGATATTCAAAGGGATGGAGTCCTAGTGACTAAGAATTCAAAGTGTCTATAACCAGCTTGAATCGTGAAAAGCTTTTATTCTGTTTACAACAGTCAACTTTTGTCATTAAGAATTGCCTGAATTAATAAACGCTGAATTTTTTCAGTTCTCCTTGATGCCTCCAGGTTATAAACCAGCTGTCATGCCAACAACTGAACAGTCTCTCCACTAAATTACTTTCCTACTTTTTATGCTGTTGAAAACTGGTGTCTCTTGTTAATAAAACAAGGATCATGTTTGTGTCAATTTATCCTAAACCGAAATGCTGTAGACGTTCCAAACTTAACGGCCGACAAAGGTTTCTATTTTTGCTCGCCACTAAATTTAGCACATCTTAGCGATTTCCTTTATATTTAGCAATAAACTTTAATAAGCAAAGATCTTTCTGGAAAGTAACTAATTTTTTTACGCCTACTAAATTCATCAACTAAAAGGGCTCATGATAGTTTCTTTCTAGGCCAGATGTTTTCAGGAAAAATGAAGTTATGTATCAAGATAAGTTTGCTTTTTTTTTTTAACAAATTTGGAAATAATTTTCAATGGTATGCCTAAAGCCAAAGGCAGTTGACGACATCGACGGAACACGCCCATTAGGAGTCAATAGGTAAACAGAACTAAGACACAATTCGAAAGAAACTTTTGGCCAGTTATTTCGTCTAATCAAGCTGCCTATTTCAGACTCCTTGTAGACATCGAGGTTTCTTTATACGCAGTGAGTTGTCTGAAGAAATTTTTTTAATCAAGTGTTCGCAATAAGCTTTCTTGACGTTGTCTATTGATAAAATCAACGTTCAGATAAAAAGTTCGGCTGAGTTGAAAATGGTTTTGAGCACGGACAAAGGCTTGACTTAATGTTATGCATATATTTTATTATCAGTGTCTGCTGGCATGAGAACATGAGAATAAAGACAACTGACAGACATGGCCTGCAGTAATTTTTGCGACATGAATTAGGAAAATTCAATCCTCAGCGGTTTCAAATCCTGGTGTTTTGCCGTCTCACAAGATTTCTGCGTGTCACGCGGTTCACTAGTTCTGTGACTGAACGATTTTGGCATCAACGTACACTTAAAACATATTGGTTCACGTAACTAAACAACAATGTTGTAACTAAATGGTTGTTTTAAAAATTGAATAGCTTTTTAAACAACGAAGAAGACTGGGTTCAGAAAAAGTTGGAAATGTTGTTTATCAGTTTATAGAGACTGTCTATCCTTGACCATTGTCCATCGTGTGACACTTAACTAGCCAATCACATTGAATTACATAAAGTAAATCTTGCATATTAAGTATTTTCCTTCGAGATGATGATTCTATCTCTAAATTTCCATTTCTCGCTAAGAACCCGAAAAACAAAAACCAAGATTGACAATATTAACATTGTGAGGATCTTGCTGACCAAATTAGAGTTACACTTAATAGGAGATTTAAAGAGAAAATAGCGTTTAAAGACTGTTGCATAACAATGAAACAAACAGAAAAGTTGGAGAAAAAAGGGCGTACCCAAGGTACCGCCCGTTTCCATAAATTACGAGTTGCGTGGTGTCTAAAAACATTCTCTAATTATAAATCAGTACGGAGAGTGGTAAGTAAAAGTTGTCAAAAGAAAAGGTGATAACGATGCTAGAATTAAAAAGATATAGGGATTCCTTTCCTGATCATGAATTCGACATTAGGTTAACCCTAAAGGAGACCAGTAGGGATCAAAGTATAATAAGGATAATTTTCAGGAAATTCCTGCATTGAAATCAACTTTGACCTTAACCTTCTCAACCATTAAGCGGATTTATATAATTTTAGTAAGTCCAACTGGAATATAAGTTACCAAGAGAATATTCTTGAACTTACCGATAGAACTTGTTACCATGGAAAGTGATCACCAGTTTTCACGCCAAATTCACAATAGGAGAATGTTAGTCTTGATCAATATTCAAGTATTTTCTCGATATGAGAAAAGTTAGCAATTAATCTAAGTTGCAAAATAAGGTCGAAAAGAGAATAAGAGATGCAGCGGAAACGGTCATAGGCTGTGTATTTTTGTTCTCGAAAGCTGGCAAATATTGAGTCCGAGTGCCACATAATAAACTAGTTGCTTACCAACCTTACTTGCTCGAGCCGTAGCAGGGAATATTGGTCTTCGGTCGTTTTTCTACGGGCTTTACTACGTTCGATCCGCACTGCCACGACCTCAGTGCGACCCTTGCGTTCTGTTAGTAAGAGTTAATATTCTCGGTTCTAACTTTCTGATCAATGTCCTAGCGGGCTCAAAACCGAGAATCAGCCGTAGGCCCACATGCTAAGACACTGTCACGTAAATTCTATTTGAGAGCGGCTTGGCTCTTTCAAAGTACAGTCCGGTGGGTATCCTTTGCTTGACTTGGTTCAACATGTGGATCTGCGGCTCGTCAACGAAAGAGGCTCTCAGTGGAGTTAAACCGTCAATTCTCAGAAGCCTTAAATGTAACCGTTAGTCGTCAAAAAGGAGAGATTTCACCGTTAACCGTGAAAAACGCAGCTGAATATTGATTGACAAACGCTCTAAAGATTGGGAGCACTTTTTATGACAGATACCACAACGGGTTGTGTTGAACTAGTAACTGGGCACTCCTTGAGTGTTTTGCAGCATGCTATGTACTTTTAGAGCATCTCTCGGAGTTTCATAAAGCGAGTCGCAAAGTGGAAACCAAGCACCACTCTCACCCTACCTCTTATTACCCAGTATCCCAGCTAAGTATGCTGGCCTTTCCAGCAATTTGATTCTATGGAACTTCACTATCAGCGACAATTTCCCAAGAAAGGGAAGTTGTCTGAAGCCGGTCGCCTTTGCATTTTTAGCGATGTCATCAGTACGGGCGACGAAAACCCAAGGAAGGCATTACTGTTGAGTGAACTGGTAGAGAACTTACGCGATAGCAAAAATGATCTGAAATGTGGTGGTGTTTTAGATCACCATATAGTGCAGGTGCAGACAACCATTATTGTTCACAGCACATGCCAATATTTGAACATGAACGAATAACGAGCGAAAACCAAAAAGGGGATAAAAGGAGAAAAAGAGGGAGGAAAGAGTGGAAAATAGACTATGTTTCGCACAGGCTTTGCTCTGCCCGCGTTAGGATTGGGTTCTTTTATACTTAGAAAATGAATTTTCCCATGCTACGGTATATTCAAGGCGAGAAGAATAAGGACTGCAAGGTTCTGCTCATGTTGTAGGTCTTGTTTCAAACAAAAAATTAGTTATTGTTGTAGGTCTTATAATTACGCTTCACAACACTTTTTCAGAGAAAGATTGAATAGGTCTAAATACAACTTATCATTCAATTTGAAAAATGAATGAGTAAATATCAATTCTAACTCAAGAAGAAATATATTCTTATAAACTGTCAACAGTCAAAGGCTCTAAAATTTGACCCGTCATCAACTGTCAAAATAGAACAAAATAAGCCCGACAACCATCGAAGGTATCCTATTTGAAATCCTCTTTAAAGGTTTCTTACAGATCAGCATGAACTGAATCACAACTTTATTAATCACATTGTTCATAGTTTGTTGAAGCCAGTCAGATGAGACAACAATTAGTCTTGAATTAATCAGTGACACTCTCCTCCATACATAAACATATTCATTTTACCGCACTGCCCGAGACTGCCAGTCAAAACGGGCCAAAACAGAATAAGAATCTCTTTCATAACTGGTGTTACTAAATCATTTATTCAAGCTTTCAAGCTCCATACGATTCAATCAATGATTCTCTGTCGTATCGTGTACGCGGAAAGTTTACGTCAGAATCGGCTGTCTTGCTCCGTTTATTTCCTTGATCATCAGTAAAATGAACCTGGCTACGTTGGTCTATCTTGTGGTTGATGATTGATGAACTGTTTTATCCCTACCGAACGATTTTGAGTTATATATAATGGGTTTTACATCACTATTAACAATGGCAGTTCCTTGTCCCTTCCTTGGTCTTTCTTTGAGCTCATGAACTCTGAATTGATGATCGCTCTTTATCTGTTACTCGACCGAAAAAAAGAAACAATTGCTTGCAGCTCGATAAACCTTGTTAGGAATGCAAAAGCACCAAAGAAGAATTTAGATTTAAGATTGATGTCCAATAACCAAACAACTTTAATTGAATTGGAAGAAGTGTCCGTCAGTGGAATTGTCCCACGGACTAATGAAGATTTGACAAAACCGAGCCCCAATATTCTGTTGCTCTGTCAAAGGTCATATTTTCGTTGATTTGCAAATTCAGGACAATTTTTTTTTTGCCAAGAGTCCATGAGGTGTCCGCTTACGAGAGAGCGTAAACAAACAAATTTTCAGTTTGAAAAGTTTTCGCGACCGCCTACGAGAGACTGTCGGCACGGGAATCTGTAAATACAGAGGAATACAAGGAATCTGTAAATACAGAGTTTAACTGGGAAGTAAAAATGAGAATTGAAGAAATGTCCATAAGTAGAACTTTTCGCTTACGAGGGCGGCCGATAGCGGGGAGTTGACTTAATTCAAATCAATCCAACATCAGGGGGCCACCTGTTACGTAATTTTCAAATGACAAAGAAATCACGAATATTGGCAAAACGACTTTGAAATTCTCGTGACGAAAGTGCTTACAGGTCACTCAATGGTATTCTTACGTGTTAAAACGATCGAAATAAAAATTAAAAAACTAAATCCTGTATCATAAACGACCCATTCAACTACTCATCAGTAACATTTTCGTCCTTATAAAGGACGTGAATTTCGCAAATCCGTGAGTCGTAGAGTCACAGTGGCTTCTATTCCTTTTGTTGCAAATCACCACAAAGGCTGTGCGAGAAAGTGCTCATTATTATTTTCGGATCTTGAGCACTAGTCGACTTATTGGCTGTATTTCTCATTATTTCAGTGGGTTTTCCCTCTCTCTGTAACGCTCAGTGACACCTTGCTTTGTACTTTTCCTTTCTTCTGATTGGTTGCTGTTGAAAAGTGATGATCACCGTGGTCAGGTATTAGGCCTGAAATTTATCGCATCAAGGTTAAAACTTATTTTCCTGTCATCGATGATAGAGATGAGACATCTCAGCGAACACGTGTCCAGTTCCTGTAGTGCATGTGTTTATCATGTAGTGAAAGTTTATCCACTGGGTCCTGTTTCATGCAGGGAGCAGAAACAACAGGTTACGCGTAGAATGCCCTGAAAGTTATTTCCCGCCTTCCCTAGTTTGGTATTCGCTGTAGTTAAGCCTAATGGCCTCAAACGAAAATGAACGTGAGACTTGGGTCGGAAAACTCGATTTTATTCTTGCATTGATCGGGTTTTCTGTTGGCCTAGGTAACATTTGGCGCTTCCCTTACCTGTGCTTCAAGAATGGTGGAGGTAAGTCGTCAAGACGATCACATAACGAATAAGTTTTAACGTAGCTCACAAAAAAAGAAAAAGGAGCTGCAACCGAACTGGCTTTGGAATTTCTCTCTTTCGCAAAATCGGGACTGACAGACAAATTTAAGTTGCAAAAAGGAAATCTTTAATCGCAAATGCAACAGTATCGGTCGCAATGCCGGGCCGTGACTGACTATAAATGCCACCCAGTGACCTTACGTGACCCTATGTGACACTACGTGACCCCACGTGACCCCAAAGTCTTTCAACCGTACCAAATTACCCCGTGAGACTCCAAGCTCTAAACAGCTATATATGCAAACCAACGGTGACACACGTTGTCCTACATTTTCGATTTTAGGTAAAATTAAAACAATACTGATAGAACCTCGAGTCCTGTCCGCTGGTCACTTGAAAATTGTCCTCTTAATTTTTATACACACACACGCAGTGCATGCATTGTTATAGAATCGGAGATTAAGGTGTTCTAGATAACCCCGTAAAATTTCGTCATGTGGTGTTCAAAAATTGGAAACAGTTCCAACGTTACCAAAAGAGTAATCATATGTATAATCACAGTTTCAAGAAAAAGCAAACAAAAAAGTTTCACAGTCTGCGCTGTCTGCAGTCTGCGTTTTATCATGATCGCTCAAGATGTCACAGCAAAACAAATGGACAGAGTGAAGTCTAATTCGGTCAGATGTACTTCGAGTGATCACAAAATGATAAATTAATTGTAATAGGACCAAGTGGAGTCCAATTCGGTCTGTAATAATACGAGTGATTGTCAAAACCGGACGACCGCCAAGCAGGAATCTGATTTGTCAACCACGAGTATGATTGCAGACAGAATTGGATGACACAAAGTCCTGTTACCAGTTTATCATAACTGCTACGATTTCCGAAAACATCAAAAACATTATGGTCAACCATATTTGGTAGAAACAATTTCTAAGTAAAATTCATGTACATTCCACAGCTTTTTTTTAGGATACGTGGTTGTTGCTATGGTTATCAATTCTGTGATTAGTGAATTTTGCTGAAAGGACTAAGGATGATTGGCTGCTTCAACTATCCAATTGTAGGTGTCAAATTACAGCCACCTGTTTGATTACAACCGTACAGAATGATCGTGAAAAATAAAGCAGCTAATGCACCAATCACATTTGAGAAAATTGTAATGGTTATGATTAAAGCAATCATTGGTCAATGTAAAATGCAGACCTGAGGTTAAAATGCAGACTGAGGATAAAATGCAGACTGAAGACTGCAGACCAGGGGTCACATGGGGTCACATGGGAATTATAGCCAGTCAGGGCTTGCCATTGGGACTGATACTGTCGCATTTGTGATTAGAGATTTCTCCTTTGCCCCTAGAATTTGTCTGTCAGATGCGATTTTGCAACTATTTTGCTGCTTAGCCGATAAAAGAATTAAATTCAACAGTCTTGCTTGTAACTAGTAGTTGCTGATGTGTAATGAAAGTCTATTGCTACCACTTTCAAGGCTGAACAAAGTACATATGAGCTATATCTATGTTAAAGCTACCAAATTTTGCTCAGCAGAACTGTTTATTCCTTAAAAAGGAAATTTATTTAGCCGGCTGTGAACTGCATATTCAAACACTTTTGTTTCTAATCATTCTTACCTTAAAACAATATGTCAACACCAAAACTATCTGGGGAAGTGAAGTTCGAAACATCAGTTGCCATGACGATTATTACCAGCCTCTCGTGACTTACATGGCCTCCATCCCAGCTCACTCTTGAAGTTTCTTCAAGGAAGCAGGTTTTTTTAGGAATGACCATTTTGCCCCTGGTCTGCAGTCTGTGTTTTATGCTGACTGCAGTAATCATTGGACAAGGTTGATATCTAGAATTACCAATGCCAAGGTCTGAGTTATCTGCTGAAGCCAAGAAACGAGAAGTGTTTCCTTTTTTGCTGCAGCTAAATGCCAGGAGCTGAGCACAGTCTAAAATAGACTAAATACCTGATCAGAAGCATAGAATTTCCAAATGTTGACAACAAATTAATTTTTGGTATTACTTGAGATTTCTAAACAAACATCTGATATTCTAAAGAAGTTTGGAGGAGCCTTTGGTGGAAATTGTGTGAAAATTTCTGACTGCTAGGCATTTAGTCTATTTGAGACCATGCCCAGCTGCTGGGCATTCAGCCACAGCCTTTTCTCCTGAAGATTGTTCATTATATGTATCATACAGAAGAACCTCAATATAATGAACCTCAGTTAATATGACATATTCTTTGGTACAACAAACAGTACTCTTCAGCTTGAGAGCAAAATGTTTGGGACAGAACCTCTATTTAAAGAGCCTCGATATAGCAAAATCCTTGTTATAATGAACACAATCCAGAAGCCTATATGTATAATATACCCTGATATAATGAACAAATGTCAACATCTGACAAATGACAGATGTGAAACAGACCAACAATAATTAACATCCTTCAATTCTGTAACAACAGAACAACTTCAAAGTTAACAGCTCATCATAAATGCCAACACTGACACTATAGGCAGTAGGTTACTAAAACAAGGAACGACCAAAAGTGAGATAAATTTTTTCTAAAAAAAAAAAAAATATATGACTGTTTGGAAGGGTGTGGTTAGCTGAAAATTATTATGTGTTGCTATTTATTAGTAAATTTTAAAGCTGTTGCTAATGTTAATGTACCATGTAGGATGTTTCCTTATCCCATACCTGATCTGCTTGGTGCTTGCGGGAGTTCCCATCCTTATCCTGGAGGTTTCTCTGGGACAGTTTACCAGTCAGGGAGGTATCACGGCATGGAAGATTTGCCCTTTGTTTCAAGGTATTGAACTTGACATTCTTTGAGTGAAAGTGTTGCACACGTTAATGAGGCAAAAAAAGGCTTATCAATATTTGTGTATAAAACATGAAAAAGAAGGCTTGTCAGTTATTAAAGTGGGCAGTTACATGTAAGCCCCAGGTGTTGCCTTATGTTCTAATAGCTCATCTCTTGGTTTGCTGAATGTTAGTACTTTCAAAGTGCTACTATGGTTAGATTTGCATCTGTCCAATGTTATCTGTTTTGGAAAAAAAATAACAAGGAATCTGTAACAGAAGAATATTGTTTACTACTCTTGTTTTTATTCATATCAGTAATTTGGAATTGTGATACCATAAACAGAACCCAACAAGGATATCTCAATGATTTGTTGGCAGTATGAAGACCTTATAATTTTGTTACCATAGAAACATAACTTTGGGGTTCCAGATCTCTATGATGCTAGAGGTGTAACCATCTTGGGATTTTTATTCAGATATTTTCCATTGATTACTCCTCTACATGGTCTGGCAAGTGTACAAAGGTTTTATATTCTCCTCTTAACCTGGTTTCACTTTCATGACTTAAAATGATTAATTTAAAATCATCACCATTTACCGTAGAAAACAGTGGACAGAGAGCTACCCAGGGAGTAAAAATGTATGATTTCTGCATGAGCCCAATATTAAACAGAAATGTAACTGTTTTTGGTGCAGGTATTGGATATGCCAGTGTTGTCATAGTCCAGTTTCTCAACATTTACTACATAGTTATCCTTGGCTGGGCTTTGTTTTATTTGTTTGCATCATTTACTTCCAAACTACCATGGTCTCACTGTGATAATCCATGGAATACACCGCAGTGTGTAGATTTAAGTGGTGCTGGCCCAAGTTCTTCAGACAGTAATGGACAGAATGTTTCTACAGTGGGAATGCTGAATGCAACTTTAAATGTTACATCCAATGTCACTCTTCAAAAAGTTTCTTCCAGCCAAGAATATTTGGAGTATGTCAGGATAAGCATTCTGTGCCTTTTAAAAGTGTATTTCAATAACCAGTAGGATTACTAGTATTGTTTTAACTTTTAATGAGCATCATATGTAATGACATCCATAAAGTATTTCATAAATTATCACTCTCTGAAATCCAGCTGTCTTAAGTGTCATTTTTTTATATCTATATATAGTGGCTATTGTGCATACCTTTCAGGATGTTTTAGTAACAATTAACTTTCTTGGGGACTCAGAATTTTTTTCTCTGTCCTATGCTCATGATAAGGCAAAAAACATCTTTCTTTATTTCTTCACCAAGCTCAAAACTGACCACCTCATCTTATTTGATTTACAAACACAACACTATTGACATTGCTGATCCTAGAAGTATGCAGGGTGAACCTCATAAGAGACCTCACTCACCATAGAGTCTCTGTGTCTCAGTGGTAGAGCATGACAGAGTGCAGATTCTGGAAAGTCTGAGGTTCAATTCCTCATGGGAATTCAGAATTTTTTCTTTGTCCCATGCTCACGAAAAGATGAAAAACATCTTTCTCTATTTCTTTATCAAGCTCAAAACTTACCATCTCACTTATTCAATTACCTTTCTTTTTGTAATAATTTGTTTCAGCTATCGAGTTCTGCGCATAAGTGGTGGTCTTGATGAACCAGGAATAATAAACTGGGATCTTGCTTTGTGTCTGCTTCTTGGTTGGATTATCTGTTACCTTTGTGTATGGAAGGGTGTTAAGTCTACTGGCAGAGTAAGTCTTACTCATTGTACTTTATACCTGCCTCGTGGTTTTATCGCTCTATAACCTTTTAGGTAGATCTTATTCATTTTTTATGCTGACTGCCTTATGCAGATTTGAATGATATATTTACCAAAAGGAGTCGATCCTTTGCCTGGAGTCAAAAAGTTAGAGAGTAATACAGTCTATTAAAAGTAAATTAAACCCCTCCAGGTAAAAGTCAATTCAAACAGTCTTAATCATTTAATTTAATATTAGATAAATTTTGACCTCTTTGCCCATAAAGTGAAGAATAACATGCTGCATTGTAAAAAAAAAAAGAAAAACAAACTTAAAAAAAAATTTTAAAAATTATGTTTCAACAGGATAGTGCCAGGTGGAACCACATACCATTAGTGGTCATTATCAAAATAATCTCAACATGTTGATTGAGAAATTACTGGGCACATGTTTGATACCAGTTTCACATGACAAAAAGTGTGGCAGCACAAGGAGCAACTCGTCATTGAGTAACAAAATCAATACATGGTTGAAAGGAGTATGCAATTTCCTTATTTTAGGTTGATGTTGAATATACAACTAACTGCAATATCTCATTTCATTCCCAGGTTGTGTATTTTACTGCAACTTTTCCTTATGTGTTGCTGACCATAATAATGTTTCGTGCGGTAACACTTCCTGGAGCAGGAGAAGGAATCAAGTTTTATCTCAATCCAAATTTCACTCGGCTAGCTGATGGTCAGGTAATTTATCCTGTAACTGGCTGCAGCCACACTGATTAGGGGGCTTATGCCATCATCCCCACAAAAGTCCTCCCCAATTGATCTGCCAAACTTAACAATCAGTCAGCCATCACTGATAAGATGCATTCACTCCCCGCACTTTAACTGTACATGAGTTAAAAGGTATTTGATTAAGGTATATATGTGATCTTGTCTCTAATGTGCATGTAGGTATGGCTAGATGCTGGAACCCAGGTTTTCTTTTCATACTCTATTGGTCTTGGAACACTTATAGCACTAGGAAGCTACAACAAGTTTAGAACAAATTGCTACAGGTATCTAATGATGAATGTATATGAACTAACTAGTAAATTTGGAACATATCAGTTATCAATTTATTTTTTAAAGGATCAAGTTGTAAAGTTTTGAGTCAAAGTATTATTTCTGGTGTAAATTAATTTACATTGAGGTAATTCAACATTTCTATTAAAATACTGTTTATAATCTGTGTTCTTTCACAAAGTAGGCCCTTTCCTTTACTACTTAAACAGTTGTAAGCCTTAATTGAGAAGCTGGCCATTTATCCCACCAAAGTCAATCGCAAGAGTTTGGCGGCCATCCATAGTTCACCTAATGGCATTGTGAGAAAAGTTTCTGACTTGCTATTCTTGTTTCCTTTCATAGGGATTGTATCATATTTGCTTGTGTTAATAGTGGGACTAGTTTGTATGGAGGATTTGTTATTTTTTCAATTCTGGGATTTATGGCACAGAAACAGGGAGTGCCAGTGGCAGAAGTAGCTAAATCAGGTATAGTTATGATCTATAAAGGTTAAGGTTACTCTAAACTACTAAAGCTAAACTACTAACACATTTTTGGACATTTTGATGACAGCAAACATTGTTGATCTTCATAAATGTATATTTCCAAAAGTCAGCATATTTTGTCATAGGGAAGTTCTCAAAAAAAAGAAAGAAAGAGCAAGAAGAGTTCTGAAGATAAGCTATGCTTGTGGAGAACCATTGTATGGTTCTTGAACAAATGAGATAAGACATTACTTCATCTTTTATTGCATAAGACTTGCTAAGACTAGAAAAGTAAAATATTAATTCAATGTGATTATCTTGAATTTTGTGTGAACATGAATGAGTTTTGGATGTCATATATGGTATGTGAAAAGGCCAAATATTTAAATGTGACAGAGTTTTACAAAGGGGAATAGGGAAACCTCTATAAACGTTAGTTTAAGTGTCAGAAGTCATCTTGTAGCATTTTCTTTTGAGGAGACAGTAAGCTGTTAATGTTCATGTTTGGATGGTTACTACTTTTAAATATAATACCCCTTTTCAGGTTTTCTAAATTACTTCAAAATAATACACAATTTACAAAGTATGAAAAAAATAATAAGTATGAACTCGACCTCACTCTCCTGTGACCATTATTTTCAAGAAGAGAAAGAGGCTCTCAGCTATGCAGACTTCAGGGTACTGGTATGGCAAGACTTTTATGATCCAAGTGTTGGAATACACAGACTTTGATTACTGTAAAGGGACAAACAGGAAACTCATTGTAAAGTTCCTCAAGGTGTACAAATCCTTGCACGTCTTTCTATCCTAATGAAAGAGGTAATAAAAAAAAAATTCAACTTGGCAGTATATAGTTATCAGTGGTTTAGGTGAAGAATAGTCAACCAATCATGAGTGCTTTATGATAGGACTCCAGATCTACATGTGGGAAATTTTATCCTATAAGAATGCTGTCTTTCTTATGATCTTTCATGATTATAGTATCATTTTAAAATGCCTGATTTATATTTTCTATCAGGTCCTGGTTTGGCATTTGTTGCTTACCCTGCAGCAGTGGCAGAGATGCCAATTGCCCCTTTGTGGTCCATCCTGTTCTTTTTCATGGTGATCTTACTAGGACTTGATAGTGAGGTATTTGTATTTACTATACCAAGCTTATTGATGGCCTGAAGTATGTATTCACTTACGAGTCTTATAGTGCTAAAGGTACTAAGTACAAGCATGCAGCTAGAAATTGAAGGTGGCTTTAATGAAAAGTATGGAGTTCTAAAATTATTGGGTAAAAGCCTGCTCTTCAAGAATAATTACTTTATGTGTCCTATTATTGGAATAGTCGTGCTGTGACAAGTCATTGTAAACACAGCAGGTTTTTTTTTAACCATTACAGTTTGTTGGAGTGGAAGGTTTTGTGACAGCCATTGTGGACTTGTTTCCTCATTATTTAAGATGTGGTTGCCGCAAGGAAATCTTCATTGCTATATGCTGTTTTTTCTGGTTTTTGATTGGTCTGTCAATGGTTTCCGAGGTAAATGTTGCACTATGGAATTAACAATAAAATTCGTATGTGACTTTTATTGGTAGCTACAGTGTGAGTCTTTTAAAGAGCACAAAAAAGTAAAAGTAATCATTGATGTATCTGGTCACCCCTTTTAAGTTTCCTGACAACTTTTAAAGATTTATTTATGAGCTTATGTTGAAGAATGAATTTGAACTGAATGTCTAACAACACTTCTGTTTTATATTTGGTTCTTAGGGTGGAATGTATGTATTCCAGTTATTTGACACATATTCTGCCAGTGGTAGTGCTCTACTGTGGGTCTCACTCTTTCAGAGTATTGCTGTCGGCTGGGTCTATGGTCAGTGGTGTAAATATTATATAAAATGTAAATTGAGGCCAGAAACCTGGCGATCCTGCACCCACACCATAATTTAATTTAAAACCCCTGTCAAGTTTTCTTGAAACAACTAGCCAAAGCCTAGCCTTGCAAAGTTGAGTTTCTTAATGTGGTTACAAGAAGAAGCAGACAATGTTTGGAAAGTAGTTGTAATAGAGACTATTTGTGGCAACTTTGCTACAAATCAAGACTCACATAAGTAGCGTTAAAAAGCTTTTCTATTCTCATAATTTTTTTCTTTGCTTTTGGATAAATGTTCAAGGCTCACAAATTAACCTGAACCTTTGTGAAGTTCATTTACATGATTATATTATTGGAAACAATAGAAAAAGAGACATCCTGGACAAAGAGTCAGAGAAGGGAGTAAAAACATGCATGTATCAAAGATTAAATATAACTTAGTTGGTTTCTTATTGTCTTTTATTTGTCAGGTGGAGACAGATTCTATGATAACTTGGAGTCCATGATTGGATTTCGCATCAACCCTTGGAGCAAATTGTGTTGGAAGTTTCTTACACCACTTTTCTGCCTGGTGAGTACTTTTCAAACAATCATGAATTCAAGTATATTCACAATGGAAAGACTTGAGGGAATAATATTCACTGTGTTCATTCTTGATTTTTTTGATACTGCTTAAATGTAATTTTTAAGTTAAAAAACGACAGAAAACATTTTTTCTTAATTGATGCACAAGTTGAAAGATTTGAAGACAGCCACTTCTTTTACGGTCCATAATGTACTTAATATTATGCTTTTGGCACCTCTAATGCAGAGCAGTTTGTGGCTCTTATTTTAAAATTCATTTTCAGGCCGTATTTATATTCAGCCTGGTGACATACAAGCCACTGGAGTACAATAACTTTAAATACCCTGTTTGGGGGCAAGTGATTGGTTGGTGTATGGCTTTTGCATCAATTCTATGCATTCCTGTTTACATGATTGTGAAGCTTTACTCTACTGAAGGAACTTTAGGAGAGGTATCTATACACAAGAGATAAAAAATATTTTGTTGTAGGCAATATTATAATGTTCTAAGGTGAGGATGTCAAGTGTTGTGATATATCAATTGTGGGACCAAAAAATAAAAATATGAGAAATGGAAAGAAAACGGCTCAGACAGATAAAAAACTCAGCATATTATAGCGGACCTGCAACACAGGGAGTCCACAAAGAAGATACTCACAATTCATTAATTAGTCACATAAGAATTCTCTTGCAAAAAATTCTTTATTTTGTCAAGTGTGAACATAAAGTTTTATTGCTCTCATAGATCTGGGGAATTTTAAAAGTAAGTTATTAAGTTTTAAATGAAAGCGTTTATTCATGTAAAAAAATTTCTTCTTAACCTTTAAACATTTTCTCTTTTGCATTTTTAATGAAACATTCAAATTATGTCCAAACTGTTATTGGTGTATTAAAAATTTTAATCTAAAAAAATAAATGTGTTCAATTTTTCCTCTCAGCGTTGGAAGAAGCTCACTACATCTGCAATTTCAAGAAGTGAATGTCAAAGTGAAGATAACCAGCAAAAGGAAAAGGAAGGAGGAAATGCTCTTGTGTTGTCTTCCATGTAGATGACTGTTCATAGTTAGCTAATAATAGAGTGACAGTATGATAATCTTTTAACTCTTGTGTGATTTACACTGCACATAGCCAAGTCTAACCATTAATTAAGACTTTTTCCTTTCCTAAAGCTGACTTGTTTGCTGATTTTTTTTTGTTTCTACATTTTCAATATATTTATTTAACAGATGATGCTATTGCCCAACAGAATTTTTACTTACAGAGGCTTGCAATTTTTCTGAGTCTAGCAAAATGTTTGCAAAATTCAACCCCTTAAACACATTTTGCATGAAGAGTCTTGAAGAATAATATCAAAAATTCTTTCCCGTTACTCAGGCCATCCACTACACAGCACTTTACCCTCAGCAATCATTCCTTTTGTTTACAACAAAATCATGGTCAGAAAATAGACATGATTAAAATTTTCATCAGTCTCCCCTTTTAATCTCTCTTATCTCACAAAGATGTTTATAAAATAATTCAAATAGTAGGCGCGCTCTGATTGGCCATAAAACCATTTTACATGAGCGTATGTAAACATGGTTTTCGTTCCTCTTTCATCAGTTATTTTATAAAAGAAATGTAAAATGGTTTCCATGTTTACATAACCTGATGTAAACACTTGGGAAGTTGAGAGAACACTCGATAAGCTGGAAACCACTCTGCTTCACGTTGTGGTTTTCTACGCTTATCTCGTGTTCTCCCAACCTCCTGCGTGTTTACATCAGGCTATGTAAACACGGAAACCATTTTATATTTCTTCATTGATGCATTTCAATTTTTTTTTTTTTCACATTCTCAGGCTAATTTTCATAATATTCTGAATCACTTCATTGCAACTTTTAATTTTCCTCATCTGAATAAAGGTATTTTAATCATTAACTATAAAACTGCTTCAATTCTACCTAGAGTAGCTGATAGGATTCTCCTATCTAATGAAGGAGTGGATTAAAAATTCAAAAACCTTATCCATGGGTGTGTAAGCTGTATGGAGAGTATAAGACTTTCTCATTTGCATTTCTATATAAATATTTTGTGGTCAGCTCTTGAGGTTTTTTGCAGAAAATTGGCCTTACAGATGTTACCCTGAAAAACACAAATTTAAAATAGTTTTCTCCTTCTGATTGTGTTATCTATTATTAATAAAGCCATATCAAATCTGTCTCCATTTCCAATACTGCTTATAGCCTAAGGAATAATTTAGCCCAACTTGTATTAGGAAAGGGTTTTAACCTCAATTACATGCTACCCATCACATGAATGTGAAAATGAAACCTAATTTGCAGGCATAAGTCTCATCTTAAGCTTGCAGATTCTCTTTTCTGTTTTCCAATGAATTTTTCAAAATAAATAGAAAATGGTAAAATGCTAGGCTAGGTTTCCCAAACCTAGATGAAAAAAAAAATCTTAGCCTTACCAATAAATTCTGATTGGTTTCTTCTCACCCTTCTCCCTTAATTACTGGTTACAAACTTGCAGGAACATCACAAGGGAGGGTATAACTTGAATACACCAACTGTGCTGATCAAGTCCATTATAGCAAATCTCTTATCCTAAAGAATTTGATCATGAATGCCACAAATAATTAAACAAATGATGACCACAATACACAGTTCTTTGAGTGGTATGATGCTTTTCAAATTCAAAATAATAACTATAAAAAGTATTAAAAGTGAATAATCAGTATTGTCTTACACTGGTGCTTTTTGCAGCTCATACACACAAGTGCAGCTTGAAACCATAACATACAAAAATTCCTACAAGCTATCATTTCATAAAATTTGCAGTGACACCTTGAATCATTCTGTACAAAATAATGTTGATACTCTGTTTTAATCCAAAGGAAATCATTGTTAAAATTTGGAGGTAATTTCATAATTTAATTCAAACATACAGAATGGTATCATAAAGAATTGGTGGAAGTAGGGTCACACATGAAGGAGTATAAGAGAGGTGTACAAGTAAGCAACTCTAGCAACCCAAGAACTATCCAATACTCATACCCTAGCTACATTCAGCTAAATGTATCAACCAATTATTTCACAACATGGTGAAAACGAACCTGTTTATGAAATAAGGGTGTTACTTTTGATCAATGCAAATTTCGCTTGATGCTTGGTGTGAAAAAAAAGGGATCCTATTGGCTAATTACAAAACATGCCACAATGACCTTACATGACTTAGAATGCCATTACTGTAGTAGGCTATTTTAAAGAGGCCCCAAACAAGCCTCTCTTTTGAAACAAGGGTAAGTGCAAAACCTTGAATGTGAAAATAATTTTTATTCTCAAGCAAATAACAGTGAAATTTACAAGAGAGAGGTATTGCTCTGTGTCTCATTTTGAAAAGGAGATTTCCGAAATTCTCTAACTCCCCAATGTCTTCCTTAGTTTTGCTATCAATTTAAAACTATGCAGGTTTAAAGACACAAACAATGAGGCCTTTGCTTTCCTCTACAGGCCTTCCAGTTGTATAGTTTACCTTCATTTCTTGCTCTACTTGCTTTATGATATTTAATTTATCATCGGATGTTGACTCCACACTTCCTCCCTTTTTGCTTTTAACGCAAAGCTTTACTTGGTAACCCTTTTCCAGGTAACCTTCAATCCGTTTTATTCTGAAAAATAAATCTTTGAATTCTATCCTGTCATTAACTTTAATAGTCTTTGTCTTCGGTGGTTTATCTTCAAGAGAGCGAGCTCTAGTTCTTATGTTGGTATGTCTACCAGTCGACATCAATCTGAAGACAGGCATATTTACTGAATCGTCCTTCTTAATCGTGTTCACCCGGACAAGTTCAAGCGATTTTTCTTTCGCCATCTGCAACGCTTGTTCAAATGACATCTCACCTTGGTTACCACCAATTTCGTCCACAAGCAAAACACTTCTCTGAGGGTGTTCGTGTTGGAATCTTTCTCTCCTACAACTCAAAACAGATGTCAAAGAAAGTCTCCTCGATGGTTGCATATTACTAACCCAAGAAACACTCCTTTTTCTTTGAAAAGAAAATATACTGAAAACCATGGTAAGAGGTGACGAGTTTATGGTGATTTGAGATCCGTAATAGAAACAAATCGTAGCTTTCGAAAACGACCTCAAACACAGTAGCGAAGCCATTTTGCGACGACTCTCACGTGCTCTCTTCATATGGATAAGCGTCAGGCGTTCCAACCATCGGGGTTGGCGGGGAAACACTGGAAACAATGACATAGGGACGCCCAGAAGGAAAATAAATTACAAGCGGGAGCGGGATGTGTTCTGAAGACCTATGTGTGAAACGCGTTCGGGCGCAAAGACACCTCGCCAGCCCTCACCAAGGCTCTAAGAGCCATAACATGAATATTTTCAGTCAGTTCCCATCAGCTAATTTCGGGTCACGTCTAAGAGTGCGCGTTAGCAGGTTATACTCCCTAATGGAATAAAGGTTCTTCTGTGTTTCAAGTTCTCTTTAAAATTTCGTAGCTCCACACACAATTGTTCGGGTTGTCAATGAAAACAACTTCGAAGCTGTTTAGATTATAAAAATCCCTCAGTCGCAATCAATTCCTTTTAGTGTCTCAAGACCAAGAAATAAGTAATCACATCTATCAAAATAAGAAAAATCAGAGTATCCGCAGCACGTGGTGACAACCCAAAATAGAAACAAAAAAAGCTATGAAAGTCAAGGGGCAATGAGACCGACCAAGTCAATCAGCTTAAGATTTGCGACTGGTCACTGACAAGAGAGTGGAAGTTTTCTTCACCAACATAAAGAGTAGCAAGTCATACCCAGAGTAATCCTGTGTCACTGACGACACTTCACTGACCCACTTGACTCCTGAAAAGGGCACTGGAGTAAACTTTTCCCTCCCCAAATGTAAATTGAGTTTAGCATCCAACAACAAAAAGAGCATTCGTATCAATTTTTACATCCTGGCTACAGTAAAATGAAAGGAAGGGGTAACTATCTAAACTGTGGTACTGAATTGGTGTATATATAATTTGGTCTTTAAATTGAGTTGCTTAAGTAAATTGGCCACTATAAAGAGTTTCTAATGCTGAAGTTTTCGAGTGATAGTCCTTTGTCAGCTTTCAAATCACTTTAAAACTGTTTGCCTCTTTGATCTAGATTGTCCCCTTGGTGCTCAACATGTACATATAAAGGTGCTAAGTGATGAGAAACAAACAAAAGATTTAAGACAATTTAATGACTCATTTTCTAGTAGGCTTTTTACATACTTCACATGCATGCCATACGATTTATAACAAGTCACTGTTCTTGTATGATAGGCTTCATTTCCCACACAAACAAAAATTCCAACCAAAAATTTTTTCACTATGACATAATTCCTCCAAAATCTTTAAGACCTCAGTTGATCTAAAAGAAAATACCAATTGAAGTTGCTGAAAAACCATAAGTTTGCAACATCAAGTATAAACATTCCCTAGGGAACCAATCAATCAGACCTAATCAAGGAATTTACTTCCTAGGTGAGAAACACCTCATGCATTTCACATTTCTTAATTAAAATTTGAATTTCATCACTTTCAGCGCTTGCTGATACTCATGTAATTTAAAATAACAACAATAATTAGAGTATACTGTTGGTGGTGTCATTGGCTTAAGTACAAAAGTAACAAACTAAAGGTTTACCAGAACACTGTCTTCCTAGCAAAAACAAATTCACTAGCTCTATTTGGAATGTTTTGTGCTTCCTTATGGTTGATTAGAATTGGCATTTAAAAAGCTTTTATGCATGATTATGTAATTTTCAAAAATTCTCCATTTTTGAGCCCTTGACAACCTCTTGTTGCCTTTAAGTGTGGATATTTCTTCATTATCAGTGCTCTACAAATATTCTCTCATCACACTTCACCAGTCTGCAGCTTGAGAGCAAGGCTTGGATTCATCTTGGCTTTTTTAATATGAACATGCATAGAGGGCTATTACCTTGATCATACTAGCTGTAGGTCTAACATAGCTATGTAAAGCAAAGCAAAGAAATTAGGACAACACTGTGTTCATAGTGAAGAACCTAACAACACAAACAGAGAAATTAACTAGGACACCCATGTAAATCAACAGTCTTCACGAAAAATCAGTTTTAGTGACTGCAAATATGCCTTAGCTCAAGTTCAATTTCAAAAAGTTATGAGGGAATTTAACACTGTTTCTAAACACTCTTTGTGGTAAGGATTAAAGCAACAATCAGTCCATAAAGACCAAGAACTTCAGCAAAAATCAAAATAAGAATCATTCCAACAAAGAGACGAGGCTGTTGAGCTGTTCCTCTGACTCCAGCATCACCAACAATACCAATAGCAAAACCTGCTGCCAAGCCACTCAGTCCAACACTCAAACCTGCACCCAGATCTAGAAAACTCCTTAAATACAAGAAATGAGAAAAAAATCTTATGAGATAATGTGTAGAGAATTTTATAAAATACCATTAATGAGAAACAAATAACAACATATCTTTAAGTGGGATACTAAAAAATATCACTTTCAAGGAAGGTAAGCAATTACTCACTTGAAAAGAGTATACTTCTCAGAAACTGAAAAGGAAAGGAAAAATTGTTAGTCCAGAAGAACCCTTGGAAATCATTTTTAGCACATTTTCATTGCATAGCATGCTGTGTGTTAGCAATAGTAAGGACTGACCACAATCAATAGGCTACTGTAAAAGTGTAAAGTTGGTTGAGAACTTTTTTAAGTATTCTTTCAAATAAGGGCTGGTTTTAAGTTAACAATTTTTTTGGTTATATTTGTCTAATTGAGGAAAACTAGGTTACTTTGCCTTGAGAAGCAATCAAAAATGTGTCCAAAGTTTATCCTTACTGGATGTAAATGAGAGAAGTGAAATTAACTGGGAATACAAAGTTTACATAACTCTTTACATCCCAACATTTGTATGCACAATCTCTATTCTCTTCCCCATACATTTCCTCCAAGGATAATTTTTTAAACAATCAAGAGTTTCTTTAGCCCTTTGACCCTTAAGAGTGACTGGCATCTAATTTCTTTTTATAATATCACCACTGAATCACACATTGATGTCATGAGAATGAAGGGAATGATCACCAACTAAAAAAACTCTTGATTGTTAGACAAATTCTCCTTGTCAGCACCTTAGTAAATGTACAGAGAACAGTATAGAGAATATGAATACTGATGTTAGGGTGTAAAAGGTTAATTGGTGATTATTTCCCTTATTCTCATGTCCTTTATGTGTGATTCAGAGGTGATACTGTATGGGGGAATTAGATGCTAGTCACTCTTGGCCGTCAAAGGGTTAAGAAATACAGTAAAATGAAATTTTTCATTATTAAGTTTTTGTTCGTTATTATCTTTCTTGATCAAAATATGTATTTAAATGTTTCAATGTTTTGGACAAAGCCTCAGTCAAGGTTCAGTGAATATGAATGATTTTTCCATTTAAAATGGATATACAATCACCAACAACAACCTAGAGAAATATTTTCTGCAACTTTAAATCTAAAGTGAGTAACTACCATGACAAAATGACCACTGAAAATATATGAAGCTATCAATCGATTGTAAAGCAATTAACTGCACTTGCTATCATGTTTGTTGTGAGACTACAACAAAAGTTTGTAAATAATAAGCCACAGGCAAGAAGGGTACAAACTTTTCACGTATTAAACCAAATTCTTAGGTGGGCTACTGCCTTGGTTGACTGATACAGAGTGCTTATCTTGCTTTAATACTATAGTAATAGGTTTCTCAAAACAGTGAACAATAAGTTGTTTCCAACATAACATGTGGGAATTATGAAGGATCCACTAAATGCTGTGGTTCATTTGATGCACTAAGAAAGAGCATGGCAAAATGAACAGTGGGCTAGCTTATCAGCTTTCCTTAATCAATGTAAAAGAACATGAGAGGTGTAAAGAGCTGCTCAGTGGCTTGCCAGTCAGAACAACTGGTGAGGCATTGAGTCACTCGACAGATATAGCTCCATAAATTAGCACAACATTTCTCTTTACATAGAGATAATGGTCTACGTAGGGAATTTTGACACGATTGAATTTCACTCCAGCTATGTAGAAAAAAAAAACTTCGTTGTCATTAATAACCAGAATCGAAATGAAGAATGTTTCATACGAAGAATGACGTAATTTTCTCAATTATAACACTAGCGATTAACCCGTCATGAACACTTACTTCCATTGCCAACAAGTACGGCCACGACGAGTCCATAAATAGCAAGGATACCCGCCATAACTACTGGAATTATAGACTTCATAATCAGTTCTGGGCGCATCACACTCATGGCAGCGATTCCTGTTCCACTTTTGGCTGTCCCATATGCTGCTCCTAGGGCTAGAATTGGTTTTACCGAATTAATGATCAGCATGGTTTAAACTTAGCACAGGGTAGCAAAACCTCTCATAATATGCTTACCACTAAACACAATGGCCGAAGTTGCTCCCATGGCACCGAAAAACGCGACATAAGAAGGTTGATCTCCCATTTTCTTTAAGGAATTTAAGAATGATTTCTACCAGAAAGACACCAGCTGCCGATCAAAATGGCGATGTGAGTTGAGTCAGGTGATCGATCACGTTCGTCATGTGACACGTAAATCATGTGATGTACTCGTACAAGATCATCTGTGACAGAAGGATGGCACGGTTACTCAGTAAAAAAAAACATGGTGGGTTTGTTTTGGAATTGATAACTTGGGTATGAAAGAAGGGAGACATGTCCTCAGCGTTGTGGAAGTTCTCTCAAATGAGTGTAAGGATAGGATTCTTTCTCCAGTGGAAAGATGTTTCTTCTTGGTACAAAGTTGGGTTCAACGAGAAGTTGAAACTATGCAGAGGTATGGTGACAAGGTTGTGGAATCATGATGTGAGCACAGTGATCATGCATGATTGTTTTGAATTTTTTTAGTGTTCATAGGCAGCATTCATGTAGACTGAATGAGAAAATAGTTAAAGTGAGCATATTTGGAAGATATCTAAGTGTCGGAGTTCAGATCTTAGCAACTAAATTGACCATCAGCAATCATCAACAATCATCTGACTGTTCACACTGGAAAGACTGTGGCTATGCTGATTTCCAATCATTCTTTTGTTGATCCATTGAGACCTGTTATGTTCGTAAATTCTTACATTCACTTTACTACTAAATCCACTTGCTTAGGGGTTGAAATCGACTATAAGCTGAACTGGAAACCCTACGTAAAAGCACTGCACACTAAGTTTGGAGGAAAGCTAAAATTTTTGAAAAATTTTAAAGCCCTTCCCTTAAGTGTTTTAGAGGAAATATATTTTAAAGGGATTGTCCCGAGCATAACTTACTGCATCGCTATTTGGGGATCCTGCTCACCATCTACATTCTGTATTTTAGAACATCTGCACCTGAAAGTAGCCAAACTAGTTCACAAACTCCCTACCGAAACTCCTGACACTGACGTTCTCGACCTTGTAAAATGTAAACCTCTAGTCTATATTTACAAGCGTAGGCTTGCTTCTATAATGTACCAGATCTATCATAATAGCTTACCTGATCAACTCACAGCCCTCTTCGAAACTTGCAACACTAATACTTATTATAATTTAAGGCGCACAAATCACTTCTTGCATGTACGGTACAATAGCAACATTGGCAGAAATAGTGTAAGATATAGAGGACCCATCGTTTGGAATTTAATCCCTAGAGCCATCAAGGACGCTTCCTCCTATCAACTTTTTAAACAAAAACTTAGACAAGCCTCCAAGATACTGGACCAACTCCAATTCGAAAAAGAGGCCTGTCTGATAACATCAAAATGATCAGATTTCTAATATTTTTAGTTTTTAAATTTTTAATTAATTAATTTTATTTAAGATTTTATATAAATATAGTTTTTTTTTTTTTTTTTTTTTTTTTTTTAAGTTGTTGGCAGGTCCACACCAGCCTTTAGGTTGCCGCAAACCAACCTGCCTTAACAAATAGTATACGTATGTATGTATGTATGTATGTATGTATGTATCAGGGTTTGTACATTGCTGTACTGAATTAGAGTAATTGCAAATGACTTGAAGTAATAGTCAGAAGCATGTGTTAAAAATTGATTTTCTTCTTGTCTGAGATAAAGTATTACTGAATAGGTATATTTCTTCCCGAGTGTGCATGATCATACAATATGTATGAGTGAACATGAAGTGCTATTTTACTTTTTGTGGTGAGTGGCGTTTTGAAAACCAGTAAACACTATTCCATGAGATGTGTTAAAGAGTATGTAATTCTGTATTTTCGGAATCTCTCGGAGCAGCCCCACAAATTAAGGCCAAATAAACCAAGAGATTAAGTTGAGTTCTTTCAATCATTCTTTTTATGTGAGGCAGAATGCTCCAGGAGACAGCAGTTACATAGTGGTGTATTTGTAAGGTACTTCTCTAGTAAAAGATTTGGACAACTTAGGAATATGTATGAGTGAACATGAAGTGCTATTTTACTTTTTGTGGTGAGTGGTGTTTTGAAAACCAGTAAACACTATTCCATGAGATGTGTTAAAGAGTATGTAATTCTGTATTTTCGGAATCTCTCGGAGCAGCCCCACAAATTAAGGCCAAATAAACCAAGAGATTAAGTTGAGTTCTTTCAATCATTCTTTTTATGTGAGGCAGAATGCTCCAGGAGACAGCAGTTACATAGTGGTGTATTTGTAAGGTACTCCTCTAGTAAAAGATTTGGACAACTTAGGAGTATTTCAAGTTATGAAGGGGGATCCAGTGGAAGCAATGAGGGCAAATCAGATGAAAGGGAGAAAGAAAAGTCCTCAAGGAAAAAAGCAATCAAAGGTACACAAAATTAAATAAATGTTTTGAGTGGCTGTACAACTACTATGAGACTAGAAGATTAGATGTAAAAGGTCTTTAAAGACCATAGTTAGTAGTATTAAGAAAATACATATTTGGTTAGCAAACAAATTATGTAAGATGATTGAACTGCAACTAAATTTTGTATGTAGTTATTGTAACTTTCCCATGGTGTAAGTGAGGTTAGAACTTGGATTCATGGTTATTGTTTGAAATTTGACTTGAAGATTGATTTTTGCAAACCTTGTTAGATACTTATTAACTTCCCTTTTGGGAAAATAGTGAAAATAGTGTAGTTAACCGTTTTGTATTTTATTTTGATTCTTGAAGGAGAAAGAGCAAAAAGATTTTTTAAGATGCAACCAATTGATGTCAATTATGATAGAAAATATTATCAAAATACATTTATTTCTGCTACCCGTGCCATGAGTGATTACCTTCTTAAACCAAGGTATGGTACAAAACACAATGTCTGTTTGGCTTCTTGTTTGATCATGATGCAGTCAAATTTTATCTTCTAATCAGTTATGAAATTACTAAGATTGGGTTCCCATTGTCTTTTGTCTCCTAACCTTAATTATTCAGTGCTAGGACACAAACTTTAAGAAATGGAGAGGCCACTTGATGTTCTTTTGTTGTAATTGGCTTAAAACTGTCAAGTTGCCCAAAATGAGTTTCTCACTCTGTTAGAGATTCACTCTGTACAAGGATATTTTATTGATTATATGATTGCAATGAATTCTTTATGATCTATACAAATGAAAATAAATTGAATTTAAGTTTCAGTGTGGGTAGGATATATTGATTCCTTCCTTCAGTTATTAAGAGGGAATCAAGAAAAAAGCTAGGCAAAGTGCTGTTGTTTCAGCTGTAGTAAAAGAGTGGTGAATCCTGGCCAATGAATGTCCTTTGGTGGTAATTGGCTTAAAACTGTAAGGAAGCCTGAGATAGGTGTCTTACTATGTGGGTGATGCTCACTGTACAGGGATATTTTATGGAATTTTTGATTGTGGGCTAAATGAATTCTTAATCCAGAGAAGTACAAATAAAATGAATTTGAATTGCAGTGTGGGTAAGGTTTATCAATTTTTTTTCCTTCAGTGATTTAGAGGGAATCAAGACAACAGCAGTGCGGAGTGCTTATAGTGATCCACAACAACCTCCAGATGTTTGCTATTTAAAATCAGATGTAGAGAAAAGGTAAGTAATGAACATTTGTCTGTAAATTATGGAGGGAGAGTTTCTTTGCTTATTATGGTCTGGTTTTGCCATGGTTACCTTTTATTTCTAAGGTAAAGAATACCTGTTAATAAGACAGTAGACTTGGTACTCTAGGAGGAAACTAGCTTTGAGGTGTGCTTGTATATTCTTGTAAAGAAAAGCATCAGTTAACTAGTAAAAAAAAAACTAAAAGCAATATGAAGGAGTTTATATGGGTATATATTAGGCAATATTGTTAGGTAATGTTGAACTGATCAATTTCTTTGAACAGCACTTGATAGAAGAGGAGGAGGCTATAAAGAATAGGAAGAGCAAAACCAGAAAATTGCTAGAAACTTGGGAAAAAATGAATTTTCAAATTTTGGTTTTATTTTCAGGTGTTTTTTCTTTGTACTTGATTTTTTTAAGAAAATGGCTTGGGTTATTGAGAATCATCAAGACCTATTGCAACAAAACCAAAGAAATCCCGAACTTGATTAATGAGTTTCTCACCAATAATATCATGCATTGTACTTATTGTAACAGCAAAATTGCAAGGTTAATTAAAATCAAATGTAAGAATTCAAATAATTTTTATTCTTATTTAAAATATTCAGAGCTTATGAAGTTTGGGGAAGCCCTGAAGCTCTTTCAAGAGAAATCTGGAACAGAAAAAAGGTGTATGAAGAAAGTGAACGTTATAGGAAAGGTACTTTACAACTACATGTGGGCTCATGTACAATCAAACCATCATTAAGGGCCACCTCCTGAGATGGTCACCTTTCCACAATGGTAGTGCATGATCCATAAAGTGTGTCCTAGATGCCAATTCAAAATAACCTCTCAACAAAAGTTGGTGGTGAAATAGATAGGGGTATTGTTTTGCACTCTTCCCTTTCTGTAAAGCCTAACTCTCTACCGCTACTCCCCCTCACTTGCTATTGTCAAGAGATTCAAGTGTATAATATTTATTCAATACTTTCTTTGTAGTGGTAGCAGCAGGAGCAACATCAGTAATGTGCAATTCCTAAGAAATTTTTACTCAAGTAACCTATTATCAACTTTGCTCATTTTTCCAGGCCTAGGAGAACTAATAGGACATCTAAAGAAGTCAATAAGAGACCATTCTAAGAAGAATGAAGAGAACAAGGTCGGTTGATAGGGCTCCAAACTCAACTTTATTCAAAGTGGCCAGTTATGAATAGTTTTGTTCATGACTTTTGAACATGGAAAGTGCATGAATACCATCCCTACATAATTGCTTACTGGTAGTTAGCCCTTTCCAGGGGCTCACAAAGTAGCTCACTTTTCTCTTGGAGAAGGTCTTCGATTGCTTACTCAGTATGTTTTTATCACCTTCCGTTTTATTTTCTAGCACTATGGTGAAAGGATACAGAGAAATATGTTGTTGAAAGGTTCTGCCAAGGTTGTGACATATGCAATCTGCAGGTACAAAACACCTACACAACTGTAACACTTCTAGCTTAGCTTGGGTTATCACTCTTGTCCAATTCCTGGATTAGAGTGAAACAACAATTGATGTGAGACTGTTTTAATTTTGTAGTTATAGGATCACATATGGTTGTCCTGTTTTTCTGTTTCTTAGATTTAGACCAGAATTACCATAATTAAAGATGGTCTAGTATCCCCACTTGTTCAAAATGCATCCCACTTAAGCTGGAAAAGTTATGCTCTAGAATAATCAACTTTTGAATACACTCATTATTGTAACTCTAACTCAACATCCTTCAAAGGAAAACTCTTGTCATAACCCCTCACAGTAAATTTTAGACTATTTTTTTTTACTGTTACAAGGAAAGGAAAGTGCTTCTAGTGTAAATGATATGTTCTGTTGATGGGCCAAGTTTGCATATGGTGCATAGTGCTAAAGGACAACTTATTATTATTAAGTACATTATTTATTACAATGGACAGATCAGTATTGTCTGTTGATGTTTTTAATAGCAACCTAGCAGTGATGCTGTTTAAGTTTGGTGCTTATCTGTACAGTGGATCAGCAACAATGTTATCAGAATCTATACATTCATTAGCAGACATGTTGAACCAGGTATGGTATGATTGAATTTATTTACATCTAGCTAGGAAAGGCAATCCATGTAAAGATACTCTGAAGATGGCTCATATAATTCCGAAACAAGTATAAATTTTCAAACAAAAACTAAATAGTTATTCATGAAAAAAATGATATGATAATGCATTAAATTTGTTCTTGTCTTGGCAAGAACAAATTTAATGCATGTAAAAGTTTTCTTGGTATTAGATATTTTTGATATTAGTTCACAGTGGAAGCTGTTAAAATGGCTACAGTGGATGTATTGAATTTTGCAGCCTATGTTTCCATTTCAAGTTTTCTTGCTTCTTCTTCTGCCTCTTTGCCACAAAAAGAACTCTCAAAATTACTTGTCACTCTCATTGAGTGTGTGCTTCTTTGCCCAAAGTTGAAATAGGAAATGAAATTTTTTTGTTTTTTAGCTAACAATTTTATTGGTCTTCTAACCATTGCTCTTAGGCAAATACAACCTGATATTTATGAGGAAATTTTGAATGTTACAAGTTATTGTAATGAGGCTTTTTCAGTGAGTGAGCTTTTTTGTTTTGTTTTATCAATTGAAAGTGTCTGTTAGCTGTTGGAATCATGCAGTCAATCAAGAAACCTTCTCCAGATCATCCGTAAGTATAAGCACTTCCCTGTAAACACAAGTCTGATCATGGTTTAACTTATGCTTTTTGTGATATACCTTATCAGATGATTATACATTCTTGAAGCAGTTAGTGGGGGTAAATACATTATTAATAGTGAACAGCAGATAGACATATTTCCATAAGAACGTCTCAAGCCATATTTTCCTGCCAGTTTTCAAAATTGTTTTAGGCAAGCTTTGTGGACCTAATTCTTTACGTCAGCAGAATTAATGTAACCAAGTTTTGGAGAAAAGAATGTATGAAAGTGAAATTAACAGACCCTGAAATGTTTTAACTTTTTAACCTTAAAGAATGTGGTTACCATCATAAAGGGTAAGATTTAGGTTGGCCTTGCATTTTGGTTACTAGTCAGACACTGACTTCATCTGGCACCTGACGAAGAGTTTGAAAACCAAAGATGATTTTTACATTAGTTGCTACTTGTCTGTGTATATGCCATGCAATGTATGGTTGAGTGTACTTTTTCCAACATATGTTTAGGTTAATAAAACTATCTTTCAGATATGGCTGGTCAAGAGCTCGTTACGTGTATTCTCTTATTAGTGGTGTTGGGATTTTTTTCCTTGGAGCTGGTGTAACAATGTATCATGGTGTGTCAGGCCTGATGAATCCATCTCCATTAGAGAATCTTACAATGGTCAGTTGTGATAAATAAACATTGACAATATCTAGCTATAAAGTTTTCAGATCAATGTCAGCATCTGAGCAAATGTGCACATTCTGGTACCCCTCCCCTAACCCAACACCAGACCACTGATAACAAGTTAAAGTTAATGTTTGGTTAGGGGTAGAAGTTGCCTAGATACTGACATTGATCCAAATTTTTTGTAAAGTTAACTGTGTGACACTTTTCAACTTATAAGCTTCTAGCTTCTATTGGGTTTCCTCACTACATTTATTATTTAGTTGTTGAAAAATTTATAAATAAATGTAATGTTGCAATCCTCTAGTAATTGTAGAAAATTGTTTGTTTGTAAATAGTCTCCCTCACAGCCATTTTTGGATAGCATGCAAAAAAATGGCTGTGAGGGAGACAAGTAAATTATAGGTTTTTTTTAAACAATAAAATAAATGTATTGTAGTTGTTACAGCAAATGGGGTCATTAAAAATGCACTATAAGTGAAGATCAAACAAAACTCGAACTTTTTGATAGACCAGCATTAAAAGACAACTTTTAGTTAGTGATTGGTCTAATTTCAATGGCTGGGTTGCCAAGGGATACTAAGTTTTGTACCAATGGTATGATTAATTCCAAATTCCCATTATTACCCAATAATTGTGATTAGCTAAATTAATGATGGTATACTGTGGTTGTGTCATGCCACAACAGAAGGCAAAAAAATTTCAAAAGCTTTAAGTTGTGTTTGAAACATAATTATTTCCAGCATTTCCAATACACATGAAATTAAAGTGCATAGTCTCAGGAGGATATCCAGCCTACCAGATGACTTTTGTTTTATAACAAGAGGTTACTTTTGCATGTTTTATCATTCAGGCCTATACTATTCTTGCTGGATCATTTCTAGTGGAAGGAGGTTGGTTGTGTACAGTCATTCTTGTCTTCTTTGTTTGTTAATAGTTGATCTATCTTCATAGTACATTGTTTGGAAATTGTTGAAACCATAATGATTGTAATTAATTGATGCTTTCATAATTGATCTATTAATAGTTAGTTCTTAATTATTGGTTTGTTTTAATAAGGAAATGCTTGTTTCTCTGATTGGTTATTGAAAGTCCTCGAGAACTGTCTGATTTAAAGCAGCTTGTAATTGGACACACCAAACTGGACAAACTGACAGCTAATGAACATTAAACAGCAAGTGTTCTAAGCTTGTAAAATTTAGATACCTACTGGTAATCCTTGAAAACTATTAATTATGAAAGAACCATGTGTGGGAAGGGTGCCAAGATGTAAACTGAAATTAACTAGTCAGCCACCTTTAGCATGAGACATCATGTTTAATGCTATTGATTTAGAAAGTAATTAAAACAAAAAAGGGAAAACAAATAAATGAGATTGCTTACTGAAACAAATCCAACTGACTACAGACGGTGCAAGAACTTTGTCACTAAATGTCACTTCTTATACTGTGTAAAAACCCATATCATTTTATTGTGTGAGTGGTATGAACAATTATAAACAAAAATATTGACACTTGACTGTTTTTCTGCATCCTTAGCAACTTTGTTGCTGGCCATAGGGCAGGTGCGGAAAAGTGCTCGGGAAAGTGGCATGTCGTTCAAAGAATATGGTAATAAGATGGTATGATAATTAGCGCACAGTGTCATACAGCACCTGACTGAGTGTGACAGAAGACAATGAAATTGACATGGATATTAATTTTTTTTTAAATTCCTTGAGTGTTTTAATAGGGGGTTTTACCATTGACAACTTGAGTGGAAGTCTTCAGTTTAGCTGAGTAGCAAATTTATGTCAGTCCAAGAGTGTTATCAGTAAAAATGAATTGGTCAGTTTGGCAATGGTGAATAGCACCACTTCAAACTCTGTTAAGTTTTATATCATCTCATTGGACCAAGTGCTTCCTTTACTTGTAACCAGTCTGTCTATCAAATGCAAGCATATTTTTCAACTGCACTCTGTCTACTGTTGCTGTACTTGTAGTGATGCGTGGTAGAGATCCCAGTGCAGTGACAGTCCTACTTGAGGATGGTGCTGCTGTAGCTGGAGTTATGTTGGCTACATGCTGCCTTGGTCTTACCTCTTACACTGGAAGCCCTGTATTTGATGCTTTGGGTTCAGTGATGATTGGAGGTACTGTATGAGACGACTTTTTGTAAAAAGCCAACTTTAAACTCACACATACTTCTTGATATTCAAATTTACCTTCTTTTTCCAATTTACCTCTACATGAGAGAAGACAAAGATAACCAACCTGCTCTGGGTAATAAAGTAACAAATGAACAAGACTGACATGTTGTCTTAATGGATGCTTGATAACAATTAAGGAATTTGATCTCATAATTATTTGTTTAATAGAAGAAGTAAGATTTTTATTTAGTGAGAAGAAATTTGAATATCAAATGCTGAATAGGAAAAATCTAAAATTTATTTGAATCAGAGACCGTGACATTATCTGTAGTCATTCATTTTTTTGTGCAAATCACACCTTTGCTTGTTAATCTGTTACTTTTTAGGGCTTCTTGGTTCATTTGCAGTGTTCCTTATTGGTAGAAATGCTGACTTCCTGATTGGAAGGTACTGCATTTACTTTTGGATCTATGCTTGAAATTTTTCCACTTTTTCCGACTTTTTATTGTTATTTATGGGGTGGTTTCTTTCCTTTTCAACCTCATAAACATGATTTTTTGTCTTTTCTTGAGTGTACTTTCTTGGGCTGTAAGCCAAAAAGGTTTGACCCCCTTCTCTCTGAATCCCCAAGTTATTCTGCACAGATAGTCCACACAAATAGACACACTTTCCTTAATAATAATGTAAATGAAAAAATTACGCGCGTCTGATTCGCTGAAAAAAGCGTACATTTTTCATTTAACACGAGAGCAAATTTCCAAATAGCGCGTGCGCTGCCAAAATTTCATCCGTCTTGAATTTCTGTGATGCGTTTCTCATGTAAATTATTAACAAGTAACAACATGATTTTTCGTGCAGTTTGTTGTAAATAAGCACTTATAAAGTTTTCAAAGACGACAAATCGCATAAGTTGCACTCGAAATCATTCAAATTTGAGTGTTATATTATTCTGCTTTCTTTGTTATCGCACTCTCTTACTTAGTCACCTTCTTTTTTTTTCTTTTTTTTTTTTTTTTTTTTTAATAAAAGTTACCTCACTTTCTTTTCAGATCTATTCCAGTTAACAGAATCCAGCAAATCATTGAAGTATTAGAAAGTGATATTGTGGTCAGGTTGGTAAATGATATGAAGCAAAACTGTATAGCCCGTTTGTTTTTGTCATCAAGAACAAAAGGTGTTACAAGACTAATTATAACATGGCTAATAAATTTGTCTCATCAAATTCAATTGCGCGAGCGTGCTTCATATTCCTATTGAGCACGCTCATGACGTCAGCAAACGTATCCCTCGAGAAAAAAATTTTCCATCGGGTTGAAAATGTTATAAAACAATTGGTTCATACGTCAGCTGTGCGTTCATCGAGATATGAAGCACTTGGGAAGTTTAGAGAGCACTCAAGAAGCTAGAGTTGCTCGAGGCCACGCATCTTTCGTGCTCTCCAAACTTCCCGCGTGCTTCATATCTCGATGAACGCACGCTGACGTATGAACCAATTGTTAAATGTACTGCGCTGTTGAAGCAAATTGATTGCGTGAAAAACATTCTGTTTTCAAACCCAAGTGGTTACTTTTGAACGGAGCCCTGTTAAAAGAAGCCTTTTAACGCCTTGATTACGTTTGGATTTCCTTTAGGTCGATACATGACGTGAAAGCTACTGAGATGGGTAAGTTTCCTGCTGTGGTGAAGTGCTTTTTGAAGAGAAAAAGAAAAAACATTATTTAATCACTTTGAACCTTCACTTTCCAGGAGCAGATGTAGTTCGTTTCAAGGCTGAGGTAAATTTTGATGGACGAGAAATTACTCGCTGTCATCTCAACAGAGTTGATATGGAACTGTTATTAGAGGTAAGCGTGGAGCACAATGAGTGTCTACCTGCATAGGAACGTTTATTCTTAGAAATTCTGTTGGACAATGAGGAAAGATTTCCTCGTACACTATAAAACTCAACCAAGTTATAGCCGCACCGTGGCACAGGTAACGCAAAACAAAAGAGTAATCCTCTTGCCGATAGACAGAAAGAAAAATGTTCCCACCCCAAATCTCATCTCAAAGTAACGGAGAGATCTTGGCCATTGGTTTCAAGTGAAATGGTTAGTGTAGGAACTCCTAGAATCAACTTTTTATTCATCATGGCGATTTTATATTATTTTTTTCCAGGAGGTCCAACAGCTGACCACAGTGCCTGAACTAGAACTTTTTCTCCTGGAACACGGAGAAGAAGTAATTGATATGTTGGGTCAACAAGTAGACAGAATTGAGAAAAATATTAAGGTAAAGTACGTCTTGACCAAAGAGATGGTGACTTAGTTCTAGCCTGTGAACTTGCAAAGAGTGCGTGCGAACAGCAAGTGAGGTGCTTACACTGTTCTACCAATGTGGATTAACCTTGTTTTCCTTTCTCTTTTAGAAAAGAAATCCCGAAGTGCGTCATGTTGATTTGGAGATTCTTTGAAGAAACGTGTTCCTTATCAGTTGACCACGAAGGATTTTCAAGCTCTTTGCTGTACAGTTTCCTTGACTCAAGCTTGTCAGGGATAAATTGATGGAAAATTAATCCTGACAATTTATTCATCCCTACTTAAGTGAGGACTTATCGTGATCACACTAGAGACGATGTGTTACGACCAGCAGACACACACATAGCCGGAAAAAAAGTCTTACCTCTCCCATAATTTTCATTATAAAATGAATTGGAGGGCTCATAATTTACTCAGAGACGTTTCCCAGTATGGATAAAAACTACTCGAGTTGAAATCTGCAGTTTTGCGAGGCACGACGGTTGATGTGGAAGGCTTGTGAATGTCTCTGTTAGGACAATCCTCGATGAGATTCAAAAGTGGCAGCATCAAATGCCGTTTTAGTTTCGCGTTCTCGAATAATCAAGGACATTAGCGGTTTGAAGATAGTTGCCATCTTAGTCGCTAATTACCTTATCTATCGTTTGAATTTAATTAAATTTAATAGGATAATAAGAATAATGCTAAATTTTTGGTGGCCTCTGATCCCCTTACATTTAATAGTGTTGATATAAAGAGGCCACAGAGTCAATCAATCTGCAATCACACGACATAAATTGTAACTCAAGTTACTATAGACTAAACTTTCACATTCCTCGTTCTTGTGCAAATTTCTTGATATTCGTTTGTTCGAACTTTAAGGTGATTCTTAGTCCCCCAAACTTCTTTTCCCTGAACGAGTTTATCATATTTATTACATCCATTTTGAAATCACTGGTGGTCCCTGTAATCTGATTGGCTCAAATAGGTGCGATTTATTTACAAATCGCACCATTTTTTGCTTTTAAATCACATCTTTTTCCCAGCCAATGAGGAGGCTACACTAAAAACAAAACAACCAATCAGATTTCAAGGCTTGTTTAAAGTAACCATTCAAACATAAACTGCAGTAAAATTAAAAACAAAGACAAAGAGTATCATGTGGCAAATTTTGTAACTTTTGTTTCCAAAACTGCTGTTTCCCCCCCCCCCCAAAAAAAAAAAAAAAAAAAAAATTGGATGAATTTAATTTCAAACCGGCTCAGTACTGCATCAATAAAATATTTGAACTGACTAAGTCCTGTATTTGGGCGATTTCAAAATGAACGCAATAAAGTGGTAATTGAACCTCGCGTCGTGCAATTTTGGTCAGAAAGCATACTTGTGATTACAAATCGAACTTGGGTTGAGCGCTCTTTCGATTTTGAAATCACGCGTATTATTTCAGCCCAAATTGCACTCCACTCAGTTCAATTACCATTATTAATCTTTGATGTATGTGTATTCAAACTGTTCCGAGCCACCGTTTATAGATATCACTGCCCAACCATCCTATTGGCCTCATCACCGATAAGGCTTCCACTAAAGCAGAGAAAATTTTAATATTAATCTGAGGCGGATAGGTTTATCTTTTATTACAGCTTCCTGCAATTTTTGTATCCAGACGACATACTGTTATATACAACTTTTAAATATCGTATTACATACCACTTCAGGCTTAAGACAACATTACACATAAAGGGGGCCTCGCGCTTTCTTTGATTCCTGCTTCGGTTTTGAGGCACAGCTTAAGAACAATTTGCATTGCATTGCACACCTTTAGACGTGAATTTAGCAGCACGCGTGAGTATGGTTATGATGAATTCTTAGCTGTGGTCCTCTGCGAGAGGAATGACCTACTCACTTCGGGCTCTACATGTAAAAAACACAGACTGGTTGAATTCGTATGTCCTTTCTTGATTAGGCTGCTCATCATATTGCACTGTGATGGAGCTCTCGTTCTTTCAGAATTAAACCCTAAAGAAACCAAAAATTACCCAGTTCAGCACATGAAACATCCTCTCTAGAAAGGCACGGGCGCACTGCATTATCGTTCAAGTGATGGTCAAATGCACCAACAACTCTTTGGAGAGGGGAAAAATGATGAACGTAATAATTACTTTTCATCAAAATAAAAAGAAATAAAGAAAGCACAGCATAGATTTGCATTTAAACAGTAAGACCAAGAATGAAAAAGATTGTAACGCTTCTTTACCGATGCTCTTTGCGCGAGTGACTTCTCTCTACATTTGGCGCTGCATTATGTCAACTGACTCAAGAAGGCAGATCTGTGTTGAAATCTCCATCTCACCTGGCCCTTTCCTTAACTTTACATAACTGTAATTCTTTACTTCTCGCTTTGCTGTTTACGAAAGTTTTATATATACTTGGTTTCCGATTTGCGGACAATGCCAGGACGGTGTTTTCCTCTCCTTGTAACAAATTCTCTTCAGAACTATACTTGCGGCAGTAACCTAACCCAAACAAAGCGAGATTCTCGCTAGCTCATGCTCCGACTGAGACACAGTGAACCAATAATCATTGTATCAAGATAAGGTGTGATTAATATTGAAACTCATGAAGAAGATAGAATAACGGAAGAAAAGTACGACGAAGTGCTCCCTCACCTGTCGTAGAACTGCAAGCTGCTGTAGAATCATCTCTTGACGTGCTGTCGGTACACGGTCTGGAGAAGCCTAAATGAAAAAAGGGTAGGTTTCCGTCATTATTTCTTTAAGACGCATGCACACACGAACGAAAAGTAAATATCTCTCCAAGAAATAGTCCAGCTCCTAGTACATGTACTTCGAGAGGTAATCGCGTTGAAGGCAGACCTCACCTGAATTGGATAAATGCCGGCATTTTCGTTTTGTATTTTTGTTTGGTGTCCTTTGACATCTCGTTTTCCGGCTTCTGTAGAATGTTGAACTATTTCATGTCTACTTCTCGGAGTAACTGAAAATTGTTTTCCTGTCTTTTCACTTTTAACAGTCTGCCGACCTTGGACAGCTTGGGTAGTAGTTGTTCGAGAAGTCACAACAGATTGCGCTTTCTTATGTGTTTGTTTATTTCTGTTCATGGGGTTTTGATCTTGACGAGAACTAACATTATCAGCCTGTGCTGAAGATGGAGTGTTTGGAACTGGATGGAATGTAGCACTAGCAGTGCGAGTGTAAGGTATCATAAAGGCATCCTCCAGGGGACGAGCCAGCTGTGCTGCTGCTGCACCATCCTCGTGTCCACCTGTTATATTTTCTACTGAACCCTGACGCTTGTTCCGTGGCTTAAGTGCCTCTTTGTTTCTCTGTCCTCTTTCTGATCGTGACCGCGTAGTTACGTGAGCCGCTCCTTTAGCACGTGAAGGAGAAATTTTTTTCGTTTGAATCTTTGCCTGTGGATTGTTCCGTACAGAAGGAACAGGAGATGAAGAGATCCATTCTGATTCTAATGAGGCATTTAAACTCAACTGTTTTAACTCCGATTCAAATGAAGTATTCTCCTGTTCTGTTGAAGCAATGAGCATGTCATTCGTCTTTGCGAGTAATTCCTTGTGTTGCGGGGTTGACCGGATGTGTTCTGGTCTGGGTGAAACAGAAGCGATATCAAGATGAGATGTGTCTGTAGATGAATGTCTTTGCCTTAAGACCAGGCCAGCTATAGAGATCAATATAAAAAATCTTTAGTCAAAACTCACCACACCAACAAGTAAAAAACAATTCTAAATATCAATTGAACCACGCCGCTAAAAACGCTTGGTTCGTTCTATACCAGTGTTTCTCATTCAAGCATTCCTTTCTTTAAAACTTCCTTCAGATCAAATCGACATATCGTAGATTAAACACAACTTGTTTAGCGAAAACAAGAAGAAAGGACCGAAACTAGCTACGTTAAAATAACCGAAAACGTCAATCAAGGCCGGAAAATATGACGGCTTTGTATGATATCTTGATATTTGAACCTGTAAAAGATGCTCTTGTTTGAACTTGAATGGACATTACCCAACCAGAAATGAAGTGTTCATCTGCAACTTATTTGTCTCGTAATGTTACTACACATTTCCAGAATTGGCTACATCTATAAACAGCTTATATGATAAATAAATAAGGTGGTGAAAATTGACTAAATAATAGATTGAACATACGAGTCTTCAGTCCAGACACATCGTGACCGCGCATTTCCAACTGCTGGATCCTTTTGGCAGCTTTTTCCTGACGGAGTTTTAAAACAAAACAACTCTTGTTAGTATGAAGTGCAATAAGTAGGAGGTTTTTCAATAAAAGAACCATAAAAAAAGTTTAGAAATGCACATGGTTGTTGTGTTTAACTCGTGACAGCTTTTTATTAAATAGATATAGGAGATTTTGGTTTCAGTTGATAAGAAGATTAACAGGACGATGCGTGAGCACTTGTGGTCCTGATCACAAACGAAGAGAATTCCTGAAAGAAATAGTTACAGCTAAAACAACGATTAATCCAAAGTTATGGAGGAATCCACATATTTCGAGCTGTATATAAATATTAAAACTGACAAAATAAAGTTGACGATCACATTAAAACTAATCATACTGAGTATTAAGGCGACAATCATAACAAACATACCAATCTGATAAGATAAACCCGTGAAGGGGTGGGTGGTGCAATGTCGTATTCATCATGAATTTCCCCTAGAAGGCTGAATTAGCCCTCGTAACAAAATCTGTCATGATTCTCCGGTATAAGACAGCGCTTTTTTTTTTTGGAACTAAAGTTTCCCTTACATCACTGAATAGCCGTTTAATTTGGAGGGTATTGCTGTAAAAATTCAGAGAATACCTGTTGAGCTGTCTCGTACGCCTGCAATATACTTAATTCTAATGCCTCTGCTCGACGCTTTGCTTCATTCTAGAAGGCAATGAAAATGGTTAGAACTCATTGGTTTGAACTTACGAGACAAATCAGTGAATTGATGACAGAGTGTACACTTCCTAAAAAAAAGGAGGACGATATTAGTGCTATGAGGCGATCGTCCTGTTCACTGAATTAATGTCGAGTGAATGATTCATAAAAACTGACCTCTTTTTCCTCTCGTTGTCTTAGCTCCTCCTCATACTGTTTTTTCAGTCTTTCTCGCTCCATCATCAGCGTCCTTTCTTTCTCAGTCTCGTCTTTCAGTCTCCTTTCTTTTTCTTGCTGTTTAAGACGCCTTTTTTCTTCTACTTGTTCTTTTACTGCACGCTGTAAACATTCCAGCAAGCACATTTAGTTTCATAGGAACTATCTAACACTACCTGACAAAGACGTTAAGTCATAGTGAGCAGATAGCAATTTTCATTACGTGTAATGTAAAACGTTGTAATATTGTTACATCCCTGCCGGTAATGCAATGAAATAGAAACAGCTCACAGAATTCACACAAATTTGGTCAAGCCACGAAAGAAACTCTCCCAAATAAGCCACATGCAACGAAATCACTTAAGTCAACAAGTGCATATAATATTTGTAAGTAGTACAACATAAAAAGAGGATTCATTCGTTGCGCGTGAATAAGTAGGAAATCTTTCAAATCAGTGACAGTACCTGATGTTCAAGTGTTTTCAGCCTCTTTCTCTCCATTTCATCTTGGTTCACCTCAACTAAACTCTGCAATCCTTGACCACGGGCATGATGATTTCCAGCCCTGTAAGACATCACATATTTTCCTTTTTAAGAACAAAAATGGCTCTCTACTTTTAGTTCCTCAAATGATTCTGGCAACTTTTTCTTCCAGTCTATGGATTTCACTGTTTAAATGTGCAGTACCTGAAACTACTGTCTAGTGGAGAGGGAGAAGCTGCTTCAATATGAATTTGCGATTGCTGTGTTGTAGCAGCTGTAGTGTTATTGACGACAAAAGCAGTAGCTGCCGGAGGGGACTCATTTGAAAACACCGCTGTTTGTTTCCACTTTTCTTCTTGAGCTTCCTTTTGGTAAATAGCAACACAGTCATGCATCAGGTTTGAATGCCGCAAAGGACAAATGAAAATTAAATACAATTATAATTCTCAGTGATAAACTTGTTTCTTTGTTAAAGGGAAGGTTGTTCGAAAGGTGTATAACACTATCCATTGGATAAATCTCTATCTGTTGGATACTGTTAAGCGCCCTTTGAACAACTTGGCCTAAGTGTACATGTGAAAGAGCAAGTATATCGTAGGGTACTTAAATATGATGATTACTGGTTGATTGAAGTCTCCAGGTTCACTGAATGAAAAGAAAGCATGTTTCTTTCTCACGGTGCATATTTCTTTTATATTCATACAAAAAAAAATTATTATGAATTGAACCTTCCCTCTAGTTTTGGGGGTCTAATGCCCTAACATTCAACCAATGTAATAAAAAATAGTATTATCTTAAGGTTAGATAGAGCTCCAGCCCTGCCCAAATGTGTCCTTGAGCAGTGGCAGGCACCTCCATGAGAAATGATAGAATGGGAGTTGGTATGACTCAGTGGCATCTGCATTAACATTATACAAAGAGTAAAGATGCCAGAAATAGATCTTCCAATCATGTTGTAAGACATAATAAACATGATATCAATACCAATTATCATTTTCTTGAAATGACTCAAGTATTACCAGTGTCAGGATTAATAATTTGATTATTTTGTGATTGGGCAAAATATGCGGTCATGTCTTCATAGCATGACTTTATATTAAGTTTATAACTAGAACTTACTTCTTAAGCTTATCTGGTAAAATAGGGGAGTCATATGTTGGACCCAAAAAAAGCCACTTTACCTTCTGTAACTGCTGCTGCTTTTCCTGAGCCTGTCTTTCTTTCTTTTCTTTGATCTGTTGTTCTGTACAAGATATATGACAGTTTAATTGAAATCGCCATTCTTCATCAAGAAATATCAAATAAAAATCAAAAGCTGCAGCAGTTTTGAAAAAAATATTCAGATAGACCATCAAGAAAAGAAGATATATTCCATCATCATTCTGTTCTTACCAAGATCCTGGAGCCACTTTTTCTTTTCATCAATTTTACACTGATACTCTTCATACTTTACAACTCCAGGAGCCTAATCAGGAAAAAGTATGCACAAATGCACAGACTTCAGTGCAGATGTATGTTGTAACTGACTGACAGAAGGACCATATGAAAAAGTCCTTAGAAACCAATGAACCACTACAATGTTTTAACACCAATAATGTGAACTTTACACTGATTAAAAAAAAAACATTTAGGTAGAATTCTCACCCCAATGGCAAATGAACTTCTCATAGCCACAGGAGTAGTTGTGGTGTTAAGGTCATGTGTGTTATAACTGTGTGCTGTTGTCTTTGTCTTGGAGCCACTGTCAAACTCTGGAGCTGACATAACACTGTCTTCATCCTTAGAGGTCAAGTCCTATAACAAGTTAAATCAGTCTTGTAAATTGGATTGACTCCCTATTACATTAAATGGGGGTAGCAATGAACATCTGACCTCTAACTAGTTGATGTGAAACTCCTATTATTCCCAATCTGTACACTCTGTGATTCTCAATAATTGTTCTCAATCTATACGTAACTAAGTGTAAATTAAAGTCTCCAAATCAGAATAAATTGAAGACATTTTGTGCAACTTTAGTATACCTTTACCTGATGCATTTTCTTGTAGTCAGCCACTATATTTCCAGATTGAGTTCTTACTGGAGCTCCTCCTCCAGGTCTGCCCCATGGATTATATTCTTCAAATTCATTATCCTTATCCTTGATTAACAGAAGAGCAAGGATAATCACTTGCCTTTTCATTATTAATTCACAATTATTTAATTGTGTTCAATAAATTCTGGCCAAGTACTAATAATACTAATAATAGTACACATTAAAAATAATGAACTTGATATTACTACTGAAAGTATTGTAGTATTCAATTAATGTTAGCATTGTAAATATTATATTAATTTCATGGGCAGTTCATTGTTAGTAATGTTTCCTAAGAGATGTATTGAAGGTAATGTGTTGTAATTACTAATGTATGTATTGCAACTAATGTATGTTGTTGTAAATAAAGATTTATAAAAACAAAAACGAAAGCAATAAAACTGGTATCCAAGAAATTTAGAGGGTGACACTTCTATGAATAGTACACACATTATATAGAGTAAAGGATTCTATCCATTTAGTGATCAGAAAGACCCTTGGACCATGATCTGATTCAAGAATGACAAGAAGAAAGTGCATGTAAATTGGATGACAATATGCATATAATACTAGTACAGATAGTAAATAAAGATACTTGTGATGTTAACAACAACAAAAATTATTTGTAATCATAAACTACCCTAAGTATAATTCTATCATTAACATATTCTGATAACATCAACTTACCAGTAACTTTCTTTTAGCTTTTAATTCCTGTTTGAGGGCTATTTGCTCATCTGTCATCACAATATAAGGACATTTACAATTTAAAAGCATAAAAAGGTTTTTGAAAACATGTTTAGCAAACAAACCAAGCTATTTAGTAAACAACTTCCACTGCTTAGTATTTCTAAAAATTTCAAAGCTGGCACATATGAGAAATTTAGTGTGGAAATTAGTCCTGGACAGTTAAAGTTTTTCTCTTATTCACCATGTGATTGGTCCATATGACCTTTGCCACCTTCAGCTGCAATAATAAAGTCAATTGTGTTTTGGTCACTGATATTTTCCCATACTTAATGCTGTTTGCCTTTTTAGCTTTCATCAATTTTTCATACATTAGGCTCTTTGTGATAGTTTCCACTGTTCTAATTGGATGCAATGTTAACTTTACCTTTGCTTTAATGACACTTGACTAAAATCTGTTCTCGTTACATGCTTCAAACTGCCAGTGATACTGAACAAGTCATACTTTGCCATGTATTAACTTTATTACTACACATACCTAACTCCTTCTTCCACTGCAAATTTTTGCTGAGAGTAATGACCTACACAGAAAAGGAAACACTACTTATAAGTTATGCATAATGAAAGCTAAGCTGACTACTCTAACTGCTCAGTTACATGCTATTTCCCAGCAATGAGAGATCAAGTTGCCTGACTTCAAACCTAGAATCCTTAATTGGTCCCCAGATAAAAAAAGGTTAAGTTGCCAAAAAAAAACAAAAAAAACTAAAACTAAACAATGCAATGTAGAACTAAAAAATATGGAATGAGACTGAATTTGTGCAGTATAACATAGTAACCAATTACAATGCTTCTAAAATATACTACATGGGAGAATAAACATAACATATTGTGGCCAAGATGGCGAGAAAGAAAGTATTTCTGAACATAATTGATATCTAAGAATTGATATAATTGATATCAAATAATTAATCTCTTTTTTCTACTTCATGCCATAAAGATGAAGTAATGTAAACTTATTACAGATTTCTTCATGTCCACTAAGAGCAGGTGACCACATTGGAAAACTAACCTGCAAATTTAATCACCAAATTTTTTCATAATCCCTGTAGTGACCAAATTGGTCACAACTTGGAGTGCTGAAATTATTTAATTCAAGTTTTGATACTGCAACTATAGTTATGTACATTTTCAAGAATTAGTTATCAAATGAATATTATAAATAAAATACCTTACAACTTTCTGCCATGTTAAAAATTATCTTTAGTTAATTATTTTGTTAATTACTGAATTACTGTAAAATTATGAGCTTGAACTTCAGCCTTATCACCTGACAATGGTGATGCCTTGCAGTAGGCAGTTGAAACATCAAGAGTAACTACACTGTGATACAAACAATAATACACAAAATAATAAACATGTATTTACCTGTTCCTGGTTATCAGAAATATCATCTTCGGTTTTGGATTCTGATTTCTGTACCCTTCTCCTGATAAGAAATTTTATGGAGAGATATCACAGATTTGACCTAGTTTTAAATAAATTCCTCCTTTGAAGCAAAGTGTGCAATAATTGAAACTCTTATACAGGTTGCATTATTCATAGTCACATGTTTGTAAAGATGAAAGATAGTATTAAAGTGCTTTGCATCTTCTTAATAATTAATTTACCTTGTTTTATTGTCTCTCATTGATGGTTGATGAACTGCTATTTGTTCTGCAGCACTTTCCATTGACCCTGTTACTGAGTTGATATAAATCAGTTCATATACAGGTATGTAAATGTATTGACATTGTTCCAGAGGAATTCAGCAACTTGGTGGGGGGGGTCACTATCATTTAATGTTCATCTTAGACAAGTTAAATCATGCACCAAAGGAATAAATTATATAAATTATATGTTGCACATTCAATTTGCACTGCCATTTCATTGTCAATGGTAGAAATTGCTTAACAACAACAAAAATTGGTGCAGTCAGTAACATGCTAACAGTGTAACTATATATAGTGTTTCTTCTTACATTTGGATAAATACCTGTAAGTTAGCTATTAGATAATCTGTATTTTATTGGTTAGGACACCTTTGACCGCAGTCACATGATTATCCTTATATATCTTTGTATCTAATTAAGTTTATTGTATTCTCATAAAGCAATTGCGTGGAGCACTTGGTCTGATTCACACATTACTCTATAGTTAGTATATCGAACCATAATACACAACATTATGCAGCATGGGAAAGACAAAGAAAATCCCTTCTCTCTCTTAAGATCACACAACATCAACATAAACAGCAAACAGACTGACCTGTATATGTGTTTTCAAGATCTGCTACAGGCTCATGCTCAGTGTCTGCAGATTTCAGAGATGACAGAATTCTTGACAACTGGTCCTTTGTCAAGTAACTAGCATCTGTAGGAGGTTCATCTTTTCGGATACTTTGACTTTTTGTTAGTTTACCATCAGTGCCATCATTATTTTTCTGTGGCTTGGATGAGGACTTTGCTTTGCCATCTTCTCTAAAGTGGTTTGTCTTGGGAGGAAGAGTGCGAACTTGAGAGGTTCTTCCTGAGAAACCTTTTGAGCTTTGTCTTCCCTTAAAAATAACAACAATCAAGCAAGAGCAGCTCAATTGTGTCTTGATCTGAAACTTTTTGAAAGAAATTGCTACCTAAATTTTCAACTTTCTGTGGCACATGTGGTACACACAATAGTTTCTAGTACACTGGATCCAAATATTCTTTAAACATAATAACATGACCACATTGAACTACAAAAGGAAAAAAACTGCATAACATTTCATGATCTTTTGAGTATCAGGAACAAAATGTTTGGTTTCAGAAGATGACTCCTTTAACAAGCATATACTGTCAAAGCTTGAGACTATAAGATCATTTTACTACCAGCAAATGAACATTTCAATACCTTAGCAACTCTTTCCTTAGGCCCCGTTTTAAATAAGCTATCTGTAATGAAAATAAAAGCTAAATTAGCAACTTACAGAAATTACTAAAGTACAAAGTCTCAGGAGATTTTATTTTCTGTCAACTGATTGAAATATATTCATAAACAGAAAAAAAATTACATATACATGGACTTACATATATTAGTACATGGGATGTTAGTCATCACCAAAAATGCAAAAATATGTAGTTGATCTTGAGGACTAGAGGTAAATGCACTTCCATAGGACTCAAATATCGGAAAAGCAATGCCAGAATCATACCAGAAAAACTGTTCAATCAGTTACCTATAACTGCTAACACAACTGTTCAAATAACTGACTCCGCCAGGCTACTTTAAAAAGCATCTCCAAAAGTAGCCCAGTAATCTATAGTCATAGCTTTCCCCCTAGTCGATGTTGGGATTAATGACATCTGATCAGCAAGCGTGATCGTCTACAGTATATGACAGTGACAATAACAGCTGTCAATGCGTCAATTGATCTCTCAACTCAATTAGAGAGAGAATGAACCTCAACATTGAGAAGGGATCGTGGTGTACCATCAATACTTATCAGAGTAGTTATCAATGAATTGACAGTGTTCGCAAGGTTTTCCTATGCCATAATGAACAAGGTTGTAATTGAAATTTGACGTTGATCTAAGAGTGATATAAATGAGGTCTTGAAAGATTCGATCAAAATCGTGGAAATAAACATTTAATAAAACGGTGAATACTCTGACCTTCATTCAAAACTATATCGAGCTTTCCCTTGTTAGTGTTAACTTTTAGCCTGTGAAGAAAAAAAAATAAGCAACAACTGACAACATCTCTTAAATCAAACCGTGTATGATATTTACTGTTCTAGATTGAATAAAAAAAAGGACTTTTTCCGCGATATTGGATGGGTTAACTACTTTCTACATCGGTTTCCCTATAATTTCTTACATCTCTTAGTCCAGTTTGAAATTGCAAAATGACCAAAGTATTTGTTTTGGTTTAGCTTCGTATAATTTCATTTGGTCGCGAGGGTGCCATCATTCAGTGCCTGTCTTCTATTGGTCAGCGGTTTTAAACGAAGACCAACTTGTGTAGTGTTAAAATCTTAAAACGCACATGTTCTTACAGTCAAGTACATAGTTAATTTAGTATTATTTGAGACTCCATTTGAAGCCAAGAAGAGCAAGCTTCTATTATGAACGCACACGCAAGTGAGTACGAGTTACAAAGATTAAAGAATATCAATGAGAACAAGAAAATACTTGAAAGTCTGGGGCTTGACAAGTTTGAGGTATGATAGTGTAGCTGCATAACTGCGCCCTATTCACATCTATTAGGAATATTATGGAGAGTAATACTTTTTCCATATAAAGGTCTCTCAGGGCTTTAAAATATGGATATTTCTAGCAGTTTTTATAGCCAGGGAATATGTTTAACAACAGCACCCTGAAGTAAATCCGTCTTCACATACTGTAAATGAAGGGCTAGCTTGCGGTTGTGAGGGAATTTTATGCGGCTGAGCCGCGAAAGGAATGGGAAGGAGAAAATTTAGAAACTGCCTTAAGCAGTCCTGAAGGTTGTGGAGTCTTATCCGCCCACAGGGAAGAGTCAGGAATTCCCATATGTCTTTGTAACCCTCAAGGGAGGCACAAATAAGGTAGTAAATCGAAAGTTAACAATTTCAACAGATATTAATGCATTCCTGTGTGCATAATGAGCAGAGATTTAGCTGGCACATTTATTTAGTTAATAATTCTTTCTGGCTTGATTTTTTTTCTAACAAGCCTGAAATTTGTGTCATTTCATGGTCTTTCCTGCTAATGCAGATCTCTTTTTTTCACAAACTCTGTTGTATGGGCCATTTATTATTTTTAAACTTTTACCATTTTACAACCCTTGATGGAGACATGTGTACTCTGACCTCTGTTCACTTGATTAATTGATTATTTGTTTTGTGCTGCAACAAATACAAACCACTAATTTACATTGCTCAGTTACAAGAAAAGAAAAAGTAAAGTGGAGTGGCAGGAGAGAGGAACAGAACTTTTGTCCTAATTGAGACCTAACCCCTAAAATGCTGATTGGATGAAGCAGAGAGCTTTTTCCCTTAAATTTGGTAGTTGCTCTGGGCAAAGTAACTTCAAATTGAAAAAATTAAAAATCTCATTCTCTACTTTTTCAAGCTTTCATACATTGTAGACTGCTACCTTCCTTGTATGATATAGGACAAAAAACAAACTGTCTTCAATTGCGTAACCCAGTCTCATGCAATATTTGGTGTCTCCTCCCATATGTATAGGTGATGAAACATATAGCCTGAGTTTATAAACATTTTACTCCGTAGTCTTTCACTCCAAGACCAATAATAAAGAGGCCATTACAGACTAAGGGTGTGAAGAGGAAGAGAGAACAGGCAAAAGATAAAGGTTCAAAAGCTGATGAGGAATTCAGTTTTGTGGATAAAGATATCAGATATCAACTCAGATCATCACGCAGAATTAGAGGACAGGTGGAGTAGTTTTGACAGCGGACCAATTGTCAGGGGGGTGCAATAAGATATTACATTAAAAATAAATCTCTTTGAGATGTGCGACTCTCTACATGTTGCTAAGCCAAGTCAATTTTTGTTTTAAAGCTAAGCTGTAGTGTATATTATGTCTTATGAATATTTGGATCATGAACTTGGGAGCTTGTTTCAATGTTCTTAAGACTTTAATGTCCATTCCTTTTAAACATTTTTACTTTTCATATAGAGTTTCAAATGGTCTATCTTGATCAAAGAAAAACAAAAGTCAGTTAGTTGTAGGGATGTCATTTTGTCTACCCTCTTCAATCCACGTCCCCAATCTTTTTCATTAGGAACCAAGCAATCAGGACTTAAAGAATTACAGTTTTGATGATAGTGATTATGATACCCAGGAATACAGGAAGCCTTTAAGAGTACCAAAAAATAGAGAAAATGTCTTTGGAGAGATTCCAGGTAACTTGCAAACATTTTATAGAATTATTGGGAATTGACCAATAAAGGAAATATTGTAAATCTACATCTATGCCACTTATATAAACACAAAATGCATTGTAGACACAAAGAGTACAATTGTAGTTAAATGTACATTTTTCAGATTTTATTTTCTGTTGTTTAATACTCTCTCCTTAATTCACCTAATTATTTGACATTTGTCATTTCAAAAGTTTCAGCTAAGAGATTTATTGTGGCTTGCAATTGCTTGTAGCTGACAGTAACTGATGTGTTTGTTAGGTTGTCCTGTGGGAACCTCCTGGGATTCAAGACTCACTTGCTGTATTGATGGTGTACATCGGTGAGGAAGTCATTATGGTTCTTTTAACATACTGTAGATCATCACAACTCTATTTAAAAGAAAAAAAGAGTAAGAACATACTATGTATCACTGCTCATTGATAAATTTTACCAGTATGACTCCTAAATTGGTAGAAACAGTGTCTGATGAGCAGTTGAAATTTACTGTAAGTTTTTGCAGATGATGATACTATTGCATACTCAATGCAGCAGACACAGGGTGTTGTGCACTGGAGTTTGGGGAGTGTCAACCACAGTGTAGGAATTGACAACACAAGTTGATTCAACATTGTTTAATGCTATTGTCTGACTATTGTACACATGCGGTGAAAACTGAAAAGGGAAATTGAAATGTACAAGATCAAAAAATGAGCTAAGACTAATTACAAAGCAAGCAAGATCAAAAAGAAAAGGAAACTAAATACAACAGGCTGGAACTTAAGTCTGATCTTGTCTTTATGGGCTTAGAGGAACTGCAATGTTACATGACTGGAACAGTCTTGTGTAAAAAGAAACTCTGATCTATCTCCGTTGATCTCCAAACTCCAACTGACTTGATACTTAAGGGACATACCACTATAAGGGTATTGCTCATGTATACAATTGCAAACTGGTTTATCAGGAATGCAAGCCAAGTATGTAATTCAAACTGTGAACAATAGTACACTAGGAAAATTGGAAAACTGTAAACTCGACAAAGAAATACAACAGAACTTTTTCCCTACTTTAAATCACAACCAAATGATTATGTAATCAAAGTCTTCTTTGAATGTTCATTACAGTTACTGTCAATTAAGATCAGAGTATTTTAGACTAGATGTTCATGTACTGTATCTCTGGTCTTAGAATACCATATTTAGCCACAGTTTTGTTGCTACTTTTTCTCTTCTCTAAAATTCGATACTGACAGCTGAGAATACTGTTGGTGTTGGTGTAAGACTAGATTCTATTAAAATAGACTAGATGTTTATGATTCAGCAGTGTATGTGTTTATCAACTTAATGCAGGCCAACAGTAGCTGGTATTCATGGGAGCGATGAAGGATGCTACTCACTTGCTCTGTCTGGGGGATATGAAGATGACCTTGACTATGGAGTCTGTTTTACATACACTGGAGAAGGTGACAATCTCACTCTACTGATGCATGACCCAGAGCAGCAAATGACTTCCTTTGGGCCTCTGATAGGCTCTTTACAAACTAAGCACAGGCAGAATTCTGTTTAATTGCATGATAAGTAATTTTTGTAAGATTGTAATCTGATGCTTGGCATATCAATACAATTTTCAATAAAACATGAGATGTCATGAATTACTTATTACCACTGTAGTTCACATAAATTGTAAGTTAGCATTGATGTACAACAGCTGTGATCAGACTTCAGCCCCAAGGATACTAAGAAGAATCATTTATCTGAATTCATTGTGTCAGGTCATTAACTGAAAAGTGAATTTGGAATGTTTTCTTCTCGCAGGTGGAAGAGATTTGAAAGGCACAAAAGCTAATCCAAAGGTATTGTCTAAATTTGTGCGAAACTTGTTTTTATTTACTGGATATCCCCTTTAGTGATGACTAAACCACATTTTTGTGCTTGCTTACATAATTTAACTTGTAGTCTTTAGTCTCATGAGTTACATTTGTCATGTTTATCAAATGGTTTTTACCTAGAACACATCAGAGAAGATAGAAGCAACCACAGATTGCTGGCATAGCTTTTGGCTATCCTCTCCCCTCCCTCCCCTGTCTTCCAGATGGGATGCTATAAATGAAAAGGGTACTATTGTTGTCTTCACTATTCTCTGCTATTTTTGTAGAACTTGCGTACTGCTCCTCAATCCAAAGATCAGTGTCTGTCCAGAGGTAATGAAAGATTGGTTATATGTATAATTTCCCTGTCTGTAACAAGGTGTCTTAAGGTGTCTTTAAGATAGTAGAATTATCATATCTGAACCAGTGCATTTTGCCAAATTATCTGAAATAATGTGAAGCTGAATGCTTGGCCTTTATGATCTTTATGTGATTCTCAATATCCTTTTTGATTTTGTTTCTCCACTATGACCTGCATTACTGTAACAGGAAATTTAGCATTAAGCAGGAGTGTTGAAAGTGGGAAACCTGTGCGTGTTATCAGAGGATACAAGCTAAACAGCCTCTATGCTCCAGAAGAAGGATACAGATATGATGGTAGGAAGTTCCTGCAATGATCCTGACCCAGTGATAGAGAGATAGTCTATTAGAGAACAATTGCAGACCTACCAGTTTTTATAGTTCACATTTTTTTCTAGCCAAGCAGTCATATGGCACTTGAAAATTTAGAGGATAAATAGGGCACTAGAAAGCCTCAAGTTTTCACCTAGCATGGACTTTTACTCTCTTTTGATGGACTAAGTCAAGAAAGGGGCAACTGCACCTATAGTCCATTTTTTACCCCCTGGTATCCAGCTTCACTTGGTGATCAAGATTTTCATTGAATTACATAAACACATTCGAACCTCCCTGTCATTCTTTTGTTATCATGCTAGCCTAATTATTTATATAGAAGCTGTAATATTTTCTTTTATTTCACATTACACGCATTTCCCACATATTAACCTGTTGGAAACAGCTACTATGGTTTTTTTGCACATTTTAAAACAGCAGTCAAATGATTAGGTTAATTTTTGCATCGCAACTGAAATTGCAGTTTGTGCTAACTTTATTTATACTTAAAAATGGCAGAAAATAGAATCTTCCGATTTCTGGAGCTTTCTTCTGCCTTAGGACAGAGGTATCCGTGGCATACAACGTATCTTAAGTTTTGATAAGAAACAAGAGACATGGATACCTCCCGATTTGCAAAATTCAAATCTCAACACTGTCTTTTATGAACACTCACAGGGTACGGTCTGTGGATTTGACTTACTGCCTCAATAAATTTGTTAATGATTTTACCTGTTTTTAATTATCTATTGTAGGACTTTACCGAGTTGTTAAATATTGGCAAGCCTGTGGATTAAGCGGCTTTATGGTTTATAAATTTGCCCTTAAAAGATGCGAAGGACAAGCCCCGCCTCCTTGGGAACAAACAATTGAAGACTCCGGATCAGACATCAGTGACTCTATAAATGGCTCTATTAACTGAGCTTTTGGTTATCTTTAACTTATATTTAGGTAGTTTTTTTTAGTCAGTGGAGATGTTCAAATTTACTCTTTTTATACGCTTTCAATATTTCTAAATATCCAGGATTTATCGATGACATGCCAGTTAATTGACCAGCTTAATTTATATTATTGCAATAAAGTTTTGAATAGATTCGACATGAATGTTAAGGTATTAATGGGAAGGGGTGAGGCAAAATCAGAGTGACTTCGTCGTTGTTAGGAAATGGCAAACTCGAGGTTTAAGGTGGCTATGATCGGCTACGAGTTTAGCTATGTTCATTACTTGTGTTATCAAAAATTACAAAAAGACCGCCGAAGCTACTGGAGTACTGAAGCTGCTTGGAGTGCAGTTCTAGCTTAAACCACGTTGTGCTGACAAGCTGTACACAAACACGTTACCACGTAGGTGTACTAGTTGATCGACAGAGTTGCTTACTTATAACTGTATCCAAGTGTGTTCAACCGTTAAATTCCATTTTCCAGTTGAATTGTGGGGTCAACATCTAAGATGTCTTCAATTTGCGACGCGATTTAGTGTATCTGCTTGGTGAACATGCCAGCTTTGAACAACAAACAGCACGTGAACCCAAAAATAACCACTGCTTTGGAACTGAATACCAACGGGCCCAGAAGGTGAGGACGAGTGCTCATTGGAACGAGACCAAAGATTGGTTGGCAGATGTTGAAGCCGGTGTCCCAGCGGATTTGGACCCCCCTAGATTTGGACCCCCCGGTCCAAATCCGCTAGCAGATACGGACCCCCCGGTCCAAATCCGCTAGCGGATATGGACCCCCCCGGTCCAAATACGCTAGCAGATTTGGACCCCCTCCGCGGATTTGGACCCCAACAAAACTGAGTGAAAATTACATCGTCCTCAACGTTCTTTAGTAAAAATGGATGATTTTAAAACATTTACGTTTATAAAATAATAACAACCGTTGAATGCGTGAAAGCTTCAATTATGATTGTTTTTTTTTTTTTGGTTTTGTGAAATACCGATTGCTCAAATCTCGACTTCTAAACTTCCGACAACTTCAACAAAAAGCCTTTAGTCAACGCAATTTCTCGAATTAAGCTTTATTTTCACGAAGGTTCGAAAGAATCGGGAATTCGCTGTTCGTTTTCCTCAACTGATATGCGTTGCTCCGCCTACTTTAATTTTATACGGTTGAACAATTTACTTCTTTATTAAGTTATTCTGTTATGATGTTATTTTAGGCGCACCGTTAAATAAACATCGCGTTGCGTTTGTGCTACTTGCTACTTACCTCTTGAATGAAAGTAATTAAGTTAAACTTCAAGTCTTTTTAGCGCTCTTGTCAAGTTAAAAACAGAGTGTTTGGTAGGGTGAATTAACAAAAAGTAGATGATAGACAATAAGACACCGCTATATTCTAATTACATTGTTTTCTTTCCTTTTCTTTTTAATCTTTTTCTCGTCTCAGTGCGTACTAAAGTATGTTTTTCATTCAAAACATGCGTATCGTTAAAACATCGTCAAAAAAAATGTACGGAACGAGGCAAGAAAAGGAGGCAAACTGGAGCGGGCATGGTCATGCGTAACGTTAATGCATACGAACTGGCATCCCGTCGGATGTTTCTTTTGACCAAGGGAAATGCACAAGAGTTAATTTGATGTCTGGAGAGGGTCGTTTTGAACCTTTTCCGCGATAGTCGAACACCACTAGATTCAATAGGAGACAAACTTGTGACACTAATTTATTTTGTCATTATTCAATGCCCGAGTGTTGGGACGACATGGTTCTGTGCGAGTTGTGCGAGGAATGGTTTCACATGTTTAAGACTACCCCGGAGGGCGAGAGTGACTCTGCATTGTCTGCAGATCGCCAGACTCTGACGTCTTCGTAATTGTTAAGGTGTTATTTTGGATCCCTCAACAGTTAATAATCATTAAAATTAGAAAATAAGATTGAGTTCGATGTAATAGTCTCCATTTTTGTTAAGACGTTGACATTAATGTTGATTAATGTTGATTTGCATCTGAAAATAAGCTGAGAGTTCCAATAGTTCAGAATAGAAACATTTTTACTTATCATAGGCTTTACGAACGACTTGTAGTAGGAGTAGTTTCTTCGTTCTTGTTCAGAAACTGTTTATTGTTATTATTTTAGAAAATCAGACTGAGTTATTTTTCTGACTGGACGCAATAGTCTCCACTATTGTTATGACGTTTCGTATCAATGTTGATTCGCATCAGAAGAAGCAAGGATTTATCGTAACAATTTCAATAGTTCGAATGCAGTAGTTTGTTCACATCTGATTCTTACGTTTACTGTACGACTCGCTAAAATAATGCGGTAGAATTGGAACGAAATGACTGTTTTTTTCTTTTACCTTTATTGAGGAATGTTGTGTTGCGATTGAAAAGAACATCGACAAAAAGCTTGCAAATAGAATTAGTTACCAAATATGATACAAAGGATGCTTAAAAGGAAAGTTTGGTAGGGGGGTCCAAATCTGCGAAGGGGGGTCCATATCCGCTAGCGGATTTGGACCGGGGGGGTCCAAATCCGCTAGCAGATATGGACCGGGGGTACAAATCCGCGGGGGGGTCCAAATCCGCTGTGACACCGGCACCAAAAGGCTGGCGGACGTGTTAGCTGGGTGGAGGGCATTGACTGCCGTATGCATCCATTGAATCGGGACCATCCAAGTCTTAGTCTGAGCGAGAGATTGGCACTCGCATACACAGAGAACGTTTGAAAAACTCTCTATCGTTATTAGTTCAATGTTGTCGCGTCAAACAGTGCATTTTTGGTCATAACCTTTTGACAAGTAATTATGGATTCGTGATGTTGGGGTTGTATGCACTGTAACCCTGCGAATCATTCGGAAACGGAAATGTTTTCATCCGCGTCCTGCGTGTTCAGGGAACAGAGAGTCTGACTCAAACACCGGATGGATAACAGCGGCTGTAGTAATATCACCTGTCCTTCAGATATCATAGCACAGTACGAACAGCGACATCTACATGGGATTGTAGTTTTGACCATTGAGAATAACTGGGTGTAGTTCGGTGTCTGGCGAAACACTGCCTTAATTTTTCAGTCGTTTGGAATTTGATTTTTAGCCTCATATTTTGGTACAATCACATGAGTAGGGAGTTTTGATAATAGTTAAAGGTGAGTGACGAAAGTTGATGTTGGGCCTTATGTAAATCAGACCTCTCGGTATCATGATGAATCCTCAGATTTTCGTGGAAGAAAAGCTGATGGTAAGGATTTAATACGCAAAATAGCTCTAGGTTTTTTTTCTCTGTTGTATTCTATCCTTTAGTGAAACGTGGAGGACCCCCTTAAATCCAGAGTTCTTTTACATGTAGTTCTTTTTTTTGGTTAAAAATGAACGTAGAGGTGCAGGCTCAAAAGAAAATGCAAATGACAAAAATTTTCAAATGAAGGAAATTCCAGACTAATAAATAATCTGGGAAAACATACTGACAGGAGTTATCTGGAGAGGAATTTATAGCAGAACTTGTTCAACCCCCACCCAGTGTAAGTGTTCCCGATGACTTGAAAACCAGTAGGAGGGATCCGAGCGGTCAGTGGTTAACTACCGCAGAAAGTGGTTCATTTGTACAATATACCTTTTTTAGGGTTGTGCAACCAACCTCTATCCCTGCCCACTGAGGTATGGCTGAAGCAATGGGAAGCGGCGGAGATAAGATTCTCCGAGAAGCAGTTCGGCAAAATCTTGATAGGTGGCTCACAAAATTAGATTGTTCGGGAGATGTCAAAAAAAAGTTGGCGTTCAAAATGAAGTTCGTGGAGAAATTGCGAGACTCTCCGGTGGCTATTGAGACTGCACGAGCGAACGAACAACACTACGAAGTACCGACTGATTTCTTTCGTACGGTGCGTGAGCCTCTTTACTTTCGATATCGGTAACTTTTGGGCAAAAGTAAGCATTTAAACCCAAACAAGTAGTAGAATTGAGGTGTATTCAGACTTGAGGTCGAAGGTTAAAGACAGAATGATGTAATTGATGGTTGGTTCACGGGGTTCAGAGTCAGAGTCTCCCGCTTCGCGTACTACGTTCTCCTACCTCCCGTGCTTTTGTGCCCCTTTGCTTCCCGACTCCCACCCACCTTCATTGTGTTGCTCTTGTCTTCAGGTTTATCAAGGTTAATTAAGGCCTTAGCCTTGTCCAAAATAAAAAATTGCGTTGAAAAGTGAACCACTCTGCACTCTCTAGCGCGCTCACTGAAATGGCATTCCTTTGAACCAAGTTTGTACCTTGAGGCAAAATCTGCAGTAATTTGGGATGAGCAGTCATGCAGACCGAGCTCCCAAGAAGGTCTTCCATGGACGGATTTTTCGTTGCCACAGCGAAAAATACCGAGGCCGACTAATTTAGTCTTTGACGACATTTGACCTGAGTGACCCTGAATCGCTTCCTTTGCTAGCTTACCAGACACTGAAGTATAACTGTACATGTGTCATGTGTCATGCTATCTTATGACCTATGTCATAATTTAAGTGAAGGGATTTCCAAATTCACTGGAAGTAATGCTGTTCTCCAGCCTGAGTACAAATTTATGTTTTCTTGCTTTCAAAGTTTTCTTTTAAGCACTGGTGATGTTAAATGGAAATTTCAAAACTTTGCTAGATAAGTATTTTTGACTGAATAATACCTAATAATAAATAACAAACTATTGCCTTCTTCATTTCTGCTCCCGCTTCCTGCCCTCTCCTGCCCCCTGTTCTCCTAGGCTCCAACCCCCCATCCCCCTCCACTTGCTATGGAACCAAATGTAATTTTTGCAATCCTAACTTAGTCACTTTCTGTTTTATAAGCATCTACCTTAACTTATTAAGCCTTGCTAAGAAGCTCATCCTAAATTAGTTGACACATTTGTAAAACTGAAAGTAGAACACTATTTTCTTACCCCCGAATCCCAAGTGTGCTACCCCATATGCAATCCCATTATAGCCAACCCAGTCATCAAAATGCAACCCCATCTGGTGGCACAACCCTTTAGTAAATAACTAGGAAGTACCTCTCTCTGGGTTATGGAATGGGGAAACTCTTTTAGTTAGAAACATAAGAAATGTCGAGACAGAAATCTAAAGCCACTTAATGTATAAACCTATCTGTTAGTGCTTTCATACAGTATAACAGACACAATGAACTTCTTTTGTAAGACCTACTGGTGTGAGGAATCAAAAAAGATAACACTGAAACTAAAGCAAAACCACTTATTGAAACAAAGTTTGGAAAGAATCACTTAATTTGGAATTCTGAAATCTTTGAGTGCATCAATTTGTTGGAAGAGATGCCTCAAAATGGTTGGTGCACAATTCAACCAATATTAGTTATGTATGATACTACCAAATTGTTACTCAAGTTAGATCTTTGTTGCAGGTACTTGGAAAAAGACTCAAATATAGTAGCTGCTACTGGCCAGAAAATGTCACAACACTGGAGGAAGGTAATTGGAACAATAATGCACAATTTAGTTTGGTGGTGGAGGGAAAGTGCAGCAATGAGAGAACTGACTTTCTACAGTTGTGGCTCCATATGATTCAATTCCTGGACCCATAGTCTCATTTTGGTTGAATCCCCTGTTTGCTCTGTAAGGGTTTTTCAGTCAGGCTTCTCCATTTTTCCACTCTTCTTTCCCTCTGACTTAGTAGCAATGGACATTAAGGGGTGTAGCTAGTAGCTTTCAACACCAAAATCCAATTCATCATCTGACTAGGATTGCTATTTGCTGCTTTTCATGAATAGTACAGTAGCTTGTTTTACAGTGTACTAAGTAAGGTTTGGCATCTTGGCAATAAACAAGAACTTCTTCATTCCAGAAGCATCTGATGTAACATATTGGTAACTTTTGCGTAGTTTCATGAAGACACATGTCAATCCTTGACTACCCTATTTTACCAAGATAATTTGAGTACAAAAAAGGCTCCAAGCCTGTCTTAAGACCACAAATTTTTTACCCCAAGTTCTGAAAACTAAGGGCTTTATCCTGTAATTTTCAATTAAGGTCTATTTTTGCAAATAATCTGGAGGAATTAATTGTGTCATTCTCAGCATTTGTTGTTCGGGACATATTTTCAATTGGTAAAAGTTGCAGATGATAATCTTATTTTACCAGTTTGATAGATGCACAATACTACATTCCCTCTTCCTGGCATGATGATAATTCATTAAAACTAGATATTGTTGTTGGTTTTTAGCGGAGGACTCTATGCTTAAGCTGGTTTGTGAAAGAGCTAAGGTAGAAGATGGGAACTCAATTATGGTATGTACCTTTGCATAAGCCCATGGAGGACCTACTAGAGAAAGTTACTCACTGCTGCCCAAATGTGGGTCTGCAATAATTTTCCGATGAAATGGAAACTAATGTAGGCTTTCAAATACAATTTTTTTTGTACTGCAACACTTCCAAACCCACTGAGTTCTACTTTAGACATCTCTTTTTTTTTAAGGGTTAGGAGGGAGATTGAGGCCTATTTTTAGTAACTCGAAGTTTTAGACATGAGGCTTAAGACAGAGGAGGGGTTTATTTCAATGTTTATAGTCTCTAGCATTTTAAATTGATCAGTTCAGAAAACTCACACCACCTGCTAAAAAACCAATTGCAGCTTGGTTACTTTGAAATTAATTTTCCTGTGCTTTAAGTCATTCACTTGTCTTGAATTTGCATCTCATGGGCTCCCTGTGATAAATTCCTTTTTTTAGGCTGGCCATTGTGATCACTGTGTTTTTCAATTTTACAGTACTCAATCAAAACATGCTGTTATACCACCTACTTACATTGGAGACCCTTAACTATGTATGCACTAATAAACTGTACTTCCAGCAAGTCATAATTAGGAGCTAGGGTTCTGCAGAAAGCCAGGGAACATGTATGTCTCTGAGGTGATAGTAATGCATATTACAGACAGAATTGTGAAATGAGAATTGTTTGTTGTTACACAGGACTTGGGCTGTGGATGGGGAAGCTTGGCTCTATGGTTGTGTGAACATTATCCTAACTGTACAGTGACAACTGTATCTAACTCCAAGACTCAGCGTGAGTGGATTGAATCTGTGGCTCAAAGGAAAGGATTCAGTTCTAGAATTAATTGTATCACATCAGATGCCAATGTGTTCAACACTTCCTCAAGATTTGACCAAATCATCTCCATTGAAATGTTTGAGGTGAGAACTGTTACCTGTTTCACCTTATCCAGCACTGTATTTCAATCATGGAGCATTTTTTCAATATTTCAGTTTCGGCTCTATTCCTAACAAGGTAACATCAAAATTGAGGTAGGTTGAGGTACTGTGATGAAGAAGAAGGGGATTCAACTTTCTTACATTTTTTAGGAAATAACTTAATAGACATTTCAAGTCATTTTACATTCCTTTCTAGAAAATGCAAGCCGAAAAAACTCGGTTGATAACTTACAGTGCGGCCCTCGCACGGTTAATAAGAGGTATTTAGCAAACAACAGCATTACATACAGCCTATTCTTGTGCGTGAATTTCTGCGATGTTTCACCCCAAAAGAGGCAGGGAACAAAAAATTATACCCAGCTGCACAGCTTCTTGCTCCGTTGCGAGGGGAGTCACTACAACTATATTGTCAGTCTGATCACGCTCTTACCACTCTGTCATATCAGACACGGACTAAAGATAACTTCCCCATGCAGAAGTTGATAGGTTTGTAAACACTTGGAGTCCTCACTTCTTAGATGCCATATACCATTTCTCGATATAGCTCAGATGTGTGCCATAGTTTTCTGAGAAAGTCAGAGAGGGTCATTACAACACACAACACAGTACTCACAACAGCAGTATAGTGGTGCTAAAACGGAATTTGAGAGGCTCAGGTTTCAGCCCGTGCAAGCGTACTTGTGCAAAATGTATATCAATATAACATTCAAGTAGCATCATGTGTTGTGGTCAATGATGTTCATAGCTGTACCTCATCATTTCTAGCTCAAAACATAGAATTCATTACTGTCTGGAAAATATAGTGCGAAGTCTCTTAGTAAGTGTAGAAGACATTCCTCAGAGTGCCCTTTTCAATTGCTACTGAAAGAGTTTGGATTATGGGTTAATTTTCGATTAACAAAAGACTTGACATTGGATCCTTTTTTACAGCACATGAAGAACTATGACGAGTTAATGAGTCGAGTGGCCAGCTGGTTGAAGCCAGGAGGTTTGCTGTTCGTCCAGATTTTATGTCACCGCGAGTTCGCTTACAACTTCGACACCAAGAAGAATTCAGACACGGAATGGATGGCACGGAATTTTTTCAGTGGGGGCACAATGCCCTCCTCTGACTTACTGTTGTACTTTCAGAAGGATTTGGGTATCAAGCATCACTGGCAGATCAATGGAAATCATTACGCTCGCACTTTAGAAGCCTGGCTGGTCAAGATGGATAAACAACAAGCCACAGTGAGGGAGATATTCCGTACCACATATGGCGGCGATCAAGTAGATGAGCACGTTTTCAACTGGCGCATGTTCTTCATTTACTGCGCCGAGGTGTTTGCCTTTAGGGGTGGAAGCGAGTGGATTGTATCACATTACCTCTTTCAAAAGAACGTAGCTAGTAGTTTGTAGAATTTAAGTGAAAGGACAACGCGGTTTTGGGTGAAGAATGTCATGCATATGTATCAGTCACGTTTTAAATAACATTACCTCTTTCAAAATTACAGAGCTAGTAGTTTGTAGAAATCAAGTGTAGGGACAGCACGGTTTTGGGTGGGAGGTGGGTGAAGAATGTCATGCATATGTATCAGTCACGTCTTAAGTAACTGTACGGTATTGATCACGCTTGTTCGGTACAAAAATTATTTCTAATTTGCCTAAAGGTTAACGCTAACATGGATTTCGTTTCATTGCGGAATAAACGCACATGGTCGTCTTAGTTTTATCTTTTTTGATTTTCTCCAAGACGTGCTTTTGCTTTACGTTACAACTCCATTCGACAAAAAGTTTTTCCGTTAAAAATGCTTTTGGGAGGTACGAAGCAAACCGGCTTAATGTACCTCGCTCGGGAAACGTACAGAACACAGAGTTTGTATCAATTTCCCGCCCTTGGACTGAGCTGTGACATACCTTACTGTTCATTGTCACTGGCCAAAGGGAAACGAACCACTCTTCTTTGGTTTTGTTAAACAGCTGTTAGAAAATGTGATGCTATTGTTTTTATCTACTTCTTTTCTCTACTCAGCAATAGAGTAGTGGTAATTCGGCCTCAGCAGCATGAGACTTATGGAGTCAGCGGTTGCTCTGCATACGAAAACAAAACTATGTGGGCTCTTTTAAAAGTGAAAAATTAAACTCGTAATTCGTGCCTTTCACTATCTCCCTCACGACTCAGTTCTTGTGGACCACGGTCTGATAATGTCGCATGGGACATTCAAAATAAGCGAAAAGTTTGGGCGCAATAATTTGTAGTGTACTTCTGCCCGCACTAAGGAAAAAATTGGATGAGAACGAGACCAACCCTTTTTTTCATTACGATGTTACAATAAGCAGTGAAAGGGGAAAAGCTTGGGATAGGACGGTAGGAGGGCTTTGAATATTGTTGGAGATCACTGAGTTGTAGATGGCATATTTGTTGTTCTAATCTCAGCTGATTTCAATCAGTAGCCTCTGACACAAAGTGGCACATCTGAGACAATCGCAGCCACTTTAATTCATTCTAATTTAAGGTGATACCAGTTTCAAGTGTATATTCTACTTTTTAATGGATGCTCTTAAAATTTCGAGTGGTTTTCGTAAGGTACTTGCTCGTGGTTGTTTAACAGACGCACTGAAATACGTTATATGTTTAGAATCAGAGTTTTCCCGATGACCTCTATTCTTAATTATTCGGGGAAGAAGGCCTGAAGAAGAATTTTGTCTGGTGTTGTGACTGCATAGTACGGCTGGTGTCTTTGGTTCCTCAACAGCTTGGAGATCTTTGAAATTTAAACAGGAATAGACAATCATCTGATCTTGGTTGAATTTGAGTTTTGGTAGTGGTGGAAGGGGTTTGTGCCTAATCTTCGGCGCGTAAAATTTTCCTAATATGTTGTTTAGTGACAGGCTAATGGAAGACCCCCATTCGTTCTCCCAATCTTTGGTGTCTGAGGAATCCTGCAGGATGGACTGTGTTTCGCGTCGAGAGAAGGTCGTAACATGCATTACACGCTTTGCTAGTCTGCCACGAAAAGGGAAAAGAATAAATATCAGTGATTGAAGACTGCAGGCTTAAGCTCTCTATTTGATGATCCTGAGTTAAGTGCGGTGAGGCAGATTGGGGAGCTCCATGTATGTAGGAGTCGATAAAGGAACTCGTAATTAAAGGGATGCGTCGTAACCTACTGTCTAATGCGAATTTATCACAGTAACATCAGAAATTCCATCTGGAATATGAGATGGTATGCCGCTTAGGGAGATGTTGCGGTTTATCCGCGGAAAAACAGGTCTCGGCAGTCAAAGGGCCGTCAAACTATAGTTAACTTAGTAACTGCACAACAATCCGGAATCAGTCCTAGAGTTATATCATTAAGGACTCGGTGTGCAACTGCAGAGATGTCGTTGTTGATGGTGACATCGTAGAATATTTTCGTTTTGCCCGACAACGACACGTTTTAATGAAACAAACCTTTTGTAGATGGAACAGGCATCAAGTGGAACGTTAGGTGTCTTATTTTGTTGAAGAGGATCATTGGAAGAGGACTAGTACGTGAGTTGATTTCCTCTCACTGAGGGAAGACTGACTTTGTTCATCAATTTCTAATACAATACTAGTTCTTGATAGCAAAGGATCTATTTCAAAGCTCTCCATCAAAATTCCAAAAACACCTCACCTCCATCTTGGCCCAGGAGAACTCAACATTCTTCTGAGGGTCTCGGCTGAAGCGATCCGCTGAATATCCGGCGGAAGTCGTCGTAATCCTTTGATTGCTTTCTGTAAATCCCATAATACTCGCTGACCAAACAGTCCTGAATAATGCAGTACATGTATATGTAAATCATGTAACATTCATATCAAAGCGTCAGGTGTGTAAATAGAATAAAAAAGTTGGTAAATTTTGCGCACAGTTGTGAAGAAAAAGATGTTTTTCCTCTCGTTACAAGACAACAGACATCTATTTGTTAGAAACAATTGTTACTCTTCTGGTTTTTGATGAATCGTTTAAGTCTCGGAGAAATCAGCGAAAAGGTTTCTTTTAACCATGGTAATTTTATTCATCTATTAATTCTATTACCTATGTATCTTCCAGTTTGTGTCCATAACCTGACAGAAGCATCTTTGGAAGCACTAATGATAAGCTGACGGTTGTCTACAAAGTCTAAGCTAACAATGGGCTCGAGATGAGCTCTGAATGAAATAACCAGTGGAGGTGGCTTTGTATCGATTCCTCCTGCTTTGCCAGGCTTTTGACTGTTCCTTCTGTTCCCTAAAGAAAGTTTCCTGGGCAGCGGTGCCGCTGGCTTCTGATCACCGCTACTTATACAGTACCACGATATATTCCAAAGCTGTGAAGTAAAGACAACCTCTAAATGTATTGATACAAGTTACTGGATTTGTCTTTAAACAGGGAGCGGTGTATACCGTTATAACTGTATGCTCGTTCACAGTCGTAGCTGCTTAAACTGTCAAACTCTGTTCCCTTGTGCATTCGCAATTTCATTTTTCAATATTCTTGTTTTGCCTAATAATTTTGTCTCAGAAAATAACAATAGTCCAATATCAATCATTAACCTGGGAATGTTGTGTAATGAAGTGAAATTACAGTTGTACTTGTGAACGGGAGATTGCTAGGAATTAAAAGCTGATGTTTTAAAAACTTTGTTAATCACCTCAGATCTTTTGGGTTTGCACCCAACACTTTTGCATTAGTTGTTCTTTGAAGAAACAATTAAGTAAGAAACGTGAAAGAGCAAGGAATTCCTTTCGTCAAAATAAAAAATCACTCAGTCAAGTATACAGTGCAAGTACAACTGCAAACATATTTTGTCCAGCTTTTTCCCTAATGGCCTAAACTAGTGGTTGAAAACCCATAGATTCTCGGGCTACGTGTCCTTTCAGTTGCATATCGGTTTAGTTGAAGCTAAGAGGGGTTTGTTACCTTTATAAAGCCAGCGGTGTCACCGGTAATGAGTATACTATTGTCACCATTAGTTGTCATGGAGAGCACAGAATTATGATCACCCTGTGCAGCAGTAAAGTAACCCAGTAATCCTCCGCCACAAACACTCCAGGCCCTTACGGAACCGTCTGACCCCGATGTTAACAAGGTAGCCGTGGCGATGCTGTTTTCACGCTTTTCTAGAAAAATAACCTAAGTAATGAGAGAATTAGTAAAGTAATGATTACTGCATTCTTTCTTCATCAATTAGCGTTCATTCCTTAATTGTTCATAGACTCTAGTGCTGAATCAATTTTTTAAAATGATTGTTACTTTACCTTATCTACCGATGAATCATGATAACTTTCTTGAGATTTCAATGGTGGTAAATCTTGAAGGTGGCTTTTCCTTTTTTGTGAACTTTCAAGTCTTTCTTTTTGCATGGGGCAGTTTTTGAGCCGCCCGACTGATGATGCAATACGGCGATTCTTCTTACTTGAGTCGGAATGTATACCTCTCTTTCTGGACATTTCTTCCTTAATTCTCTTCTCTGTTTCGATCACTTAAAATATTAAAACAAGACTTAATAAAGTCGTGCATCTATGGGTTTCACCATGATTATGTGATTCAGCATTTCATTTGACACAAAATGTTACACTCTATTCTGTTTGCGCATTTACCGATCACTGACCTGAATTACAATGAGTAACGAGTCTTTTAACTTCTGCGGGAATAACAGATTGTGTTCTTTCCAAGCCATAGTCACTAGCGTGCAGTCGACAGTTAACACTTCCACTTTCAATGTTCCAGACTTTCACAAGGCCATCATATGAAGAGGTGGCCACTAAACCAGTCGGGTACATTGCAGCGGATAGAATGTCGTCTTCATGGAAATGTGGCCACACGCGAGGATCTCCTTCCTCTTCGTCGCGGCAATCCCTGGACAAAAGAATTAAGTTAACACAACAACAAGAAAATTTTCTTTTTCCCTGCATATTTGAACTCAGATCTCCAAATACATCTGCCGTGACGACAATAATCTTCCATCAAGGTAAAAAGATATATAACATTCTGTAACAATGATCTGGAAACTGGCAGAAATGTAATCATGAACGTGCGGCTGTCCTATGTGTTTGTACTTACTTGTAAATGGTAACGTTTCTATTCCATCCCACTGTTATAATCTTCTGTTTAAAACACAGGATACCTGTTATCTGAGAAACCGGCCAAAACTTTGTAAATAAATAAAAGTTTGCTATTGGATACAACGAGGAATTTTCGCTTGTTCATAAAGAGGTTACTGAACTGTGAACATACAATGTGTAGGTATACAAGTACCTCTGGTTATGTTTGTGTTAGTTGCCATTTTTGCGCAGCTATACTTTTGTGCAGAGAAGTGTGGTAAACTGAATAAAACAAACAGAACATCGGTGAAACAGGAGACACCAGGAAGTTTGTTTTACCTCTTCATTGTCAACAGCTTGTAATTCACTTAAACAGCAGCCATTATTAAAATTCCATATCCGTACAGTTCCATCTCTACCTCCAGTTATAAGTCTTCTCTTGGAAGGATCAAACCTCATGGCTGTTATTTCAGAGCTACCGTGAGCATTGGAAAACTGAATGATTTTTTCGCCTGTCTCCAGGCTCCAAACACAAACCACAGAATCATGACATGCGCTAACAACCTGTGCAGATAAATTCATGCAGAGTAATGTCAGTCAGAGTAGGAATCAACAATCAACAGAATAAGTGTAAAGCTCTCCTTGTAATGCCTGAGCCCTGTAGATCATTTTCAACCCACAGTGGTCCCAAGCACAGTGGTCTCAAGCACAGTGGTCCCAAGCAATTTAATCTCCTATTTCGAAACTGAAGCGCGAGCTGCTAAGACAAACAAGCGATGTATACGCCAAAGAGTTCCTTCGTTAAACTTTATTTTTGTACTTTAATTTACATTAATTCGTCAGTTACAGATGGCAAGTGGTTATGAAATTCATTTGCCAGGTGCATAAGACGGCAAAACCTCCAAGCGCTGATTGCATGCCACTTGCTCAAACATCTGGCGACAGAGATTTCGTTGGCAGTCTTGGCCACATATTAGGATCATATGTGCACAAGATCTGCATATTAGTTGATTTTTGACGTCGTAACGATATCAGTGTATGTTGTGATTGATTACCTGATCAAACAGATCATTGTAAATAGCAGCACAGAGGGGTTTGAAGTGACTTGTGACGTCATGTTCCTCTGATGCCTCTTCCTTTTTACCCTCGATGACCGATAACTAACAATTTAACAGTAAGAACACAATAGTTTTAAAAATACAGAAGATTAGGACATGTAAGAGTCATTATTTTTTGTATCTGGACAAGGTTAAAATGAATGTTAAATCGTAAATGTCGCATTTAAAGCCATGGCCATACGTCGCACTATCTCTGAAAAGTCGGCAAAGCAACCATGCGAAGTGACACCTCACCAAAATTATCACAACCTAATAAATTACTTTTTCTGCATAATAATCAAGGTTAAAAGCTCTAGCAGAGGAATGTTAAGGAGAGGGAAAGTCGTCTAACGGATGATCTTTGAATTTCCATTGCAAATAAAGACTTAAAACGACTCAGTTAAACATTTGCCCGCAATGAAAAGGTCGATATGGAATAGTATGTTCCTTATGTCGGATGATACTGAGTTGTATTGCAAAGAAGTGATTGTGTTGTCACCTGATTGGTTCCTAAAAAAATGCAGTGAGACTTTGAGTTGTAATACAGGCTGGTGATTACGTGAGGGCCTGGTAACAAGGAGCGCGCGGGAATGGTTTGTACACAGCAGAGGTCACGCATGTCCCATATCTTGATAACCTGTCCAAATAAAAATCAAAGAAGTCTCATCTTGAAATGAGTTACATTCTACTGTAAGAGACAAATACATTTTTGTTCTAAAATCCTTTTATCCAGGGCGCTTTTTGATCAGGTGACGTGAATTATTCAAATTATTCAGAAGGGCCATTCAAAACAAAGGGAAAAAAATCACGAGGGAGCAATGAGAAATCCAACAGGATGCCTTAAACACAGGTGAACAAGTCGCGATTGGTTTTAATTTTTCCTTCCGATCGGTCTAGGAGATAGCTTAAGTTTTCTGGTCCAATCACGGGCGAGGCAAAATAAAACCGACGCTGTTCAATTTCGACTTTCGACTGCGCTAAAAAACTATGTTCTGTCCTCCGATCAAAACTTAGGAAGCGCAATATGCCATGAATAGTCTTGAATAATAGAAATTAATGAATACCTTGTCATGAGCAGCGCTGATTATCTCTCCTTTGTCACTGTTCACTAAGATATGTGTCACTGCTGAACTGTGTCCCTTCAGCACCTAAAAAAAAAATTGCAGTATCATTTTATTGCTACTTTTTATCCCATTATAGTGATTTAATCAAACTTGCGGCAGGATTTTTACCTCACTTGATCTGAGGCATAGCTGAATTACACATCTCTGGAGTCGTAAATCTCAAGTCACATGTTGACAGTGTAGAGTGCGTGACATGTTTTGTTGAGTTCATGAACCACAAAGGGTGTCGGAAAAAAAAACAGAAAAGCATGTGCTCGGAGTTTTCGAATAAATACAACCTTGTGTTTAATTAATCTGGTGATTTGAGTGTGTAACATTGGCGACCCTGCCAGGACTCGACCGAAGAGGCTTATCATCGACGAAGAACTGCCTTGGATTGTGAAGGACAAAGTAATTGGCACGCTTGGTTGATTCGTCGAGCGCGAGTTGGTTGTGGTCGATTGCTGTCGACGGCGGACTGATCTTGACGTAAAGTGTCGCATTTCTTTTGTGAACGGCTGATTGCACTATTGGTGAGTACGAAAGATTATTTTTGGAAGTATGATGGATACCGAGAGTCTGCAGATCGAAATTCAGGCCGCGTTGTGTTCCTTGAGCGAGGAAAGGCTTAAAGAAGTTTGTAGTGGGCTGAACATTACTGTACCGCCTGAGAGCAAGGGAAGGTTGGTTTTATCCGAGCTCTAAATAAATACCTCGAAACGGAAGAATTAGATAATGAGAAGCTCAAAGTGTTGTCGTCGTCTCTAAGTATGCAGGGAAAATTTGTACCGGAACAGAAAACGGAACCGCCGAAAGCTTCTGAAAATAGTAAAGCGACCGTCAAAATAGAGCAAAATCCCGTGGTGTCAATTTCAAAATTCAAACGCGACTTCAAGATTTCGGGCCAGATTGGCGACGTGTCGCAGAAGGATCGTTTGAGTTTTTCCTCGCTAGTGCATCAAATTGAGAATGGTTTAAAGAACGACTATACAGAGGATGAAATTAAAGAGGCTGTGATAAAAGCGATAAATCCGGCGTTAAGCCTAAGAAGTTATTTGGAGGGTAAGGTAGATTTAACACTGGCCAAATTGAGGAGAATTATGCGTTCTCATTATCAGGAGAGAACAGCAACCGAACTATATCATCAGTTGAGCTCAACTGTACAACAGCCAAAGGAAAAACCTCAAGAATTCTTGATCCGCCTTCTCGATTTGAAACAGAAGATCTTGTTTGCATCTCAAGAAACTGACTCGGACCTGAAATATGATCCTATCTTAGTACATGGCATGTTTGTCCATAGTTTTTTTCCTTGGCCTGCAAAGTGAGAATATCAAGATCGAAATGAAGCCTTACTTGGAAAAGAAATTTATAAGCGATGAAGAACTATTCGAGAAATTAAATGTGTGTTTCAGTGACGAACTGGAGCGATCACAGAAATTCGGTTCACAGCTAACCCCAAGGTAAATGCTGTTCAAAAAGGAGGGACAAGCAGGAGACAAAGAATAATGGGGTGGAGGAAGGTCTCATGAAAGAACTAAGGGAGCTCAAGGCAGAAGTGGCCGCAGTCAAAGAGAGAGTTCGGGCCCCACTCCGGGCTCAAACCCCCCTCACACAACAGCCTATGAGACAACCCCCACTGTGTAGGACCTGCCAACAAAGTGGGAATGGATGGCCGTGCAACCATTGCTTCAGGTGTGGGGCGAGTGGCCATTATGTACGCGAGTGTAATGCCCAATTCAGCCGACGCTCTCCGGCAGAATCTCAGGGAAACGGCCAGAGGTCACGCCCATGGGACAGGGTGTGACCAGGCAAGAAAATCAGTCCCGTTACGTGCAGTGTGGAAAACAAAGCACAGACCATGTACCACTTAACCGCTGCGGAGCCTGTAAGATCAATAGATATTATTCAAAAGAATGTCAAGTAAAATACAGAACTGTGCATAAACCAGTTTGCATGGCTATACAGGAACTTGAGAAACAGAAAGCAGCCGGAGATGATGGCGATGATTTGAACACGACGTTTCCCTGCCACCTGACGCCAAGGCAGCAGCTCGGACTGACAAAAATCGTGGGACGGAGGTGCGTGGTAAAATGCCTAATTCAAGGAAAGGAAGTGGAGGCATTATGGGATACAGGTTCCCAGGTTTGTGTTGTGTCAAGGAAGTGGCAACAAACTCACTTACCGCTGGAGGTGTTAAGAAATGTTGAAGAGTTGTTGGGAGCAGGAGAAGAGTTGAATTTGGAAGGGATGAATGGGACAAACATTCCATTTGACGGTTGGATTGAGGTCGGGTTTAAGTTGGCTGGAGATGATACAACTGCTCATGAGCTGACAGTTCCAGTACTGGTGGGACAAAAGGAACAAGAGTACCCAATCATTGGCTTCAATGTTATAGAAGAAGTCCTCGCTCAACATGGTGGAAACCACCAAGCGGCAAGTAACATCATTCAGCAGTCATTCCCTTCAATTCATCATACTCGCGTAGGTACCCTGATCAATCTGATCCAGTCAAGAACACAGGATACCGGTACTGCAGCTGTTAAAGTCGGAAAGAGAGATGTTATGCTGCCAAAAGGAGAGGCAACGACAGTTAAGTGTCAAACTCACCTCGGACCAGTTCCAGAGGGGATGCCAGTAATATTTGAGCCCAAGGAAGACAGCGAGCTCCCAGACGGACTGGAATTGGGCGAGGAACTTACTAAAATAACCCCGGGAACCTCTAGTCACGTGGCCGTCGTGGTCCAAAACAATACAGACAGAAACATCTTGTTAAAGCGCAGAACAGAATTGGGCCGGATACACCTGGTAAAGTCAGTTCTACCAATTCCAAATACTCCCGACTCGTACTCTCGAGGAGACGAGGATTTTTACCCTGAAGCTACCTTGCATCCTGGTCAGGAACAAGATGGATGGGAGCCACCAGTTGACTTGAGTCAGCTAGAAGACAATGAACAATTGATCGTCCACGAAATGCTACGGCAAGAAGCTGGTGCCTTTGCAAGAAACGACGATGAGGTTGGCTGCGTGGAGAACTTGGTGCTTGATCTCCAGTTAAAGGACAATGAGCCAGTACAGAAGAACTATATCTCCATCCCCAAGCCACTCTATGGGGAAGTGAAAGAGTACTTAGAAGACTTGATTAATCGAAATTGGATCTGCAAGTCCCGTTCGGCTTACTCCTCACCCATGGTCTGTGTTCGCAAAAGGATGGAAGTCTGCGACTTTGTATTGATTATCGAGAATTGAACAAGAAAACATATCCAGAACGACAGCCGATTCCCCGTATACAGGATATCTTAAATGGCCTAGGCGGCAACAAATGGTTTACAGTTCTGGACCAAGGGAAGGCCTACCACCAAGGCTTTATGACAGAAGAAAGCCGCCCCTGACTGCATTCGTGACCCCTGGGGATTGTATCAATGGAATAGAATACCGTTTGGGCTAATGAATGCACCGGCGGCATTCCAAAGGTGCATGAATGAATGTCTAGATGGCTTACGTGACAACATCTGTATTCCCTACCTGGATGATGTCTTGGTGTATAGTAAGACCTTTGAGCAACACGTTCAGGATGTCCAACAAGTCCTGCGTCGACTGCAGGAACATGGGATAAAGTTAAAGCCATCAAAGTGCAAGTTCTTCCAACGACAAGTTAGATATTTGGGGCGGGTTGTTTCCGGCGATGGCTACTCTCTAGACCCAGAGGACACGGCTGCCGTACACAACTTGGCGAAACAGAAACCAGCAACAGTGGGTGATGTGCGTAAACTGCTAGGGTTCCTGAGTTACTACAGGCAATACATCCAGGATTTCTCACGCATAGCTAAGCCCCTGTACGATCTAATGGCTGGCCCTGATCGATTGGCTAATAATCATAAGGTAACATGGACAGAGGAACATCAGAAGCGGCTTGACATGCTGGTCGACCGACTGACTTCTCCTCCAGTGATGGCATTTCCCGACTTTACGAAGCCATTTGTACTTCACACAGACGCCTCGCAAGAGGGACTTGGAGCTGTATTGTATCAAGAACAGGACGGGAAGCTCAGAGTTCTAGGTTATGCCTCTAGGACACTAACTCCAGCAGAGAAAAATTACCACATGCACGCGGGAAAAATTGGAGTTCCTTGCCCTCAAATGGGCAGTAACTGAGAAGTTCCGTGATTACTTGTACTACTCCACCTTCTTCACTGTTTACACCGACAACAATCCACTAACTTACATTCTGTCGTCAGCTAAGTTGTCTGCAGTAGGGCACCGGTGGGTGGCAGAACTGGCAGATTTTAATTTTAACATCAAGTATCGGCCTGGCAAATCTAACATTGACGCGGATGTACTATCCCGCCTACCGCTAGATTTCAGTGCATACATGGAAACCTGTATTGCAGAAATGGAAAAGGACGCAATTTGTGCAACAAGTCAAGCAGTGATCCATCAGGAAACAGACGCCACACCCTGGGTGGCAGCAGTTTCAGCAAGAGTTGGCATTGCTCACGCAGAACCGGGCGTCACAGATTTGGTTTTTCGCCAACTTACGTTAGAAGAAATATTAAGGGCTCAACGGGAAGACCCCGACATCTCACGAATCCTGGCCTACAAGAAACGGGGATATCCCCATCAGGAGGAGAGCGGAAAAATGAGACTCGTACAACATCTTGCTACTTGAGAGCATGGAATAAACTCCATATATCAGCGGACGGGATCCTGTGGCGCCAAACTAAGAGTCGATTGCAGCTAGTATTACCCACAAAGTTTAAACAGTTGGTTTACCAAGAACTTCACATTGAAATGGGTCATCTGGGTGCAGATCGAGTGGTGGACTTAGCGAGATCTAGGTTCTATTGGCCTTACATGCAAGAGGAAATCGAGTATTTCATCGCCAACAAGTGTCACTGCATCCAGCAAAAGAAGCCCCAAATCTCCCCTAGAGCACCAATGGAGAGCATTACGACGACTGCCCCTTTTGAGATGGTGTCTATAGACTTTCTTCATTTGGAGAAAAGCCAACGGGGATTTGAATACATTTTGCTGATAGTAGATCACTTCACAAGGTTTGCACAGGCCTACCCAACCCGAAACAAGACAGCACGAACGGTGGCTGAAAAGATTTACAATGACTTTGTACCACGATTCGGATTCCCAGCCCGTATACACAGTGATCAAGGAGGAGAATTTGAGAACAATCTCTTCCATCAACTACATAAGTTGTCTAGCGTTTCCAAGTCTCGCACCAGCCCCTACCACCCTCAAGGGAATGGGCAAGTGGAGGGATGAACCGCACGCTATTGTCTATGCTGCGAACACTCCCAGATTTGAAGAAACGAAAGTGGGATGAATCACTCAACAAGATGATCCACGCGTACAATTGCACTAAGCATGAGGCGACAGGATACGCTCCGTATTACTTGTTGTTTGGAAGAACACCCCGCCTGCCCATCGACCTGATTTTCAATTTGAATCAAGAGAGTGCAGAGGGAGATTATAACACTTACGTCCAAAACTGGCAGCATGATATGAAGGAGGCATACCGGATAGCTCAACAGAATGCAAAGAAGACTGCCGAGCGCGGCAAGCAATATTACAACAAGAGAGTCTCAGGTGGCGTTCTTCAGCCAGGCGATCGGGTGCTAGTTAGAAACTTAACAGAGCGCGGTGGACCCGGAAAATTACGATCCCATTGGGAGTGCGCTATCCACGTTGTGGTTGAACGAATGGGGCTCAAAGCCCAGTCTACAAAGTTAAGCCCGAGAGTGGAGGTGGCCGCGCAAGAGTGCTTCACCGGAATTTACTACTGCCTTGTGACGCTTTGGAAGCAGATGCCCCAAACCTGGGATTTGGTACGCGACCCCCAAAATCAGCAGTAGAGAAACGACCTTTGTCTGTTTCGGGAAATGACCTACAGAATTCGGGGAAAGATGATGATGATTTCGGTAGTGTGGACCTTGTAGAGGAAATACCTACTGAAGTAAGAACTTCAAACTCAGTGTCTCCAGGACGCGATTTGCCTTCAGAGTCAATTGAGGATTCTGCGACTACTGAGGGCACCAATGGGCCATCCAGCGAAATACAACTTGCAAATGAAGGAAGTGCTGACAATGACGGATCAGAGGGAGAGGACATTGCTGAGCAGGACATGTGGACTCGGCCGCAGCGCCAAAGGAGACCGCCGCAGATCTTAACTTACAACTCCCTGGGAAATCCACAGTACCAGTCGGCTGAGCCAGTATTCAGCAGTTCACGCGTTAACGCCATTCAAACTCCAGCTATCACAGCTATTCATCCGGGAATACCCCTGTATTTCTGGGTGTGGCCATGCTGTTTCCAACCTGTCTACTACCCGAGGGCTTGAGAGGAGCCTCTTATAAGACCCAAACATTAAAACAAAAAAAAAAAAAAAAAAAAAAAAAAAAAAAAAAAAATCAAAAGCACGCAAGGTGCTGAAGGAGACAACGTCAAACAACAATTACAGTAGCTGCAGAGAACTCTGATAAATAGTTTTGTAATATTTAGAAGAACACTTTCATTTTCGGCGGGGAAGTGTGTAGAGTGCGTGACATGTTTTGTTGAGTTCATGAACCACAAAGGGTGTCGGAAAAAAAAACAGAAAAGCATGTGCTCGGAGTTTTCGAATAAATACAACCTTGTGTTTAATTAATCTGGTGATTTGAGTGTGTAACAACAGCTGGGTTGGGTCTTGTATTGCAAACAGGCGGCGAAAGTTTAGGCTAAAGTCAAGTTCATTAATGGATCCTCAGTTCTAAGTCAACGATATGTTTGCGTTTAAATTCTTTGTTTGTGGCGCGTAGCTCGCACTTCAACCCAGGAGTAACACATATGGAAAAATATGCATCAAACAATAGTTCAGACAACGAAGCGAAGCCCAAGACAAATTAGAGAAGAAGGACAACCGGAGAGAAGGAAGTGTGCAGTGTTTATATGGTAATAGCCGACAGAACTGGTGACAGGAGTTTGTGTGGGCGTTATATGTACCAACATGCCGGGTGAAACTGATCAAAGAGGTAACACCTGGCTTATCCATAATGACAAATAATAACTCAGTGCTGTCATTTTGTGTGTCAGTGAACTTAATTGTCTCAAACTTACCGATGTTGCTTTGGCTGTAATATATGGATTCCACATGCGGACGTAGTGATCATGGCCACCGGTTACTGACAGAGAAATATAAAGACACTGTAAGTAATTAAGGTTATCGACTGGAATGGAACAATACCAGCGTCTGATAGATGACCACGAAGATAACTGAATAGAAACAATGACAGCCAATAAACAGTTGTTGATCGGACTTTCTTCTTCTGCTTACCTATAACGTTCCATTCCTTGCAGTAATCAAACGAGGTGATGCCTTTGCGGATACGAAACATAGAGCTCCTTCAAAAAAGGAACCAATAGCGTTACAATACTAGTTTGTGAGAAAAACAATCGCTTTGTTCACCAGCTTATTTGCTTACTTAAGAGTGCAGAATGCTAGAGACACCAATAATTAAGACCTCCTATGTTGATCGAAAATTGGAAAGACGTCTATAATATTTAAGTCTGGATTGGAGCTAACTAATTAATAGTTTTTCGAAATATATTCAAGGTACGTGAGCGTTGTTTAGCTCAAACATGCTGCCAATGCGTAAATACAACTTGAAACGAGACAAGGGAAGCGATGATCTTAAATGTGTGTTAATCATGTGTTACTAACGTCTTTTTCCTTTCCACGTCTCCAAGGTACATGGAAGTGTTGCTGGCTGTAGCACAAGAGATAAAGCATTGTAACGAGGGGTAATATCTAACTTTACGAATCCAGTCCTCATGAAGATTCTGTAAAGTAAAATCAACAAGGTTACTCTTCCAGGTCACTCTCTGCTGGGTGCTCTTGGGCAAAATATACATAAACAGCATAAAAATTTCTTAGTTCACCATTAAGTTCGTAAAGAACTGTCTAAAGGGCTTATCAGCCTCATTGCCAAGGAAAATATTGTTAAAGTTCTTGGGATCCTGGCAGGTATAATTATTTTGCAGAAGAGAGGGGGTTGGCAGCAAGGGTTTTGAACCTATCTGTGTCAGTGACCTTGCGGCCGAGGTTATTATAGTTTGAGAATTGAAAATGACGTCCTTTAACCCTTGTCTTACAAAGGCTTTTGAGTCTTCTTTGTCCTTATTGGCCGCAGCTGTTAGCCCTTAGAGACATCCCTCTTATTACACAGCATTAGGTTCCTCCAGGGTACAAATCTGTCAGTATAACCATGGTTACAATGTATCCGTATCGAACATACTGTCACGTGATCACACGCTGGCAAAGTTCAGTGCACTATACTTACGTTAAATTGAAACAGTTTTATGTTTGAATATCTCCCTTGCTGAAGCTCCCATAGGGAAAATCGTCTGAAAGATACTGAAAGCAAAACAAAAAAGAGAGCAATTCCTGGTGATTGTGAATTTTGTATAATATGGGTAGTGAATAACAGTCTAGTTTACTCGGCGCAGCACAAACATTGTCGAGACTGAATAGAACTAAGAAATTTGAATGAATTACTTGGAAAAAGATGGCCGGCTCAGATATATATGTAAAGAATCCTTGCATAAATGAAGACGATGTAAATAGCTTGTAACGATATATATACTAAGACGTCAACTTGTTTTTATGTTTGACTAGACAACAGTTTATTATCTCAATTAAGGTCTGGTGGAAATCAAGCATACCGCTGGGAATCTGCTGTCCAAGGTTTATATCAAACAAGCAACCTGACATTGCATTGAATTTCATCTGAAAACAGATCACTGAACCTCCAGCATCTCCACCCAACAAAATACCCTCATTTGACTTGGGTGAGCTGCACCTAAAAACGGTATGAACCTACAATGAAATTTATGTTTCTGGGATGCACTAAAACAGGAAGTTATACCTAGCAATGGCAGGCAAGTGACGGAAGTGTTATGACTTTATTTTCATTTAACTCTTTGCCTTCTAGAAACTTGAAAATTTAAAATTTCTCTTGTAAAATTTATTGGGTGTGGCTTTCGTACCAATACTAATATTCTGAATTATGAAAACAGCTATTCTACTGCTAGGCATTCGTTTCCATTAAAAAACCGCACATGCATTTCAATTGAAACGCCCGAAAAAAGCAAATGACAACGATTTACGAAAAAGTGGATCGTATCATTTGAAAAGGCTTCGTTTCGAGACAGTGGCGGATTTAGGGGAGGGGTTCCCACTCAGCTCCAGGTCTATATCCGCCACTGCGAGAGTGGATATAGGTGAAGGCGCTGGCCTTTGAAAATGTGACGATTAAGTGTCACAAATTATCACTTCCGTTGTCTTGGCGGTGTTGAGTGTATTTGTTCGGTTGATTATCGAAAACGTAAAAAAAAAGCATGCGATTTCAAATTAGAGCGAATCAGGACGGAAAACAAAAGGGGTATGACAGACTGAACGAAAATATTTCGATTCTTTTTTTGAAGGCAAAATGAATACTTTTGAGAGCAAAGTAGAGTATCTGGAGCCTAAAGCTACCCTCAATGCTTACCAGTAATCCATTGTAAGTACACAGTAATCCAAACTGCAGATAACGTACTGTTTGTCAAAACTAGTGGCAGCACAGTCATAAAATGCTAAAAGGAAAACCAAATAGAGAGGGATGAATTTTCCGTGTGATATTCCATTGAGATAGTAAGAACTGCACACAAGATCTCACTAACTCCATGTCAATACTTTATGATTGCTCCAAATTTCAGTTCTTGTCGGGTTCAGCCGGTCACTTTGATGAAGCATTAGAATAGGTAGAAAAGGGAAGAGGACGTTTTAAACAGTTTTTCATGTCTTTCACCCACCAAAATTTACTGTCCGCTTATTTGATGGGGAATTCAAATGATTTAAGCTGATCAGTAAGGTTTTATCAACTAAGTTGATAATGTGAATTGGCCACCGTAGAGAAATTCTAAAAGCTGACGTTTCGAGCGTTAGCCTTTCGTCAAAAGCGTTGAAGCTCATTCGCTCTGAAGAGGGGCTAACACTCGAAACGTCAGCTTTAGAATCTCTTTTCGTTGGCAAATTCACATTACAGTTTCTTTAGAAACTAACGCCCTTTATTGATTTTTACAGACCTATCTCTCTGTCTGCCGTTGACAAAGCAAGCTTCTTGACATTTGGCAATACAACACAGTCTGTAATCCATACATTTTTGCTAGCTTTACCCTCGTGCCCTAACTAAAATAAACAAAAAGAGTATGACAACATGATATATTCTGCCACACCTATTACTCTTCTCCTCTTCAAAATAACGTTTGGAGAAAATGGAACCTTTTTCTTACACCTACGGTAAAACACAACGTCTCTGAACTATATTTCATCGAAACAGCTTTTATCCTTATTGCAGGTAATCTCCTGAGTCGACTCCTAGAACTTGTCAAGTATGTAGATGGAAATTTTCTGAACTTTAGTTTTCTTTACTTTAATCCCTAGTCTCTGAATAACCTCTATTCCGCTAAAAAGCAGCGATCAAAGAGTATCCCCGCTAGTGCACCCAAGATATATCCTTTAAGAGGGGTTCTGCTTTTCCCATAACAGTACTCAGTGCTTTTACTTAATTGCAGCATAATGTGTCACTTACTGACAGAGTTCTTTGAGGATATAGGTCCATGTTCCAGAAGTGCAAAGTCCCTTCCTTGCTGACGGACACGTATCTTCCCCCATTGCTGTCAGTTGGGTCATCAGTGCCGTGTGACAGTTTAGGAAGGTAGGTTATTCGTGTGATTGTGTCACGATGAGAACTACGATCAAAATGAAGCAAGAGGTAGCAAGATTGTTTAAATCAGCATGGGTGGGCGGATCGTGCGTCGTAAGTTGTGAGTAGTGGATCCTGTGAAGAGTGAAGTGCGTCGAGGGGAGGAAAGGCTGACCCTGGAAATGTCAGCTTTCTAAAATTCGTGTATAGCTATTATTATATGATAATAGTATGATAATGTAATCATTATCATGCTATCATTAATATTATTATTATTAGTATTAATATTTCATCACCGCTGTAGAGTTCGTTCCTCTTGTTTGGATGTCTTAGGTATTAGCTAATTTTTTTTTTCACCGGCAAGCACATCATAAACCGTACCGTATGCGCATAAGTACATTATGTCTAAATAAACCAGCTGGGTGCAGCTTAACACCTGATTCTCTGTGCACTTCATAGAAGTGCCTCGAACCTTGGTACACAACAGTTATTATGATGGAGTTTCTGTCTCTATGTCATCGTAATAGTTGTGTTACTATTTTAATTCATGATAAGAACTTTACCTGGGAACTTCTTTAGCTGGATTTGGGAATTCCATCTGCAAAGATAAAAATTTTCACTGGGGGGCTTTACATGCATAAGAACTTTTAAGTTCACGCAAGTCTTTATGTATTGGATCTCAAATTGTTATTCTTTCCTGAGAATACCTCATTACGATATTCTGCAATCCCAAAAGAAGCCGGCTTCAGATTAATCTGGTAACAGTTGATTTAGTTCCCATTTTCCAGCCCTCACGAACTCATTGCCTATGATTCAGTGGGACCCAACTGGATGGGGAAGAATAAATGATCACTTTGAAAACGGCGCTCAGTGTTAATCGCACTTTGTGGTTGTTTTATAATTCCGTTTTTGCCTACAATCCCAATAATTTATTTTCCTGAATGCCATAAATGACATCGAAAAACAAATTTTTACCAGATCTAAACGTTGTTCACATTTAATAACCATTCTTATACAGATTCCAATGCTAACGGGCCGCAGTTACTTCTCTACAAGACTTACTATGGAGGTGCTTACCAGCCCCAGGTAGGGGAAGGTTAGGACAACTCACCTCTCTGTCTTCACTGGTCATCACATCTTTTAACTGAGTCTCCAGCAACATGTAGGAACAAAATTCCTCCTTAAATTCAAAATGAAAGGAAATACGCTCGTCAATGGCCTACTTTAGTAGTGATTTTGCCCTAAAATTTTTTATGTCAAATTTCGTATCTTACCCAGTCTACTGTTCCATCACAGTTTGCGTCAACCTTCATGAAGGTGATAGCCAGTTGATTATCATCAGGCTGCGAGTTAACAGAAAAGCAAGAAACTGTGCTTTTGATTCATTTTGGATACAGTATCAAATAGGAGAAAGGAATCGTCACGAATAAATTACTTAACAATAAAAAGTGTATATACATATATAAAAGCATTGTCTTACCACTTCACCTTTACCAGTCATAGTTTTGATCATAGCCTGGCGAAACTCGTCCAAATCCAGTCCCCCGCCGCCATCTTCATCAGCTTCCTAAAAACACGATGATAACCGGAAACCTGTTATCACTTACCGGACACTGCTTTTGCATTTCACATTTTTGCAACCATACTTTTGGTCCAGGTGTGAGGGAAAAAAAATGTAGTGCAAAAACTGATCTTTCTCACAAAAATACACCAATGAACAAACCTCGAATATCTTCTGCAAAGTTTCCAGATTTTTGTTGTTCATCTGATCTTCCAGTTTGACCATGGCTGGCTTGGTTGGTTCATTCTCAGCCTATTAAAACATTGATACGCAGAAGTGAGAGAACTTTGTAGATGCAACATACTTGTTTAGAAAATGCTCACTATGTTTTTAGCACTCTTTCTGTGAAGTTAAGCCTTGTTTTTCTATTTTAGGATATTTTTATCTAAAAAGCTCAGGCATCCAGCTCAGACGTCCACTCGTATGGGGGTATAAAGTGAGCTAAACCAGATCGGAAATTCAATCTGCATGAAAAAAAAGCCAAGAAGTTTGCGACGATAAAGTCGATAGATGTTCAAAGAAAGGGCATAGGTTTTCGAGAGGAAGTATTACAAGCATGACTAAGTACTTTACAATGTTTTTTTTTCTTTTTGGGAGTAAAATACGCCCCTAGACAATAAAATTATTGAGAAGAAAGCTTTGCTCTTGCGTTACAATGTCGAGCAACAACTTCTGACTCATTGTTAAGACGCTTCCTGCAGGAATTTAAAAGTCAGAGAAGTTTCAATTCTCAGGAAACATGTTCCAGGTCTGTCATACTTTAATAATCATCACCTTGCTAGCAGCTCTGGAAGTTTTTAATTCATGTTGCACGACAGTAGTGTTGTTCCACTCTTCTGCATCCTCGGAGCTAGAATTCGACCCATCGTCATCGTCTGACAGTTCTTCGTTATCTTCCTCCTCAACGGGCGAGAAAGTTAACGGATCATTTGTTTTCTCCTCTCCCATTTCAGCTGACCTTATTTATCCTGAATTCGACTTATTCACAATTGTGTTACATCCCTGTGACATCACAGAAGAAGAACCTGCGAGACTTCTCACAAGTGCTCGCGCACAACTGCCTTGTTGATTGCCCAACTACAAGAGTATTCTTAACATTCGTGGCATAATAAAAAAAGCAACGTGATAAAAGACTACAGTAGTAGAAGAGAAGAGAATTATACAGCTATTTACGAATTGTCGTAGTTTCCTTCTTCCGTAGGATTATGACAATTATACACAACTAAAGATATACAAAGATCATGATTCGCTACCAAAAATATGCTACTCTTAACCATCCTCTGAGAGTGATAAGGACCGTTAATTGTTACGTATGGGACGGCCCCTCGTTGTTTATCACTGTACAGGGTATCGTTAGCTGGTTGGTTTACAACCAGCTAGAGTCAGTCGCTCAAGGCCCTGCAAGGGGCTCTGGGTACCAGCATGAGCCAGACGAGGCCTCCAGCGTGTAACACCATATTCCACCACATATGTGAAACAGACTGGTGTGTTGGGTGACATGAGAAATTCGCTATTGTGGTAAACTTTGCAAGTGGTTCTGAAACGCGTCTTTTTGTATAATAATTAAAGCAGATTTTCTAGGCAACGAGGGCTTCACTGCAAGTACTTCTGCCAACACAGAAAACTGAGTGGTAGACGACAAACGAGAAACTATGTATAGTCATATTCCACCGAACGCCTTGACTTCTCCACAGGTGGTGCGAACTAATTTGAGTTGTTTTCTGTTGCTGTAGTTGATAGAAACACTCAAGAATGACTAGTTAAATATTTTACTTAGGCCATTAGTACTAAGGTAACCACAGTGAGCTTTTCAAGCTATTCAAGGCATGCTTGGATGTTTATTATAATTTTGTTTCAGGGAAATGAACAAGTTGTATTTCTGGCAACTTCCCCTGGGTTAACTTCATCTTATGGACCAGCAAATCCAATGCCTTCAACACCAATGCAGTTTCCAGCCCAAGGAGCTCCTCAACTCACTGGCATATCTGTAAGTAACAATTACATGTAGCACGTGTTGAAATCTTTTATTTAACTACAGCGTATATACCAGCATTTCACAATAAACCGTGCAGCAAAATTTAGTTAGATGATGAGAATCAACCGAATAATATAATTACTAACACAGCCAGTTCTCTACAGTCTTGTAGTTGATGAGGTAAGGCTTTAAGTGTAGGTGTTTGTTTTTTAAAATTTTATGAAAGCAGAAAGTTATTCAACTTATTATGAGCATCATTTTAAACTCTTTCCTCCCTTTCCTGAAAAGCCACATTTATTCACAGAGAAATAAAAGTAATAATAGCTTTGAAAATAGGTGGTGCACTCTGTTGGTGCTGTGGATGCTAACTGTAATAAGATTTAATATTATTGGTCGCATTCAGTTTCCCTTTGAAAGAATTGCCAGTAAGGGAACATTGTTTTTTGTATCCACAATCTTGTCTACATTTGTTTCAAGTCCTCAGCTGCATATGGTTGTGGCCCAGTAATAGGGGTACAGGTACCCATGTGGACACATGTACCACAAACATCTCCTACAGTCGTGGGAAACATGATGCAGTACCCAACACAGCCCTTGCAGTACCAAGCCTGTTACATGTCTCCTGTGCAGCATTCTAATCATGGAATGTACTTCAATAATCAAATACAGTCATACAACATGGTACCACATCAGTATGTTCCTGTACCCAACAGAGGATTCAGACAACATTTTCCTATGGGGCAACCACCAAATGTACCCTATGCAATGCCTCATGAGTGTGTGCCAGTTGCTAACTCTGGGTTTGCCCACCCTGCTGGAGGGATGGTTCATCCTCAGTTCATACCACCTGACCCACATGCAAGGGAGGCAGTGTATGAGATGTCCATATTTCAACAAGCTCAGTATATTCCCCAGTATCCTACATCAACTCATCAACATCCACAGATATCAGCAGTTGTTCAGAGAAGACCTGGGGTCGTTAATCAGCCGGCATATTTTACTAGGGAGGAGCTAGAGGTACAAAAATCACTTCCAAACTCAGAACAGCAGGGAGGGGTAAATGCTGTTCATTTACTACATGAAGAAGAGTCTACTGGGGTGCACAAACCTGTTAGATCTGATGGTAATTCAGCTGCCAGTTTGTGTGAACAGGCTCCAGCTCCTTCACAACAACACATATTAGAAAATACAGAATCTATTCAATCTCCACACCATCACATATTGGACTGTGTAGAACCTGTTCAGGTTCCAGGCCAACAGATGGTGGACAATTCAGAAACCATTCATTCTCCTTCACAGCACCTGTTAGAGAGTACAGAATCCATTCAGTCTCCACATCAGGACATGTTGGACAGCTCTGAATCCACACAGGCAGATGCTATTGTTTCACCAAGCCAAATGACTTTAGTACCCAGTCCATCATCTTCAGATGGTGTTCAAACAGTGTGCAGTAGCCCAGTACAGTCACACAGTGAAGAAGATGAACTGACAGTTGCAGAAGATGACCAAATTCCAACCAAGGACATAAGTGATGATTTAGCTCTCCATCAATCTCCAGTTGAAGTAAACAATGCAGATAATTTTGAAAGGCTGGAGCCTGAGCAGCCCTACGACAGTGCCTCTTTCAAGCCAGAAAAGTGCAATGCAATTTCTCTAACAAAACCCTTACTGAAAGAAGGGATGTATGGTCCTCAAAAAGGGGAAATAAGTGGATCCTCCTCAGTGAGTCAGGAAACTGAACTTATCCCTCAAAATGCATTTGGTAAGCACACTACCCAGCCTTATATCTCTAGAGAAAGTAAGGCCAGCACTAATCAGATGCATTACCATTACCACCGATCAATACGATCCCTTATTGACACACCTGTATATGACACTGCCCACAGTAGAGTGCTCAGTCAACTTGCACAACCTGATGCTTCCTCAGCACAATCCCATAATGGAAGCCAAGGACGTCCTTTGACAACTCACTTCAGGCAACTGTTTAAACCCATTCCTCACAGTACCACAAAGAGTGCAAGGAAAGATGATGGAAGGAGTTGAGAACACAAATGAAGGGAACGGTTTGATTTGAGTTGAATACTGTAAATAGTAAATCAGTAGTGTGCAACCTTACAATTCTGTTCATTACTAAACTATTTGCACAGTTATTTGCAAGCTTAATCAATGTTCAGTTTTGACATAGGTTAGAGGTTAATATTTCCCTAAATGTATGCAAGTCTTGTCAAAAGTTACTTTGTTCCTCTACTTTCATTAATTTAAAGGATTTGGTTGGATTGATTGAGTTAATGTACGACTAAGGATAGAGGCTAGCTGCTAGAACTTATCCCTGTTTTTGGCAAAAAAAAAAAAGTAACTAAGATTTATTGCAGTGGTACCCCCCCCCCTCCCCTGAATAGAATGTAAGTTTGTATCAGGTTATCTCTTTTCATTTTTTGAGGTTTCCCTGACAATTTTCTCCAGGGTAGAAAGAGTAAATTTTCTTTCTCATGGCAACTTTAGCACCTTGAAACAGTTTTTAAATGAGGATTGTAAAACTACATCCAATGTAATTTTAAGGAGCCTAATAAGGAAAAAGGAAATATTGTAAGGAGCCAACAACTTAAATCAAGTAAACTGCCCTAAGTGCCAGGAAACGACAGTGACTAAGTTGCAACTGGTTTTAGTTTTGCATCTCTCTCAATCAGTGCCCTCTTTTGACACTCGATGTACAAAAAAATTGGTCTAGTCTCTTGATTTCTTTGTGTATGACTGTATTGTCAGTGGGCTGTTGGTCAAATGTAGGATTCATCAACTGAATCTAATCCAGGAAACATCCCAGGCTTTTAATAATAGCATAAACTATGATTTTCCAAACAAAACAATTTATGTGTATCATTGATGATGGAGTGGATGTGGATAATGAGTTTTGTTTTGCAATAAAAGTTTGTCATGCAGAAGCTTGGTGATCTGAAATATAATTGTCCTTTGTGGAGACAGTAAAATTGTTTGGTTGGTCTTTTTGTCTTGAGTGTTCAAGCAGCAATTAGCTTAAACAACTTAAGTGCAAATCTTTGGTGATTCTGATTTCTATTAATCATTCAATCCAGTTACTATGATTAAAAATCCTTTGAGTAACCTAATAATATACAACACCAAATTTCTACTCTACCTCCTTAAACAGGAAAGATAAACAATATCACTTGACAAAATAAAGCAGAGCAGCAGCATGCTGAATAAAAACTGATAAGAGGACAAGTTGATGTTCAAAATTTGTTCCAATGAAACATCCAAAGCAAAGGAAGATCACTTGGAAATGACAGTTGCTGTATGTGTAACTAGTCTCATTTGAAAGGTTCATAACATGATGAATGTGGGAAACAGCATAACAAAATGCTACTGTTGTACAAGATAACGTCACTCGACACTCATCATTCTTTGCATCTTTATTCACTTGTGCACAAATCCCAATCCTTGTTTGAAATGTTTTAAAAAAAGAAGTAAATACAGCGATACAAGATGGCAAAACTAACGTTTGTACAAAAACTAATAAGTCCATATCTCAGGCTTCCTGTCATGGATGCCATAGATGTCATTTCCCTGTCATTTACACTTATACCCAAAACCAATTCCTCAGAAAACAAATTTTTCATCCAGACTGTCATGGCCACTTCCACTGGTCTGCAGGTGGAGGATTTTCTAGTGGTTCCCAAGGTTGCCAATCTTGCATCTTCTTGGCCAAAGACAGCTCATCTTCTGCCTACAAGCAAAGGAAAATCATGGGGACAAACTGGCACAAGTGGGTTCCGATCAAAATCATGTTCCATATACAAGTTTCACTTAATACGCTGCCAAGATTATAATACAGGTAAACCTCCACATTTTAAGCGGAGCTTGCAGAGCGTAGCCCCATAATTATACAAAATAGTAGTAACCCATCAAGCTGAAAAAATTTGGATGTATGACCATACAACCGTACGACCGTACAAGGTGCTACTTTTAACATGTGTGGTCAGCTGTACCACGGGCACACCAATGCCATGGCCTTGTTCAGTGGTCCAGTGGTCAGTGCACTGGGCTCTGAGTCAGATGACCTGGGTTCTAGTCCTAGTCAAGGCAAGGCATTGTGCCTTTGAGATGTACGGGGAAAAAAAAGTGTGAGCTCCACTTTTAGGCTTGGCTAAATCTCTATATTACAACTGGCATCTCTATTGTACATTTTGTTCCAAGCAGACTGTCGATATGTTTGTTTTTATATTAACATCTCTAACAGTCCTAAAATGGGTTGCTGATCACAACAGCAGTGATCATTGAAGTGTATCCCAACTAACAAAGTGACCAGTAAATCATTAATCAGTGAACAATATGCTAAATGTGAACTTGCTCAAGAAGGCAGCCTCTGACAGTTTAAGTTAAGATAAAATATCTTAAAGACTAAAAGTGAAAGCACTAGTAATAATTTAGAGATTGCATTGCAAATTTAATATGTGAACATGATCAAATGAGCGTTATATCATAATCCAAGTGCCTAGAAACAAAAATGTGTCAAAAGTTAAAGAAAACCAATTGATACAGTATTTGGCAGCATTTTTTCTTGTCCTCTTGGGGACCATTGTGGAGGGTTTAACTGTTAATTGATTACAATAATGTACAAAATTTACCTACCTGTTGAATAACTTCTTCAATTTGTCCAGCTCCAAGTTTGTTTTCCAGTTGTGGTATGTCACTCTCCTAAACATAAATTCACTTATAAAATTAGTTGGTCATAAAATAGAAATATACTGCAGAAAAACCTGCAGGGTGGGGGGAAAAGGGTATAATTGTAACACAAATATAATGTATGTGTAATAGATCAAAGTTTACTGGTGGAAGAGACAAAGTTAGGAATTGATCTTCAAGTGAAGTTTAACAAACTGCAAGAAAACAGGTCTGACAAAATTCAGGATTCAACAGGAATTGAACCCCAGCCTTCTATATGCTTGCACCAACCGAGTGCCCCAGCCACAAGTTGGAAGAAAGGTAAATTTAATGGGTTGCTTCCACAAAGAGCATATATGACACAGACAGCTAGTGACCAATTGATCTTATTGAGTTAACTACATTATGTTTATTGTGAAAGCCTGAATGTATCAAGCTGATTTTCGTTTGATTACTATAATTTCTGTTAACCTGTGAAGATCAAATTGTCCCTTCTCTTGGAAACAACTGGCTTAACACTACACTACTCTTCATGTTAATGACAAGGTACCTGTTCCACAACATCTAGTCTCTGTTTAGTGATCTGCTCTGTGTGTATACGGTACTGGGCACTCTTTGGCATGCTTCCCAACAACACCAATGTCTCTTTATACAACTTTGTGAGAGCCTTGAAGACAAAAGAATTGATTGTGCTGTTTGCCAAACCAGATGAGGCCAATCAAGAGTACTGAATTTTAATATGAACTGCAAACCCAACATTTTAAGCAAGTCAAAAAAGTTCACGGTATACTGTGTAGCACACACACCCAGAAGGTTGTAGTTTTCGAGGATTTTTTTGGGACTGTCCCTACACTGCCAAAAAGGGTCATGACGTAAAACATCCTGCACAATTCAACACTATAGTCATTGACAACTTTAAGCCAAAGAAAACCCCTTATATGAAGTTCCGCATTTTGCAGCTACTCCTTGTTATGGTAGTTATTCATATTTCATACAAAAAAATCCACCAATGAGTCACCTATTTGGCAGTGATGGCTCCTCTTTTGTGTGATAAAAATGATTCAGCATAATACATTAATATATGAGATGTGATAAAGTTGCAATAAAACAGTGTCTCATTGATCGCTCTGACGAAGGGCTAATGCTCGAAACGTCAGCTTTTTTACCCTTACGGTGGCTAATTTACGTTTTCAACTCAGTTGTTAACACTAAATTACCTGCTATACTCTCCCACTGACGCAGCACCACAGTTTCTTTAGAAACTTACCCCTTTATTCAAGTGTCTCATTGAACATGGCAAGGGGGTGAGAAAGGCTTTTTGTGTCAGACTCTTTAGTGGAGGGGGACAGGGGGGTGGGAGACCAGAAGAAAAGGGGGCAGGAGAGGGCAGAAAGCAGGAGCAGAAATAAAGAAGGCAATAGTTTGTTGTTTATTACTGGGTATTATTCAGTCAAAAATACTTCTCTAGCAAAGTTTTGAAATTTCCATTAAACATCCACCAACCCTTAAAAGAAAATTTTGGAGGCAAGAAAATATAAATTTGTACTTGGGCTGGAAAAACAGCATTTCTTCTGGTGAATCTGGAAATCCCTTCAATTCGATTACATCATAAATCATGAGATGGCATGACACATGACACATGTACACTTATACTTTAGTGTCTGGTAAGCTGTAGCTGTCATAAATCTCCAGCAAAGAAAGCAATTCAGGGTCATTAACGGTTCAGGGTCAGGTCATATGTTGTCTATATTAATTGGCCTCAGCATTTTTTGGTGTGGCAACAAAAAATCTGTAAATGGAAGACCCACTTGGGAGCTTGCTCTGTGTGACTGTGCATCCCAAATTACTGTAGATTTTGCCTCATGTAGCAAACTTGTTCAAAGAATTGCCACTTCAGTGAGCGCGCTGGTAAGTGTGGAGTGGTTCACTTTACAATGCAATTTTTTATTTTGGACAAGGCTAAGGCCTTAATTCACCTTGATTAACCTAAAGATGGGAGCAACACAATGAAGGGTGGGAGTCAGGTACGGGAAGTGGAAGACTCTAACCTCCCTGTTTTCCTTCCCCCCCCACTCTAACTCCCCTGCCTTTCCTCCCCTCCGCTCTTTAGGTAGAGAGACATTGATGACATCGAATAGAATTCTTTAACTCAATAAGTATTGCCATTTGCGTTCAAAAGATTAAACGGAGATCACAAACGTCATTTAGAGGCACCTCACAGCGCAAATATGAGTTCCCGCAAAACAAAAAAATAATCGCCATATTTCAATAAAATGTTACTTCAATTCTTACCTCCCTGGGTGCTTTGGAAACTGCCAAACCAACCAAAGCCGTTGACTGAAAAATTTAAGCAATTTCATATGTGAGGTGACATGAATTCAAGATATATTATGTACGAGTCTTGATTTTGCTTAGTACCTTGTCGATGTACATTTAGCAAACTAACCGTGAAATAAATCCTCTAGGGTGTTCAAAACTGAATAGAGTCCGATCTTGGATGGTATAGTATAATTAAAAAGTTACTTAGCCCCCCAAAAATGGCCACTGCAGCGACTGGAACTGTTTTATCGATGCAGAGGGTCACTTACCCTTTTCACGTAACCAGACGCCATATTGGATTGCACCAACTCCCGAACAGGCAACTGGGAATTTTATTGCATCACCTTGGCAGTTTGATACTTCCATGTGGAAGGGCGCTTTAAGGAAGAGATTCCCTGGGTTTTCCGCCTTTCACGTTGGCAAATTTACCTATCCTAAGTTATCTTTGTGGCGTGCGCTCTGTGGTTTTGATCATAACGATTCGTCTTCAATGGCCGCTGGAGCTGCCGAACAGCATGACTTCCCCAAAGAGGAGGAAAATATATTGAAACTTTGGGAGAAGTTGGATGCCTTTCAGTCGTGCTTGCGCCAATCAAAGGACAGACCAAGGTACGGAGTAGAGAAAGTTTATTTCCGTTAAAGGACCGTAACCTTTTCATGAAAATGTGCAGCTGTTTTTTATGACAATAAAGATTCTCCGGTCTTGCTCTACGATTTTTTCCCCCTACCCCCCCTCCAGTACCCATTAATTTGAGTTTCTCAAATGGTGGAAAAGTTTCCAATTTTTGTGTAATGATTGTGCGTGAGTAAGTGCTACTCAAAGAGATTTCTTTCTGCAGAAAATTCAGCTAGGTTTGATAGTTTCAGCTTTGCACATGTGTGGTCTTGTAGGAAAACAATTGTATTTTTTTTGACATGATTCTAGCAGAATAGGATTCTCCCCCCTTGTTTGAACCTCAGACAGTTTTGAAATAATTTTAGTACGTATGCAGAGGTACTCTTCACAAATGAAGGATCTCAATAGCTTGAACTCCAGTTTTCTCCAAGCTCTAGAACTCATAGGACAAAACCTGGTCTCCCTTTCCCTTTCAACCCTTTCACTCCCCGAAACGATTAACATGTAACTTCTCCCTTTAATGTCCATACACTGTCCAGCAAACAGGTAACGAGAATGCTCAATTTTCTTATCTTTTCCCTAGAAGGTAGGAAACAAAGTAAATCCACTTAATTATCAAAAAGTTTTCAAAGTTGTTGATGTTTTTTTTATCCAGGTACAGTTTCTATGATGGTCCCCCTTTTGCCACAGGCTTACCTCATTATGGACACATCCTAGCTGGTACTATAAAGGTAAAGTACTTGGCAACACCTTTCATTAAGGGACTGTAGAATAATTATGGATACATGGTCTTAAGATTTAATGGTGTATTTGTAATTTAATCTCAGGAGTTTAACACTGTTAGTCTGATAATATCAACTCATTGCTATTACTAAGAATCATAGAATTATAAGAAAGACATGTGACACTGACCTATAATTTTTAGAGATGTGTGTGCTCTGTTTTTTTCAAGAATTCACTTAAATAGAATCTTACATTCAATTTTTTATTCCACTTTATTTCATCTGAGGTTACAAACTTTGGTAGGATCAGAGATAAGTATCTTTCAGGAAACCAGACATGAAATTTTTTATTTGAGAGGAAATTAATAATTTCTCGAGTGTAGACATAGGACATTGATAAGATGTGAGGTTAGTTTTCTGGTGGTAACCAGCCTTTAAATTCATGTTACAGTACTCAATTGTCAGTCACATTCATTTAGCAAACAGCTGACTGCATGTTTCGACCAAGGTGGAAAATGCCAAAGGCAATATCGTACCCTGATGTTAAGTAAGATGTAAGCTCTTTTTTTGTTAGTGCTAGTGTTACTGTTGCTAATTTGAGTTACTATATTGACAGGACATAGTCACAAGATATGCTCATCAGTCTGGTTATCATGTTGAGAGACGTTTTGGATGGGACTGTCATGGTCTTCCAGTGGTGAGAACTTTAAGTTTTCATGTCTACCTTCAGAATACAGGTAGACATTGATAAAGTTTGAGATTTTTGGTGCTGGGAATTGGTACCTTGTGTAAAAAGGAAATTACAAAGAAAAGTGTCAGTATATTGCAAGTATGAATTTTTTAAGCCTTTTGTTCTTTTTCTTTTGCAAAGTTCAATAATTAGTTACCAAATACTTACAATCAAGTTTCACATCTGAAGAGGAATTTGTCTTGTTTATGAGATTATTCCTTGTCTTGTAGGAGTATGAAATAGACCAGAAGTTGGGTATCAAGGTAAGAATAGATATACCTCTTTGGTTAAGTATATCCATTGCTGTAGAATCATTAACCACATTAATCATTAAGGTGATTCATAATGTGGGTAAATAACAATTAGTTTTTAAATTTTGGATACAATTCATCATGGATTATCATAAGTGATTCTTGCAGAAATAGTCTATGACTATGTCTGCAGTTTATATGTGCTGAAGTGCTTGGAAATAGATGAATTTTTGGATTTAAATTTGTTCCTTTTTCTAGAGTCCAGATGATGTGACAAAAATGGGAATAGCTAATTATAACAAAGAGTGTCGCCAAATTGTGATGCGTTACTCCAATGAATGGGAGGTAAGTACAACAGACTTAGATCTTCCTGCAGTTATTGTTTTTTGTTGTGAATATGTTTGTCAAAATTATAAAGCCAATCTTTTGTTGGCTGATAATATTTGAAAAGGAGTGGCTTCTTGCTAATATTACTATTTTACCAGTGCTTTTGAAGATGTGTAAATTTTGATGGTCAATGGAGTGAATGAATGAAAACATTGTTGTCTAATAACTGTGTGGTTGTTCAGTTCATAGTCAAGAGAATGGGACGATGGATTGATTTTGACAATGACTATAAGACACTTTATCCATGGTTTATGGAGTCTGTTTGGTATGTGTAATTTCATGTATTAAACAGTTATGTGTCCTCAATATAGAAATTATTGGTTTTTCCAGTTGCATTTGTTTATTAACTAATGAAAACGAAAACATTAATTAACTTTCATTTTAACTGCTCTTGGTGTAATATATTATCACCAAAAAAGTTGCAAGACTTAACATGAACTATTTGGTTATGTTCATCATCATATGATGTAGTTTTGAACTGATCTATGTTAGCCTTTTCAATATCAGATATAGAGAAGCTGTCACACTGGTCTGGGGGATTTCATTAAAATAATATACTTGTTGTTAAGAGTATACCCAACCAGAGGAAAAATAATGTTAATACGTTGTACAGTCATATTTCTTCATGTACAATTTGCACAATGTGGGTGTGCATTATTACTGTTCAGTTTTAATAAATGTTAGGGTTTTTTTTTTAATAGGTGGACATTTAAACAGATTTATGAAAAAGACTTGGTCTATAGAGGATTCAAGGTGTTGTATCATATGTCTTTATAGCTCTGCTTTTGATAGAAATTATTTTTAGAGAAAATTATATTAAAGGGAAGAGAAGACCATTTTTTAATAAACAAATAGTTGAATAATCAGATAATTTGACATCAGTTGAAAATTCTAAGGCTTAAATTCTTTTGTCCTAAAACTGATTGTTGATTAATATTCTACTTATTATCCTCTAGGTTATGCCATATTCCACAAGATGTAACACTCCATTGTCAAACTTTGAAGCAAATCAAAACTACAAGGAAACTATGGATCCATCTGGTTAGAATCCCTTCAAAGTTTTGTAAATTTGGTTATGATTGTAATTTTGTTTGTGGGTTTTGATTGAGAGTCTTGGAGAAGTCCTTGAAATTTGTTTGGGTTACAAACCCTGTGTTAGGTTTTAATTTTGCAGTGCCTTGATTTGTATGATGAAGTTTACTTGGAGCTGCATGCCTCCTTATATTTCACAACTTATTCTGGACTAATCTTTGTGCTAAATTTAACTTTGAGTTGAACAGAATAATTAGAATCCTTAAACTACTTTGTTACCCTTAAAGATAAACACTCTTCAGTCCAAACAAATCTGTCAGAGGTTTGCTAAATTGAATTTAATTGCAATTGACATGTACACACACCACTCAAAAGGGTAATTACAGTTTATGGGTTTCAATTAGAGCAAATAAAAACGAGATGAACTAATGAACATTGGTTTGTCTTTGTGTCAAGTGATCGTGGACTTCCCTTTGGATGACGATGCTAATGTCAGTATGATTGCTTGGACAACAACCCCATGGACACTTCCTAGTAACCTTGCTCTTGTCGTAAACCCTGACATGGACTATGTGAAAGTCACAGGTACTGTGAATGTGTGTACAGTTTGTTCATTAATGCAGCACAGAGGGCAAAGTAAGACCTTTACACTGAAGTGAGCAATAGTTGTATTTTTTTGTTGCAGTAATGTTTTACTTGCTTTCTATTCTTTCTTTCTGCAGACAACACCACAAACAGAGTTTATATCATGATGGAAGCTAGGCTTGAAGCGCTTTTCAAAAAGCCAGAGGAGTACACAGTTTTAGAAAGGTTTTTAATTCTTTCTGTTTGAACATGTAATAGTGACATAGTGTTAAATATGTATGTGATTGAAGTATAATATCAACTTTTAAAATATATTATAAAACTTTGTTTGCAAAATTGTGATATGTAAAGAAAATGTTCACACTGGGGATGCCCTCATGAAAAATTATTTAGAAAATATAGTTCGACTCTCTTGGCTCCAGAGACTGTAGAGAACTGACGTAAAGAAATTTTTAAGAGAATGACTGACACTAAATGTTTCTCTTTTTAGGACACTATAGATTTTATATTTAATTAATTGATATCTTGCAAGTAATTTTTTTGTCTTTTTGAATAGATTTAAAGGATCTAGCCTGGAGGGAAAGACTTACAAACCTCTTTTTACATATTTTCAAGATGTAAGCAAATTGTGTTGATTTATTCCTCACTTTCCCAATCTTTACAGTCTTCTTTTTTTTTTTTTTTTTTTTTACCATATTACAGCAGTCCATCAACCCTCAGCCTTAACCTTTTTCTGAAACTGTTAAAAAAAAGTCAGTAGTAGTTCACTTTTGGATTTAATGAATTTAATTTTCTGTGTACTAGTCAAGTTTGATAGCTTCCTACCTATCATGTCTGTAAAGTGGTACCCATGTTGTGGTATGTTGTGGTTAGTCTCTGCTTATCAAACTGTGTTTGAGTAATTTTGAGTACCCAATGGCAGCAATGACTAGTTATTAAAACTACGTGATATTATGCTGCATGAACATTATTTTGCTAGTTTGAAAATACTGTAACATGCTGCAATAACATATAAGTGTGACTTTGCAGCATCTTTTCAGAGCCAGTTATTTCATTATTACACACATATGAAAAGTACTAGCCATGTTTACATTGGTTTAATTTCCTTTATTTATTCTAACCATTATTTTTCAGCTCAAGGCTAGTGGAGCTTTCAGGGTGTTAGCAGATGGCTATGTAACAGGTGAAAGTGGAACTGGAGTGGTCCATTCTGCACCAGCCTTTGGCGAGGTTTGCTCTATTATAATGATCATTTGATGGTAAATTCTATAATTTGAATGTTTCATTGGGTACTATGTATAGTATGACATTTTAAGTGTAGCTATGCCTTTTTTTTGGTCTTGTTCATTTATCTTTATGTAACAGTCTGTGGCATTAAACATAATGCTTTCTGCAAAAAGAGAGTGAATGTTAGAAAGCTAACCAACAAAAGACCATTTTAGCTGTGAGGTTTCACCTTCTCACCAAACCTGTTTTATTTCAGGATGATTACAGAGTCTGTTTGGCAAGTGGAATTGTAAAAAAGGGTGGAAAACTTCCTTGTCCTGTAGATGCAAGTGGAAAATTCACCAGTGAAGTGTCTGACTTTCAAGGGCAACATGTCAAGGTACACATACAATACACAGAAATGGATGACAAATTTTGGCAGAGTGCATGTAGGTGTACTCCACCATGAGTATACCTACAGGGGCTTTTAAAGCAAAACATTGTTTGTAGGTCAGGCTTGGATATGTTTTGGTTCCAGTTTTTTCAAACTCTCTTTTTCATGTAATCATATACTGAATATAAGGCAAAGAAAAATAAAAACAAGTTTGAAAATTGTTAATCCAAGGAGAAATCTTTTAATGAAATGTCACCAAAAAATATCTGTCATGTCCATTTTATCTAAAGATGTGTCATTTTGTGGTGAAAAATGCTTTATCACTAAGAGTTAAAATGTTGACCATGTAACATAAACATGTTGTGGCAGGATGCTGATAAGGTCATCATGAAGTGGCTCAAGCAGCAGCAGAGACTGGTTCACCAAAGTACTCATAAACATAGCTATCCATTCTGCTGGAGGTAAGAAGGATTCCATAACACAGAGACGTGCACAAGATTTACATCATGTAATGCTAGTATAACTGAGGAGTCAAACAATCATAAGAAACATGTTCTTGAATTACAAGTTGGTAGACCACCAAAGCATTTTTGGTCCAAGGTTTGAAGGTATATAGGTTGTTTATTTGCATTGTAAGAACAACAAAGGTTTTTTCTGATTATGGCATGCATTAGGTCTGATACACCGTTGATTTACAAGGCTGTTCCTGGCTGGTTTATCCAAGTTGAATCTCTTGTTGACAAGCTTTTGGCCAATAACAAACAGTCCTATTGGTAAGCAGTACAAATCAATACTGAAACAAAAAGTTAGGAGAAAACAAGCTACAAACATGATCCATGTTGTGGGTCAAACTTTGTTGGTTTTCCAATTCCTCTTCCATTGTATGATTATCATAATGAATGAAAGAAACTGTGATGGAATAATTTAAAAACAAAGAAGTAATAACATGTAATAGTAATGTGCATTTCAACAGAATGCATTTTCAACAGATAAGCTGCACAGAACCACAACCACAAGTATACTTAAGTCAAGTGTTTAAAAGAGAAGCACTTATCAACATTAAATGAAGATGTCAATTAGTGAATTGCAAATAAATGTAATAGTTGTTTGAACAGTGGCTTGTGCCATTTTACACCCACATACAATTTATTGTCTTTTTGATAAGGGTCCCAGAATTTGTACAAGAAAAACGTTTCCACAATTGGCTTGAAAATGCCCATGACTGGAATATATCTAGAAACCGTTACTGGGGCACACCAATTCCTCTGTGGGTCAGTGATGATTATCAAGAGGTATGTCAAAACCCTTGGTTTTTCCTCTTAAGGTGATGATATGAACCTTGTATAGAGCACAACCAGTTGTTGAGCCAGAGGAGCTGAAACTTTCATCAGGTGTTCAAACATCTTCTTTTCTCTTCCTTTTGGTCACTCATATGAATATTTTCTCCTTTTACAACCAGTTAATATGTTATTTAGACAGTCACAATATGTGAGAACTGTATGTCTTCAGCAACATAATGGACAAGGCCACAGCTGCTTGCACCAATTTTTTAGTTATTGCCTCCCTTTTCTCAATAATTGATAGAATTATCTTATTAGAGGTGATGGATTACATTTTTTTGAATTTCATACAACAGGTTGTTTGTGTTGGATCCATCGATGAACTGGAGCAGTTGTCTGGTGTCAGAGTCAGTGATCTTCACAGAGAAAGGTATAACTTCTTGCTTTAATTGCAATAGACATTTATAAAATTTGAATCATGCTATAGAATATATAGCTGTAGAATAATTGAATAAAACTCACACATTTTCTTTTTTATCTCTCTTTTTATTTTCTAAATTTAACTTAAAAATTCTTTGCCAGTGTGGATGACATTACAATCCCGTCTAAAACAAATAGAGGAGTTCTTAGAAGAGTCCCAGAAGTGTTTGACTGCTGGTTTGAAAGTGGAAGGTAACTCATACATGTATATTTGTAAGTCAGCCACTGTGATGAATTTTAGAGCAATTATTTTTTGGCAATTTTTGTCATGGTCCAATGCTATATAAGGAAGTCTGGTTTTGCAGTAATGTTGGCCAAATGAAAAATCAATTATTTTTAAATAAGTAGCTACGTACAGCAATGAAACCTCTCATCAAACTTCATTAAACAAAATTTATGTGTGAACTGTACTCATCATGCAGCTTTTATTTTTTTCAGTATGCCCTATGCACAAGTCCATTATCCATTTGAAAATAAAGAAGCATTTGAAGCATCATTCCCAGCTGATTTCATTGCTGAAGGAATTGACCAGACAAGAGGATGGTAAGTGGCTTTTCCATTGTTTTATTTCAACTTTTCTTACAGTATCTATGCACTTTATTTTAATTATTGATTTAATGTTTCCCTTTACAGGTTTTATACTCTTCTGGTGATTTCAACAGCATTGTTTAATAAACCCCCCTTCAAGAATCTCATTGTTAATGGACTGGTTCTTGCTGCGTAAGCTTTTTAGCTGCTCTGTAGTTCTAATTGCTTTGCTCAAGAATTTGGATTTTTGGTGATTTTCTTCTTCATATTTATTTGCCCCAGTCCTGAGTTTTAATTCTACAAACACTTGTCTGTAGAGATGGAGCCAAGATGAGCAAGAGAAAGAAGAACTATCCTGATCCAATGGAGATTGTGAACAAATATGGAGCAGATGCTCTCAGGTTTGTGACTGACATTAACAAATAAAACGCTGTGAATTTAGTGATAAACTCTCCTTTGCGCAGCTGTTATCAGTGATAACATTGAAACTGGGATGAACATTTGTGGGTTTTGGCCAATTGTGTGCCAGGTTACACTGAAATATAAGGGGATTTTGAATTCTGCCTGGCAGTAAGTGGACCTTCATTAAGAATCACCATATCATCAACTATGTAGGATCGGACCTTTTTTTTCTCAAGAGCACCTTTTTACAGATTGGTTTTATTGGTCTTTGTAACTGTACAATTCTGTAGCTATGTACTAATTACCCAGATTATTTCAGTGGCAATTGAAGCTTGTGTAATTTGAAATTTTTTATTTTAGATTGTATCTCATCAATTCACCAGTGGTAAGAGCAGAAACTCTCAAGTTCCAGGAGAAAGGAGTGAAGGATGTCATTAAAGATGTGTTCCTTCCATGGTATAATGCTCACCGATTTCTGTTGCAGAATATTCAGCAAATGGAAAGGGTTAGGCAACATTTTGTTGCTTCAAATTTATTCAAAGGCCTTGAAAATTGCTTTGAAGGTTTATCTTATCTGTAAATGAAATTTTGTTGTTGTTGTTGTTGTTGATGATGATGATGATGTCAGTGCTGCAGTCACAGTACAGTTGATTACAAAGAGGTTATTGTAGCTGAAATATTTTACAATTATTCACTGAAAGGGAGGTGAATTGTGGTGGATATTTACCTTGCCACTTCACAGCTCCATAAAGATCCACCATTATTCGCTGACCCTGAGGTGTATAATTGTTTTAATATATACTACACAGATACAAAGAATTTAGTTTATTTCTTTCAATACACAGAAAAATGGGAGGGAATTGATCTCTTGACATGCAATTTTGTCTCACAATCTAGTACTTACTGTTCACTTCTGAACTAGCCAATCAGCACACACTAAAAGTACTATTCACCTGTGTAGTATCTACTGACATATTATGTTTGGTTGTACCTTTTATTTTTTAACATTTAAATCTTTGGTTGAAATAACAGCATATGATTGTTGTAATCAAAGGTACCAACACTATAAATTTTTTTGAAATTTTACCACAACAAGTTATTGATAATTGAGAAACGTTTTTGATCAACTTTCCTAACAGCAACAAAGTTTACTGTATTTTCAGGTAAAAGACAGCTAATAATAATGAAATGATAATTTTGTATTTCTGAAATAGGATGGAAAAAAGTTTGTTCATGATGAAGAGGTTCTGATGAATTTGGGAAACACACTTGATCGCTGGATCATTTCCTTTACTCAAAGTTTGGTGTTGTTTGTCCACCAAGAAATGGCAGGTAAGTCACTCTTTACTCTAGGGGCTAAAAACAGCTGGCTGATTGAGATGATGTTGTTAGATATATACTCAAGAAACAGATTGAGGTCCATCTTAGTTTGACTGCAGTGCACTGTTTAGTTCCCTAAAAATAAAGCCACCTTCATTGTTTTGATAGTTGCATCAATCTTGACTAGAGTATGTGCACAACGTAGAACTGTGTTGCAAAGAAACCACTTTTAATAATTTTAGTACATGTCTAACTTTTGCGTCTGGCTTTGGAGGACAAACTCTTTTTGACATCCCTAAACTACTCTATGTAAGGGTGTTAAGCCAGTAGACTGATTGAAAGTATGAATTATCACATAAGTATCAATTACCGGCATGTGGTTGTGTTTATGATGGCTCAATGCAGTAAGGAGTCCTTGGCCAGCCTTGAAAAATATGTTGATCGTAGTAAAATGACTTACTGAAAGTGACTATGCACCACTTTTTTTTGTAGCCTATCGACTGTACACTGTTGTTCCTCGGCTGGTCAAGTTCATTGACTATCTGACCAATGTGTATGTGCGAATGAACAGGAAGAGACTCAGGGTAAGGGATTAATGAACTGTGAAGGGTCAAGGCGTAACTCTTTGGTAAAACACGACTTCCTTCGTGAGATATCTTTTGCTGTGACAGTTTATTGTGCCACGTACCTCTACATTACTTACTTTTTTTTTTCTGAAATGGCTAACCACAATGTCAACATCAAGGCAGAAGTAAGCCTTAAGTAAAAGGAACATTTCGAAAATTTTAAAAATTACATTTTTAATTTGCATCAAAACTTATTTTATGGTTTTTCATGTTGTTTATGTGGAATTGATTTGATTAAAAAACACCTTACAGTAATTATGAAGGAACACAAAAACTTCACCTTTTTTCAATATTTGCCGAAGATTCAATTGATACATTGGATATTTTTTACGGTGTAGGGGGAGTATGGGGACAAGGATCGTTACGAGTCACTTCAGACGCTGTTCAGTGTTGTATTTACCATCACAAGGTTAATGGTATGTTCGGATATGTTGATTTTGAACAATCAGATACTAAACTCACACCTGTAATTAACTCTAAGTCAGGAATGATAGTAAGCACGCATCGCTACAGTGGTAGGCAAGTTATGTATTCTGTGAGAACACGAGTCCCGGCGGAGTTAGTTGCTTACTAAAAAGATCCATTATGATCTCGAATTCAATTTAAACACGGCAGTGTGTCGGTCTTACGAGTGAATTCGTGTTCTCTTGTTTCCAGGCGTCATTCACTCCATTTCTTACAGAGTTCAATTATCAGTCTTTGCGGCCTTTCATACCAGAAAGTATGAAAATCGGAGAAACAGAGAGTATCCATTATTTGATGATCCCTAAGGCCAGGTGGGTACATTTACTGTCTTATTACTCTTTGTGAGCTAGTTTTAATCTTAATACACGGTTAAGAAAAAAATTTGACCTCGTTATAATTGTTTTTTACTAAAATAAGTTTTCACTGACGTCCTAGAGGACATTAATTTTTTCATGGATTGAGCATATATTAAGAAATGTCAAGTTTGTGATGAGGGAAAAATGTTAAACAGACATCAGAATTTGTGAGCAAACTGAAGCTGTGCTTGCAGCTGGTTCTGGCTGTGAGCAGTGCTCCACTGACCCATTTCTGCCCTTGAATTTACGGAACGTGTGGCTGCAATTAGTTCAATCTTTATTTCTCAACTGCCCCTGTGCTTTGGTTTTTATTTGCATAGCACGTTTTTTTAATTCCACAACTCATCATTATTACCTTAACAAAATATTTTATCTGAAGGGAAAATCTAATTGACAAAGAGATTGAGAGAAGAGTAGCCCTGATGCTAACAGTGATTGAACTTGGCCGAGTCGTTAGAGAGAGAAAAACTCTTCCGTTGAAGGTAAGAATCCCTCTCAGCGATAAATTTCTCATGTGAAGTAAGTTTTAAGAGTTGTGATATTTCAGAGATTTTGCGGTTTGATAAAGATGGTAATAGGTATATGAAACTATTCTTTGGTTAATACCGTCAGTAGATTAACAAATTAAGCTTGTCTGCGGTGAAAATTATTTTAATGTAGGTTTTATCAGAATGGATTCGTATCATAATAAAATATTTGTCATTTTCGGTGATGATTTCAACTCAGAGGCTCGTTAGAGAGACCAAATCATTGAGGTAATTATACCTTGAGCCTTCAGTAGGTGATGTGAGTTACAGGAGTTAGTTACATGAGGAATTGAGCGGGAGGTGTACAAACAACTTGAGAAATCACTAAATCATCAAATCTATCGATTTTTTTATACATCAACTGGACTGCTATCGTTAAAAAACTCAGTTTTTAATATTCATTCATAGTGAAACGAAAGAGAATGGTCGAACTGATTTTGGTTGGAGGATAGTTTTGAATACTGAGCGGGTAGAATAGGCAGTGAAAGTCAGTGGGTAATTCTCAGTGAAGAGTAACTGACCCCTTCGCGTTTTTCAAATCACTTGCGGATGCGTGACAGGCAGGACAAATCTGGAGGAAGAGCTCTCTTCAAACGATTGTCGATAACATACCAAGGGGACCTGGAGTTTGGTCTAAGGGTGTGATATCCTATGTACTGTTCATATGATAGCACACAAAACGAAGAAAGTTCTAGTCACCCTTCAATGCAATGGCAACCCTTGTGGTATGTCATGTGTTCATAAATGAACTTTTACCGTTAGCCTTTATCCTGAAGTTGGGCGTTGGACAACTTGTGAGAAGTTCTTGTAGTTCTTTCTCTAATATATCTTTCTTCCATTGTCCTGACTTGCATTGTTATTTCCATCGACGTAGGCTTCCTAACATTGAGCTTTTTTTCTCCAGTATCCCCTCCCTGAGCTTGTCGTCATTCACCAGCTGCAACAGACCCTTGATGACGTGTTATCTCTGGAAGACTATATCAAACAGGTACATATCGATCGAATACCGCGGACTTTACTATTCACTTTACTGGTGGTTTTCTCTAATAACCGTATTTGATGTGTCTCTAGGAAGTGAATGTGAGAAAGTTAACAGTGTCGTCAGACAAAAACAGGTTTGGGGTTCAACTCAAAGCTGAGCCTGATAACCAGACATTGGGGCGCAGATTGAAAGGTGCCTTCAAAGAAGTGTCTCAGGCAATTAAAGGTATCTTATAGCTTGACAAGTTTGTTTGTTTATGTGAAAGTATATTTAATTGATCGTTAGTCAGTAGAAGCTATTAATTAATGCCACTTTAAATATTTTTGTAGGTCTTTCAGACCAGGAAATACAAGTGTTTAAAGAGAAAGGAGAGCTGATGGTGGCTGGGCACTTACTGAGTGGAACAGATTTAAGGGTGACGAACTAATCAATTTTTATAGTTCGCGGAGTCAAGAGAGATTGTTCCTATTCATACCCACCATGCAATTGTAACAACTATTTGTCTCGGTTGTTAGGTGATATACTCATTTGATCAGAATGGATCAGCGCCATCAGCATATGAAGCATACTCTGATGGAGAGGTTAGCGCTGATTACTTTTAGCGATTTTTAATTGAGTATCGAAAGTAATCTTGGATTGCTTTGGTTTTGCTTTACTTCCCTTTGTGATTGGTCCAGAAAACTCGTGCCACCGACCATCTCAACCAATCAATTGCAGAACTTAAACCAATTCCGTACCTCCGTGCTTCAACTATTAAGCAATTGTAGAAGTTAAATGAGATGGAAAGATACCATACTGCCATTGTTGCAATGATATCATGATTTCCTTCATGCCATCTCATCCGTGCTAATATGACTGGAGAGTTCAATGATTCCTGTAAACTGAAGTACAAGCTCTTACCTGACAGACTCATTTAGTTAGTGCCACCGTTTGTTTTAGACATGAGTAACGTGCACGTTTTGTTGTCATCAAGGTACTTGCTCTTTTGGATATCACCCCGGATCAGTCTTTGCTCTCTGAGGGTGTGGCACGGGAAGTGGTCAATCGAATTCAGAAACTGCGGAAAAAGGCAAGTGCAGCAAGTCTCAGTGACACCTTGACTTCTGGCTTTTTAGTGTGATTTGTCGGAACTGTCGGCCAATTTCCATCTTAAACCTGAATACGCAGCAAAGGTGAAACACCTATTTCTTCCGTTTCTTGCCCCTAAATAGCTACCAGGTTGTAGCTCTTAAACTTTTTACGGTGGCCAATTAACGTTATCAACTCAGTTGATAATGCTAAATTACCCTGTTATACTCTCTCACCGACGCAGCACCACAGCCTCTTTAGAAACTCATCCCCTTTATTCATCTGCTAGATTCCCTTACGCTTTAAGAAAAATTAGAAAAATTAGAAAATTCCGTTACCGCGATCGGCAGGAAATATTTACCCGAATTTAAATCTAAAATTAGCTATTTCTAACTCACTTCGCATTCGCGAACCACTTTTTATTCCCTCACTGGGACATAATGTGACTTAGAACACAACTCGAGAGTGTCCCTTGGTAGGTTTTGTTGAGGTGTGAACTTGTGATCCCACAAATCGTGGCTGACTTCTTACCGTTATCATCTCGTTAGGCTCAACTTCAGCCATGCGACGACATCACTATTGTGTTTGACGTTACACAAGGCATGTTAGATGACGTCATCAGTGAACACAAAGGTTACATTGAAGATAGTGTTAAGCAACCTGTTGTATCCAGTTCTCTCGCACCGAGCTTGCCTCTAATAATTTCCGAGAAAACAGAGGTATGTATGACGCATCTGCCTGAAGAGTATTGACGAAATTTGATCTAATTGTTCATGAAATTAATTTTACAAAAAATTTCAATTTTTGGGGTTCTATGGAACAACAACAAAACACGTAGAAAGCTTGTGAATCAGTAAGCAATCAGCGTATGGTCCCTAGAGTTATGTTACGTTGGCTTGAAGTTGCTTAGCGAGTGTAGGCTTAGAATATCCAAATAGTATTGTGGCGAGTATCCAAAATTTAAGGATACGGTCTTTCCGAGCTTTCTGCTAGCGTCTGATTCATAAACTAATGACCAACTTTTTGCATACTGACAAGTGCCCTGAGTCTCTTACTTAGGGTGACCACACTGCATAGATGATTTAGGGGCCCTCCCATCCAATAAAAAATACATGATGATTATGCCAACTGCATAGACTATCTTTTAAGCTTTATTTAAGAATTTAATTCCGTCTTAACCGATAATCACTCGAAATCGATTACGAACCGACAGTAATGAAGTTTTTTTTTTGAGCTGCGAGCTGTGTGGAAAATTCCTTAGTACCTGACCTCGCAACAGCTGACTGCTTAAACAGGACTCAGAATGGCCCTCAGAGGACAGGAATCGTCGACTGTAAAATACCCTGCAACTCTCTTTTTGAAATGTGGGCACCCAGTATTTTCCCTAAACCAGTGTGCTTGTCAGGTTTGGTTTTGTTTCGTTTCATTTGCCTTTATTCTCATTTCCATGGTCAATTTTAGGTTAAAGGTAGTATGCTTGATCTGAAGTTGTTGAAAGGTCATCAGACTGCAAACAAGGAAATGACTGTTGGAGAACCGCTGTGCAAATTTGTAAACGTACTGCTGTGTAGAGGTGGAGCTGGGGTAGTTAAGGGAACTGTGCTTTTGGAGAATCCTCAGGGCAACCCGGTCATTTCATTGGATCAACTTAAGCGACAGGTACTCTTGATTGCCGTTTTTTTATCATGGTGTGGGCCCTTCTGCTGGGTTGAAGGAGGTTCCCTCAAACAGGTTATGACGAAGGTGGAATAGACAGTCGTTCTGAAGCTGCACAAGGTGCTTAGAGTTGTTTGACTGTTCGATACAACATTTTACTCTTCTTACCATCGAACCAAAACTATTACACTTGTCCTTGTTAAATACTTGTTTAATCGTAGTTTATTTTCTGTTCACTACTCTCTTATTGTTTGTTGTCTCGTAATCTGTTAAGCCCGTCTATTGGAAGGATACTTCATTACCGCTCTATTTACCATGTTTGAATGCTTTCAAAACAGGTAGCCGTAATGTTTAATCAACAGGAGAGTGCTTTGAAACTGTCTTTGTCGCCAAAATGTGAATCAGGTTAGTTCATATATCAACAATTCATACTCTGACTGTAATGTCTGTCCTGTCTTAGTACAATCCACTTTCCTACTTGTTTTGCTTTTCGTGGTTTAAATAGCGATGTTTGAGTGAAAATTCACTGAGCAAAAAGAAGAAATAGTCAACAATTATTCACTGAAAAGGAGGTAGTTATCTAGACTTTTCACTGACACTGACGTGGATAATTGTTTTTTGAATATACCACACAAGAACCAAAAAATTAGCCAAACTAGCCAATTGGCGTGCGCGAAAAGTATTACTCACCGTGTGATATATATTAATGCAGTCCATATTCTACTTTCTTACTATACTAAGTGTGTAGTTTAACGTTATTTTATCATTTTCTTTCAGTTGTTACCGACAAAGACATGTCCAAATTACATGGCTCTCAATTGTACGCTTACGTCACAGGCTGAGTTCGTTTAGTGTATTTCTGTTGGCGTCAACACCTGACAGCTAATTTTCCCGAGTCACCATCTGTTAATTTTTTTCACCTGCATTAGGCCCAATAGTGTTTTGAATGAAAGTAAAGGTTGATGTCCATGACATTTTTGTCATGTAAATTGTCCCACTCAAAACCTTTTTCTTTCAACAATATCCTAAAATTGCCTTTCTAGAGAATCGCGAGAATGTAGTTTAAATTTGATAAATTATCTTCTCTTTGATAAAAGCAAACACGTGAACACAAATTTAACAAAAAAAACACGTGTATTAATTACTGTTCCCTTCTAAAAGAAAATTAAATAGCTAAACAGCACGGTGCATGTGCCAACGATGATGGAACCACATTCTTTCCATGGAAATAAACAAGAGGAGAAGAACTATCTTGTGCGAAATTTTTCCGTTTGAGATTTCGTTTAACAAATATGACGGCACTCAGTAGTTTGATACTTAGTGGGAATTCGTTTTCCCTTTTTGTTAGCGTTAATTCTAGCATTAGTCTAAACGATGAAAATCTGAACATTTGTAGAAGTGCTACACGTTTCGTAAAAATCTTTCTTTGAATTTTCCCTACTACCTGACTGTTTTTGGAAAAAAAGTTGTTTTTAGAGTTATTCAATAAACAAAGTAAACTCAAGGTGTGGTTTTAGTAATGACTCAAGTCTCTGCGAATTACGAACAGAAAACATTCTCAAAAGACAGACCACAAGACACTACGGGCAGACAATTACTTTATTTTAGTATTCAAAAAATCAATTATTACTTTTTAACATTCCCCATGTGGTTCGATGTGGTAAATTTTGACGTTTTCAAATGTCACATGTACCGCACATCGCTGACTTCTGGATTGTTCCTCTAATTCTGACTTGTAATCCGTTCACTAAACGGAAAATGAAGCATTGAAAAATTGGTCGGTAATAGAACGTTCGAATATGACACTATTTTTATCTGTGATGAACAGAAACTGGTTTCCGTTTTCCACAAGTCTGAAAAATCATATTGGTTGTATAGTACACCAGCTGAACGGAAATTCAAATAAAAATTTGAATCAAATAATTTCTGTGATGATATTCAGTTTATCATCTTTAGCCGCGTGTCGGCATAATCATTGTTGAAAACTTGATTTGATGTTCCTTTTGTCCTCTCTTGTGACGTTCATCACACAATGGTTCGACCTCCCTTTGTTTGGTTATTCTACCATTTCATCGTCACTCATCTCCCAAACCTGAGACAACAAACCAGCGTGAGATTACTATTACTACTTCCTCTCCACCAGAATATATTCAATGTTTGTTTACGTTCTAACGAAGGGATATAAGGAGCGTCTGATGGTTAGCTATTCAACATTACACCCTCATATAATAGACAGTGCACATATTGAGATTGCTGAAGTTATTCTTTCTTTCTTTGATTGCTTTTCCCCCCAAAATCAGTGGAATTAAAGGCAAAGGTTAGTTATCGGTGATGCAGCATATTCTGCAAACTTGTACACTTCTTCAGCGATCCACATGGGAGGTGCGTATACCATGGAAAAAGATTACACTTCATGACAATTTCATTCACCACCATGAATGGCCACAACCTTTTCCACAATATCAACAGTAATACACGGTATCCGTTTTCCTTCGTAACTGTAAGCAATGCCTCTGCGCAAGAAATGTAGCGCGCTGCAAGTAGTTAATGCATTGTATTAAATGTAATAGGCAACGTAAGGTAGAAAAGTATCGCGTCATAACGAAGTGATGTTTCTCTAGGTAAGTAGTGTATTTCTTTCGTTTTTGGCCACGGGAAACGGCAAAAAATTAACTCAAATTTGGAAATTTTTCAAAAAAACGGAGTCGTTCCCAGTTGATGCAAATATTTTCAATTCAGTGTAAAAAAGACAGCAGAATGAGGGACGTTCGACTTTTGCCGTTTGCCGTCCATTGTAGTGCCGAATTGAGATTTTTCAAACTGAGTGGTGGTGTGATGGTTACAGTTATTTGATAAACAGAAAATCTGTAGAAACCAAGAACGACATATCATCGACTAACCTCGCTAACTCTTGTGTCCTGAAGAAGCTGTGTCAGGCCTGTTAGGTCTTCTAAGTAGCTTGGAACATTAAAAACCTTTATCAGGAAAGAAAATTTTTCCTTTTCATAGCTCGACAGAACCTGGAAGAACAATTAACAGACAACTCAATACTTGATGAAAATCGGTGACAATCGATATCAATCGCTTTTGATATATTCCACTTGATCGACCGATAGCGAAAAACGATTGTCAACAGACAAAAGAGTGAGAGCCACACCCTTGCCAACAAGTCGCAGTGACTTAACTGAGAACAAGTTGTTTTGTGACAGACGATTTCCTCGAAACACGTTGCAATAATTAAGAATTATTGGGATAAATGCAGGTATAAAACCCGGGGGGTTGGGGTAGAGGGTCACTTGGGTCAATTTTTCAGGGTAAGTGCCGCTGGCCTCTCAGAACCCCTACTTCATTTATAGTCTATTCTGTGGCCAATTATGGACCCCATCTTAGTCTTTTTGGCAAATGCAATTTTCGCGATCCCAACTTTGTTATGATCTAGTGATAGATGTACATTATAAAGCCTTTGGTTGTCCTAATTTGTTAAACTGAGTGTAGAACACCTTTTCCTTACCAATATCTTGCAGATGTGTGACCCCATTCAAGAAACTGTATTAAAAAGCAACCCCAACATAGTCCATCCAGTTTTGAAAAATGCAACCCCATCCAGCAGCATATCTCCATTAGCAAATTACTAAGAGGTAAAGCCCTCGGGCCAAAGCTGTTTCTCACAGAAACCTGCCCCCTAGTGTTCTAAGACCACGAATAAGAGGAAAAAAACGTTATCTGATGGCAATCACAGTTTGTCATACCTTGGAAGAACAAGCAATGCATTTGTCAAAGCCTAAACTTGCGGGAAGAACTAGATGATATCTTGAAAGAAAACCACGAATCTTGAAAGAAACACAAACAAAGTATCTACTAAGAAAGCAAACTGACATTAAACTTTGCCTAATAAATGAAATATATTGACATCACTACATTGTCTATTAGAACGAATAACAATCTTACCTGATGAGGTACAAGGCCCAACTTACACTCCAGATCAGCTGACAGATGAGCTTCTTTAGCGCTTGTGTCAGCGGCCGCTTCATTGCTGTCAAAGTCAAACCCATTACACTGATTAATATACGTTCAGTCATATCATACACTTAAGATAGGCAACATAAAGGTCAACTAATCTCATTCCGATAAATTTGTTTACTTTCGGTTATTTTACCTTCGACCATCTGAGACCTTTTGACTAGTCTCAGTGAGAAATGTAAGGCCAATCTTATCCTTTGTGTTCCATTTCATCCACTGCATATTTAGAACTTCATTGTCCGTGTAACAGGACGTTATAGGGATTCGTATGTAATGGGCATTCCTATAGCGTAATTTTACAAATTGAATTAAGCGATAACACAAGAATTCCTACTTACCCCAGAGGGTGTTGAGTGAGAGAAACCAGAAGTTCAACAGCCAGGGCACTCGCTATGTATGACATACCAGGCCTGGATACTGTGCACTGCTGGTCCAACGTACGGTCTCTAGTGGACTGTTTCCACAAAATAACGTCAAAAACTGAGTCATTACTGATAAAGTATTCAAAATCTTATTTTATAACTAAAAAAGATTACTCCTTAGGGAAGAAACACCTCCAAAATATAAATGATTTAAGTATCTGAGGTTGGACTTCTACAAGTTACTAAAGAAAAACTGAATTACGAGCGCCCTGATTGGTCAAAAACCTATTGTTTATTGCATCGGTGATCCCATATAAAATTGAAACAGACTGTGTTTTGTTTTAATTCTAATTTGTAAAAGTAATAGACCGCACTTCCAAACGGTTTAATAGCGCGATAATCCTCTCAGAATGTTGGGAGAACACTCGGAAAGTTTGTGAATGACTTGCCTCCGGCTCACGATCTACAAACTTGAAGAAGCTTTCTTGTGTTCTTCCAAAATCCCAAGTAGGTTATAACGCCGGTAAACCGATAGGTCGGTCTATCGCTTAAATAGTATGTACTGTGGTTTAAATGACTTACGTCTCCTGGTGCCACCACATCATTACAAAAATAACAGCCCAGAGAGGCTCCTGGTATGGACTCTAGTTTGGACGCTCCTTCGCAAATAACATGCGCTTTCTGTCTGGAACCATGGCGCATCACAAGGAATGTATCAAAACCAAGAGCCGCTGTAATAACAAACTGAAAAAAAATTTACGTGCACGTTTTTGAACCTCATGATAGCTATCGACACTTGACAACAATCATTCCCTCAAATGAAGTTGGATACTACAAACTTGCCTCTTACAGTTATACGAGTCTCATGTGATTCGTCTGGAGCCGTGAAACTGGTTTTTGATCTCAAACTTCAAGTTGTCATCATAGTTACCTAGTGGTCTGTAAAGTACTTGAGATGTCAAAGTACCTACTGAAGTATATCCATTTTTCTGAAAGCTGCCTCTTTACTTTAACTGTACCGGGTTGGTTTTTCAAAGTTCCATAAAAGTTAGCCTAAGATTACCTTCCCTTTAACAGCGCCAATAACTGTCGGTAGCCAGCGGCTTTCTCGTGTGTCCATCAGCAGAAATACAGCATCGTGAGATTCAATCAACTCTTCAAGTTTTTTCACATCTCCTTGAACTTTCTCCATATCCTCTTTAAAAGTAATTGTCGTTATTGAAACATTGTAGAGATAAATTATCACAGATCAGATAGTGATATATCAAACAACTTACAAAGGAAAGTTTAATTTACCTGGAGATTGTCCAACAGAGTGGCCTGGCATCGGAATGGACAACTGTACAGCTGACGCATTCTATCGACAAAACACAAACGTTTTACAGAGTGGCAAAAAAAAAAGATAATCAAATACACAAACCACTGAATAAAAGTTATATAAACAGTGGAATGGCTATTAAATTCCTTCCAACCTACACAACTAACTAACCAACTATAACGAAATTGAACAATTTAAGTGATGGTTTGATAATGTTAGGTGTCATCCTCACAATCAGTAATATTAAACAAAATAGTACTGGCACTCTAGTAAATCTTACCACACCAGGAAATATCCTTTTAAGTGCAGACGCGGCAGTCTCTGCTTTAGGCTTGCCTCCGTCCTGACAGTCGGCAAACTCAAACAGAGTTTGACGAACGGGATTGGAGAATGAAATAGTTCCATAGTCGACAAAGGTAATGGTTCGAACACCCCAGCCCTTAAAAAGAAAGAAAAACATTTAACAATTGGAAAATGCACAGAATAAATGTGCAAATCTAGTACAGCAACTAATTCGGCAAAAGTTATCACCCTCAATAAAATATAGTGCAGGAGGGGAAGAAGTGCTTATTATCCTTTTTTTGAGGGGGGGGAGCGTTGGGCGTTTATTCGTAAGGCGCGCTCATTTGAGGGGAAGGTGCTAAATGGAGGATTTGTGGTCTGATTCATGGGAACTGATTGGCCATTTGTGACGTGATGTTATTGGAAGTAGAACCAAAGCAGCGTGAGTCACTTGTGTATGGTTGGTAACCGGTCAAGTCGCCCGAGAGTCATGCCGCCCGAAACCTGAGTCAGGTTGCCCGAAATTTTAGTTATTATCGCCCGAAAAAAAAGGCAAGTCGCCCAAAGAAACAAATACTAAAAACATCAGAATTCAGACTGTGAATAGGCAATAAAGTTGGGAAATTTTTATCACTAAAGCGCTCTTTGTTTCCGACAACTCGAAGATTCTAAAAGCGTTGTTCGTTCCTTTCAATAAAGGGAAACGTCGTTCGTTTCTAAAAACAAAATGAAGTGTTCGTTTGGTATGTAATCGTCTCATACTCACGGACGGTTCGTAAGCTTGAGAAACTTTATCTTGTTTTCTAACAATACCATGACAAGTAAAGTTCTGTTGTGTCTATTTCTGACTTTCTTAACAATAACAGATGAAAAAACTTGGTAAACGAATGTCGATTGTCGCGTTCGACAAGTCAACGCCTCATTTTGTTGTTAGAAACAAACAATACTTGCCTTTGTTGTCAGAAACGAACAACGCTTTTAGAATCGTTACTCAAACATATTTCATTTCCGACCATGCGATCGATTTCTGTGCGGTCAAAGTCTTCATGGTATTGTTAGAAACCAAGAAAGAGTTCCTCAAGCTTACGAAATGTCCGTTAGTAAGAAACGAGTACATACCAACGAACAACGCTTCATTTTGTTGTTAGAAACGGACAACGCTTTCCTTTGTTGCTAGAAACGAATAACGCTTCTAGAATCGTTACTCAAACGTACACTAAAATTCTGATGTTTTTGGTATTTGTTTCTTTTTTTTCCGCTTTTAGAATCTTCAGGGAGTTGTCGGAAAGAAAGAGCGCCTTAGTGATAAAAATTTCCCAACTTTATTGTCTATTTATAGTCTGAAATTCTGATGTTTTTAGTATTGTTTCTTCGAGCGACTTGACTTTTTTTTTTCGGGCGACGGGCAACCTGACATGACTTCGGGCGAGATGACTCTCGGGCGACTTGACTGTAAACCGTTTGGTTAGTCATGATCCATTGGTGAAGTTATGTCGTTTGTCACGTCAATATGTCGTGAATGAGTAATACACATGGAGCCAGAGGTTGTTGACATCCGTTAAGAAGAGTCTCTTCTCAGTTAGACAGTTAACCAGCTTTCTGAGGTCATCCCATAAAAGCAGTTCGTGATAGAAGTATTTTCAGAAAAATGACCGTTCGCGTCATTTTTTCAAATCGCTCGTTTGTGTTTAGTCAGTCTTGTATTTGAGATCTCCGCCTGTCTCTCCGCCGCTGGATGAGGGAAGCCCAGCATTCAAAGCTCACTATCTTGTATCCTGTTCCTAATATGCTTATGGGTCCGTCCTTTCATGGCATGGGTAAGGTGTCCGATATTTTTCAGCTTGTTAACACAATGTTTATCTATGATAGCACATTACAGTTAGGTAGCATACCAATAGACATCTGGCCACATTACAACCAAGGGTACCAGCGCCAAGGAGAAGACATTTTGTTTGTGCAATTTTGTCCAGATCAAGTGATGGTAGCAATCTCCATCGCATTAGCTTTAAGTTCAGATCCACTGATGATGATGCAAGCCTAGAATTCAATGCAAATCCAGACGAACAATGATTTACCTCTCTCCCAAGCTCTAGGCAGAAAACAGTGTGTGTAGAGCTTTGCAGAAAAGGCCCTTAAAACCATAAAGACCTACGAAGCAAGTTCTATATTTTAAGCCTTTAAAAAAACTATTAAAAATAAACTATAGCGAGCTAAATACATATATAGAAAGAATGCAGTGTTAGCACTCAAAAGTGATCACCTCTCAGGGTCCATAGTAGAACTCAGATCCACCATCCTTGGTACTAGCTTTTGACTTTTATTCTTTTCCCAGCCAACACACTTGGGACTCTCTGAGAAAAACAAAATTCAGTAGAACTCACTGAAGAGAAATAATTAAATAAATAAATTATTGTAACTGTTACTTTTGTTTTCTTGAAAGAGACCTTAATATTATTTTGAAATCGGGTGAAAAACAAAAACTCTTCTGAACCACCAGTGCAAAGAGAAAGAGATCTTAGAATACTTTGTTTATGAAAGAGGAAAACAATAGAAATCTTAGTCTCTCCTAAAGATATAAACCCAAGAGAATCTTTCATCATCCTCCATAAATTTATGATTTTGAAAGCTTAGGAAACTAAGACCATAACCCGGTTACAAGCTTTTCTTGTTCATGCTTACACTGTATTACTGAATAACAATGAATCATTACCAGTTTTAGTAAACATGGGTAGTTTGATATTTAACACCAAGCTGTGGGATGTTTCTCTTTTTCCAGATCTGACTTGATCTCGCAAGCATAAAACCTTCACATTTTCAAGTGCAGTACCCCTGTAATTGAAGATAGAAACATATTTAAGAGTAATAGTACAAGAAATGATAGAACTCTTGCAACTAATTGATGTGCAAGATGGCCACCAGTACTTACAGGAAAAATTTAATCATAATGGTAAGATGCACAAAAATATGTGCAAAAGGATGTAACAATGACAGGAATATCATCTTAACTAAAGGTACCAGTAACCATAGTAAATTTAACCACAAAAACAAATTGAGGTCACAAAAGTAATAGTTTAAAGTTTGACTCCTAATGTGGACTAAGATCTTGTTGTCTCATGATCAAGGCAAAAAACATCTTTTTTATTTCATTAGCAAGCCTGTAATTTACCATAGTTTTTATTCCATCTACTCACATGACATTTTCAACATTGCTGATCCTAGCAGAGTGCAAGACAGAAGAAAATTTCTTTGTAATCAATGAGTTCTGCTCATCAACATTTTCCACATGTACTTACCAGTGGTATGACAGCAGAGCAAGAAAGTTCCTAAGAGGCCAGCCTGGATTTTTTGGCAGTGTGCATGGATCGGCAAATCCCACCATGAACTGTACATTCAACAATAACTCATCACTTTCTAAAAAATTAAATCTTAGCTCCTTCATAGGTATTAATCTATTTGAGATAGCACAAATCTTGCTATGATCAATTTAGATTAATTTCACACAGAGTCAAACTTATTCTCCTGATTTAGTTTATTCTTGTAAGATCTTTCTAAATATTACCATAAACAAAGCACCCTAATTTTTTCTCCCCTTCACCAAATATATCTGCTAATTTTTTCCTTCCAAATATGTGGGTTTTAGTGAAAAGACAATGAAAGGCATCACAAACATGACAAATAGCAGAGAAATGCAATAGCATGTGTGTAGCCACATACATACTGTAGTTCAATAGCCTGGGGAGAAGTCTCTTTCATTTCCTCTTAGCCAAGTGGGAGAAGATGGGCTTACTCTGCAGTTGGACAAAGGCATGGTGCTAGTAATAGCAAAAATAAATTATTCCATTTTGTCCCAAGCCTTTGTCACCACTTTCTTCCAATAGCTAATGGTTTGGTTTTGCATTTTACTGTATATGACATACATCAAGATTATCTTGTTTTGATTAAGGAGTGTAACATAAATCTGTTGTAACTCTGTGTGACAGATCTAAGCATCTGCCTCACCTTTGAATCATCCATGCTAAAAAATGTCTCCCATTCTCTTATACTTCCCACAGTCACCTCACTTTCAGTAACCTTGACAAGAAAGAATCCAGGTCCTGTTGGCAACAAATCAATTTTCTTGGAATTTTTTACTTTAACTTAAAATCTGTTTTAGGGGGAAAGCTCTACCAGAAAAAAAAACTGTGCAGTTCTGTCACATTAATTTAAATTAAATGGTTCAAATATTCTTTGACAGTGTTAAAAAAAATAAAAGATGCTGACATGCATTATGTATCTCACATTAAGGTGTTAGAAAAAAAGGGGAAGGATGGTAAAAAAGGCCCAGGTTGCAGAAGGGAAGTTTTGATCAATAATCCATCAAAAAAGGATTAATGTCTGTCATCACAATGCATTTCCTTATGCGACCGGTGTATTACAAATATCTAAAATTTTGGAAAGTCTGCAGAAACTTCAATGACATTAAGTGCATGGATGGAGCAGGCAGATTTTGAAAAAATCGAAAAAAAAGAAGACACTGCTTCCAAAGCTGTCAATGCCAGTCATTTGAGCTAGATATGACCTGCAGTTAAACTATTTAATTGGCAGGAATTTTGATATTCACCCACCAACTTTCAGCATAGATGGATGTTTTCCTTTATATTATCCTTTATTTTATGCACTGGGATCATTCTCAAGCCAAAATATTTGTCGTTTCAACCCTATATTGGCTGGACCAATCTTAGATCAAGCAGGACCCAGCAGAATTTTGCTTAATTGGTCCGATAGACCAGCGAGTGTGGTGAGAGTGATGGCCCAACCAGCTCCAGGTCAGCTGAGGGTTTGGCAGAAAAAGAAAAAAAACAATACAACAAATGACTGCAAGAGGAGCACAGGGTTCAAGTAATGAATATCAAACCATAATTCAGCTGGGTGAGGAATGGTCCTTGTGTAAGGCACAACACAAATTTTACGTAAATGCCACCCTCTTCTTAGAAAAGCGACATTCAGGATTTGCATGTATTCATTTACCCATCTCTGATACAGGATGAAAAAGGCAAACATTTGCTGCTGTTGCATGTCAATAATTTGCAGAGGTAGAATGGCAAAAGCAAAGCAAAATGCCTGATTTGGGTTCATGTTTATTACCACACAATATGCACCAGAAATGAAATCTGATCAACTGTGTTGATTTTGACCTATTTATGTATTTTGGTAGTGTGACCTAAATATTGTGTCACATTTTTCAGCTCTTCTGGTTGTGCTTTCAACTTTTCGAAAATTTTTAGGCTGCCTAATTTTTGGTTTGGGCTGTAGTGTGACCTGGGCCATAATCAATAATAAGTCACTGTTGAAACATAATCCTTTGATTATGACAATCTGTAAAAAAAAGTGCTGATTGTTAATTTATAAGGGGTATCAAAATAAAAGTGCTGACAAGCATAATGCATCTCACATTAAGGTATCTCAATGACTGTGGTAGTTAAAGAAGGATAATTGAGTTCTTTCATTTTTACACCATGGTAACTATGAACATAGTTACTGTTAGGCCATCAATTTGACTGTTGTTATTGAGCATGTGGTTTCCTTTCAGCACTCTGGCTAGTGCTTTTGAAATCAATAATTAACTAGTGATTTAACCTTTTATCCCCTAAGAGTGACTAGCATTTAATTTCTCCTTACAATATTACCTCTGAATCACACATTAATGTCATGAGAACAAAGGAAATGATCACCAACTAAAGAAAACTCTTGATTGTAAACAAATTCTCCTTGTCAGCACCTTAGGAAATGTACAGAGAACAGTATGGAGAATATGAATACTGATGTTAGGGTGTAAAGGGTATGTCATGCAATATTGGAGGGAGATGGCAAAGGGCTCTCATCACTTTATTGAAAAATTAAGAAATTTGTGAGGTAACTCTAAGGAGCCTTTGATTTATGTTTGTGGGTTCCTAATGGGGATTTAGTGTTAAATTGAACTACAGAAAACTCATAGCTTGATTCTGATAATCATAATTACTCACCAAGACCACCCACAGAGAGAGAATCATACGATGCTTGGAGACTAGCAATCTATAGAGTTAAAACAACAAATAAATTTAATAAAAATAAACATATTAAGCATTTAATAATAAAATCCTTAACCCACAATCAAGTCAAATGTCATTTAACAACCAAAAAAACAAGCAAACTGAACATTTGTTCTCACCTGAGAGGGTGTAAAGTAGTCACCGAGATGAACAGGAGGAGCCACATGAGTAGTACTGGTCTCAGGACATAAAGCAGGGAATGCAAACCAGTAATAAAACTTATATTTCTTTAGATCCTGATGAAAAACACATGAAGAATGATTACATCATTAACCACAACAGCCAGCACTATTTCTCACTTATTTTGGAGGAAAGTTGCTCAGCTGGACAAGTTTCTGAAACAACTACTTGTACATGTTGTTCTTGCTGCAACATTTCTGGAGTTATTTAATTTTTTCTTGATTTCAAGCAATTTTTCAAACCAAGTTGATTTTATATTCCTTTGTCTTCTATACATTTATAACAACACAAAACAAAGGAAAATAAAAATCAATGAATATATTTTAAGCCAAGAAAATTTTTAACCACAACATCTACAAGTTAATGACACACTCTGTTACTAAACACTCAGAGTTATCTGAGAGGAAACCAATAATTATTACTAGTTCTCTTCTGTATATAGTGTCACTGATATAAATATCAATAGTTTGTTCAGTTTAATCATCTGTTCCTTTGCATGGACTTACACCAGAATTTACTTAATATCAACTGATGCATTCTCGTAAGACAAATGAAATTAATATTATGATCATTGTTAACATTATTCATTTACTATATCCCACTTATTGATACAAGAACCAGAAAACATAAAAAAAGGAACTTACAGCAAATGTCATAAGCACAAACTGACAAAGCACTGATGGGTCCTCCAAAGCCTTGCTTGATTTTACATTATCCCATATCTTCAATACAAAGTTTAAGACTTATTTAAACAACTAATGATTCATTTCAAGTCATGCTTCTTTTCTAGTTATATTTTAGTCACTTCGTAACTGACTAAAGGGCATGTGAAAAACATATGATGGAATGTTCCATTATATGTTTTGGCTTTTTTCATAAATCATTGGCAATCATAGAACTGGTTGGTAAAAACGTTTTCAATACTCCATCTGTAAGGATTGTTGTGGACTCTGAAAATTGTAAGCAGAACTGGTCACATTTAAGGCATTCTGAAGATGTTATTTCTATGCGCCTGTAGATGTACTGTATGGAGATGATGTTCTGAATCAGTCAATTAACATAATAAAGTTGCACAACTCTCCCAAGGGAATTATTTAGTCAGAGTTTTTCTGCAAATCAAACTATGGTTAATGGTAGTAAGAACATTAGAATTCAAATCCTACCATTTTCCACAAATAACCATCACAGTTAATTTACCTTTTGTCCAAATGACTGGATCAGCTCCATTTTATTGTATGTTCTGAATGCCTCAATAGTGTTTGTATTGATCAATGTTCCTTGCATAGGATATGTTCTTTGAGGTGCTGGCTTCTCACTGGAAAATCAAGTTTACACTAAACTTTGAATGCCTTCCCTCAGATCTAAATCAACAATGGCATGAAACCACTTAATAAAGTCATCCTTTCCTCTTTTTAACTTATTAAGATCCTCTGTACTATCCAGCTATTAGTTATCAGTAACAAAATAAAAGTTATATAATTATTAAACATGGTCCACAGTTACTATTTTATATTAGTTTTCAAGCCAAAAATGAATATAAAATCATTCTTTTCAGTCAGACAGATACCCCTGGTACTGAATCATGCCAATTCTCTAATATCTCTAATCTAAATGGTTAAAACAAAAGCCATGAAAAGATGCCAGGTCCATACAGATTGCAGAAAAAAAAATGGAAAAGGTCATTTGGAAAAAGGACAACACTGAGCCACACATAAGTGGGGCAGGAATTTTATGCACTTACATAGAAAAGGCATTATAATCCAAATTAAAGCGGCATACAAGCCCTGAAGGATCACCTAAGGAAAAGAAAATGAAACCCTGCAGACTAAATACACATAAGGGTTGCAGAATATTTTTATCATTTGAATTACCTGCTAACAATAAAAAAAAAAGCATGACAAAATTACTCATTTCCATAAAAAACAGCAAGTCACCCCTTGAATTAGTGGTATTGTGTATTTAGCTTAATTTTCTTTCAATGGCCTACATAGGTTCATCTGGATAGTTGAGGTATAGGGATCATACGTATATCAGGCCCTAATCCTAAGAGAGAGGATAATTAATCACCTATCCCCTTAAGGCAAAGCAGATTTAAGAAACTTACTAAGCCCTTAAAATTACCACTTTGTACCTATCCACCTATTATCATTATTATTTTATTTATCATTTTATTTCATTTTTTTTCCAGGTGGGGGGATAGATGACACAGCTAACATGTGCATTATTATTGGTCAATATAGCCCACCATTTTTCATAATTTTGTTTCAATTGAAAACTTTCCCCCTATTTGAACTTCATGCTTGAGCCGCAATAAATCTGAGTGGAAAAACTTGGTCCTTAACTGGCAGTACAGACCTCAAACTTGGTTAGTAGGAGGTATGTATGTTTTAATTATCTGTATAAAGTGTTTTGGTCTTTTTATTCGGGGAATCTTTTGTAAAGGGTTAACCTCTAGAATATCTCCTTTCGAGAGATACTTTTGCAATTTTTCATTTTCCTTCTCTTGAATAAAGTATTGTCGTTGTCATTACTTTAAACTCTCTCCAGACAGTTGTACTGTGGCCTGTTTCAAGCCACACTACCTTGGTCCACAAAATTCTCCCTTTATCCCCATGTACTACCCTAATTTACCCTTAATATAACCCCTGCATTGTGGCAATGTTGCTCGCAGCCAGAACACAGAATACATCAAGCTTCTTCTAGAGTCACTCTCAGGCTTGGCATTTGTTTCAGAAAACCAGATTACTTATATCTAACGCTCTGACGAAGGGCTAACGCTCGAAACGTCAGCTTTTTTACCTTTTACGGTGGCCAATTTACGTTTTCAACTCAGTTATAACACTAAATTACCTACTTAAAACTTACATTGAACCCGATTAACAATTTTTACCTGAAATTAAGCTTAATTAAATACAAAAGAAAATTAGCCTTAGTTTAAAGGAGTAGCTATAATTGGTACCTATCTAATCTTTTGAAGAAAAACCACGAAAAATTACTTCGGAATTAAGTCCGATTTCCTGTTGGATTGGTTGGTATCTAGCGTAAGTTATAATCAATGAGTCTTAATTTCAAAATTCACAGAGAAATGCGTTTGTTCAATTTTACCAAAATTATGCTTGATCACTCATTCCCTAATTGAACCATACTCACTGTTTACGTAATATCCCTGTAGCGGTTGAGGCTTGTCGTCTAACTGATATATTTCCAGTTTGTTCTGCGTAAGTCTATGCCAAAATGCAGCATCAACAGCACTAGAATATGGTGCAAACTGCACTCCACTTTCGGTACTGACAGACGCCATGTTACTTAAAACAGATAGCTTTCATGTAACAATCTTGAATTTTACCCTGTAAGAAAAAAATGTCACCTATTCGTGATATTACATTGCATGCAATCTTCACATTGCATGAATTTCAAGGCGGAAAATTCATGAACGTATTTGTTACAATTCAGTTTCAATCTTTGTCTAACACCGAAGAAGTCACTGATAGCACTAAAAATAGTTCTTCCTGCATTTTTTCCACTTTGAGTGCTCTCTAGAAAAGTAAACCCAGAGATACATCGAGTATGAGAATTTCCTGAGATTTATTTTTTATACTCTCAGTTATGACAGAAAATATTGGGACATTATTTTCTCTTGGTTATGCATAAGATATTTTGAGTCTGAATCATGGAGAAGAGAGATATGATAGGTCAAAAATGTTTAGGTTCTCCTTTTGGCGCCCTCCACTGCCTCTATGAATGAACTGCACGGCCGAAACTGATGAGCGCTACCAACAAAACCGTTCTGTCCTAACAACATTGGCTTACAAAATATGTCAAGGCTGTCTGTAGGCCAAGACAAGAACAAGCGATTTTATATTAGGATTTGAACTAATCGTTTGCTAATTTTCTCTGAATCTCGATGCCATCGATCATTCCTAGACCCGAAATTTTCAATATCATCGAAGACGACGAAAGTCTGAGAAACCATAGTTAGTTAGTCTCCTCTACTAACTATGGAGAAACGTATCAAACAAAAAGGGGGGCTTAAACGAGTATTGCAATGTGTTTGAATAGGGTGTCCTCCTTCTACAATTGAAATTTGCGTCAATTTCATTTTAGAATTGATCTAAACTAATTGACATGGAAGTCAGTGATTACCAAATACCCATTTCCGCTTCATGCTTTCAGTTCACTTTCTAACCATTTGATTTGTCAGTTACTATTCTGGCGAGTCTGACGACGATGTCACGCACCTCTAGCCAATCACGGTGATCGAACGACATAGTTTGGTCACGGGGTTTGCATCATGACTAATTCCTTTCATTCCTAAACACAAATCAAATGTTTGTTTCTATTTATTAAATGGTACTGCCTGGAATGATCTGTTAGGAAGGCATTTAATCAAGGCTCCCTCTAACTGAGGGATATATAATTATGGTGAGTTCTTTATATCGTAGGGATGTGAATTTCTCATTGAGCCTCCGATCGTTTGAGCTCATTGTTTATCCCTAGCTATCTTTGACTCTTCACGTTCAGGTAATGGAGACTCCGCTAGATGTACTGTCAAGAGCCGCTTCTTTAGTGCAGCCAGACACAAGGGAAAGTAAGTTTGATAAGTATCGATTCTGTCTCACATCTTTTTAGGTTTAAAGGCGCGTATACATGTTTTTACAGCTTACTATTTCAGGTTTATTCTTAGTGTTTACGTGAAGGTATTTGCCACATGCGAAGAACATGTGTGTACAGATATTTGAGTTCAAGTTCTCTCCGATATTACTGCACTTAACAGGCAAAATTTTCTTCCTTTTCTTCAGCTTTCAACGATAACATGATTTTTATGTGAAACGCTTAGCAGTATATTTATAGCATATAGTTTTGTTATGCATGGTATGAACAATTTCTCGTTATACCAATAAACAAAAAAATCCAAATTCGACACCGTCATATTGTTATTAGACGGTCCTAAGAAGAAGGAAGAGTAATACAACATGATGTTCTTGTTTAAACTCTACACGGCGTAGCTCGTACTGATTTTTGTGGGCTACCTGTTTTCACCAAGAACCATTAAGTTACAGAACTGTTATGAAATAGTGGGCACGTTGCTTGCATCACTAACATTCCGTGCAAATTTTTGGGCTATTAAATAAAGTAAGACAATTCTTTGGTTGCTAAACGATTATTACGTTACGGCGTCGTGCCACTTGTCTGTCAGTGGTTAACTTTTGAAGAAAAATTTTTTTTAAGATTCTGTTTTCTACAATTTATTTATAATGGTGAGAGGATTCACTTTGGACATGAAGAAAGGTTGAAAGATTGTCCCGCTTGTTACTACAAACCGATGCATGCTGGAAACTGAACGCGAATGTGCTTGTAATGAAAATATCTCGATTGATTATTTTCAAACCTTAATTCTAGAAACGGAGACGGATGCAGGCGAGGAATCACCCAAGGTGATGCCTTCAGCTGAAAACCGGAGGAAACGAAATCTTGAAAGACGAGACATTTCTCAAGCGTTGAATTTTGATGACGGTCGTCTTGAGAAACTTTCGTCAGTGAAGACAGCAGGAACACAAACGTAAGTATTGCCTCCATTTTGTGTAATTTATGCCTTCTGATGGTGTCAGCTGTGGGGTCTAGTACTTGCCTTGGTATACTTTGTCATCACTTTTTACAACGCTACCATTTTAGTCGTAGATTCAGAAATTGTTATATTTACTCGGAATGTTTTCATTTTGTTTTTAATGTGCTGCACGCATTGTGTTATCACAATTTTCACGGAAATGTGTAAAAATGTAATTTTACATTTAGTCGTTAAGAAGAAAAGCAAACCGAATCTATAGCACAGTGCTACCGTTACTGGTTTTGTCATGTGAGTTTTTCACATTCCTTTAGTTGAAATTGGTAGAAACTTGAAGGATCTCTTCCATTCTAATAGGAACAGAATATTTTCTGTGTCGGAATGTTGTAAAATAAATTATATGGTTATAGTTCTTGCATCGTTCTTGTAAGTTAACTTTGAGGAGTGATTCGGAATTCCTTTTAGAAAAGCTATTGTAACATAGATTTAAGGACCATAAAAGTTAGCTCTCAAAACTCATGATATAGGAAAGAAGTTATATTAAATAACAGACTCCTAATGAACAGCTGTATTTGAGTCTGCCATATGTCGAAAGCCAATCAAGCACCATTGCAAACTGTGTATCTACACATTCTCATCAGTGGACTTTCCCATAAGTGGTCATGGGACATCTACTGGGGTTACCTTAGACTTTTCTTTTCTTATTTGTCCCCCCTCTAGCACCATCAGTTCCCTTGTTTAATTGGCTGAAATGGTTGCCTTTTTATAAAGACGTTTTAATATCTGAATGTATCATTGCTTATAAGGAATTACAAGGTGATGTCCCTGTTTATCTTATCAATCTACTTAAATTATACAGCAACATCTACAGTAGACAAACCAGATACTGTAATTTTAACCTAACCTCTCTGAGATATAATCGCGAAACAGAAGGAGGCAGAACTTTAACCATCACAACTTGGAAAGCATGGAACAGTTTATCTTTGCTTGTAGGGCAAAGAGATTCAGTGGACTCTTTAAAAAAGCGTTGTGGAATAAATTTTTTAAACAACAGCAGAATCTTGATCATTTTTCTATTTAAGTCACCTGATGAATTGTGACATGATTATAAGGTTATATTTTATCTTTTAAATAGTTTAGTAGATTCTATAGTATCTGTATTCTTTGGTTTTTTTACCTTGTATTTTTAATAGCTTAGTATACTCATTTTTTATTTTATAATTTATTCATTTATTATTTAGAGGGCCACAAGGTTATTAGCTCCAGCTAGTTTGTGCTAACCTTCATAACATAAAGTCTTTACTTACTTACTTACTGGTGTGAGCTGACAAGTAAAAGATGTCTGAATTATGTATACTGCATCCCTGTATTTTGTTGCAGTTAGATGGGAAACTTGAATAATGTGAAGGTTTTAGATGGATCAAACACTTCTTCATTTTGTGCTTACTGCCATCCATAGTAATAGTAAAGCCTTTATACAGGCCCAGGTGGCCAATGGGGCCAGCGCTTAACTCCAGTTTCCTTAGCATGAAGTGGCTAGGAGTATTGCAACTTCCCCCTGGATGGGATGTTAGTCCATCACAAGGTTACCCCCAGCATATTTGCTGGTACCCATTTGTACACCTGGGTGAAGAGAAGCACTGTGAGAGTAAAGTGTCTTGCCTAAGAACATAACACAATGACCCTGGCCAGGGCTCAAAACCAGATCACTTGATCTGGAGTCAAGCGCACCAACCATGAGGCCACTGTGCCTCCTACTGCCATCCATAATCTGATCTAAATATTGTGGATTGGGTTTACAAGCTTAAGCATACTTGAAAGTCTATAGAGTACCATACCCTGGTTTGTGAGGATAATTCAGCAAAACACTGGTAACCCTAAGCCCAAGATCATTGTAGCAAGCATTCCAATCAATCTAAAATTTGCAAATTATCAAATATCACCTCAGAGGCTTTACAGCAAATGAATATTTATTTTTACACATCTCTAAATATGAACTAATGTTGTGGAACCCCATTTTAATCTTCTATTTCCAAGCTAATGTCTGTTTCATCAGTGGGCTCAGCGTGATTAAACCAGCAGCTCATGCTTTATGAATCAGGCAGAGCAGCATCCCTCATTTGTTTGTGACACTGTAGTTTAAATTTTGAAATATCATTTGAATTCAAGTCTGATATCTCTATTGTTGGGAGTTCTTAGATGAGGCTTTTTCATGAGTTCCACTTAGACTTCTACCCTTAGTTTAAACTGTTAATTTCATGTTATTTTGGTATGGTTATGAGAGGTGTGCCTCTAACTATTGTCTGGTGATTGATTGAGTTTCCTGAAAAATAAATCACCTTTTGATTAAACAGTGAAGTTAAACAATATTGAGTTACTTGCTTTTTGTATCACTTTAATTAACTGATTATGGTCTTTGCAGGTCCCCACTAAACCCAGTAGCAAATACAAAGTCAAGAATTGATTCTGGGCCACCTCCTCTTATCTCGATTATTCCAAAATCTGAGGACTCTGGATACATGCACTCTCACCTTCCTCCACACTCACGGCCATCTGTAATCACATCCACCAATATTATTCGCAGGCCAGTTGGTTTTATGGCCCCATCCCACCTTTATGGTCCAACAGAAATGTTTTGTTACCCAGGTCCTCACAGACGTGAAATTGTGGAATCAGGAATCATTGATCCTTTTGTAGAAGAACACTTTCGTCGTAGCCTTGGTGATGACTACAAATGTGTCAGCCCAACAGCAATATCTACAGCAGGCTCAGTTGATGACCATTTTGCAAAGGCTCTCGGAGACACATGGCAGAAATTAAAAAAACCTGAAGTATCAACTCAGTCTTCAAATTCACCACAACTGCAATCTATTGTATCACCTGCCAACTAGCTCTTTATCTTTTTACATATTTTCTTAAGTAGGTGCTAGAGTTTATCATGTAGGGGGTTTGTGTCTTTGTCATGATGCTACTTTTCACAAATTTATTGTATGCATAACTTGCCAATTCTGGCATAAACAATACATGATTTATTGTTTGTAATGCTGAAATTTTAGACTTTCAAGCAGATGAAATAGATTAGGCTTACTTTGATTTGTGAAGATGCATCATTTAAAATGTTTGCATTATTTGTTGAGAACTTGTGTTATTTAGCTATAGCATGAGGGCTGGCAATGAATGCAGTACACAGATGTACATGTACTATGTACATGTTTTGAACCCAAGACCATTTTAGTTTCTCAGAAATGTATTTTTACTGTGTGTGTTGCCTAAGGTGTTGTGAATGTCAAGGTCCACATGCATGTCTAAAGAGCAGTTTAGAAATTAAGAATTTCTAAAGGGATTATGATGTTCATGAATTTCTACTACATTTCAGACACTCATTTTCTGACTTAACTCATGAGTGAATTTTTGTACCATCTCTAGTTCATACTGCTATTTCTACACACAATTACACTCTGCTAGAAGCAAAGGTAGAAATAGTTTTTCTAAGGTTTCTTGCATCATAGAAGTGACTTATGTGTTGATTTTCATCGTCAGAGGCAATTCCTTTAACTCAATTTAAAAAAAACTGCATGTTTAAAAAACTTTTTAACCCATTCGTTACTTTTTTATCCATAGTTGTAATTCTACTTTTTTAACAAATTATTTTTGGCAATGATGATGTAGAGTAGAAAAGTTTATCAACAGCTTAAATTTTTTTCCTATCAAACTTATAATACAAGGGCATGTCATTTAACAGGCAGTTAGCAAGGAAATTTAAATGGCATGTCAGTATAGAAAAAATTCTACAGGCCCTTTATTAGTTTGATTTAAAATTGTTACCCATGGACAGAAGCTAATATGTATCAAGTTGGGATCTTTTTTATTTAATAGATACTGAAATTTACCCTGTGAAGTACTATCCTTTTTGTCTCTGATTGGAGGAATAATGTATTTATACATTACAGCTTCCAATCTTTGAATTGAAATGTGAAAAAATCTCAGTACATATGAAGTTAAAACATCATGCTATCAAAAGTGCTTGAAAAATTTTTATTCACTGGTTGGGATGCATCCAGAGACCATTTTATTCCATGGAATGATCTCTTTGTTCTTGTCAATGGTGAAAAAGGTTCTTTAGAACTGGTCTTTGGTAAGAGTTTTCGGAGGATGATTGAATTGCACTGAGTAGACACAGAGAAATCTCGATTATCAAATTGTTTTAAATGTGTGGTTTTTAGGCATGAATTGATGGACCCTATAGACACAGCTGCAAAAAAAGTTGTCTTTTATTAGTGTTTTAGTTTCCCATGTTTTTAGGCATATTCTGTTTATGCAAGCAGCCAAACTTTGGCCCAAGATAGTTGCCTTGGTGTTGGGGCAAGCAGTTTGATAAGTTCTAATTGAAATAGTGAGCTAAGAGATAATTGTAAATATAGTGTGTACACAAGAGCTATTTAATATATTGTGTAGTAATGTAAATATCAACAAGGTCGCTGAGAACTTCATTAAACTTGATTTTTCATCATCAGCTGCCTGTATGATTATTTCTTTCATGTTCTGTCTGAAAGTTATTACCATCTGAGGAAAAAACTAGGAAAAGAACCAATCAGATGCATTGATTGATAATTCTATCCAAGATTAGTCTGGTATTTTCCCGGGCTGCTTTTTTATGTTTGGAGGATTTGATAAGATTGAGTGATATTTTTCATAGTTATTGATACTGAGCCTTTTTGAGTATTTGCTTAAAAAATATGAAAAATGTATTCCTGAAAGACTGTGCATAAATTGCAGCAGAATCCTTTTTTTTAAATCTCCTGGCAAAATATGTTGGTTTGTGGCTTTTGGGTGGTTAAAACTTTATGGGGTAAAACAGTAATGATTGATGGGGGAGAAAAGTCTGGTTTAAATTATGGGAAGTTTTGAGAAACCAATTGTTTGATAAATCAGGATTTCTAAATTCCTGCCCCTTTTACCAAGAGAAACACCCTCTCTTCCTCAGGGGGGTGAGAAAAAGATGGGATTGTTGTTTGCTCATTGGTGGATTGAAATAACCCTAAAAATATCAGTGAGGAATGAGAACTGTTTGCCATAGTGCTGTCACCAACATGAAACTCAAAGCTCTATTCCCTCATATTACCTTCATCCAGGCATCCAAGCAATTAAATCAATAATCAACAATGATTGATAACAGTCAGTCCTACTAATTTTCTTTTTCCCTGGAGATGTAGAGACAGGGAGACTCATTCTGTAATTTGAAGAATGAAATGAAGATATTTTGATATTAATAACGTGTGCACTGAAAGTACAGAGACCTTATAAGAGTGAAGACCCAAACGACCGTAAAAGACCACACCGGTCCCAACTAGCGCGTACGCACTGGGGACGAGAGTTTATGCCGCTATGTTTGAAAACAGACAAGATGGCGGAACTATCGCCTGAAGAGTTCAAGAAGAGTCTCTTCACGACTTTCCGAAGTCGTGGAGTGCTAGAGGCCCTGAAGGTGAGCTTAAACGTAACAATTCAATGTAAATTTTAGTTTTATAATACTGCACAGAGATCCTCGGGATACGTCTGGTACGAATGGCGTGTGAAAGTTTGGAGTTCATCGTCATTACTAACAGTTATAATCTTCGAGAAAAATGCACTGATATCTGGAAAAAAGAAACCACGAATTTACTGTGAACTTAAACCATTGCTCGTGAATATTTGAACTTGTAATAGAGTGGCACGCTTTCTTGAAAAATTATTTTGAAGCCTTTGCTAATCCAAGTACTTAACATAGGTGTAGATCTCTACATCACTGAACTGTCACTACCGATAAGGGAACCTGCACTGTACATGAAACCTTCACTTGGTGCCACCATTTGCGATGACCACTGCAACAAAAGGTTCTTTATTAAGACAAATATGCATATTTTTTATCTCTATTATTTTTTCCAAACGTTAGCAAGAGATGAATTAGACACGGTGAAATAATAAGTAAAAAATATAAAATTTTTCAAGGAGAGAAGACTTATAATACAAAACTACACCACTTAAATTAAGTCACATTGTATATAGGAAGGGGAGGAGAGGGGCAAATCTAGATAAATTTAGTAAAAAGTAAAGGAAAATTTATAAGAAGAGCTCAGTAAAATGTCAAAGAGATGATGTTTCATTAGTATTGAGCAAGGTACCAGCATAAAAATGCTTTTCTAAACATCTTTATTGATGATTTGTCTCTGATTGATTGTGGAGTACTATTCAAAAAGAATCTTCTAATAATGCTCAGGTAGAATCTCCTGAGATTAGTTTGAAATGAGGGTATGCCTACTTGATTAGATAATGCACCATATGTAGCTCAGATACTAGTAAAACAGGTATATTAGGAAACTTTTCATTGTGGAAATAATCATAAAAAAGCGTACATGTGTTTAGTTTAACAATATCAGGAAATTTCAAAAGACTTAGGGATACATAGTGTGGAGTTATTGATTCCAAGGAACATCATTTATAATAAAAACTTCTTTGTTTTGTAATTTTATGATTTGAGACTAAGTAGGATTATAATTATTTCCCCATTGTGTACAAGCATAAGTAAGGAAAGAATATATAAGAGAATAATACAAACTAATAAGTTTGCTTTGGAGACAATGTTTTAACTTAACCATTATATTTAAATTTTTGCTCATTTTGCCACATATTTAGTCAAAATGGTCACACCAAGTAAGGTGACAATCAATATACACACCAAGGTATTTGATATAACAGGATTTCTCTAAATGAACATTTGCTACACTTAATGGTGAATACAAATTGTAATTTTCCTTTTGACGAGGCATATTATCTAATAGAAAAATAAGCTGAAGACTCAGGAAGGGCATTTATAAAAATAATGAATGGCAAAGGTCCTAGTATCAATCCTTAAGGTACACCAGTGGAGATGGAACATGACTCACAAGCAATGCCATTTGCCATTGAATGGCAAAGGTCCTTGTATCAATCCTTAAGGTACACCAGTGGAGATGGAACATGACTCAGAAGCAATGCCATTTACGTATTTACATGCACATGCTGCTTCCTGTTATTTAAGTAAGATTGGAACCAATTATTTTCACTTTGTTGTATTCTGTAATACTTAAGCAGGGCATGAAATTGCGCCTAATACAGGTGCCAATGCGACTAAATTTTTCACTTTGGCGACCAAATCCTAAAAATTAGTTGCCAAATTGGCGACTAGAATGTTTCATCATAACCTAATACCTAGAGATATAGTGAATTAAAAAGATTTGCAAAGACAAATCCGCAGCAAACTTCCTTGTTAAGTTTGTTTCCAAAACGCAGCAGATGCATCTCGATCGATAGCTAGACGCCATCTTGGATTTAGGTGAGCTTAAACGTTGCATATCATCCATCCTAGTGTCCCCTTTGTAGCACGTTAAATATCTTTTCCCTTAATTAATTTATAGAACGATGACAGCATAAAAAAAAAAGGTTTTGTTTGTCTTTCAAAATGGCGACCAACTTTTTTTGAATTGGCTACCACTTTGATGAATTTAGGAGCCAAGTGGCTATCAGAAAAAAAAATTAATTTCACGCCCTGTTAAGTCTATTTTAATTGGTAATATTTGATGATTTACTGTGTCAAAGGCTTTACTTAGGTCTAAGGATAAAGAAACCACATAGAGTCCTTGATCAAGAGAAGAAATTATTTCTTCATTAAGATGAATTAGACTGTCAGAGGTTGTATAACCTGATATAAATGACCATATTGTTTTGAGGAAATTGTGTTTCCATTGGTAAGATAGGACATAAGCTGATTAAAAATTCATTTCTCAAATATTTTAGTTATAGAAAAGAGAACTGAAATAGGTTAATAATTGTTACATGTACAACAAGAGCCTTGTTTGAAAACTGGAACAACTTTAGCAAGTTTCATACTATCAGGAAAAATACTTTGGTTGATAGAAACTTTAAGATTAATATAAGTTAAAGGATGGCACATTTGTGGTGTTCTGCTTTTTAATAAAAGTGGATGAACCTTGTCAATTCCAAATGACTTCTTCATATCAAGACTTTTTAGTAATAGAAATACCTCTATTTCAGAGACTTGTGAGAGGCAAAATTTCATTGTTTCTGGGAAAGATAAGATGTTGCACTCCTATCATTTTTAGGCAGTTGTGGTGCTAGTGTACAAGGGATATTACAGAAAAATTTGTTGAGGCAGTTGTAGATAATAAAAGGTTGTTCATATTGTTTATTTTCTACTTGTAACTTTTCTATATGAGAACTTGGCTGCTTCTTATTTATCAATAAATTAATGTTTTCCCACATCTTTTTTCATGTTGTCTGATATGATTAAGATGTTGTAAAAGCAGTCTCAATATATTTTATTAAAGGAGGCAATTTTGTTGCAATCATAAATTTTTTTAAAAAAAGATGTACATAACCTTTAACCTTGTCAGCTTTTTGCAGAGGAAAAGGTTCGTGGCTTATTCATCAGCAGACCTCCATACCATCAGAAGCATATAACCTACTGAGGCATATGCTTAGGGTTCTATATAAAGGGCTTTTCAACTGAGTATCAATTGTCATTGCAATGGCCAATCAGAACAAAAAGGTTTTTATCACAGTGCAGTCAATGAACTCAAATTTAGAACAAGCAAATGTCCTTAAGCTTAGGAAAATTCAAGTGACCAAGTTGCAGTACTTTTTAGTCTGGTATCTTGGTGGTTGATAGGCGATGTTCATTTTCTTAACCAATCTCTAAGGGCAGTAAAGTAAAACCAGTGCAATCATGAGTTACATTACTTTCTACACTAAATTGATGACTGGGCAGACCAATAATGCTAAACAAAGATTAAGAAAGATGGTATTTTCTTCAGTTCAATTGTCACTTAATGACCAATGATGAAAATTTTTATGAGCACGAGATCAAAAAAATGGTTAACATCCTTTTTTATCAATACAAATATTGTATGTTCAAATCATGATGTCCTTCGTTTAGAAATTATCCTTAGAATTAAGGATCTGTTACCTACATGAACATGAAGTCTTCAAGATGAAGATGTGATGATAAAGTAATCATTAGTTTGTTCTCTGTTGTTATGCAGTCTCAACTTAGGAATCGTCTAATAAAAGAACTTCAAGAAACTGCTGGCAAGGATGATTTGGCAGAATTACATGGTCAGGCAGAAAATACAGAGACTGTCTGTAAACTTGCTGCTAACAGCCTTGTTGCTGACCACTTAAAGAGATGTAATTATGAATATTCTTTATCTGTCTTCATGCCAGAGAGTGGTTTACAAGAACATAAGGTAATTAAATCAAATAAATTATTTATTTGCTATTTTTCTTCCATGGATATATATGAAGAATGGAAGGAAGAATTAAGTATTTTGGAAAACCCATTAGGAAATCCACAATTATGATCAGAAAATCTGTCCTTGAGATTCATGTCCTTCTCATGTCTTTCAAAGGTGCAAAAAGCATTTGCTTACAAGAAAAGTGATCTTATGGGAATCTGACATAATAACTTTGATTATGAAAGATGGTGGTTATTCTCCCAGCACTTCATTTATTTTTGCAAACCACTGAAGGGTCTATGCATCTAAAAAAGGATGATTTTCACTTATCATAGGCAAAGGTCTTTACTTTTCTCAAGAAAAGTGCTTTTTTTGTTTCAGTTACTTACAATGAGGGATATCCTCTTACTGCTAAAAATTAGAGAAGGTTCTGAGCTCTACAAGAATATGGTATGTTTAACATGTTGATGTTTTAAGATTTTAAGTAAGGATGTGTAGAGAATGTTCTTGAAAAGCACATAACAACTACTCCCTCTAGATTTAAAGGGAATCCCTTGAGATATATACTAAATATGTACAAAAGTTGAAAAGGGATCAACAAAATAAACTTGTCTTGAGTTTAAATATTTTGTTATATGTGTGAACTTGAAATAAGGATTTTCCCTGAGATGATATAAGTGACAACTATTTTTTGATTGTATGTAATTTTTTTTTACAACTAGATCAGTGTATATGATGCAAATTTGAGTTGAAAATTTTGATTGGCTCACCTACCATGGTACATGTTTTGCTTCCAATTTTTTATTATTGTTGAATTTTATCTTGAGACATTGAATATTTGTGGCAAGGGGAGATAAAAATCAACCTTGTCTTCAAAATCTTAAAGCAAAAAAAATGATTTGAACCACAATATAAACAAGCAATACTGCCATGGCTAAAGAACTTCATGTAGCAAGATTATCAATGTATATTTCATTGTTTTTTTATAATGTGCTGTCATCCTACAACATTTCAAGAATATCATTATTATGTTTATTAAGAGTTTCTTTGGTTTTTCGATTGAGACGTTATGCATTAATATTTGGAATTCTCACAGATAACATCTGCTTGCAATCATTCCCTATTTGGACAAGTTATATTTAATACAGGATTTTCTTTCTTACTTTATAACAATTATCCTTGTAGCTTTTTGGCTCTAATTATTTACAGGTATTGGATTTATACAATGTCATCTGAAAGTATAAATGATGTGACTGAATACTATACATGTGCCAAGTTGACTTCATTTTTTAAATTTAGTTTCACTGTTATAACTTAAGGTCCATGTTAACATAGGATTGCACACAAGATTTAAGCATGATACGGTGTTATCTTTCAACTGAAGTTCTTATTTTGCAGGAAATTGTATTGGATAAACATGGATCATCAAATGGTAATTTTTTTTAAATAAAAAAATTAAAAGGTGAAGGAAAAACTTCAACATTAAGAGAGACAATTTTCTGTGGGATATCAGAGCTTGGAAAGACTTCCAACCTGGCTTCTGTTGTATAGAAAAAATTCCCCTGTCCAAGGAACACTTTTTGCTCACTTGTCTACCAGGTAAAGCCATAAACAAGCCAAAGCTCTATCCTGCCTCAAAGGAGAAGCTTAATTGTATTTTCTCCTGACCCTGCATATTTCATACACTGTCAGTGTTTGTCATACTCTTTGGAAATGTTAAGTGTGTGGTGTCTGTACCAGTCTACCTATACACTGCAATTGTTCCATCGTAATTGAAATTAGGTTAGCAATAGATTGTCAGAGGTATATAATTTCAAAAGATTATTTTATCATTAGAATCTAGTGAGTTTTTAACTAAGAGTTCACCTAGTCACAATGGCATTCTTGAGTAAACAACTGGAGCAAGAAGCCAACAACAAGAAAATAATTACTAACTATTGCACAAGTTACAAATACTAGTCAAAACAATGCTTGTCTACAGTGAGTACTTTTAAACATGAGCTGACCATTGTATAAGTTGTGAGTTTTGCTGATAAGTTGCTTTTCTGCCTTTCCTACTGTTTCACTCCAGAAATCACAGGTATCTTTCCACAAATAATCTCAGTGAGTGATTTGTTTTACAGGTTTGTTGGTAGAATTCTTAAGTGCCCTAGGTGTGTCGAATGATCATGGAAAGGCTTCAAAAGCTGTTCAAGCTTCCTTAAAGCAACTTTCTTCAATAGGTAACCAATTTTTAAACTCATTCGATGATATTACTCAAAACAAGTTTAGTATGCAAGTTCACTTGTAAACTAAATGGTAATGCTTAACAAGTGGCAGTATAATTGTTATGGTACAATAGTTATATAAAGTACCAGCATTGCCTGCAACAGTCATAAAGCTCAGAATTTTGAAACTTCACACATTGCTAACATTACTCATAATTTACAAACTACCTAAGAAACAAGACATAGTATAGAAATTTTAAGAAACAAAATCATCATGCTGTACTAATTTCTTACAAATTAGTAGACAAGCGCAAGGAAAATTGTTTAATGATGTACTCACACCAGAAACACCTGGAAGCAAATGTTTTCTCTTATTTTCACCCTCTGCCTCCATAGAGGATAAACTGCAAAGTGTGGAAAGACAGTACCTCAAAAATCTTCAGACAGAAAATCAGAAATGGAGTTCTCAGACTGAAAAGCGGCTGCTTGGATTGCACAAACAATGGGAACAAGACAAGAAAAAACTGCTTGAGGAGGAGGTATATATTACATGTCTTCCAATGATTTGCTTAGTAAAATTTTTTTTAATAAAAACAAATTTACTCTTAAAACGGAAAATTCACTCTGGAGTGCACAACAGGCGCAAGTAAAATGTGGGAGCATATAGAATAATGAACAACCGACACTGAGTACTAGTCAGCAAACAAGACAGTTTGTAGTAACACACCCTGAGAACTAACATTTCAAACTTGGGTTCAAATTTATTTGATTTTTATTAGAGAAGTATTCAAAACTTTTAAAATGTGAAAAGGCCTTTCATTACTAAAAGAAAAAAACCACTAGTTGTGAATCGCTAGTGATAGTGTCAGAGACAGCAATCAATGTAACTGATCATTTTTCAGAGGCAGCAGTCAATGTACTTCAGGAGCAAGTTTGTGCACTAAGCTAAGACAGATCAGTAGTATGGTTCGGCTGGTGGGCCCGGGTTTTACTCGTGATAGTTTGATTTACATGTTCTTTTTACAATGATTTCCACTGGTCTGTGTTGAACATGGCTAGCTTGGGTACCTGAAAGCAACAGAACTTGCTCGTGTAAGGTTCGAAGAGAAGGAAAAATATCAAAGAGAAGTCCAAACTATAAGAAAACAGGTATGTCTACGCTTTACTGAAATCAAGGTTTGTCGCAATATACCTGTAATCCTCTATGTAATCACAGTTTTCACCACAGCGAGAGCACATGATTTTCTGTCACGTACTGCCAGTGCATATCACCAATCCAAAAACTCGTGGAACTTTGCTTAGAAATCAAAGGGAGAGGTTTACTCGTTTGGTCCATGGAAGGATAGTCGCCAAGATCGACAGAGAGGCGTTATTGCAGCTCATCAGATTGCGCCGGTTTACAGAAATGTAGATTATTCTTGTTCAAAAGTCTATATTTAAAGCCCATAAAGCCCACTATACCAGTACATTGAAATATCTCCAACGTCTGTGTTTCCATGACAATTTTAATAGCTTAGTTTAATCAAAAACAGTCATTTTGTGTTTTTTTTAGCTTGAGGAAAAATATGCAGCCAAGGCAGAGAAATTAAAAGCCGATGAGAGAGAAAAGTTACAGTTACTGAGCACTCAACAACAGGTGCAGTTTTTTGGCTTATTGTCGAACGTACTCTTATGCGCTCCGCGCCATCTGACATTAAATTGCGGGATTTAACCTCCCAAGAGGAATAATCATATGATCATTATTGGGTGGCAACAGGGATGTAAACCAGTTAACCTGGTAATTGAGGATGGTGTTTCGTCCAAATAGCATTAAGTTGTAAGGCTTTTTTTTTCGGCATCTCATCTAATCTACAACGTTGCAACTCTCTTTAATGTCACTTTGTCATTTTTCTTTTTAATTCTTCAGCTTCAGGAAGAAGAAGCACACGCGCAACGACAGAAACTCCTGGAAGATATGTTGTCTCTCAAACAACGGGAAACTGAGTTTGATTTAAACCATCAAATGCAAGCAAAGTAAGGAATAGTTATGCCGAGTAGTCCCAACAGTTGTTGTGCCCGGCTCAAAATTCAGTTGCAGGTCGATTGAATTTAACGAAACTTTTGAACCCTCATTTAAACAATTGTAATACTTTGATGGAGTACTTCCTTATCGGTTTTTAGATGATCATGAACAAATACAGCTAAAACTAACTTGGTTCCCTTTTACACCCCAGAACATTGAAGCTCGAAGAAGAGAGGATAAACGTTTTATCTCAGGAATTAAAAATCAAGAAATCTCTTTTAGAAGATGCAGAGGCCAACTTTAATAGAAGACTAGATGAAGAAGTACAGAGGTGGCAACTGTGGCTTATTGTTTATTATTTCTTAATACCTTAATTTCTAAGTTTCTTTCGTAAGAAATGAATGGAGAGGAGGTAGTGAATAATCAAAGATGTTGAAAAATTGGATATTACAAATACAGCGACAGCAGTGTCAAGAAGTTACTATTTCGGACTGGCAGAAGTTGTAACGCGTTCTGCAAGACTGAGAACTCCGTAAAATCTACAAACTGGATCACATGGAAAAACTCTCCATTACGAAGAAACACACAAGTTTTCTCGCCTAACGTAACTTGTAGTCTTTGAGTGCTTCCTAAATGGTCGAAAAGATTGCGACTTCTAAGTGATACATGTCAGTCAAATGAAAAGTAGAGGAATCTTGAAGCGACTGCGTAAACTTGCAGATAATAGCGTGACGCTTGATAAAATGTTTGTGAACTGGAGTACGTTTAATGATGTAAAATATCTCGTTAAGACGCATGTTTCACGCCTATCACCGACGCTAGACCAACATGGTTTTTGGGGAAAAAGTAGCCTTCTTACTGCACAGAGGCCTGGTTAAAAAAAACTTCAAAGTTTATTAATTTCGAGTGAAGTAAATTTTTCTGATTTTAGTCAAGTTAGTAGTTACGTTTCTAAAAGATGTTTTTTTTTTTTTTTTGTGGTCGCTTGGCTCCAATTTCAAACAAACTAACAACCGAAGCGCTGCTTCTGTCCGTCCGCTGTCCACATTGCACGTATACAAGGTGTATTTTAATGACACTCATATGTATTAAGATCGCGAGAACAAAAACTACAAATCCCTCATTCATGTGCCTCATGCCCAGTGTGCCTTTCATGTATTTTAGGTACAAATTAAAATGTGACGAAGAATTTCACGACAGAAGACAAACTCTAGAGCTCAGAGAAAAACGGCTACAACGTAAGTTCATTCTAACGTGGTGATGATGTAATGATGCTACTTGAAATTGAGTGTTTATTTTTGTTTGTAGCTGAAACTTTGAAAGAGAACCACTCAGTGGAGTGTCTTCTTAAGTTTACTGTGGAGGCACCTCGCAATTTTGTGTGTTTTGAGAACAATATCAACTTTGAATTTCAGATCCCCTGCGTACCTAGCTAGCCTCCGAAATTTTGCTTATTTTTTCTACTTCAATGTTTTCTACTTCAGTCAATTTTTGTCATGATAAAATGTCAAATCATATCGTGAATAGATGATCATTGAATGGGTAATTGAATACCGGTTCCGTAGAACACCGCTGACCGGAACCGAATTATAGCTACTTGGTCGCCATGGTTTTGTGACCCACAGTTCAACCCTACTAACATTTAGTTTTTCGTTTCGTTGTCTTAGACAGTCCATTAGTGTTAAAAACAATATATGTATTTAGTTGTTGAAAAGTTCCTGTCACTTGATTTGTAACACATAATTATACCTGTTATTAATAAAAGCTGTCATGTCTTTTTGTTCTCTTCGTGCCTTACTTTTGATAATTTTTGTGTGATTTAAAGGGTAAAATGTATTATTAACGTATTAAAAGCAGTAATTGAGTTTTTGATTCTATCGTCACCTGTTCAACTTATATGGCTGTTATTCAATTTAACCGAGTGATAACAACTTGCCGTTCACAGGAGATTTGGATGGTTTCGAGAGAAAGCAAGGTGTTTATATAAACACCTCTGACGAACTGCAGAGAACCAAAGGAAAATTAAAAGAATTACAAGTATGTTGGATATACAGACTACAATGGGGGAAGGGTAAAATAACAAATAAAGAAAACAGCTGATGTTGATGTCTAGAAAAAGGAAACATCCAAATTATCAGTCCACTTTTACGTCTGTTTAATTTTCATGTATGTATCGGTAACGACACTGATCCAGGAGTTGTTCGCCATGAGGATGTGTTGAGTGTTACTCTTCAACTCAAAGGATGTTGAACTGTTTTTTCTTCCCTGTTTACAGCCTCACTGTACAAACATCTCATCCTCCCTTCCTGTAAGCAGCGTGTACATGAATTTTTAACTTTTGTGGAAGTTAGTTTGCTGAACTTCCACTAAAGATTTGCCACATGTTTAATTGTCAGATGCTCTATTTCTTATGCATCCTCTGCAGATTCAACTTGATGATAACAAGTCACAACTTGCTTTAGCTCTCCAGCAAAAGGAAATGATGAGTATAAAGCTGAGCGAGGTGAGTGAATTGATGACATCTCTAGAAAATCTTTGAATAAGGTGTTTTTTTTTCGCTTTAGATAACGAACTCTTTCTGTTGAAAATATAAAAATATAACGATTCGAACGTGAGATAGTCTATTTAAGATTTCCATATTTATTGTTTACTTGATTCTTTGAAAAAGGATCTCGAGGCGATCAAAGAAAGAGATGACGCTCTTGCCAAGGAGAATGCAATATTGAACAGGTAAGACAGGGTTTGCTAAGTTCTACTGGTCCTTATCACGTGAACAATTTTGAATTATCCAAATTGTTCAATTGACTCATCAATGAAATAATCCTTTTTTTCTGATTCTGACCGCCACTTTCCCAGTTAAATTGATTATCATTTCTAGAAAGCTCAATCAAGTTCATCCATGCACTGCCGAAAGCAGAGGCAGTGAAAAAATGATCTGAATTTGACTAAATGAATTTAGTTACAAAGTGCTTCTGTTCACTACGTGTTGCAAACTGATATCTACGTATTTCCCCTTTTGTAGAAACTTGTTGAAGTATGAAGATGAAGAGAAAGGTAGCAATTTTATGCTGTTCAGTTGAGTCAGTTTCTCTGGGTGACAAAACCTTAATGGTTAATTTGTATTACACATCTTTATTCTTTGATTCAGGAAACCAAAGACTAATCAGCGAATTAAGGGAAAAATCAATGGAGTCTGCTGCAGACCTAGTATGACCTCTAAGTTGATTTTGAAACAATTTGTTTATCTATGTTACTGTTCTAAAGACCATATGAGAATAATTTTAAATCACAGTTTCTGGTATTTTTTAAAATATTCTTGAGCTAATTCTCTGTGATTTTGATAGCTACATCTACGAGATCAGTTAAAACAAATGGAGAAAACCGCCAAGTCGAAGGAAAAGTCTTGGAAAGATTACAAAACAAAGATGGAATCCAGACTGGATGAAGAGGTAAAGCTGTAGCCTTAATGATAGAATGTAATATAAAATCAAGCTCAGTCGGTCTCTTTGCCTCCATGAAGGTACCAGGTCAATTTTCAGCATTTTTATCAATAGACCTCTCTGGCTTGTATGTTCTGATTACTCATTTCAGGTACCAAAGAAATTCCCAGCTTTATCTTTTGAAAATTATACGTACATATGCACGTGAATAAGACTAAATTTGAACGAAACAGTTCTCTGGAGTATTAAAACGTGACCTGAAATGGGTTTACAAAACATATGAGTTAAATAGGTCGATTATCAACAGAATCGCGCGAAATTCTCTTGGCTGAAAAAGGCAATCTTCCGTGAGGAGAAATTTTCCCAGTACAATCGCATAATTTTTATCTAAGCTTCTAACAAATATTTACAGAAATGAACATTTAAAAGTGTGTCGAGACTCCAAATAATGTTCCTAACGGTTCAGAAACTGTTCTCAAATGCGCCGAACATTCGTTATGTACGCCGCCATTTTATCACCGCCGATAATTTACCAAAATTTTTATGAAAGAAATTTAATGTAAAACAAGACCTGTTGAGTAGGTGTTTGACACGTTCGGATGCATTTTTGTCTTGAAGTGTTTTTTTTCTGTCTCCCTTGTAGTGTCAGAAGCGACTTAAGTATCAACAACTTTATGAAGAAACGATGATGAGTCAGTCTGCGCTCAATCAAGAGGTAGCCGACCTAAAACTTACTTTGCAACAAACGCAGCAAGGTATTATTTATACATTAATTGTTACTTTTATGGAGTGGATAATACCAGTTAATTTGAAATTAGTGATTTAATTCGTGAGCCATTCATTAAATGTACATTTATTTAACGGCACTACAATTAAAACAATGGAATTAAACACGTGAAGAAATCTAGGTACCACTATGAACTTCCATAATGGAACTCGGAGTGAGAGAGATGTGTGCTGCATTTACGAAGAAGAAAGATAATGATAGCAATCGCGCCAACCTTTTTCTCAGCATTCTTTTCATTTATTTATGCGTTTTTTACTGGTTTTCCCCTTTCAGTGCTCGATGTGGAACTTGGCCGAAGAAGAGCAAACTCCATCCCTTGGTAAGCCTAAAGGAGTTTTAATACAACTAGTCCAGTGCTACTAGTTCGGAGCTCTGTTGTAAAAATTAAGGTGAAAGTAACCGGTACAGTTTGTAATATTGCTTTGTTCTCATTTTCCCAGAAAGGTAAGTTTGTAATTATTTCTATATACTTTTGCTATCGTACTATTTTTCTGGTGTATGCACTCCTGGGCAAACGTTAACTTGAATTTGATTTCTCCCCTATAAAAGCGTAAGTGAAGGTGATGTTAGACAGAACAAGGTTTTCAAAAAAGGGAACGTTTTTCGCGCAATACCAACGCCCAACATTTTGCTAGTGCCTAATTTTCGCGTCTTGATCAGCCTTTCTAACACGAAAGAAGTAAACAGACCTATAGGAAAAAAAAAAAAACAAAAATCGACGGTGAGCATGTTACAGTACCGCCTACTATCCCCTTGCCTGATGAGTGGCAACCATGTAGTACATAATTTAATCACAAATGGTAACGTTTTGATATTGTTTCTTTTTCAGTCAAAGGCAAACCGAATATTATACACTATTTGCAGTTAAACTGTCTCTAACGCCTTTGGTTAAGAGGATTAATTTCTTAAATTATCGTCATCACGTTGGGTTAAAAAAATTTACAAAGCAAAGTGAGCAGGGTTTATCGATATTTTTCGGTTACTTCCTGTAAAGAATTCCACCTTGCACTTGTTCAATATGAGCTGATCGTGGCCATCGAAACCAAAGTCCATCATTTCATATCCAATTCACAATCGTGTCAGTTAAACAGTAATTCGATGATTCGATCTTCTAACCAATAGCATGGAGTCCATGCCAAGCGAACTTGAGTCCCCGGCAGTAAATACAACTCAATGGGAAGGTGACAGAACATCGTTGACAGACTCGGCTATGGACGAAACCAGTAGCACTGTGGTTATGATAGCCCAGAGCAAGGAACTGTTTGATCGGCTGGAGAAGGAGGCCAAGGTTTGCTAAAAATTGTCTTAATTTAGCTTAACCCTTTAACCCCCATGAGTGACCAAGACAGAAGTTCTTCTTACAATATCTATACTATATCAACCAGATAAGTAATGAGAATAAAGAACAAGATCAATTTGGGGATAATTAGTTGATCCAATACTACATTCTCTGAACTAACATTATAAAAATTGTATGGTTGACTGGAACAAGAATTACAAATTTGATCTGGGAGTTGAAGGGTTAATTGTGGTGCATGTACACCAACCTCAGGGTTTTGATACACATCGGGGTACGGCTGCCCCATGGCTTGGTTGTTAGCAGTAGTACAAATCTTTTACACCTTTTGTATGCTTACCTTGTAGGAGTTGGAAGAATCCTATCAGAAGTTCCAGTCGCGAATCAACCAAATGGAACTAGATGTTCACTCAACGTCTCGTTCACCTGATTTACATCATCCCACTCAAAACCTCCATGGAAATACGTCATTTGATTAAACAAAATTAAATTTTTTTAAAATCTCTTGTCTTCTTAAGTTTCACACTTTCATGCCATATGAACAGAGGTAGCTCTGACAGAACGCGTCATATGCGCGCGCTGTTGTCTCACATTTCGCCAAGTTAACTGTTGTTTTTATAATGGTAATAGGACCGAGTGGAGTCCTATTCGGTCTGTAATCATACGAGTGATTAACAACATCGGACGACCAAGCAGGAATCCTACAGAATTGGATGACACGAAGTCCTGTTACCAATTAATCAAAACTATGAAAAAAACTTGAGAAAGAAACTAGACATTGGTTGTACGTTTTCATAACTAATCATAACCAGTACAATTTCCTCAAATGTGATTGGTTGTAGTAGCTGCTTTGTTTTCCACTATTCATACTGTAGAGTTGTAATTGGATATTGTAATCGGACAGTTGGCTGTAATCGGACAGTTGAAGCAGCCAATCATACTTAGTCCTTTCAGTCAAATCCACCAATTACAGAATTGATCACAATAACCATAGCAACAACCACTTATCCTGAAAAAAGTTGTGGAATTTCCAAAGTTGAGGAATTTTTCCCATAAACATTGTCTCTACTACATATATTTGTCCTAAATGTATTTGTTGTTTTCGGAAAAAGTTTAAAGCTCGGCTAAACAGTTTAAGGAATTGTTCAGTCTGTGTCCGAATCACTTTCGATGAAATGGAATCGTCGTCTGCGAGGTTTAACCATTTTTGTTTTTAATTTCGGCGTAGAATCGCTCGAGCAAAGTGTTAAGCTGGGTCGGCTCGTAATTTTCAATTTCCTCGGCAATTCCCTTCTCTAAACACCACTTTTTCCAAAGCAACAACCAAAAAGCAGTACTTTTTACGGTGTTTTCGTTGTGAGAGCTGTTTTTCAGCTGCTGCATTGTTGTTGCGGTGGCGAAAGAAAACCTACTTGAAACGCCGGCCATGGTTTCGCTTGCAAATTTTCAGACATTTGCGACATCCAAGGCTCGCATTTGATTGGCTATCTGTGAGTTTCTTTGATTATTGACCAATCAGAATGTCTGGTTTGTTACTTCTTTTCACTGAACTAACCCTCTTCTGCACTGAGTTACCTGAAAAATGCATTTATCTTAACCAATCAGATCTGAGTAATTTTTCTTATGTATATTATCAGTGCTCAAACCGGGTTGGTGATAACCAATCACGTTAGAGAATTTTGTTATAGTTTGATTATGAGAATTAAAAATATCCAATCAAGGGGATTGTTTGATTTCATGCCAGGATTCTCTGGGCTAATGTCACATGCAGTGAATTGCAGAAATGATGTTTAGAACTTTAGAGCGAAGGGATTTCAAATTCTCTTTTGCAGTCACCCGATAGAGATCCAATTTTGGCTGGCTAGTGACTTTGCGAGCAAACAAGGCCTTTCAAGAGTTATCAAAATCGAAAAAAACATGGGGGGTAGTCGCACAACGCTCCGAAGTAAATCGTTTTGAAATCTGAAAATGGTGCTGACGTTACATTATTTTAAGAAGGTGAAGTAAAAAAATCAGTTGTAAATATAAAATATTTAAAATAAGGAAATTCGATCCTCAGGACAGAGTTATGTCATTGTCAAAATGATGGCATGAAGACCATTTTTACCTCATAGTGTGACGTAGTCATGAGTGTTTGGTATGGAACTGAAATTCTCTCACTCATTTCGTACTGAATAATCTATCCATACTGATTAATTTATGCATTTTACGTTATAATCAATTTATGCATGCGTGGAAAAAATACGACATCCCTTACCTCCCCCACTGTCGTTTCCTAGTCTTTCATGGCGACATATTGTCCACTACGTTTCGTCGCCGGTTTCTAATTGAAGGAAAGATTGAACCAATTTGACCCGTAGAATATAAGGGGATAAAGGCCTTTCACCGACACATCAATCGCTACAAATGCAGGAAATTTTGGTCTCTCGCATGATTCATTGCGTTCTTAACAGCGCACATCACAAATGAACGTTTGCTCTATGCTTAGGTAACGACAAGTTGACAAGGAACTGGGGAAGAGGAAGATGGAGATGAGTAGTAAAGACTATTCTTTTACGGTGTTGATTCCAATCTTTCAACTAACTCTGCTTATAATATGTGCAATAACTCTTCTACCCATGACGAGATGGAATTAACATGCAATGTAATCAGAGAATCCTCTTTCAAGGAAAAGTTTCAACTCAAGGCTTTATTACTCTCAATATTCTTATAATTTAAAACAAATCCCAATAATTTTGTCCGCAATAAAATATTCCCCGCCTTATTTACAAGGAGGACATTAAATATTATTCCCTAGAATAACAGATAAAAAAAAGTGACGCATCTTACTAATTTCTAGGTCCGTGATGTAAGTTACAGAACGAACTTTATTCGCTTAGATTTGTGCCCCAAGCGTGAAGCGAAAAAAAAAGGTTACTTACACTATGGACCAAGAAAACGCGGTAAATAAAATATTTATTATATCTCTCCGTTCAAGAGGATGATGTTAATTCAAAAAAACTTTAAATTTGGCGGGTCGCTTTTGAATTTAGCGGCACGCTTAATTGACCAATCATAGCGCACGTACTAACTGAGAGATATAATAAAACATTTATTTAATTGCGTCCATGCACTATTTTGTTCCTATTTTTTCCAACAGCTTGGGTTTCTTATGAAACAAATAACAACGGTAATCGAAGTTCTGTTGCCACAAATTAAGACTTGACTGGCCTTGATGTGTGATAGACGGGCGTCAAACCACCACACTTCTTTCCTATACTCTATCAAGTGGATGTCCATTCAATATTATTCAGTGCAACGCAAATCCTTTTCCCATTCATGTACAGGAAAAAAACGGGACTTGATTGACTACCTGCGTGGACAAGCGCGACACGACAGCTGCACCAATAACTATGAAATCTGTACAAATTTTACAAAATAACCCTACAATGGTCACTGGGTTTGACAGAAAACCAAATGGAGTGTTTGTAACCTACCTTTCATAGGAAAAACAAAAAACATCAAGTTTTCAACGTGCCCAGCTCATTCCTCGCAAGTAAAATAAAACCAAACGAAACCAAATTGCCATTCACGGCAATAACTCCATCATCGTAGTTTCACTGTGGTCATTACATCCACTACATGGGGCCTTTATGCGCCTCTATCAAAACACTTAGCATCTAATGTGTAATCTTAAAAATGTCAGAAAAAAGAGCAACAGAAACAGAAATACCAACCACAGACATTATCACCCTTAGTTGCCCTTAAACCTTAAAGCAATAAAAACTTTGTCAAAACAAAATAAAGTTTCTTCTTCACCAGAACTTAAAATGGCATAAGTCCGCAGCAAACAAACTAACGGAGAAAGTGACCCGGAACGTTCCTGGAAGGTGTGGCTAGTAAAAGCCTTCGCTCCAACTCTCGCCATCATTGGATCTCGCTGGGCTCACTCCACGAGGCGTTGGAATTCTCCTTGAAAAACAAAAGAAAAAAAACACAACAAGTAAATCAGAAAGAGATAGATATGATAGATATATGATATAAGAGGCTAGACAAACTTAGGCAAACAAGCACACCATCTTTTGCTTATAACTTGTGGAGAAATGTGAAGTAGAGTATTGGAGGAGCACATTTTTTGATACCTCGGTGCTGCTAGCTGACCAGCTCTGGGTGTAACCGGTTTCCTTGGTGACGGTGAGTGTGGAGGTGTGTTTGGTCGCCTAATGGCAGTAACCTGGCCTGGAACAGGTCTTGTCTGAGTCGGAGTTTGAGGTAAACTGCGCCTGCGTACTTCAACATCCTCCGCTACCCGTGATCGGGCTGATGGCTCACGTCTCCTGACCTGATTTGGTTCACGTCTTCTCACTTGAGAAGGGGAGAAGCAAATCATAATAAGAAACGACTAAAGATATCTTACCTATTGAAGTTAAAATTACACCACTTGCCACCCTGAATGAACTTGCGGGGAATGAATGCAACATCCAACAACACTGGGCCGGATTGTTCAAAGTTGGGTTAAGATAACCCAGGGTTAATGTGAAATTTGATTTCAAGTTTTAATTCTTTTTGTCTCGATTTGATTATTATATGCTCTAAAAGAATAAAGAAATATTCTGAAAAAGGCACTTGAATAGAGAAATAAGGAAACCTGGTTTAAGATTTAACCCTGGGTTGGCGCTAATCGGCCTTCGAACAACTGAGCCCTGATCTTCAGTTGTCATGACAATCACATCTGGATTAATGTAGACTAGTGCTAAACGTTCGTCGGAAGGCTCAGCAAAGAGCGAGCTCTTAAAAAAAAAAGTTTCACCAAGGAATTCACAAATGAACTCCCTCTTGATTTGTGTCGAGCTGTTTATACCTGCTGTTACTATGGGAACATCATCGTCTGGTCTCATGTCTTCTCTCTGCCAAGAATCTGGTGACAAATTGAGAACAAACCCTGACTGACGACTCAAACACAAGTAATTAATGGTACCTGAACGGTATTGGTACTTTTTGATCTAAAATCACACGAAGGATTGCACGAAATGAAGTTCAACTATTTTGTCGTTCATATTCCTGAAATGTGAATAGTTACTTTAAAAATGCCATTAAATTCACTTGCTTGCTTTGTTTGTAGAGTAGGTTAGGAGCCACCATACAGTATCAGAAAAAATTCAGTTGGTTCTGAGCCTACTTCACAGCTTTTCTAATTTAGCATTATGATGAAACTATAATTATGCTGATTGCAATACAACGATTAAAAGGGGTTACAGGCACAAAGCCAAAATTAAGGGTGTTTTCAAGGGGATGCAGCATTGCTTTGGTGACCTAATAGGTTACACAATGGTAACAACTTGTCAACCAATAATTGGGTGTTTCATATACCATACTATTTTCAAAAAAAACAAATGAAACATGCAGATAGAAACAAAAACCGTTCTCAACTGCATATATGACAAGACATAATTGAATACTAACTATTGTAATCATCTTGATGATGACTGTTGGTTGCTGGAACACGTCTCCTGGGTTGAACATATTCCTCATCACTATCAGCTTGCATATATGTTTGGATTGCTCCTACATAGCCAAATTAAAAAAAAAAAAACCCTTATTAATTACTCCCTTAAAGATCATTGTGTGTTCAGATTCAACTTTGACAGGGAAAGTTTGACAACTTACCTGTTGCCATTGGTTGTTTGGCCTGTGGAGGTGCACCTCTTCTCCGCACTAATCCTGTACAAAAAATAGTATTCAAAACATTAGCTATTGATAGGTGTAGATCACCAAAAAAAAGGAACACAATACAACACAGCTAAAAGGTTGTTACTAAAATTAAAAGGCCAACAGAATCATTGAAATACCACATTAGACGCTGTCTAAAATGATTACTGATACAATAAGCAGTGATATTGTGAATGATCACAACAATGTTTGTGGCAAGAAAACAAAACTGTCTTTGTACAGTGAATTTTTTAAGTTCCACTACTTACTTGAATCATAAACTGAATTCAAAAGTTAGGCTAGGCTTTAAACACTATTAAAATATAATTTCCAATAGACCCTCACAATTTTACTACAAGTACTGACCTTTTACCACTAAGTCTTCTTTATCTTGTGATACTTGGCCTCGTCTCTGTGGAACTACACCTCCAGTATCATTGTCATCAATTTGCAGTGAAGCAGTATCTTATTTGTTGGAATAGTCGGAATGATAAAAGTTAATTGGTGATGTTGCAGTCCATCAACATAAGTTACCAAATGTGACAATTTCACATAGTCACTTACTCTTCAATGATATCATCAAAACAGATGTTTTGGCTGTGCACTGCCAATTTGAAGAGACATGTGTTTGCTATATTAAACAGTAAATTGAAGTGAAATGTCTTGATTCTATCATTTCACCCCAAATCATATACGCTGACATTTCAGGACCTCTCTATCAAAGTTAGTAATCTCACACTCTCTTAACTCACCCAATGAAGCTCTGGGCTGTGGGGATTCACCTCTCCTTCTCAATGGACCTACCACAAATAAAAATATAAACAAATGATATTCTTTGTGCTGTACACCTCCCTACTCTAAATTTAAAAATGCATCATGGATAACAACTACAAAAATCAGATTTTTTCATGCACATGTTAAGCAGGGCTACTGAAAATGTTCAACCAGATTGCTGAGAAGCTATATTTTTCTCTGCACAAGTTTCAAAATTAGAGATCTTGTTTTTTTTCCTAGTTTTATCTATACTTGTGTATCTTACCTGCTGCTACTGGTTGTCTTGCTTGTGCAGGAGCTCCTCTTCTCCTTAATGGCCCTAAAATTTTAATCAAAATTAAATGTTTCACAAGCAGAAAATGTGAGCACAATTAAGGTGTGACATGTCTGGTTTTCAACATATGTGAAAAGGGATCTTTCCAAAAACAATCATGTCTTCGAATTTGGGATTTTGCTACAATTACATTGGTTACTGTACTTTGAATTAATAGTTTGAACTTTAAAAACTCAGTGGACGCAAAAGTATCTTAGTTTTCATCTGGATATGTGTGTAATTTGACTGATACGATGCCATATGTTTTTCTCAAATTGTAATCATACATAGAAGTAAACAATGTTAGTTTTCTGTAGAGCTCCTAAGGTTTGAAGGTTAATAGGCTCTAAACCAAATAAACCCACAATACAGGTTTTTTTTTGGAAAGACTGAGCTAAATATTTTTCCATGAAACCTTTAGCCACCACATTAAATTAATTTTCAAAGAGAATGGTAAAGAAGAGATAGAAATTTCTATAGAAAGGTTGAGTGATGGGTAATATGAAGGGGTGGGATATCATATGGAAAAGAAAAATTTTATAAGCATAGAATTGTTTTTACAGGAAGACTCAACCCTGCTACATTTGAAGTTTCTGGTCAATGCAGTTTACTTTACCTGCTAATTGCCAGCTAATTTGGCTGAAGTCTTTTGTTCACTTGCATAAAACAATCACAAGACACACTCAAACAACAGAGGCTAGGCAAAGGCATTCTAAACCAAATCTTGGAAGGATTTAGAATGCATTATATGATTTAAAATACATTTTCTCTGTTGTCCATAATCACTGGTCATCATTATATAATATCATCCTCACCTTTCACTACTAAGTCTTCCTGATCTTGAGATACTTGAGCACGCCTTTGTGGAACAATGCCATCATCATCACCCATGTCATCACTTTGTAATGAAGTTCCATCTTGACAGCGAAACAATTAATTTAATTATGAAACAAATAACTGACTTCTTAACTTGATCTATCCTGTAAAACAGTCATTGACTTCTTAAACCAACACACATGCTAAGTTACCTCTGTAACTAACACTAATTTTGTGAAGTGAGCACTGCAGTATAACTCACCTAAGGATGTTCTTGGTTGGGGTGATGGTCCTCTTCTTTTCAGTGGACCTGAGTCATACATAACATCAAGTTTGAATCACATTTGAAAGAAGAGCATGCATCAGAAACAATTCATAATTTCACCTCTTATAAAAGAACCTAAAATTTTGAAAATTGGCTGCAATTGTGCTTAAACTGCAAAAACAGGTGCCACCATTTTGGAACACTGCTTGATTGCCTGGCTCCTTTCCTAAAAATTAACAGCTTTTAACCAGCAGACAGCACTTTTTAATAACTTCCTCCTATCTGAGTTGAGTTCTGGGAATTCACATCTCTGTGAAATCAAAACATTAAGGAAAATTGTTCTTTGCAAAATTTGTTTCCCAGTTGAAAGAAAAGCTACATTCTTTAATGTTCTTTCATTTTGACACCTGCATCATTCCTGAAGGCCAAATTCAAAACCCTCCCTTCTTTCAAGAGCGTTGCACACAACTTGTAAAACAGAAGTTGTAGAAATATCAATAAGAATATTGCTGGGAAACAAAGGGATGAGGAAAAGAACTCTACACAACTGCAAGTGTTTAAGATGAAGGGTAACCAAAACTATTTTATTCTTTGAAACCAGGCTGTAACGTAAGGCATTTCACACCACACAGTACATAATGTAACAGTAGTCTTCATTAGAAACATAGTGTAAAGGTATTGTTGGTTACCTTTTACCACCAGACTAGAATCCTCCTGGCTTGAGGAGTGAAATGCTGGAACACGTCTCTGAGGTCTGCTTGGTGGACTGTCATCATCACTGTCACTATCATTATTAATGGGCCTTGAGGTCTGAGACACACCTTAACAATAATTAAGTTGAACATTAATTCACAAATTTAGAATTAACTGAGGTCTCCCTTCAGTCCACCTATTGGATCACATGGGAAGCAATGGAAAGGGGATTTGACGAATTTCTATTTAAACCCAGTTCATATAGATTCCTGAGTTTTCATCCTTCCCATTAGTCTGCACTTTCAGATATTTCTGTTGAAACGGATTATACACTGGCTTCCTTTGACATTCGCATACCTTCCCTGTATTGTGTGTTTTCAATAACCCTTACCTCCTGTTCCACTCAATAAAGCATATGAACACACATAGAGTATGCCAATTGAATTAAGAATGCAAGATTTATCATTGCTGCATAACCAATCTAGATACATCAATATGTATCTACAAATACCACAATAAAAATCTTTTAATAATCAACTACACTGTAATAAGTGCATATGTAAGGGCAGTCATTTCTCCATCTAGTTATTTATTTGTGTACAGTATGTGCTAATGGAAAACAACGTTTTATTGTTGTGTGAAGATTCAGCCATAAGGGCTGAAGGAGAAGTAAGAGCCAAAGTTAGCATCCCTCACTTCAGCCAAAGTATGATTTAAACACATAAATCATGTACCACTATTAAATCAGAAATTTTTATTCTAATCATAACTTGATAGAAACAATTGGTTTTCAATACCTGTTGATGGTGTTCCCCTTCTTCTCACAGGGCCTATCATAAATGTAAAGGGAATTATTGTCAACCAAACTGATAAAGTGTTCTTTTAATCTGATTGTTAAATTATACAAACAAATTGCATCATGAATCGGTTTAATGATTGAATTGGTTTATCAAATTGAGTGTCTTGCACTGAGTATTAAATAGGAAAAAAAAAACAAACAAACAAAACTTTAGAGCTAAAATTTCAGTGGAAAAAAATCTGAACTACAATTAAAATTGAACTACAAGGCAAAAAGTCCTCTTAAAAACAAACAATCAACAGAATGGTGTATATGTTAGATCACTGAGTAACAAACATCAAATTGCTCAACTGCATCACAATGTTACAGAACAAACCTCGTACAGTCAAGTCAGAATCATCCTGGTTTGCAGTTGCCATAGGAACACGTCTCCTTGGTTTTACTTGAACATGTTCATCATCATTGTCACTATCATCACTCAGCTGCCCTGTAGTAATTTATTTATACATCAAGAATGACACAAATCAGTTCTTAGGGTGTTTTTTATCATTAAATATGTGAGCTATAGAATGCATGGACTGAATTCCAAAGAGATTTTATTCAATGACTAGTCTGAATGTAAGTTAGAAAAGCAAGACATTGCTGCAACAAACAAACAAATTATACCCAGCTTTGATTACCAAACAAAGTTTTTTTTTTTCAATTTTAGCCAACACAGGCAGAAACAGGGCTAAATTACAACTACTTACTTCAATAAAATTGAGTACACCCAGAGAATGGGAACAATGACAAATTTGCTTTCATATATAGTGTACTTGTGATGCTCTAAGCAAAAACCACAATGCTGAGTGACATGCCAATGGAATGTAGCAGATCAGTGATCCAATGACCAGTTTGAGATCATCCAAATCACTGATCTGATGAATTCCAGAGTGGATTCAATGGATCAATGATCTAAAAAGGGATTTGCATCAAACAAATGCCACAGATCAGAAATCCTGATCTGGATCATCCCAAAGGAATGCACCCTTAAATAAAATCTACACCTCAAATTGCACAACCAAGTAACAGTAAAACAATAGTTATTAAAAGAACATACTGTCATCATGAACAGGTTGTTGCTGCACTGAATTGTGATGGGAGTCTACACTGGTATGTGGGGGAGATCTAGACAATGCCTCTGTAAAACAAACCACACAAACCATGGATACAAAGCACATGTACTTGTATTGTATTAAGTACCTCACACAATGATCTAGGTGAAACACATATCTGGCAGTTCTCACATTCAATATTGTTGTAGATGTAAATATGTAACATTCAAAATGTTTTTGACAATTTGTCACATTTCCTTGTATATGCTAGTGGAGACTTTGATGCAATTGGTTTCAATGTACATGTATTTGAATATCATCAATTGGTTAGAACACTCAAGAAAAGTTACACCTGAGTCCATATGTGTTATACACAACCAATGTCATTTAAATGATACAAGAAGATGAACCCTTTCACTCTCAAGACCTCTATAGTAATTCTCCTTTCTGTCTGCCACACAATTGTTATGCTACTTCAGAGAATTTAAAAATCCAAAAGTTTATATTTTTTAAAATTCTCAGCACTTGTCTTCTTGATATCACATTGATATTATTTGGGACAAATTCTGAATGTACTGTTTAAGAATGATTTCTCAAATATAAAGAGGAATGACATGTATAATTATCACTTATTATTGATTTAAACTGTATTAGAACCAATACCTTCCTGTGCTGCAATAGACTCCAATTTTGCCAAAAGAGAGCCTCTTACTTTATTGAGTTCAGGTACATCCAAGTTGTCCTTCAGATACTTAAAAGGACTTACTCTCTTCTGCTCCACAGAGGGTGGATGGCTTGGAGACACATATAACCTAATCGGGTATAAAACAAAAATACAAAACCAAACACAAAACAAAACAATGTAGGGTTTCTGAGATTTACACTTCCTGCAACCATACAAGTGTTCATGTATGGTACAAGTTTTAATTGTATAATAAGCTTAATTATTCTTGCATTTTGATTGGTTCTTACTTATGATCTTTTGAGGACAGACGCCAAAATGACGACACCATAAACATCTTACTTTTTAATCATGTAAAACAAACACACGTAGATTCCACGTTGAGTTGAATAATGTACAGGTATTACAAATTACGATAGATTTGGTTGTTTGATCGAATATGACGTCTTCATCTATTAAAACCATCTGTGCTTACCCGAACATGTGATTATGACTGAAGAAAAACTCTACAACTATTATGACAGATTGAAACAGAAAAGCCGCTCACTTGAGAAGTAATGCACTCGTACTGTTTACTGAAAAAACATTTCAAAGGAGCTAACTAAGCTTGGATTAGTCCAAGGGTAAGTGATAATGAAATTGTTTGAGAAGCCACCTAGAGTAAAGAAAGCGAAAATCACCAAAGTTACCCACCATGTATCCTCATCTTCCTCTACCATAGCGTTCAAGTCCAATAATGGGACATCATCCAAATTTAACTTGACTTTGACCATGTTATCGTCGTTGATTCTGTTCGAGGGGACACGCCGACTATCCGTGCTCTTTAGTTGCGCATTTTGTTCTTCAAGCCGTTTCACCATCTCCTGCAGTCGCTTGATGTCTGAGCCAGCAGATTTTCGCAACTCCGCGCTCATGTTACATTCGTGACGTGAAGCCTTGCAGACTGACGTCCTGTTGTGAGTTATAAAAGAATGTATCATCTACTGTATAACCTTGATGCCATTTGATTTGCTCAAGCTTTCGAGTACTTATAGAAGCCCACGGTCACTCCGCACAGCTGTAATTGGGATACGTCATATATGAAAGTTTTCATGTCCGCTATATAACACCGGATTGGTTCAAGGATTTTCTTTTCCAGCAAAAATCAAAATAAAATGACAATCCAACAAATGAATGCAGTTTGCAGAGTTCTCTCCAAACATCATGATTTCCTCGGCGAAACTGCTCATTTGATGTACAGCCGAAGGACAAGGGCCTGGCGCTGAAAATGGGACCTCTTGCAAATCACGCAGAGACCTCTTGCCAGCTCGCTTTGCGCGGGGCTTCAACCTTACATGTTCTTTTGGTGCATATTTCGATGCATTATGGTTAATATTTGAAGGGACAGGATTTCTTTCCCTTCCAAGCTGTTAAGTTGTAAGCGCTAAGTTTCTTCCCCCACCACCTCTCCTAAACAGAATTCTACGTGCGCCGCGCTGCGGCTAACAAAATTAGAAAGGGGACCCACCCTTTAGGCGTCTTTGTATTGTACACCGACACGTGACCAGCTGTAACCAGGTCAAGACAGATTAAATAAAATTGTCAGTTATGGCACCCCGCGCTGTTTATCATCCGATTTAAGTGTTTCTTAAAAAATTTTTTATAGTTTCTTTCACGTTGAAAAGGATTTGGCTCATCGCAGAAAACGACACAAAATATCGGGAGGTGGCGGTCATAAGAAATTTACCAGTGGTTCCTTTCAAAGCATAAAAACTAATGAAAAGTATATTAATCGAGATGAAGTAAACTTTAATTTAAAAGGGCAACTCCATATTCGTGACCGGGGAGGAAGGGGGCGAGATACTTCCTGGTAAGAGGCTGATGCGGATGTGCACCTGTATGGGGCTGCATTCTCACGACTGGATTCACCACAATGGGGTTACATTTTCAATGAAGTTACTAGAATGGTGTAGCACATTTACGGTATTTTCGGGATAAGAACATTCTGGTATGTAGGGATTTTACAATGGGAAGATTCGCAGTTACAAAGTTGTTACATTTGTCTAAAAGTGACTTAGATGGGGTTAATAAATGGCCACAAAGCAGACTATAATGGGATAGGGGTTCTGAGAGGCCAGCGGCTAATACACAGCAAAAATTGATCATATCACCCACCCGGGATTCTCGATTCTTTCTGATGTGGTTCCAAGAAATATTACATCATGACATTATCGTACTATATCATCGTGACTAGCTAAAACAACTCTAAAATTACTTTTTAATGTACGTTTTAAAACCACGCCCCTTTTGGAACTTGTTGTGGCGCTTGAATTGTTAGTTCTCTTGCTCTAGCCCAGGCCTCTCTTGGCGACAGATGAATTCTTGTTGGTTCATAAGTAGTGTTGATATTACTTAGAGCAATATGCGTATCAGTATCCATTTCTGACAGATCTGAAAGTTCTGACGGTAACTCATCCTCAAAATTTCCTTCTGGGGACACTGTTTTCTTTTTCTTTTCCCGTCGTCCCTTCTTGCACAGCGCAAACAAAATACAGTGTAAAGCGGACACCGCAAGCGCAGAAACCCCGACGACGATTCCTATCTCCACAGGAGTGAGGCCTTGTTCGCGAACATCGTTCTTGTCGGAGGGAGAGACGGTTCCGCTTAACACTAGAAAAAATCATTTTGTTCATTTTAGTTTCTGTTGTACAATGGCGTTATAACGTTTTTAGAGGAATTTAGACTACATATATAGTACAGAGATGAACTGTTTGACAAACGTTACAGATTGCAAGGTTCCATCGTAATTTCCATTGTAAGTTGCCAAGCCTATGAAGACGTATCATGGATCGAAAATAAAATTTACCAAGTTGTGGAATTCTCAAAATGTCAAGAAGCCTCACTTGAAGTCAACGAGTTCGGTTTCAATTTGCAGCTATAACTCGCATGGCTTTGAGAATCAATCGAGGTATGGTGACCTCGAAAACTCTCTGGGCCGTGGTAATCTCCAAATTGAAGTCGTGAGAAATGTGAAATATTTTTCAAAGATTCGACTGTTCTTTTTCAAACTTTTTTTTATTTGGACCTCCCATATCTTTACCTCGATCAAAGTTGAACGAGTGGAAAGTATTATTGTCCTTGCCTGTGTTTGTTAGTCTGAGTTGCACCTCTAATGCTGGTTGCTGCGCATGCTCAATATTATTTTCCTTCCTGTACATACGTAAGGACTGAGGGTGTGAAGTCATGACATCAAGCTTAGTTTTTTCGGCTGGACGGGTTACCAAAGTTTACGAAGATACATTGGCTTTAACAATCTTACTTGTGAATATGAAAGCGATCTTCGCAGTAATAATCACTACCTAAGCGGCAGTGAAAATAAGGTCTGAAAAAATTCAGGCCTGCACGGGATTTGAATCCGTGACCACTGCGATACAGGTGCAGTGCTCTACCAACTGAGCTAACAACCCAACTGGGAGCTGGCTGCGGTTCACAAATATTCACAATCATTGAGACTTACTTGTGCTGCTTTCAACATGGCGCGTGCTTTGTGGCGATGTCGTCTTTGCAGATGTTGATGATGTGTAAGGATGACACAAAAAATCAAAAGTACCGCCAGAAGAAATGTTTACAACTGAAACATCAGTCATTACAGCAGATCCAGTAATAAGTGGAACTTCAAAAGATATTTTTCCCAGCTTAACCAGGCGCTCAAGACGCGTTTTCATTTCGTTGATCGGATGTAGTACAGTTTCACCCTCGTTGCTCAAGGAAAACCGAATGGATGTCTGTCAATAGAAAACAAGTTCAGTTACAGATGATAAGACAGAGAGGAAGAGAAAGAAAAAGTGTTATATCTGTTTGAAATTCAGCCGATTATGGGAAAATGATATACTTTGATGATATATATATATATTTTTAAGTAGAAACAAAAGTTAATTAGCAGAGATTGAACAACATCGAAACAGAAATAGATCGTAGTTAATTGGTACAGTAACTGTAAACAGCTTTTTTTTACAGACATACAATATGTGTGTATATATATATATATATATATATAAGTCACGTCATTATTGGCAGAATGAAAGTATAATAATACGTGTTTCTGTTAAAAAAAAAATTCATTACCTTGTTAAGGCATAGGCGACGAATTCTACTGACTAGTGAGCTTCCCACAAGTTTACTGAGGATGGACTCCAACTGGGCTTTAATGTTACTCTTTTCTTGTGAGGGCTGTGGTAGAGCTTGGTCCAAGGTAAATAAAACATGAAGACTATGGAGATAAGAAACTCTTTTTTTAACTTAAGATGCAGTTTTATACAATTATTAAGGCATAAAAAACTTACTCTGTAAATTCCTTAGGACTCCTTGCGGTGTAAACTGCACGTATATCGGCAGCAGGTCCAAGCACAACTTTACCTTGATTTACCAAGTGTTCTATAGTTTCTTGGATGGTCTTCAAATCACTATTTGAGGTTGTAGCTTGTAATTTAACAACGATTCCATCCTGTCAAAGAAGAAGAGTTTTGGCTGAAATAGTAAATGAATCAAGTTTCAGTAAAAGGCAGCGGCACAGAGGGGTTTGCAGTTGCCAGACGCAGAAAAGGTAGGACAAACAAAACAAAAACAAAAAACAAACAAACAAAAAAAAACGAACAAAAAATAAAACTAAGTGGATAGAATAAAACTTAATTTCAATACTCAGCAGCTCCATTACTAACAAAGCTATACACTAACTTCGCTACCTGCAGCACACTGGTTTGAAGAAGTATGAGACACGAAGTATGCAAGATTACTACTAACTTATGGCCAAATAAGTTTTCCTTTGCTCTTTTTCTTGTCTACTCTAACTTGGCTCGGGCTTTTCGAAAATCATAGTTGAGGTAATTGTACCACCTCGATACCCACCACTGCCACCTATAGTCAAGGGGCGGGAGGGACTAATTGACATATATTAACATGATAAATAAGTAACCTCCGTTACCTCAATGCGCAATACACGGAAGAATGAAGGGAACTTGCGCATGTAAATTATACCACCGTCTTGTTCATGCGTTTTGCTGCTTTGTCCATGTATACCAAACTACCTTCAAGTTATACATTTCTAAGCAATGTCGTCTAAAATACATTTACGCGTTAAAATTAAAAAGGACGAAACACTCTTTTCATGTCAAGTCTGATAGGAAAGTCAGCGTCAAACTAAGGGCTACTAGAAAGTTTTCAGGTGTTTGTGGGATTTTTAAAAAACATTTACAGATAATTTGGTTGTTTCGGCTACAAAAGTAGTCCCAAATAACGCATGAGCACAGTATAAGTATCCATGCAATGAACTGGTGACTTACCTTCTGCAGCTGTAAAACACCAATGTTAAGTGGGGAGGTACTGCTTACCAGTCGCAGTAAATTTGTCTTGAATAAGTACTTTATAGTGTTTTGTTGATCAACCAGTAAACTCATGAAGTTTTGGCAAGGAAAACGGACAAACATCGACAAACTGAAAAAAATGATGTAAAAAAAAAACGCGTTAGTTTTGTATGCCATTACCATACGTTTTATGGAAAAAATTAGCCGTTGTAGTCATAACCTTGTTTTTCGTTTCCTCTACATTCGTCATCTTTTTTCTTAGAAGAAAAGAAATTCCAACGTTCCTCAGTAAAAAACTGTTTTTAACATTTGAAGAAAGTGAATTATTTTGGTTTTCAAAATTAACACAGGCTTCGATTTGAAATGTTCAGTTACCTTTGGTTTGTTCTACATTCTGAGCTGCACAATGGAACCTCTTGTTCTGAACACCAGTGACAGCCTAAAGTGTTTCCACATTCACTTATGTTCGCTCTACAAACGAAAAATTAAAAAAGAAAAATGATCGAGTTCATGTATCTTTATGATCTGAGAGATATTATCAAATAGTTACTTTAACAAAGATATGGCTCGAATGAAAAGTGGCAAGGCTTTCAACATTTACTCGCCACATAACCCTAAAGAGACAAACCTTTAATAAATCGAAGGGAAAAAAAGGCATATCGCTCCAAATCGTTTGAAGCTCATGTGTTTTATTACCTGTCAAACATCTTTGCAACTTGCGAGAAAAATCGTTTTCAGACTGCAAACCGTAAAATAGTCTACTGTGTGGGATGATTTTTCACGCAAACACCCTCCCATTTTCACAGTAATGTAGGTGAGGTTCGAAACTTGATGAATGTCACCCGACATTCCCGAGTCTTGGCGTGGCATATTCGATTACGTGACGCGTTTAGATCAATAGCTCACGAGCAAAAATATTTGAAGTACTGTGACATTTTTCAATTAAAGTTTCAGTAAAAATTTCTCAACAAAGTACACTATTGTCTTGAGATTAATTGAACTAAGACTAAAAATCGTAATGCCACGTTATACTACTACCATATCGGTTTTTTTCTCGTACATTTGAACACAATCTCGGGCACATCTGGGCACAGAGGCTAGTGCATCCTTCAGAGCAACGTCTTCCTTATCTGTGTCAAACAGCGGGGGAACTGGGACTGTCAAAGAAATGATGTGAAAATATTATGTTTATGATTCATTTTTTTAATTATTGTTTTTTATCATAACACTATCTTTTGAATGGTTTTCCAGTGGCTCTACAAAGAATTGAATCACCAGTTCTGGTTTTCTTGCTGTTCTCAGGTCAGGTCAGGTCAGGTCAGTTTGGATGCTATAATCCCACAGTAACTTAAATTTAAGTTCTTTCCAGTGTACATTTTCATAACGTTCCCTCCACTTTTCTGCTGAAAACCACACTTTCCTGATTAGTCCCAGTGTACCGCCGCGCTATATCCTCCTGTACTAACAGAGCCAGTTGAAGGCAATCACTTGCAATATAGCTTCCTGTTTAATTTGTCTGTTTAACACATTCTGCCCGTGGCATTTCCTTGGAATCCAATCTACACTTGTTGTTTCTTTTTGTGGTTTGTTCCTACTGCCAGGTCTTAAGCAATGATGAGAGCCTCTGTCTCTGTGTTGAGCTCTCCTTTTCGCAGACATACCCAGGTATTCTCATTGCTCTCGTTCTCTGTTTGCTCGTCTTTGGACCCCTTCCTCCCTCTGGCCCCAGTATCTACGGACGGGCTACGCAGTCCTTTGAGTTTAAAACTCTGTTCATTGCTAGAATCATTCTTGTTCTCATACCAAGATGTTGAAATCCTCTCTTTGTCTTATCATTAATCCCTCCAGTATACCTAAGGAATACGGCCTAAATTTTGAATCCTTATATCAACTTCAATCATTGATTTGGATTCCCACAGATTTCCTGAATCACCTCAGATAGTCCTTGATGATGTTATTCTTTATCGGCTCTATCTGGTCATAGAGTCCATAAATGATGTGAATCAATTCGTCGGGCTCCCTGACTCCTCGCAGTACTTGCAACCGTCGTCACCATCTCTCATTTCTTTAATTTTGCTGTTGTCGGGAAGTAGATGATACTTGATCATACTTGGGTGCACCATTTTTGCCTCATTTCAGGACCAAGACTGTACATTTTGTAATTCCGAATGACTGAAGCTTGGCACAGCTTGCACTAAGGAACGAAGCAGGGCTTGCCTATGATGAATTTGTTAAGTAATATTCTAGAATACTCTAGAATATTCCAGGATGTTCAGTTTTCATAGAACTTGTTTTGACTTGTCTCGAGCTTATTGAAATATAAATAGAATAAGGCGGTGATACTGATGAGCATGACAATTAAATTCTGACTGTTCGTTTTTTAGATTAGGTAATTTAGTGTTAACAACTGAATTGAAAACGTAAATTTGCCACCGTAAAGGGTAAAAAGTTGACGTTTCGAGCGTTAGCCCTTTGTCAGAGCGATGGGGCTAACGCTCGAAACATCAGCTTTTTTACCCTTTACGGTGGCCATTTTACATTTTCAACCCAGTTGTTAACACTAAATTACCTGTTATACTCTCCCACCGACGCAGCACCACAGTTTCTTTAGAAACTTACCTCCTTTATTCGTTTTTTAGATTGTTCGTTTTGTTGTTGTTTTTTTTTTTGGTGTTGTAGTTGTCATTGGTTTAGTCTGTTGCAATTTTTTGTGTTCTTGTTAATAATTGAGAAAAACAAGAAAATCTCCTTTAGAGGACGATACAGTGGGAGCATTCCATATTTTTGGTCCTCAGTGTAGTGTAGCGAGCTGTTTAATGTTGTTTCTGCAGATGTGAGGCCAAAGGAGCTCCTTATTTATTGTATAAACTGTTGCTTCCAGAATCTTATATCACACTACATATATATGGAAACAGCTGTTTGATAAACGAACACTACCTACAATCATCCTTACCCGGGCAAGGCGATGATGTCCACAGACTTGTTACAGAATTTTCACACTCGTCATATGACATGTGACAAGAGCAAGGACACTAGAAGACAAAGAAAAATAATGGAAAACCTTTCATTAATGATAAGAGCACTTTAGAGAATAGATGCAAAAAACTTTGCTCCTTTTATAGGCCTTTGTTTGCCTTTTTGTAGATCAAAAGCCTGGGAAACGGGCTTGTAAGTCTGTTCATTGAAGACTGTCCTTTTACGTGGAGAGACTGACCTGACAAACGGACACAGCATTGGTTGAGCAGACCCTGCAAGACTCCTCACAGAAACAGTCCTAAAATGTTTGGAAAGAAACGAATTGGTGGTTACAAAATTTTCCTTGTTTAAACGTGTGTCTTTTGTTACGTTTGATAGCTGCCTTACGTAATGTTTACACAGTTCCAACAAGTTAGACAAGTTTTTGAATTGAAAACCACAAGCACTCACAGAACTAAATCAAGCTGAAGAAGTTGACCTTTCTTTGAAATAATGAATATGTCTAAGAACTTTTAAAATAAGCAAGACGTTTGACGGTGACAAACGGCATTAGAATAAGAAGAAATATTTGCATTTTCTATTTACAAAATAACTTCATGCTATCTGCAAAAGATTGACCTGAGAGCCATAGAAAACATTGCCACAGAATATATGATAATCTCAAACCTCATTTGGTGCAGTAGGTCGGTCGGTGCAGTTATGCAGACTTCTCGATGGAAAGCTGAGCAAGAAAAGTGACGTTCCTTGTATTTGGTTTAAGCTGAACTGAAGACAGGGATCTGAACTTTTTGAAGAGGCTCCGTCAGCGGAATTAATGAGCTCATAGAACAATTGAACTGTGTGCTGTTGGTAATCATTGCACCAAGATGTCTGCAAAAACAAGTCCCATTCCTCAAGAGTTGTTCCCCATCAAGTCAGTTTCAACTGCCCACGGATTCAGAATTTTAAAATGGAATAGGAAGTTAGAAAATGACCGACTTCATTTTTTTGAAGTTTTAAACAAATTGTTTTTATGCAAGATACAGCCGTGTATATTGTTTTAAACTAAACTGGTCATTTCAGGTCCAACTGAATATTATGATTTTCAGCAGAAATGTTTTAAAAGTAGTTTCTTCTTTAACTGAAGAACATCCTCCTTCACCTTAACTACCACGCTCATGATTTACTGTCTTCATTTACATCATCATTGCATGTAAGCATTAGATATCAACATCCCTATCTTCCAAGTACACAAGAAGTTTCTCAGCATGGACTAGTTTAATGGCCTTACTTGCCATAGGTCTCCTCAAGCTCATTGATAGAGCGTCCAGGGCACTGATTTGAAGGTAAGTTCGACTCCTATTGGAAGCATCCGGTTTTTTTTTCTCCGAGCATGTTACTAACTGAAAACACTCTTCTTTCACTTAAATCACCAAGCTTATCACTTACCATCTTCATTAACATCATTATTGTGCATAGGCATCACATATCGACATCCCTATTCTAGCTGTATGCATGAAGTTTGTCACCATGGACCTAGTTAAATACCATAGCTTGCTACATATCTATCATATTTCAGTGATAGAGCACTTGAGCTGCATATACTAATCAGAAGGGCGTAGGTTCGAGTCCTAGAGGGAGCACCAGTGTTTTTATTTTATCCGAATCTAATCCTCCTTCACTTAAATCACCAGGCTTAAAATTTACCACCTTCATTTGAATTATAATTTTGCATAAGTATTACATATTAACATTCCTATCCTTGCAGTATGGAGGAAGTTGTTCTTTGTGGACCTAGTTAAACGGCCTAGCTTGTCATGAGTCTCCTAAAGCTCAATGGTAGGGCGTCCGAAGTAAAAATCGAAGGGTCGTCGGTTCGACTCCTGCTGTGAGCCCTTGGCGTGTTATTCGCTGATAACATCTCCATCCATCGTCATTCTCATATAATCTTCCCACTTGCTTTGCACGACATCAATTTTTCGCCTAATTAGTTATGCTTTTACCTGTACAGGGGAATGATGTTATTGAATGATTTATCTGTTTTGCTGATATTCCCTCTTTTTAAGTGCTATGATACCGACAGGGTTGTAACTCATGCATCAACATTTTAATTAAAGCACCTTCAAATTTTTGTCCTTTTTGATTAACTGACTCGCCAGCCAAGGGAAAACGTCTGTTAAATGCCCCTTGTGAGTTTTCAGACTAGTGGAACGAGAGAGGTTCATCATAATCTGTCTGAAACGTAAAGTCGAAAAGCGTGTCATTTTGTCCCAAAGATGCAGTGTCGGAGCGCGACAAACTTGTGCTTTAAAAACGGACTTAAATTTTACATCTCGCCACAGAACTGTAAATTCCCTATTAAGCACCACGTCCAAATTTGCAGCTGGGCCGCATGAAGCATTTGTTTAGACAACACTATTTACAAACGAAAAAGGTTCCCTGTTGCTTAAAGAGAAAATTAACAGCAAAATTAATTAAAACATTATTCAACCTCTGCTCCAGCTTATTCTCGTTACTTCCTTTTTGGGGAACATTGAATTTTACTTTGTCTGTTTGTGTCGCAGCAAGCAAGAAAATGGCCATGAAAAAAGTATGACTTCAACTCTTACCCACTCCGTTCGACGATGTACCATTCTTCGCCACAATCTTTTTCAAAACCAACCTGCAATGCAGTAATGATGCTAGTGGTAAACAATGGACCGAAATAATCGTTTATGGTGCCGGTGTCTTTCTTAATTTTATATTTTAATTTTTTTTAATTTTTGCACTCCTTCCAATTCTTCCCTTATTTACCCAGCTTAAATTAAATTTCTGGTAAATTTCGGGTTATGTGAAGTAGGTGCCACAACAGTTCCTATACTTTCTTTAGAAAGACCGGCGCATCATGTAAAGATTTACTTGCCTTTTCAGCAATGAGCTGCACAAAGGCGTGTTTGGTCATTTCCATTCCCATGACGGCCAGCACATCTCGCGCTTGATTGTCGCCGAACTGGACACCTGCACTGCTGCACAGTGAAAACAGAAAACAGAACAGCCATACGATCCACTCGTGTTTTAATTTTTTCCTAAGGATTCAGCATTAACAATGTTCTCAACGTATATACCTAAATGATAGGTGAACTCAATTCCTTTGAAATAATAAATTACACACATTTTATTGACATAAAGGAAAAGATTGTTGTAACTTGTTATCTCAACTACGTATACGTCCCTGGTACTTGTAAGCCCGGCTCTGATAAGTAAGCCGGTTGGTAGCGAGCTCAGCGGTGTAAAGCAAACGTAATTTCAGAAAATAATGATACCGTTATTCATAACCTTGGATGTTTAATTACCATACCTTGTCCTGGGAATAGCTTTACTTAAGCTTAACACTTTATCCTGCTGGTAAGCTGAATTTCTCAGTGACACAACCATCATCTCAGGCGTTGAAGATGCTTGCCTATACCTGCCACAGTTACAATATTTGAAAGACAGCGTTTAGATAAACAGTGTCTAATTTAATCTAGTTCTCATTTATTGATGAATTTCAATCATTCAAATCCTTGTCAGCTTAAGTTCTTTCAAGGTATTGGTCAGAAAAAGGGACCCGGTTTGAATGGATAAATGTTAACAACGTGTTGATTATCTAAGTATTGCAGAACAAAACTATCACTGTCCTCATAATAAGTTTAACTACAGGCTCATTAAATACATCAAACTTATTCAACATGACGTTATAGACATGAATGGATCTTGTCCTGTTGTTCTGTACCACTGAGAAGCTTTACTCACCAAGATTGCTGTAGGTGAGAATATGTCTTTTGCAACCGAATACCAGGAAACGTTCTTAATACTCCTTGTTGTGTTCCAACAAATCTGAAAATGAATGTTTGAATAATATGTATTCGTTTTTTCCGTCTTATCCAAAAAATGAAAATTAGAAATAAAAAACAAGGCAAAAGAAATAAAAAAACCTTACCTCCAGGTAACTAAGTACTGGTTTGTTAATTCGGCTCTCTTCCAGAAGTCCTCCAATTCTGATGTCATCATCACCTCTGCACGGATTGCTTCACTAAGGCCTATGAGTAAAGAATTTTTATTATATAGATACTGATGAAATACCAGGATTTTTCCTTTTACTAAAAAATCATATCTTCATCGCGCGCAGTGAAGATACTATTTTTATCTCTCACGTGTGAGGATATTGGTGTCGCCATGGTTACTAACATGATTAGCCAATTACAAGAGAGCCTCCCACTCAGGCGCGCGAAAATGAATAAAAAAAAATTGTTTTTCATGTATGAATTTCAGCAGTATCTATAGAATAAACAGAACATTACATGGCCGCTTGGGGATACGTATTTTATCTTCTCGTGCTGAAAGTATCTCTCATTCGTTCGCTGAGCTCACTCGTGAGAGATACTTTCAGCACTCGAAGATAGAATTCGTTTACCCGCGCGGCCATGTTATATCCTCTATATCCAAGGTGCTATAGCTGTAACAAACTGGGAAATGACTATTACCCTTTTATTTTCTTAATTCTCATAATCTTTCTATTTTATTCAAGAGTAATACTATAGAAAGAAATGAGATGCCGGTTTCTCTTAGGGATTGACTCGTTAACCGTAATTATAACTATAAATACTTATTTTTAAACACTTAGAAAAATGTCCTCAGACCTTTGAAACGAACGTGAGGGACATTTTCATTGAAAAACCGTTGGATATTTTGCACATCTCTGATTGTTTCTGTATTGTAGATGAATTCATCAGAATCATTAAATGCTTCTGGAGAAATCTGGAATAAAGAATTTTACATGTGGATTAATAATAAAACAACTGAGTTGTACTTGCGAAAAAATATCTAGGTTCACTTGTGACATACCGAAAAGCTCATTTATTTGCGACAAAGTGAAGCTATGATGGTAAATAAGTTAAAACAGAAATGGTTATCCAGTACAACAATGGCTCCCTCAACGATCAAATTATTTCAGAAAGAAATAAACGCTTTTGATTTTAAGCCTCATTGGTAATGGACAGAATGACTCTAAATATTTCAGTAATTTTTGAAGCATTAACTATTTTTGAGAAGTGATTTACAAAGAACTCATTAGACTGTTACAGACCGGCTCGGTTAGTGGAGAGAGTTAAAAGGGTGCCACACTGACCACCATTAGCTTTCGCTTGCTGTATCAATCTTCCACAGATTTTTACAACAATCATTCTAAAATTACTACATTCATCTGACTCTTAGGTATTCCATAGGAGCAGATTGTACTGCGAGGAGACCCATAGAATACCTTAACAGAAGAGGACGTTGAAGAAATCAGTAGACTTTCTTTTGAACTACAAATTCCACTGGGATAAGAATCGGAAATATTCCTCCACAAATCCAATCGATGGTAAAGCGATGGTGAGTTATTCCTCGTAAGTTTGAACTACGGTAAACAAAAGAGTTTTCAAATCACAATGATGAAATAAGAACTACCATTGATGAGAAGACAAATAATTGTTGGAAAAATAGTGAAATCTGATTTGCAGACTTCATTGAAAAGACTTCTGTCACTCATAATTCATAATTAGTGATGCAGTCTATTGATTTATCTCTCAAGCTCCTTTGCTCGACAGGTTGATCCACTAACCAGTGATTTTCATCCTTCAGTCTACTTGTACATTTGCTCTCACTGTTCGCAATGAAAATCAAAACAAAACAGGCTCCAAACTTACAGATGTAAAGTCGGTTTTAATGGACTGTCCATCAGCTACCACGAAGACAATGTAATAAGCATTTTTTCTGACAGGTTTCCAGATGTAAGTAGCATTTCTGTAGAAGATATGGGTTCCATCTGTGGACCGATCTCCAAGTAACACAGGAAACCCAGCCTGAAATGACACAAGTCAGCAATAACCGTTATGAGATAAAGGCACTTTTGTAAGTTTTGTATGCTTATCATAAAAACCAGCGAAATGAAAATAGAGAAATTTTTTGTACATCTACTTTGTACTTTGTTACGTTTTTCAAGCCGATCGCTTTTCCCCACGAATTTGTACGAGTGGTTACGGTGACATTTTAATATATGCTGTCGCTAAATGATATTCAGTATTATAGTGTACAGGGAGTAATTGATAAAAATTCTGGTTAAGGCAAGAATACCTTAAGATGCTATGGCGGGAAGTTTTAGAAGTTTACTAAACTTTAATTTTTTCCTTAACGTTAGCAATCTGCCTGATCCAACTTGTGGAGCTACAGATCTCCTGTGAGTCAGGAATCTTTTTTTCAGTCGTTCTGTATTTATATGTTTTCTCCATAGTCATGTTTTGAACGTGCAAACAGCCGAACTTTTCGTTTTTACTTTGGGGCATAATGACTTTTGATTATTCTGGATCTAGACTTCGTATATATCCCGTATATTACACTATGGGTCTCCAAGAAGCAAAACTGACAGAGAAATGATCAAAAGTTAATTTACTTCGTAGCACTGTTCACCAGACCCTCCATGGGTTATGTTTGATATGATGTCATCAGGGAGGCTGGCCTCAAACAACGAAAGCGGCAAAAACGAGCGGCTACTAGTGGTGTCAGTCGGACTCGGGAGGGATGGGTGCAAAATTGTCCGACCTGGAATAAAATATTTCTTTGATGCATTTGTTCTTAAAGGGACTCTACTGTGTATCTGTTAGTATTGAGAGCTTTTTGATATATCTGATCAGTTCTTGGGGAGGGGTGTAGGGGGTACCGGTACACACCTCTCCCTTAGATGACACCGGCTTTCTAATATAACTAACATCGAGTGAAAGCGACCCTCGCAGTATTGAACTCTACTAAGCAGTATTGAAAATGAGGTTTGGAAATTGAACCCATGACCTCTACGATGCTGGTGCAATGCTCAACCAACTGAGCCAGTATTTTTCGAAAAAAAAGGAGAAAAAATAGAAATGACAAAACGCAGCCTGTGGTTCAATGGTTTTGAAGTAGAACATAAGACTAGATTAATAAAAATTTGTATTGAACGCTGCCAAAATTCTTTGTATTCTCAGCGTTGTACATTATATTATTGCAAAGTCACAAGACTTCTTCTTCGTTTTCGCTTTGTTTAAAATTTGTTTACGTCACCCTTCAGTCCCTTCATTCCTTGGTGTTACAACCCCTCCTAAGAAAAATCCTGGATCCGCCCCTGTAAAATGACAATACTTTGAGCCACGACAACTACTATGTGAAGTCATTCGATAGATTCAAAGATACCTTGGTCCATGAGTCTCTCAATTGAACAACCTGGAAATGAAAACATATCTTTAAAAACTTGGAGAGTTACCTTCTTTGTTCACGAGTATGGCATAGGACTGGGCATTGGAAGACGCACGGAGGGCTTCTTTGAACAAGCGATCCAGAGGAAGGTCAAGTGCAAGGACTCCTTTAAATGACTCATTGTGAATCAGGGCAACAGATACTGTTACTGTGAGCCCTAGCTTTGAGTCCATGAAAGGGTCAGAAATCCGGGCTTTCTGACCAATCGGTATGTTTATTGATGTGTAGTAGCTGCCCATTATTCGTTTTAGTACCCCTTCCCTCTGGTCGCTTATTTCAACAAATACACCGCTGTTGTTGTATGCGATAGTTTTCAATCTTTGAAGACTTTTATGCGAGAGGCCAGTGCCGAGAGCGTACGTATTAATTTGGACTGTGTGGTTCTGAAAAGAAAAATGGGATTTTCAGTAGATGATACCTCTAAACTCAGCTGAGTGTTCAACGCAGGGCTAGTGGTTTTCGGAATATTCGGTTAGTCCTACCATCAAAAAGAGGACATTTTTTCAATTGCCGCGGCCCAAATGAACAGTTTAATTTGAAATTAAATCTTTTATTTAGAAAATCTTAAAACTGTCCGGAAGTCTTTCGATTCCTGTTGTAAATGAACAGAGAAGCTCGATTTGTCTTTGATAAAACACAGATAAGTAAGCTCGCTATGAGCTAGTTTGCTGCAAGCCCTTAAAAGATTCGTGTTAGTGATACTCAAGCAAAATTACAAACCATTGAAGCCTGTCCTTCATCGATTGCTTGATAGATTCCTGCTTCAGCGTCACTTGGATTCCCGTCCGTTAAAAACAAGATGATGTTAGTTCTTCCAGATCCCTGTAGAAATGGTTAAAAATAACAGATTGCCGTACATACACTGTATGGTTTGGTCCACTGGATTTTAGTCGATCTTCGGTGAGGAGTTCTTATTAAATGTCACGGAATATATCATGTTTCATACGCATGCCTATGTTGTTTGAATTTTTTTTTAATTTGCAAAAATACCAATTCTCCTGTGCGGATAATCCAGTCACTGAACGCATTCTTCCATAACCAACATATAAGGATTACCCTGTAATGCAAAAGAGCCTTCCCGCGAAACGTTTTGGCTTTGTTGTCATCATAGACAAAATATATGCTAGTCGATATAAATATTTTGGATACTATGTGAACCTGAAAGCTTAGAGGCAAAACTTATGATCAGGCTTAAATTAAACCAGAGTAATACAATCAGCACTCTCTTAACTACATCACTTTGAAGAAAGTCGTTTTGTTTCACAGTCAAATATTGTTTAAAATTCTCTTTCATGGGCAAAACAATGCTCAAATTTGTTAAGCGACGTCGACCACTCTCGTGGTCAGAAATTAAACAAATTCTCCAGTTTTGTTTCTCGGGTAAGAAGTGAAGGGGATGTTCACACCAACTACACGAATCACTACGTTCGTGTCCACTTAACAACTGAAATATTCGATAATTCTGGATTTCATAGGGAAATTGAAAGTTTGTCTAGGTAAACTAATTTTATTTGAAAAAAAAGGGAAAAATGGGCGAGTAGCTTACTTGATATGTTGCATGTAGTATGAGTCTTTCTTAAAGAAGCTTTGTATGTGTTATTAATTGTGATCGACGATGCAATGAATGTTGATAGTTGACGTGTGCACGAAGTTCTCGACTCATTCTTCTGACCGATCTTTCCTTCATGGAGGATAGTCACGTAAAAGAGAGTTAATTGTAGAGTAAGCAATAGCTTCCCAACTTTCCGCGGAATCGAGTAAGTTATTAAAAGAAACGCACATTCCTTTTCATTACCTGCCTTGTGACATTTTCAAACATTTTGAAGGCGCTTTTGAAGGCTTTCGCGTAATAAGTTGATCCTGGAAAAGAAGAACGTCTCATTAAAACAATCATGATTCCTGGAATAAAATAAATGTTAAAATCTTTATGAGGATATTTCTTATGATTTAAACGGGCCTTGTCTATTTTTACCTGGACCATACTAGACAAAACGAACAAGAAAAGCCTATCTCTGAGTCATCTTGAATCCTACTTTAACAGTCCCATGATAAGGTATGTGAGTTTTACGGGTATCTCTGTTATATTTTTGTCACATTTGAAAGTCACATTTAGGGAGAAAACTTTCCTACCGAACGCCGTGAGTTTCCGGGTCCACTGCTTCATCTTAGCTAAATTTGCAGGGATTCCTTTCGCAACTGTGGCTCCGAAACATCCAGATGGGGTCTTTATCAGGTGGGAAAATGCCAAGATGCCGACCTAGCGGAAAACAACGGCAACAGTAAAAGAGGGAAAAGTTGAATCCCGTGCCAAAATGTCTTTGACTTACATTGTCCTGAGCTGACAGGGTGTCAAGCACTGTGACAGCGGCATCTTTGGCTAAAAGCATTCTCAAACCTGACATGGAGCCGCTGCGATCAACAATGATCACAAGATTTTTCTTAACAGGAGATGCTGTTTCCACGTACCATGATCTGAATGTCAGAATGAATTCCTACCATCAAATGCTAAAATTGACTTAATTATGTTACAGTGTGCATTGTAAGAATGATTCAAGGAGACTCAGTACAAATTTTTCGCTGAAAAACGCTAGTTCTCTTTTATTTCCTTGTTTTTCTATTTTCTTGAAGGAATTGTCTCCGATGCCCTTTCTGATATCCTTTCGCTCGTTCGGTATAAGTTTTAAAGTCTTTTTAAAATTGTTAACATGTGTTATTTTTGTAAATGCAAATAAACAGATTATATAATTATGAAAGTGTGGTGCACAAGAGGCATGTGCAAGGGGGCGCCACGGTAGCATTATAATAAAGTGTCGCTACCTTTCGGTTGGCAGATAAAATGAAATTCCATTGATGCGTAAGATGGCACCTTTATGTTTGTAGGCTGATTTCTTTCTTACTCAACTTACTTAAACCGTGGATCAAACTGTGCTGAAGAGGTGCCTTCACAATGGCGTGTGTTTCTAGGGTACTGGACGTATTCTCCGTCTATGGAACCGTAATATTGCCATGCAACCACTGGCGACCCTTTAAAGTTGTCTTTGAACCTTTTTGACAACTCAGTGTTGAGGATAAAGCTTTCACGTTCGCCACTTAAAGCCGAATGTTTGATAGAACAGCCAGTAGTTGTATCCACCAAAGATCGAAGTCTTTCGCTGAAGAAGGTTGTGACGCTGGTGCCGTTCAAATACTTACAACATTCAGTAACGTTTTCATGATGGGTCTTACTTGACAACTGATGCAGCGTAGCACTAAGCTCCTGTAGGAACTTTACAGAGGCATTAAGCCGAGCAGCTGCAGGATCAGTTATACTGTTCAGCAGCCTTTTAACATCAGTGGTTTGATTAACACAGGAAAGAGAATCGTATAAGCTTTGAAGACGGTTAAAACCAAGGTTTTTCTCGAAAACCTCGTGCAAACGGTGGGCTATCTGCTGAGCAGCAGCATTTGTTTGGTTACATCCATCAGCAAATGACAATGATGAATCAGTTTCCCTCAAAATGGCTATCATGAAGACAACTGGAACAAGTTGCTTTAGTGATCTTCTCATCACTTCGAGAGCATGGAACAATCCACTTTTAACGTTGCTGCTGTTGTACAAAAGAATGAAACAATGAATTCTTTCGATAATTACAAAGGACCTTTCCACGTCAAAAAAAACTATTATTGGAACGAATTGTTTGCTTATGAAATGGAAGCAAAGAAATTGCAGAAAGGAAATATTGGTCGGTTATTTGATGATGACATTCCTTCATAACATTACGGGCCGCACGGCATCTAAAGACACAGTAACTTGTTTACAAACCATGGACGCATGATGTAATACTCTGGGTGTAACAAGTAACCTATTGAACTCCTTTAATTAATTTGGCAGCTTCTAAGGTTTTTTGAAAAATGCGCTTTGCAGTAAAGATATTGAAACGTATGTAACAATAAAACGAACTTGCCACATGAAGTAAAGAACCTTGATGAGTGACTAACTTATTATTTGCTTTTCATCTTACATGTCTAGATATATGCCACAAAATTCCGAGTAAATTGATCCCTAGATCAATAGATATTGATATTGATCCCTAAATTGATCACCATGCTAAACAAATTTCTGTGGAAATACAAAGGAGACGGTAAAAACCCTCACAATTAAACCTCAGTGTTCCTATGATATCGCAGTTGTATGTTTTTTGGCCGCGTTCTGTGCCAACAGTGTCTGGCTTTACTTTACTCCCCGCTGAACCTGAAGATGCAGGAATTTAACCTATCACTAAATGTAAAGAAAACACCACTTAATATAAAACAAAACAAAGTAAGACTTTCGATCCGCATTATCGAGCGTGTGTTTCAGATAAGCCCCAACGCATTTCCCGTTTGGATATACTATTTACAGTTTGCGAACATACTGTAAATATGCCTATTGTCAATCATGGTTTGTTTCTAAGCGTGACAGCTCTGACAAAACTGTTCATCAGTCTTATATAATCTTGTATTATCTTATTCATGAGGACATTCAAGGTGATAAAGACACCTGTATTCAGATAGAATGAGAGAAATTTTTTCAAGGAACTGCCTTCACTTCACGATTGGGTATCCTCTCTTGGTTGTGTACTCAACACTCAGGGGTGGATTTGAAATGATGAATTGAAAGTAGGTGTTTAGAAAGTAGAAATATGTACGGTGGCAATAAAATTTGATCAGGTTGGCCCCTAATGGTAAATATTCGTGGTTGAAGCTTACCCGCCCGTTTATACGGATAAAAGCTTGGCACCGGGATAATGAAACGAAGCTGCAGTGGAACTGAGTCGCATCAGAGGCCTATGACACGAGAAAACTTTCACTGACTTGTATTTTTGAACCAATCGTATTGGAGCCTGCCTCGTATGTTCTTCACTTGGTCGGTCGTTTTCTGGGGGTTTTCTTCAAGTATGACTTGTGAAGACACTAAAGAAGATTAGTGAACAAAGGTACACACATAATCTTATTGTCGTTTTCAGATTATGAAATACATCAATAGCAAAGACATGAAAAGAGGTTGAAAACGTCTCCCGACAAGAGATAATCACTCACAAAAAACGAGCAATAAGGGATTGGGAAAATTCGGATAGATCGGTGCCTGAATCAGCGTGGAAAGCACACTAAAGTAATACCTTTAAGGACGTTAAAGTAGTTGCGAAAGCGATTCCCTAAAAAAAGCAGGGATTAAGTTGTAATCTCACTTCTCTGTAGCAACATAGGTCACGCAAATGAAGGGATATGATCGTGAAATTGAAAATAAACTGTTGACTTAAGGTAATTTGCTGTAATTGTACTAACTTAAACAGTGTTTAGGGGAGGAGCAGTCATTTACTGATTTTCTTCATGGCGTTCATCGAGTGATTTGTAAATAAGCGGCTTCCTCGAATATTTTTAATTTCACAAAATATAAGAGCTCTCCATTGTACCTCATTATCAGTGTTAAAAAACAAAAACATTTTCGCGGCAACACCATTTGAAATTCGATTCGATAAGAATTATTAAACGAAGTCGTTATAATTGGAATATATCTTTAAAAAATCAGGACGCCTCTCTTGTCCAAATGTCTAAATCAAATCGTCTTATTTCTACGCATGATTTATTTATACACATGATTTGCGTCAATTGCCGCGATTACCAACGTCCTATCAGCCCAACATGTCAGATGTAGTTAAGCAATTGGCGGTACTTTCTGTCGGTTTACCGATTACCGGTTTCACACGCGCAGGATGTTGGGAGAACAAGAGAACAGTATGTACATCACAAGCCAGTGGCGAGAGTATAGAAGGTTTTCGAGATCTGCCAGTTCTCTGAGTTCGGGGTTCGGTAATGCTTAAAGTACGCGTTCAATGATATGAAAGTCTTCGTTTTGGGATTCTTAAATTGTTTGAATACAATTCAAGATGGTCGGTTGTCAGTTACTGTCACAAAGGAACACGAACTTGTTTGTTCGTAATCTTGCAAGAGACAACGCTTTAAAATGTTTTGATTGTAAGCAATTCTGAGAAGAATGTTTTTGGATGAGGAAGTAAAATGACCTCAGTTCTAAGAAACTGCGGACTTGAAACATAATCTTCGTACTCTTCTCAGACAACAATTAGATTTTTTTCACTCTCCTTGTCACTCGTTTTCTAAAATGATTACAATTCTCTGAATATTTAATATAATGGCTTGATCCCCTGCAAACTGAAACAATCAAATGATGTTAGTATCACTGAGTTTAAGGCACACGAAGAGAAGAACATTTTGAGATGTGAAAGGATATAGATGGATATGTATGCCTTTTTTGTTAGGCTGTGAAATGGTGCCGGCAGTGCTGAGCTCTGCCAAACCCTAACGCGTTTTTTATTTAAAAAAACTCTTAACACAAACATCTTTATTCAATATCTCCTCAGGTCTAGAAAATTTCCAGATTTTTCAATGCGCTGAGTGTGCTGTGCACAACTGCCAGCATATAAGACACAGTATATGTGAAATGCGTATGAAGATCAATTTGTGCGAAATATGTAGTGCGTCATCATATCACAACAGAGGAAACGGTCAATGTATTCTTGATACACCTCTATCATTTTCTTATTTTCACTTCCTATGAAGATTGCCGAGCGACACGAGCCTTGTATGGTGAACGGATGATTATCACTCTCGGCTAATTACAGCAACGGATGGCACAGCTAGCATTGCTCTATGATCCGTCATAATCGCTATTTGTTAAAAATATAGTTATTGACTGTTGAAACGAGATAACAATTGATTAAACTTTTCTTACTACATTTACGAACTCGAATCAAAAGAAATTGGCTCGCGTATTATTTAACGCCAAAGAATATCTTTTCAGGATCATATTTGTTTACCCTACGAATATTTTAACGTCACCAAGGATGAAAACGTCCTTAAACATACCTTTCAAGAAGCTGACATTCTTTCCGAATAACAGAATTATTCTGAAGCCTCTATATCTTCTAAAAATGCCTGAGCCCAAAAACTTTAAAGCTAACTGTTGACCCTCAGCAGTAAGACTCATTCGAGTCGAGTTTAAGTTATATGGTGATGACAAATCTTGACCTCTGATTGTTTCTTCGAAAAATTTGTGTAAAAGTATCTGAACTGATAATTTCTTTAACAGATGGATCCAATTCTCAAAACAGAAACAAACTTATGTTTTATTCAAGTTGCGGAAAACGGTGTCGCCACCACGTTTTTATACCTCTGTAATGTACTCGTGGGATTTAAAGTAAACAGCTCACCGAGCCTTCTGAAAACACCTGTTGAGTGCATTAAGTATAAATAAATAGGATATTTTGATGAGACATGATTCAACAACGTATTTTGTTCTCAAAGATAGACACCTTTATGCAGGAAATGCGTTTGGGAGAGATGTACATGTATTATACAGGGTAGTCCAGGGAGCTCACAAAAATTCCCACCAGTCATAAAAAAAAGCCCTAAATATTCAGAAAAAACTATTTATACATTTTTCATGTGGGAGTTTCCGCCAAAACGCACCGAAAAGTTGCAAACTGTTCAGTAGTGGGCAGATAGGTATATTAAGTCGGGTGGTTAGCCGAGAACAAATGTTTTACTTAGTTGGCTGTACTCTCGTGCGCCAAGCTGTTCTCGGTATCATTTTTTTAAATGATGCTTTAAAAAGCTTGGATTCTACTCTTTTTCGATGGTTTTGTTGCCAACTATTCAAAACTGTACGGTAATCTGGCCTTAATACTCATTCTCCCTTGCATGAAGAGTTTGTCCAAAGATTCAAACGAGGTTTATGGACCGTCATCTCATTCAGTCATGCCAACAATGTACTCATTTTTCATCTCATTAACTTTCTTAGCCGGTAAAAGCGAAGACGTGGATAACGCTGTTCTCCAATCACGAGAAATGTCGACCAAGCAAATGCCTGATTGAATACTTTTTTTATACACGGTATTTGTTTAGATGTGATCGACGTGGGAGAAGGAGTGATCTGTTACTATATGTTTGCCTTTGTCATTAGTGACACGCGTCAAATAGTGCATCTAAATATTCTGAGGTTTGCGTGTCCTTGATGAACTTCGGAGAATCTGCATTTCCCTAAAGACCAATGTTTTCTTACCCTTAGCGTTCAAACTCTCCCATCGCTTATTTAAGATGGCCTTTCACTTTTGGCATGTATTTCTACAAAGTCAAAGACAATGTTGTTGCTGCTTTTGTTATTGTTGTTTTTTTGTTGCTTGGGGCATGTTAGCTGATACCTTGTTAACTTATTGCAGCTTGACTTAAATTTCAGTTGTGTCCTCGTGTACCGGTACACAAAGGAACGAAACATTAACGAACTGCGTCACAACTCCATGTATGGACATGAAAACAATAGGAATTCCCCCGTGTACCGGTACACCAGGACAGCCCCTAAATTTCTTTTATTAGGTACCGTTTCCCTGAAAACTCTAATTCATCAGCAAATAAAGGTAACGCTTCCAACATGTGATTTTGAATTCGTACGTACAGCTAAGTTTCTATATTTAAACAAGTATTTTCATTGACTTTTGCGTCACAAATAGCTTT